TGCGTCATAATTCATTTTATAGTTGGAGTATAATCAATTCAAACAGATAACAAATGTATGTGCCTATGTGATGATATCTGTTGTGGTAATTACTTTAAAAAGTTTATAATTGACCATATTATTTAGATGGCTAGTCTTATCTTTGTGAATAGACTAGTATATGTTGCTCGAGACTAATATAAATACTAAAGATTTTCTTTGCAAAAAAAAAAAAATTTCATTATCATAAACCAAGATTTTAGCCAAATGTTTACAAGAGGACCTCCCACAAGACCCGGTACCCCATACCCATTCAGCCCCAACCCTCCACCTCGTCCTAGTCGTTAAAGTCTTTGGGCGGAAATGGACTGTTGAATAAATAAAAATCAATTTGTTTTGTCTTACACAATGTGCGTTTTTATATTTATTTTTTATTTTTCGATGTTGTTTGTATGCGTTAAACAATAGCTGACACGACATGATACTCAAACAAGACATATCTGCATTTTTATAAGGTCGTTTTTTTTCTAGCGAACTATAAAGACTGATGAGTGATAATACCAATACCAAAATTATACTAATAAATAACACATGGTGTGGCATCATTTAATTGTGACGGCAACAAAAAAATTGCTTTACTTTTTCTGAAAAAAGATGGTTTTGGGTAAAGCACAGACACTCATTTTAATTATGTGGAAAGAGCACATTTTTTTCGGTTCGCGTAAAAAATGAATGATGTCAGTGTAATAAGATCACCCTTTTGCAGCTAATAAAATTAAAAGCACTGACATATTAATGCATGATGTGTGTAACATGAATATACGATAAAAGTTACCAGTAGTTTGGTGCATTACTTTGTATATGCATTATGAATTCCATCTTCAATGATATGAATCGCTTAACCTTGTGTGTATGGACTCATTATGGTATATATTTTAATAGTCTGAGGGTATGAAAACTTTTTAAGTGTCGCACTTTTTTATTTTAATATTCCTCAAAAAAAAAAAAAAAAAAAAAAAAAAAAGAGATGCGGAATAGTTTTGTTTGTATGAGCTAACAAAAGAAGCAGCGTGTGTGTTGTCATGATCAGTCTTCGTCAAATATATAATAGTGGTTTCTCTTGCCATCTGTTACAAAACCGAAGTTGCCAGAGATTATGACACCTTTACGATTATCTAATCTCTTGAAAATAGAGGCTCACATCACTGACAATATTTTGTACCCCTTTTGTCCATTGTATTATGCGTTGTTAAAGGGATAAGAAAATGTTGCCGTCAGATGAATATATAAAGTACAAGATAATCTTAGAATTATTTTTTGTCATAAACCTCATCATAACAAATCAAATGAATAACTACTTTACAGGAAGACCTACACCCCAACCTGATATTCCTCCCAGACCCGCTACCCCCACCCCTTACACCCAACCTCCCCCACGTCGTTAAAAATGTCTTCTTTTTCTCGATGATCATGATTTCATAAATAAAGCTTTTCTTTTATTCTGATCATTTATTTATTGATTATGATACTTTCATGTTTTATAAATCTCTTAATCATTGTGTGCACATATTTACCACATTTGGAAATTGTACCTTTTCTTTCTAAAAATCGGTTATTTTTCTTTTTATAATAAGCAATTTGGATACTTTGTATGCTTGACACCGAGCATATATACAATAAATAAGGGCTGTTTGCTAATCACTCATCATACTAAATCAATTATGACACCTGTTACAATTGATAAGCCATCGTTGTATAAACACACACTTTTTATGAGCGTAGTCCAGCCATCATAATAGACTGCATATATAAGTTTTACATACGACGTGTATAAACATGCTTTTTATAAAATTCTCACAAATCGCTTACATTGATTCAAATTTAGATAAATAAAGAACCATTTAAGTATTTTTCATACGTTAATCATTGGCTCCTTGACAGAAGTGAATATACAGCGGTTAGAAGCTGGGTGCAATGAAAAGCTTATGGCTAAATTTTAGATGATGAGTTTCTATTTTTTATCAATCTTATGGTCGAGCTAATACAAACCTGCCAAGTGTAAAGTTAATTTAATAAGGTTTAGTAAATAATGAACATAAATAGGTTTACTGTTTGGATTAAAAAAAATGTCTAATTCCCGCAATGACAATTGATTGCTAAGAGTCATTGTGTTATTCTTCATAATTGACATCATGTCCGTTATTGTTATGAGAGACCTTATTGTTAAGCTACTTGAGAATGAACTGGAAGAATATAAATTGATGTTTTAAAATAGACAAAAGTGAGTATAAAATACCTTGCCTTCAGACGAATCGAGTATTCATTTTTTCTTCACACAAAAAAAAAAAAACAAAAACCATTTTTTAAACATATCCGAAATGAACAATTACATCAATCAACCCAGCATTAAGCCTGTTAACCATCCTCGCCCTGGACAATTTCCTTCTACCCGATAGTTTAGATCTAAATGTTTGTTTAAATAAAACTATTTCATCATTCCACTAAATTGTATCTGCATTTTCTTTTCGGATGACTTTTTTTTTTGAGATGATCAGAGGGGTCTTACTTAATATTATTCGTATGGGTGAGCGTGAAGAAGAAAAAAAAAAGGGGGGGGGGGTTCTATTTTATTAATAATGCAGTTTTATTTTTGAGAAAAAGAGTTGGGGGTGGGGAGATTTAGATGCAGTCCCGTGTAATTTTTTTTTTTTTTATAAAGTAGAAGGGTATCATACAAATGTGTTTTCCTTGGGTTTAGATGGACATGAACAAGCTTACAACTAAGTAACCATTTAAACCGATTAATAATAAAGCAATCAAGACAGCAAATATATTGGATATCAAACTATTAGCATAGAACAATGGTGTAGGCCAGCTATCCATTTCTTCATACACCTTGACTTCTTCTTCTTCTTCAGACAAGCTAGAAGGTGAAGGAGTCTCACTTGTCTTTAAGCTCGCTTGAGGTTTCTTAAGTTCCTTATTCATTTTGCTGAATTGAGGGAAAGAGAGCCAATCAGATTTGGTATTTGAAAATCGACAGCGAGCTACGGTACGATCGATAAAGGACATTTGAGATTGTTCGGTGACTTTAATGGGTTCATTTTCTAAACTCTTGACTTGTACGACCAGATCCAGTTTCATGGCGGATTTTCTGGCTGTGAAATAAACCAACGGTACAACGGCAAAGGGTAATTGGATGCTGAGAGCGACTTGACTACCGACCAACATGCTACTGAGACCTTCTCGTCCGGTGACACAGGCTGCGACCATAGCGGGAATAATTGCTATGGAGCGTGTCAGCACACGACGAATCCATGGCTTTGTGGTCATGCCGAGAAACCCGCTCATGATGACTTGACCTGCCAAAGTGGCTGTTAATGTACTGGATTGACCTGCACATAACAAGGCCAAGGCAAATACAACAGCGGCGGGGGGACCCAAGTATTGCATCAGAAGAGCATGAGCGCTGAATAAATCTTGTACTTGTTGTTGTTGATTGTCAGGACCGTAAAAGAAATTAGCCGAAGCGACAATCAAGATAGCACAATTCACGAAAAAAGCAAAGGAAAGTGCAACAATCAAGTCAATAAACCCGTAATGTAAATTACGTTTTAAGGATTTGTCTAGGTAGGTTGTGAGTCTGTCAAAATTGATACCCGAATGAGGTTCTACATGAACAGTGGTGTGGTTTTTCTCGTTGTCTGTTATGGGTGTAGGTGTTGGTATACGTTCAATGGATTTAATTAACCAAGTGTCATCGGATTGGACAACTCTTGGTCTGTTGTATCTCCATTCACGACATCTTGCTTGTACAATGAAACTATGAAGGTAGAGGTTATGTGGCATAACGGTAGCACCAATGATTCCAATGGCGACATAAAGAATATCGGGTTGAGTGAAAATTTCTTTGGTAGGTAAAAAGCCCTTAAAGACATCTACGGTGACTATATCTGAATAAGATAATTCTATAATGAAACAAATACCGACGGCTGCTACCAACATCATGACAAAGACTTCGAAACAACGCACCATTTTCAATGAGGCACTATCGGAGTTTGGGTTTTCAGGGTCATCTGTTTCTTCGGTATAGAACAACAAGATGATGAAGACGTCAGCGGCAGTGATGGCTACACCTGCCGGTAAAGGTAAAGAAGGAAAGAGCAAGTTGAGAGCAATAGCGGAACCAATGACTTCCGCAATATCCGTGGCGATAATGGCTATTTCTGCCAACACGTACAGGAACAAATTTAGCCAACGGGGAAAGAATTTTTTGGAAGCAGAGGCAAGATCTAAACCTGAAACTGTGCCAAGTCGAATCGTTAAATTTTGTAAAAACACCGCAATCACATTCGAGATTAAAATGATGAATAAAAGTCGGTAACCATAGGAAGATCCACCTTCCATATCTGTTGCCCAATTACCCGGATCCAAACTACAATTTTTAAATTATTATATAGTAGTGAGAAAATGATGTCCCTCCCTTCTTTTTTTTTTTTTTTTCTTCCAGCATGTCTTTAACAGGTTACTTTACTAGCCAACAGCAATCATGAATCCAGGGCCGATAAATTTACCCAATGTCTTAAGGTAAGTCTTTGTCTTTTGAATAACATTCATATATATATATTAATAAATTAAATAGAAGGTAAAGAAAGAAAGAGAGAGAGAGAGAGAGCGAGAGGGACGGAAGAGCAATTCATGAGAATTCTATTCCTGTATCAAACAAGAAGGGAAAAAAGTCACCTTTAACGCTCCGTCTAAAAACTCTATGAAATTTTATATTTTAAAAATACGATCCCTTTCGTCATTTTTCATGCTATCCAAAAAGTCTAATGGGGGCGGGAGGGGAGGGACATTCTTCAGAGGTCTACAATAGCCGGCATCAGAATTATTTTGTCCCATAAATAAAACGCATGTGACATACCGCTTGTAAACAATCTTTACAATCCTGTACACACGGATGCCAGCATGTGCGTTTTTTTTTTTTTTTTTTTTTTTTTTTTTTTTTCGCTCTTCCCGGCTTTATCCTTGAAATATATTTATTTCTCAACATGCATTTTCAAATATTTATTGTCGGTTCGTGAAAAAAAGATTGGAGCTAAACTTTTTGTTTTCCCCAATTACGAAATGATGATTTCAGCTGCCCACTCTTTGTTTGACATTTTCATGTGTATCAGTTGTCGGTGCATTGAACTTTATTAAATCTACAGCAGTAACGATGACAACAGAAATTGACAGATTTCGCCAAAAAAAAAAAAAAAAAAAAAAAAAAAAAAAAATTAAAAAAAGTTCGGTTCCTGGAAATGGATTTTTGTTTCAAATCGAATATTCAACAAGTGCATTTCTTTGGATCTATTAACGAATGCTCGTATTACCATAAGAGTACCCGTTACTGCAGTGGACAAGCATGGCAAAATGAGTTGTACAAACTGGGAAGTGGTCTTTTAAAAGAGAAATCCACTCGTGGCAGACCTAATATAGAAACGATCGCCTCTGTTGAATATATATATATATATAAAAAGAGAGAGAGAGAGAGAGAGAGAGATACAACCAAAAGCGACATGTTATTTATTTGATGGAGGGAAAGGGGGGGGGGGGAAATGGGAGGGACAAAAATTAACCAGCCGCACTGTAATGGGAGGGAGGGGGGGGGGGGATAGATATGTTTAAAGAATGAGACAGCTGTTCTTCTTCTTGGTTCTCACTGGAGGAGAAAGCACAGCTCTGATGGCTTCATCAAAGACGTTTTTGAGCCCCTTTTGAGTAAGGGCCGAACACTCGAGGTATTTGACCGAGCCAATGTCTTTGGCCATGACGAGGCCTTGAGCATAAGAAATAGGTGCCATTCGCTTTTCACGTAATCTCTCTATTGTGTCTCGATCCTCACGTAAATCAAGTTTGGTGCCGACCAAGATAATGGGTATGTTGGGTGCGTGATGACTGATCTCGGGGTACCACTAAACAGAAAGAAAAAAAAAACAAGATGAGTTACCTCCATCACGTTTTTTGTTTTGTTTTTTTGTATAACCTTACCTTGGTTTTAACGTTTTCAAACGAAGGAGGACTGATGAGTGAAAAACAACACAAAAAGACGTCTGTTTGAGGGTAAGAAAGGGGACGAAGACGGTCATAATCTTCTTGTCCTGCTGTATCCCATAACCCTAAATTAATAGGTTTACCATCCACCATGACATTGGCTGAGTAATTATCGAACCTATTTCAATATTATTATTTTTTTAGTTGTCTTTTTTTGTCTTGTCTCTCTCTCTCTCTTTTATTAATTTACACTGTTGGAATATATTCTCCCGGAAACGCATTGGTCGTATAAGAAATCAATAGACAGGTTTTACCCACAGCACTGTCAAATACAAGTTAATGCCAGCTTTTCTTTTTCTTTTGTATATATATATATGCTTCTTTTTTGTCAGTTACCCATCACCAACTACAACACATTTAATAGATTGCATTTCAAAAAAAGATTAAAGGGAAAAAATAAAAAAAAGGGTATAAGAAAAATTAAATTGTCTTTTTTCTGAATAAAAACACGTGAAAAAAAAAAAAAAAAAAAAAAAAAAAAAAAAGTGAGAATGATGACGTTTTTTTTTTTTTTTTTTTTTTTTAAACTTTTTTTTATGTATAATCTCTCACTCTCACTGTCTCTCTCTCTCCACGAGGGGCAAAAATGCTTGCAATAAGCGGGACTATTTTTATGCGGGTCTTTTTTTTTTTTCTTTTTTTAAAGGAGCGATATAAAACCCAAACAAAAAACGTGCTTCAAACTTTTCCCTTGTTCTTTCCCCGTACTCTTTTTTTTTTTTTTTCATAAAAAAAAACATGGCAGGCTCGGAATTACGTGCACGTAATAAAAAGAAGGTGGAAACACCTGTCGCTGCCTCCATTCGCGACATGAAGGATATCAGGTAAGAAAAGAAGAGAGAATAATATAAAAAAGAAAAGAAAAGATTATCTTATAAATAGAATATAGAGAGGCACAAGCTTTACTTAGTGAGTCCGGAACTGTCACTTTGTCACTCATGTCTGCTTTCCGAATCTTATTCATCATGCGTTGTTTTTCCGCTTTATACCGTCTTGTCGATGACTGTGATGAGGTCTACAATTATTGGGAACCCACTCACTATTTATTACAAGGATATGGACGTGAAACATGGGAATATTCAACCGATTATAAAATTAGAAGCTGGGCATTTATCTTTGTCAATGCACTTGTCGGTTTAGTTACCAAGGTCATCACCTCCACCAAGGTAAAAGAAAAAAAAATAATAATTAAAAAGTGTGTGTGTGTGTGTGTGCACACAATACCATTCACAAGAAACTCATACAATGAGTATAGCTCCAAACTTTTTATCTCATTCGTATGGCCCTTGGTGCTGCATGTTCCTATGTCGAGGCAAGATTCTATCGTACCGTCACTGAAGAAATTAACCCTCATGTAGGCCGTTATATCTTTGCCATCTTGTTTTTCGGTGCTGGTATGTTTAATGCATCCACAGGTAAGTGAGATTTTAAGGGCGCTCCCCCCGCAAAATGCATTGCATTATATTATTATTATTATTATAATTTTAGCTGACAATGGATCTCTACTAGCCTATTTGCCTTCTACGTTTGCCATGTATTGTGTATTTATGGCATTCTCATATGCTTTGAAACCCGTATCGGATATTGACAGAACACGTACATACAAGGTAGTATTTTGGATTGGGTTAGGTGCATTGGGTGGATGGCCCTTTGCGGCTTTGGTGGGTCTTCCTTTTGCCGCTGAAGAGATTTTGATCTTTGGTCGTGACACCATGACAAAGGAAGACGGCACAGTTGTCCGATCCCTTGCCGTTCCCAATTGGCGTTGGAAGCGACTTTTACGTTTAGTAGAGGCTACTTTGATTTGTGGTGCCGGTATCACCTTCATGCTCGTCTTGATGGATCAAATGTTTTACCGCCAATATACCATTGTTGCTTGGAACATTATCAAGTATAATATCTTTGCCGGCACCGAAGGTCGTGGACCCGAATTATACGGTACCGAACCTTGGTACTATTATATCTTGAACGGTATCTTGAACTTTAACATTGTCTTTCTCTTGGCGATGGGTTCCGGTGTATGTGTGGCTATCACTGCCTTTATCGATCGTAGTCGTGTTCCCGGTACCACGAAATTGGATGCAGTTTGGCCTTATGTTGTTTTGGGTTTAAAGCTCGTGCCTTTTTATATCTGGTTTCTTGTGTTCTCTCTTCAAGCCCATAAGGAAGAACGATTCATGTATGTTGCTTATCCTTTGCTTGCATTGAATGCTGGTATCTCTATCTTCTTGATCCGTTCTTGGGCTAGTCGATTGGCTGGTAAGTTGGGTGCGAGTGCTGCTACGCGTGTCCTTGTGTTACGTTATACTTCTTTGGCTATCCTGGCTGTGTATGCCTTATTATCTTTCTCTCGTATTATTGCTCTCTTAACGTATTATCGTGCCCCCTTTGTGGTCTACAGTTCTCTCTGGCGTGAACAAGCTCCCGATCAACTGATGAACCGAAACTATCTTCAAGAAGAATTTCCCGAGAATACCAATTTGACCCTCAAGAATGTCTGTGTGGGTAAAGAATGGCACCGATTCCCATCTCAGTTCTTTTTACCTAGCGATACACGTATTCAATTTTTAAAGAGCGAATTCAAGGGACAATTACCTCAGACATTTGAAGAGGATATCAAGATTAGCACTTACAGGGATGTCGAAGGCAAAGAGGTAGCCTATCGTAAACGTGTCTATGGATGGTACGGTGCACGTCAAGCCCCCGCAGGGTTCAATGATTTGAATTTGGAAAACCCCACAGTGTATGTCAACGAAGATGAATGTGATTATTTAGTGGATTTGGATCTTCCCTTGCATTCAGCTTCTGAACTTGAACCTCGCTATATTCGAGATACCGAGCATTGGCAAGTCTTGTCGTGTTATCCTTACTTGGATGCTCAAAACTCACATCGCTTGTCCAGAGCATTTTGGGTACCCGGTAGCCCTCAATTACAATGGGGTGAATATTGTATGATGAAACGTAGAACTGCTTAGATTTTTAATAATAAAATAAAAACAATAAAAATATCGTGTGTACATATATATATATAAATATATAAAAAGAGAGAGAGAGAGAGAGGTCTTTTATTGGGTGATGGGCGTCATACCGCCTCGATATTTACCAAATGTAAGTCCTAGACCAGATGAAGAAGAGGCGGATGAAACTCGCCTGCTAATATCGGGTCGATTATTAACCTCTTCTTCTTCGTCTTCTTCCTCTTCCTCCTCCTCAGAGGCTGGGTATGGTATAGTAGTAGTAGTAGTGTTAGTGGTGGTAGGTGGTATATAATTACTTGATAATCCGTTGACAATCAAAGTATGTCCTGTAGAGAGTGAGACAGTAGGTGTAACAGAACTGGTGGCATGAGGTAATAAAGAGGTGGAATAAGACGGTTGTTTACTCATCCTCATACTAGGTTGAGAGAGACGATGATGATTACTGTTGGATTGAATATGATTGGGAGAAGAAGGATGATATGACACGGGTCGACTGGGTTTAGAGACCGCAGGTGTAAGTGATGATTTACGTCGACTATTGGAGAAGGAGATGGATAATTTTCGAATGGATTGTCGTAAACGATCCATCATAGTGACAGATTCAGTGATTTCTAGATCACTAGCGACTTGAATATTTAAATAATGATGTGGATCTGTCTGTAGAATCCAATCTTGGGAATTATCTAAGCCTCGAATCACCCAAGGATGACGCTACACATATAAAAAGAAAAGGGGATTTTTTTTTTTTAGTTTTAATGCTAAAATAAACCCCATGACGTGTGTGTTACCTTGACAGCGTCCAATGTAATCCGGTCATCTGGATTCTTTGTCAATAATTTGTGTAATAAATCCTTTAGATCCTCGGTGATTTCAAAGTCCTTTTTGGGAAAGGTCAGTGGTTGCGAAGGTATTGTATCGAATAATTCGAATTCTGTAGCGGCAATAAAGGGACATACACCAAATACAAAGCAATAGAGAGTAACACCTAAAGCCCAGACATCAATAGCTTTAGAAATACGGGGTCTCTTTATTGCATCACCACCTGCACAGCATAATTCGGGTGCAAAGAAAGCAGGTGTTCCAGCAGTTTCTGCTAATTCTCGTTCTATTTTTAAAAACACCCGATCGTTAGGGTGAATCATCTCCCCTCCTCCTCCATTATTCTGTGCTAACAATTCATTGTAATAGGACACACCAAAGTCTGAAATCTTTGCTACTCCATCATGCGATAATAGTAAGTTGGCGGGTTTAATATCTCTGTGTATAATGCCTTGATAATGGACTATGGTAAGGGCTCATTAGTAAAGCTAAAAAAAAAAAAAAATCCGACATACACACACACATATAGATTCTCTCTCTCTTTTTTATTAGCACTTACGGTAATCCAGTCCATTCACTATATCTCTAAATATCCTTCTTGCTTCATCAATGGTCATGACGGGTGCATCGTATTCATCTCTCCACTCGATTTCACCCGTCTCGGTATATTCCAGCACCAAGTAAATTTTTCTACTGGTGGGGTCGTCTATCACTTCACGTAACTTTACTACGTTTGGGTGACAACATTTCTTTAATATAGCTATTTCACGTCTAATCTTATTTTCGTTTTCTTTTGATGCATGTAATTGTTGTTGTTGACTTCCCCTTAATAAACTGTACCCCATTTGTCTTCTTCTGTTCTTCTTGTCTACTATTTTAATAGCCTATTCCCAGAAAGAAAGAAAGAAAGAAAGGTGAGTTTGTTGTATTTTAGAAAAAGGGGGAAACCGATGCTTACCACGAGATCGCCAGTGATTGTATCTTGAGCAAGCTTGACTTTGCCATGCACACCTCTGCCAATCTCTCTTATAATTACGAAATTATTTAATATTTTATTTCCTGAATGAGGGTCATAGTCCTTAACAGCCAAGCATGTCATGACTACCTCAGATGATGAGGGGAATTTACTTTGCATTAGAGGGAGAGTTGTAAGTACAAAAAGAAAGAAATAAAAGCTGCGATATACAGAAACAATTTTCTTTTTTTTTTTTTTTTTTTAAAGCAGGTGTAAATTTTAATATTGTGTGTAACGTAAACTATTCCCAAATAAGATGAGAGAGAGAGGGAGAAAGAGACAGACAATGAAAACGCAATTGTTAAATAGTGTAGTTAAATAAGGGAAAGGTTCTTTGATGAGTACATCCTACAAGTGTTGCAAGGATGAGTCTTTTTTAGTGGGAGACCATACTGAATAATGACGGATATGGTTCATCTCCCATGGATCAATAAATTCACTAATTTATCTTTTTTATATATGTTTGTGTAAATTAAACTTTTTTTTTTTTCAGAATTGCCAACAATAGCATATTGTACACATGTCAAACTTTAAAAAAAAAAAAAAAGGTTATTATTTGCTTCATTTTACTGAGGATTGCCCTCGCAAAACAGATGAAACTTTGTGAGAGAGAAAGGTCTCTCTCTTTTCCTTGGTAACTGTTGTGATGGGAGATGAGGAATGTTGTTGCTGATGCTTATTCATCATTTTACCTTATTTCAACTTGTAAAAATATTCTAAAATCTATCTCCCTTCTTTTTCTTGCCACCACACAAAACCCTTCTCCTCCTACGAAAACACTTTATCATTTATCAGGAAAATACATACAAAAAAAAAAAAAAAAAAAAAAAAAGCGGCGAAACGTATAAAAAAAAAAAAAAAGAAAACAAAGAAGTATTCAGTTGATTTCTAAAGGCAAGTATAAAACCCAATCAACTTCATTTTATTTTTTTATTATTTATTTATTTTATATTTTTTTTTTTTTACCTTTTTTTTTTTTCTCTCTCTGCAAAACCCTCTTTTTTTTTTTCATCATTGTAATACATAAGATGAGGTGGCTTTATCCATTCTTATTTGGTACACTTATTTCAAGCGCGTATGGATCTTTACTAGTGATTGTAATAAAATCAACAATATACAAAAAAAAAAATCCCCGAGAAAGTAATTTAACTTTGTTAGGCAACCAACGAAACCTATGCAGACCGCATTGCATCTTTTGGACCCCGATTAACAGAGAATGGCAAAGTGGGTTACCTTGTTGAACCCACTGCGGATCCGACGGGTTGTAAAAAAGTAGAGGCCCCCTGTCTTGATTGGGTTGCACTTGTCAGACGAGGTGGTTGTTCCTTTATTACCAAAGTACGTAATATGCAACAGTCCGGTGCTATTGCCATAGCCGTGGGGGATCCTGATCATCAGTCAGGCTGGATTACTATGTATGCTCCAGGTGATACTTCGGATATCACCATACCAAGTATCTTTCTAGCCAAGAGTGAATACAAAGCACTACTCTATCTATCTAAAGTAGTTGATACACCCATGATGATCCTACTGCAACTCGACGACTTCATTACATGGTAACTATGATAGTATATAAGCTATAAATATATACTAAATTCACAAGAATTTTTCAACAGGCCATTGCTCGATATTCTCATGATCATTTTTGTTTCGCCCAGTGTCATGATGATTTTTATTTACATTTCCTGGAGACTGCGACAAAAGAATCGTTTGAAACAACAAGTGGCTCCTGTGGATGTTGTCTCCAAATTAAGCACCAAACGATTCAGTCTGGAGAAATTACTAGAGAATGAGGCAGAGGAGTGTGCCATTTGTTTAGAGGATTATATTAATGGCGAGAACTTACGAGTTTTACCTTGTCGACATGATTTTCATGCCTTTTGTGTAGATGCCTGGTTAACCACACAGAAAAAATTCGTGAGTCCCCCTCCTTTTTTACTTTCTTATTTTTTAACCCTTTCTTTTTTATATATATATGATTATAGTGCCCAATTTGTAAACGAGATATTACTTGTAATCCCTGCTAAAAAAATAATAATCCCATAAAAATCATGTTCTCCTGTACATAGCATATCAATCATTTAAACTAACTACCCGAAAATAAAGCCTCACTACTTTTTTTATTGTATTAATTGTCTGTTAAAATGGAGTCTGTTTATCCTTTCTTATTGTTTTTTTTTTTCTTTTTGGCTGTATTCAAAACAATGGGTTTAATCCTCATCCCATAACACAACAACAATAACATATAAATTTATTAGCCTTTAGTAAAATGTCACCTTAAAAAGCTTCCATGTTCATCTGTTATATAAAAACAACGCACCCGAATCTATTGAGGGATTTAGACTGAATAATAATTTTCATGCGCTTTATTATTATTCTGATTGGAGCCTACAAAAAAAAAAAAAAAAAAAAAAAAAAAAAAAAAAAAAAAAGAAAGCAACTATCTATTTACGGGTTTAAAATAAAACATTCAGTGTACTTTTAAGACGCATTTACAGACGCACACATTATAGGGCAGACAGAGAAGGTTCTTTTTTTTCTCTCTGTGTGTCTGTGTACACGTATGGAACGATTGTCTACATGGATATAAATGTAGTACCTTATTGCATGATGAAACTGTGATTAAACTCACGTGATTTTTTTTTTTTTCCCTTTTCTTGCATGTAATTTTCTGTCTTAAGGAGGAGGAGTACATAAATAAGAAGTAAGAGACAACAGCTGAGAAAAAGAAAGTCCCCCCTTTACTCTCATATATTATGCCCAGTAAAATGGCATCATTTATTTTGAAAAAAGGACACGAGGATCGCTGCCCTCTTTAAAATAAAATCACATTTTGTACATCATTTGATTACAGGGTTCTTGTTCGCATGCAAAACACTTTTTGTGGCCCTCATGAAATCGGCAATTCTTCTTTGTCACACGACAGGTTGAATAAATGACAATTTATGCAAAAAAAAAAAAATTATAATCACCCCCCTTTCTAAACCTTTACGTGTCAGGGTTGGTTGGTTTTAGTCAATCATAGCTCTGTACTCAATCAGTTCTTTATTAAAATATCATAAATAGATCACACAAAATAATGGCCCGTCTTATTCTTGTCAATGCTAATAATAATGTACCATTTTATTCATGCCACGTAGTAACCCCCCAATAATTAATAAAGCTACTGTAACAGCAGCTATTTTAAGTTTTTTTTTTCTTTTTTTTTGAAGACTAAATGCCACTGAAAAAAAACTGTTTATACGGCTGCAAAAATTTACATTCTATTGTGATAGGCCCAATCCACATTAGATAATAAAGTAATCATTAGGCTAAAAAAAAAAAAAAAAGTGATTATGTCCTTTACAATCAGATTTAGAATGTGTAATGATACCAATTATAATAATCCCTAAATGATTAGAAGCTTTTTATTTAGTCAGGTACCTTTTTTCAGAGACAGCATCTGAAACAGTGCCTATAGCATGAACAGGGCTTGTTTCATATTATATCAGTCAGAGACAATTTAAATGTCAATCGCTAATTTCGGCAGATAGTTGGAGAGATGTCTGTTTACAGCCAGTTTTAAAGCACTACTCAATACATGTCCTTTATAAATAAAACATGGACTTTCTTGTTTGTTTCAGCTGGAGATAATAATCTCGGTTTTACACTTGATTAAAACATTATTCTGCAAAGACATTTTTTTTTATAAGTAGAATCAAGTCTTTCTTTCATCCCGCTACTTATAATAAGTGAATGCCGCCGCCGCCGCCGCCGCCGCCGCCGCCGCCGCCAAAAAAAAAAAAAAAGGTTTAGTAGGGCGGGTGTACGTGGAAAGTGGTGCACCAACAGATTTTTGTAATGTAATGATGTAAAATAAAAGTGTAGGGAGACCCGTTGTACAATGCAATTTCATTTTGTAATAATAACCTATTTCTACTTTATGACTGGGTGGTTTTATTTAGCTTTTTACAAAATATTTTGTTTCCAGTGTAAAAAAGCCTGTATATATATTTACAAACTATGATTTATACAAGACGTCTTTGTTCCCAACTAATATTAAGGATGAAATATTTTCAATTTGCCATAATAGTTGAGATTATTTATTTGGGGGGTGGGGTGGGTGGAACCTTATTTGCCCGATTTTTTTTTTTTTTTTTTTTTTAGTGTTTCGACGCGTTCTCAATTTAAAGTGTGTTCCAAAACCAAAACTGAGCTCCATTTGAAAAAAAAAAAAAAAAAAAAAAAAAAGTGTAATTGTGCAGATAGATGATACGGGGTACTCAAAATAGTGGCATTTTTTTTTTTTTTTTTGTAAGCCAGACTTTTTTTACTAAAAAAAGAGATTTTCCCCTTTTCATTTTTGACCCTTTTCTTTTATGGGGGGATCCCATTAAGTGGTGCCACTTTATTTATTTTTTCACCGCCCGGTCGGTCCAAATAAAATGTGAAGTACGAATTTAAGAAGCCCAATTTTTAAAAACTCTAATACATATTTTGACTGTATCACCGAGATGAGAGGAGAGGCTATTTTCTTTGTTTCAATTAAAATAACATTGATGACAAACAAAACTTTTTTTTGTCCCCCAAAAACAAAGAATAAATAGAAAACGTCAGATGAACGCCCGCCCCCCCCCCCCCTTTCCTTTTTGTTATGAAAGCATGACTTTTTTCTTTTTCATTGGTCAACGTGTGATTTGGCAATTTTTTTTTTTTTACATCAGCATCTCCTTTTTGAGTTCTCACGAATACATTACAATCAAGATTGGTGCGCAATCATTTAATCCCAAGCGTTCTAGACACACAATCAATGAATTAACTATTCTACCCCTTGGAGGTTTTTTTCTAAAAAAAAAAAAAAAAAAAAAAAAAAAAAAAGTAAGAGCTTTCCCTCCTTCACAAAGGTGCCGCAATGATTAGAAAGAATCCCCGATTGACATTTGGGTCTCGTGGCTACCACCACCACCGAATATCCGAGTTCTATTTCTACCCCAAATCTCGATTCATTTACAGCCTACAAATAGCAATTCCAATACGACAAACCACTCTTAAGCCTCGGGTCTTACAAGAGTTGCTGTAATTATTAATATTAAACAGTACTCCATTCAATTTTGGGTTAGCATTTTAACTTGTAAAGATGATCTACTATGTCATTTCACATACATCTGTAATCAATACAACAGCTTACATTTCCCCCACCTCAACGTTAGTTCTATATGTACATCTCCATCGCTTACTAATAAAAGATTGTATAAATACAATTCTGTAATGACAGCACAAGAGTTTTTTATTTATTATTTATCATTTACTATAAAAGATTCTATCTGCAAGTATGCAGCAGTCCTAATGCATTTTGATAAAGATAACTTTGTAAAGAAAAAAAAAAAAAAAAGATATGCATTTTGGTAATAGCATGAATCAAACATGGGCGTTACAATGAACAAATGATGGACAGCCATGAACTGATAATATTATCAGTCGTGTATGAATGGACATGACTCAGCATAGTAGTTTCTATATATAAAAGTGGTGGGTAGAGAAGGTCTAGTTCTGCTTCCCCTTCCAACAGAACGGGGGAAACAATAAAGAAGGACAGATCTTTTTTTGACAAATATGGCTTTGACGGATGCCACACTTTCCCCCCCCCCAAATTTTTTAATGGTGCGACCGAGTTCTCATATGTTTATGAAAAAAAAAGTTGTAATTAGTGGAACTGGCATTTTATCATCAAAAAAAAAAAAGGGGGGGGGGTTACGGACACACGTAATTGTTTTTTTTTTCTTTTTTTTCGTTACACTTTGGGAAATGCACAGCCCAAAAATCATTAATATAAATATAGATTAAATTTTTTTTTTTTTTTTTTTTTTAACGGAAAAATGGAAAGTGTCACCGCGATTTCGGGTTCTACTAAAATAAAAAAAACTAAAAACAGGTTTTATCTGGAACAAAGGGGGGGGGGGTGCACCGCAGAAAATGAAAAAAAAAAAAAATAGAAATCGATCGGGAGAGAGAAAAAAAAAAATGTGAGGGATTTCTTATGTTTCTTAATAGATCACGCTAGTTGATCTCTTATTTCATTGTTGTGTGTCATCACTTTCCCAAAGGAAAATACGTTCTCAAAAAGAGAATTCGTTTCGAGATGAAATACGTTTCAAAAAGGAAACATGGACTATTAAACACCTTTCCCATTTTTACTATTTTGCCACGCTGACTGTTGTTATTATTATTTTTTCATTTTTATTATTAATAAAAAGGGGGGGGTTGGCGTCACTTTGCGGGTAGTGTAAGGCAAAGGACACCGGTGGATTCCAAAGGTAGCAAGCCAGAGCTTTGGATTCCAGGCGGAAAAAATTAGATTAACAACGTGAGGAACAATGTTCCTCATTATAGTTGTTAAACTATAAAGAACAGATACTACACTTGATCTTAGCCAAAAGGCCTGAGAGGATAAAGATTAAAAAAGTTTCTGCCTTTTTCCTTCCTTTTTATACCTTTTTTTTTTTTTCCTCTTCTCATTTTTTTAAACGGAGTTTGAATGTGACTACTTTCTTCTAAAATTTCTTTCTTTTCGTTTCGAACGGTTTCCAACGTGTCTTGGTGCACTGCGCCACCACGTCTTTTGGCCCGTCTTTTTGAAAAAAAAAGGGGGGGGGGGCAGCCTTTTTTTGTGTGCGAAACAGTGAAATGATTGTTACGTAATTAAATGTAAAAAAAAAATATCGACTTGTAAAGGGAGTTAGTTCTAAAACAAGGGATACACGAATGTCCTAAGCAGAAATAAACGAACGCTCTATTTTGGAGCGTCCCTAAATTCACAGTTTTCCTGCGCAGCACACTACCAACTCTGTTTTTTTGAAGCAAAAAAAAAAGTGACGCCTTTCGTGACTTTTAAAAACTTTTTTTTTTTTTTTTTTTTTCATTGACATTGACATTGATAATTTTAATTTTTTTTTTTTTGCAAGAACACTTGTTATACGACCCCATTATGAGCTCAACGTAAATGCATAAACTAAAGAAAAAATAAAAAAAAAAAGAAAAAGAGAAAGAAAAAGAGAAAAATAAAAAAAAACAAAGCCAGAAAAGCTAACACCCCCTTTCGCAGTTATCCTTCCGGGTTTAAGCCTGCACTTTCAGCATATCCTTCCGTCTTTGACAAGGAAGCACTTTTAGACGACGACAAGGAGCTTTGGTTGATTCGTATTCCCGACAATGTAAAAAAATAATAATAATAATTACCTTGGTTTCTATCAGCGAAACGAACATTGACACCCCTATTTGTATATTGAAAATAGGTTGAAGAAGCAGATCTCGCCAACTTAAAATTAAAAGCACCTTCCAGTAGTAAAGCAAAGGAGAAGGCTTTAGCAAAGCTCGAAAAGGGAAACGACAAATTCGCATTGTACAAGGTACCCACTGGCAATGAGGATACTATGGAAGAGACTGAGGAACCCATTGATTTAGGCATCAGTGGACATGAAATGCTTGCATTTGACTGTCTCGTTCCTTCTCGTCAAGACAACGGCAAGCTCGTCTTTGGTAAGCCCCATGTATTTAATAAAAAGGGAAAGAGAAATGTTGCTAAAACAATAAAAAGCCCCCAAGCAGTTTGAGCAGTACTTGATTTTGAACCAAGTGGTGGATATTCCTGATTCTACAGCCTATGCACAAGCTGTACTTGAGACACCAGTGTACAAGAGAGATCAACCTGAGGGACTCAAGATGCGATTCAAGCCTTATGGATATTACTCTGGTAAACATTTTCTTGTCATAATACTTTTTTTTAATGTTGATTTGTTGACTGACCCAGAAATTGATGATAGGTCAAGTGGTAAAGGACACCGAGGTCAAGGTGGAAGAAGAGGACGTTAAATTAGACGATGTAAAGAGAAAGAGAGTGACTGAGGAAGATGATACAGTGGTTGAAAAGAAAAAGGCAAAGAAGGAGAAAAAGGAAAAGAAGGAAAAGAAGGAAAAGAAGGAGAAAAAGGTCAAGAAGGAATAAAAGCATAAATCTAGAGATTACACTTACGCACACACATACACACGCGCACACGCACACTCACACTCACACACGCACACTCACACTCACACACGCACACTCACACTCACACTCGCACACACACACACATATATATTTTTTTGTCAAATACACAATACTTTTTTTTAAAAAAAAAAAAAAAAAAAAAAAAAAAAAAAAAAAAATTCACCCAAAATAGGTTGTCCACGTCACCTCTGTTGTACTTTTTAAGGAATTTGTAAAAAAAAAAAAAAAAAAAAAAAACTTTAATTATTATTTATCTTTCTCTCTCTTATAATCACTACTTATAAAATGTCGAGTACTATTAATGTGAATATTAAATCCTCCAGTGATAAAAAGTTCATCATTGCGATTGAAACAGACAAGACGGTATCTGACTTGAAGTCAGCTATTGCTGAACAGACGCAAGTTCCTGCAGAACGACAACGTCTCATCTACTCTGGTCGTGTCTTGAAAGACGGCGACACTTTAGCTGATTGCAAGATTGCCGACGGCAATACAGTTCACATGGTGAAAGGCTCTCAACCTGGTGCTCCTAAGCGTAAGTCTCTTTCTTTTTCTTTTTTTTTTTTGCATCCGTATATAACTGACACACTCTTTTTTTTTTTACTCATTAACAGCAGCAGCAGCAGCAGCAGCAGCGACAACAACAACACCTACTACACCCACCACACCTTCCTCCACAACCACCAATGCCTCTGACACCACAGCGTTCCCAGGTATGCCCGATACACAAAGCAACCCGTTCAGTATGTTTGGCTCCGGTTTTGGTGCAGGTGGTATGGGTAACAGTTTTGGTGGTATGGATCCCAACATGACCAACCAAATGTTGCAGAACCCCATGTTTGCTCAATACATGTCTACTGTACTTCAAAACCCTGCTGTCTTGGACAACATCATTCAAACCAACCCTCAATTGGCTGGTATGGGTCCCGAGATTCGTGGTATGATGCAGTCACCTGAATTCAGACAGATGCTTTCCAATCCAGACATGATTCGTCAAATGGCTACTATGGCTTCTGCTGCTGGTGCTGGTGGTGGTATGAACCCTTTTGCCGCTATGGGTGGTCAGAATGATCAGCAACAACAGCAACAACAACAGAATCCTTTTGCTAGTTTTGGTAATCCTGCAGTGGATCCTCAATTGCAACAACGTATGGCTTCTCTCTTTGGTGGTGCTGGTATGGGAGCACCTGCTGCACCTGCAGATACACGTTCTCCTGAAGAACGTTTCCAAGTTCAATTACAACAATTAAATGAAATGGGATTCTGGGACGCTGCCAAGAATATCCGTGCTCTTTTAGCCACTGGTGGTAATGTGAATGCAGCGATTGAAATGCTCTTTAGCGGCAACCTTTAAAAAAAAAGAAAAATCCATCATCCCCATCTACTATGTATACACACACACACACACACAAAAAAAAAAAAACTTTTTTTTCTTTCTTTCTTTTAAATAATAATAATAACACTGTTTCAACTGGTACGAAATAAATAGGCCAATAAAGCTCTAAATTGTTGAAATGCCACCTCGACTTCTTGAGGCACGCCTTTGGATGATGTAGGTTCAGTGGAGGTAGAGATGGGACCATAGACATCGGGTCTCTTGGGTAACAGAAATTCGATATTGCGCATACCACCTCCCCCCATACTCTCAGCACGATCCAGACCTTCGTTCTGCACGCGTTTACCACTACGTGAATTCTCACTAAGAAAGCCCTTGATACATTTCATGACCACCTCACCTCGTTTCTGAAGCCAAGCACTATCGTGTTTCTCATTGAAGCCGTCGGGTAAAAAGAGCAAGGGGATGGAGATGCTGGATATATCGAATTGTGTGGTCATTTTGGAGACATTACGTAGACCTATCATGAGAGGGTGGCGATTAGACAAGTCGGTGTCCACCACAGCTAAAAAAAAGACAAAAAAGTTAATATACACACACACACATAAAACAGAAGCGAAAAGGAGGAAAGGAGGTTACCTGTACTGTCGATAAAGAGATGAAAGACGACTTGTGTTCTAGGTAAGTTGGAATGCTTTGTGATAAAAAAGGTGCCCTCTGTGATTCGAGTGGGATGAAGACTAAAATCCTGTTCGATTTGAGTGATTTGAGATTCGATATCAGCAAAATGAAATTCTGTGGATTGTTGACAACGCGCGAAAAGGGCCCCATTTGATTTTTTACCGGATTTATAGCCATCCCAGTCCTGTAGATCGATCAAGACAATGGCTGCACTGAGAGAGCTTGTATAGAGCTTTGTTGCAGTTTCAGCACGGTAGGCCATTTCACGCGGTGGATCATAAGGTGGATGAAAAATCTCGGTGGCTTCATCAATGACTAATAAGCGTAAATTATGGGACGATGTGATTTGGGTGGTACCCACTTTGATACTAAAGGATTCAACCAATTGTGGTTGATCCCTTTGTTTATGTGCATCATGATCGATACCAAGATTTTCCATGGCCTTTCCTAACCAACCCCCCAGTTTCTTCATAGAGGAAAGGTTTGTGTTTTCCATGTTTTGCTTTTGTTGTTGCAAGAATGAAATGGGCCAACTCTTGTTATTGGCAGATGAGGAAACAGAAGCAGATGCTGGTGATTTGCTGGTGGTAATATTTAAAAAGGTAGGTGTGGTAGAAAACCTTTGCAGTGAATGACGTCTATCGTTACGTACAGAAGAAGGAGGTGAAGCCATGAGATTGGGTCTGGGCACTTGACTGAGGGAATGTGATCGACGGTAAGGTGTACTCGTACTTGATTTTACAGATAGCCTTTGTTCGGCTATAGAGGCATCTACTTTGGTTGGATTTTCAAGTAATAAACCGATGGCAGCCTCCATATTTCCACCTGATAATAGTAAAGCAGTCTCTGCTTGATCCTTTAAAAATCCCATCTCTTGAATACTTTTTACATGTGCGGATTCGATTGGATCTGATTTGGGTAGAGTACTACTGGCAAGTGATGCAGTTCTTTTTCGATTGGCAGGATGATGTGAATCAATGTGAGTTGAAGGAGGAGGAGGTTCGAAACGACGTACACGACGAGCAGCGGTATCAACGATTTCTTTTCCATCCAACTTTGACAAGGCCAATGCATCATCTTGAAGTTTAAGATCGGGTAGTAAAGTCAGTCTGGATTGATATTCACGGTAGAGTTCAATAACAAATTCTCTATACTCTTGTCGTTGAGTTTGTTGTGTATGTGATATATCTGATTGACAGGCCAACTGAAATGCTTGTATTTCTTCTTCTGTAGCTCCGGCTTCTAATTTCTGCATGAATTCTTCTTCCCCCGACGCCAATAGTTCGCCAATAGCAATAGCATAACTTTGTTCTAGTTCAAGTAGAGTGTCGAAAATAGTGGCGATAGGACAATGAACAAGAGTGTGATATGCACGAGGAAAGATGTCCTATGTTAAAAAAAGGGTCAATAAAGAATTCATCTCCCCTTGTTTTTTTTTTTTGCCCCAAAAGCAAGTTGAGGAGAACTCCCTTACTTCTTCTGGTTTATTATTATATTGAAGTGTATTTGATTGATATGCATCCATAAATAAATGACGCAGCTCCTTTTTAGAAGAAGGGGATAGACCTCCTCCTCCTTCTTTTCTTGTTGTCGAACACGTCATGGCTCTTTGAATGCTGGAATAGATGGACACACTGACATGGGTAGGTAAATGGTATGATTGAACAATGTGTTGTGTAAAGTCTTTTAGGTTTTGACCCTTTTGAATATCAAGTGTAATATTTTGATTGTCTAAACACAATGATGCTTGAAAGGAGCGTGTTGCCTGCATTTCCCGGAAACAAACAACAAAAGGGAACAGCAAAAAAAAAAAAAAATATATAGGGTAAAGTAAAAAAAAATAAGAAAAAGTCTAAAAAAAGGTCACATGACATAAAAGGTTCATTAATGCACTCTGCACTCCCGCCCGCACACAATTTGGATTTGGATTTGAACATCAACAAAATGTTTGCATGACGAACACACGTATGCTCTTAAAAAAAAATTTTTTTTTTGGGTCCTCTTCCCCCCCCCCCTTCTTTTTCATGTATGGAATTGCGGAATTTACTTTTGGGGAGTGTGTTGTCAAAAAGGGGCAGGGCTTGTACAAAAAAAAAAAAAAAAAAAGTTGCATCTCCGACTTTTTTTTTTTTTTTTTTTTTTTATGGAAAAAGAGTATATAAATGCGGATGAAAATAATTTTTTTTTTTTTTTTTTTTTTAAATTAATTTTATCTTTTTCAAAAAAAAAAAAAAAAAAAAAAAAAACCCTATATATATATATACACACATACAATGACAGCTATACAGACGAGCAATGCAAATCAATTAGGAGAGATGTGTGCGATGATTATACCATGTATTTGGGCAGGCAATTTCAAACGACCCTTATTAAGTCCGAAACGTCATGCAGCATTTAAAGTGTTTGTTCAGAAAGTGTTGAAATCAACGCAGATCAGTAGTAGTTGTGTGATATTATCACTGTATTATATTCAACAGTTACGAAGCGCGTATCCTAGTATCAAGGCGTCGATTGGATCTGAAGTGAGATTGTTTACGACAGCATTAATGTTGGCCAACAAGTATTTGGATGATAATACTTTTACAAACAAGACATGGAGTCAAGTGTCAAGTATACCAGTGAATGAATTGAATATTATGGAAATGGAGTTTTTATCCGCACTGAATTACACAATCCATATCCCTCATGCAGTGTATTTTGAATGGCGTAACACATGTCAAGGTTGGTGGAATCATCTTTCGCTTTGTCTTACACCTTTAGTACTTGTACCATCACAAAAGCGGTCTTCATTATGGGAAGAAAGTTCTCCTGTACAAAAGAAATTCTTTCCTTCAGTGGATTACTATATAGATGTAAAACCCATCTTGAGCTGGTCCTCATCTGTATCTGCATTATCTTCTTCTAGATATAATAGTCATTTAGATGTATAAATTAAAATTCAAACATAAATAAAATACCCCCCCCCCCAAACAACACTCACACACTCCCCCCCAACAACAACAACACACATACACAAACACAAACACAACACCCCCCATTTTTGTAAATATAATTATAATATATGATCGACCGGTTCTGGCCTTTTTTCATTCTCCTCCTTAAACAGGATTTTCTTGTCTTCCCCTTCTTTCTTCTCCTCCCCCCTCCGAATCAGCTGAGAATGTTTTACACGTGGATTAAAATGATGAAACAAAAAAAAAAAAAAAAAAAAAACCGGCGTATAAACAATTAAACATTTCCCGCTTTTTTTTTTTTTATCGGTGCCCCTCCCCCCCCCCCCCTTTATATGTAGTGTTACCATTCCTCTGAGAAAAAATATATATTATTTTTAAACTACTAATTCATTTGGGTTTCTAATATAATGCTCTACACGATGAAGGAATGCATTTGCCTTTTGTTCCTTCAAGATATGACCAGGAGCACCACCTTCCAACTTGACTTGAACAGTGGTTGGAATGGGTGTAAAGTTCAATGGCTTTACTTGAGAAGAGAGAGTGATCTTGCGTTCTTGTTGTTTCTTGGGGGATTCTCCGCCGAGATAGCTAATTAAATCCATCATCTCGTCATTCTTTTTAGTTTCCTTTTTCTGCTGGGTCGAATGACTACCGACACTGAGTACATAAGGTTTAGATGTCTGATAAGAATCTGTAATAAAATCATATGTAGGCTCAGCTAAATTAAACACCCTACCAACCAAAAAAAAATTAGTCTTGGCGTAACGTTACACACACATACTACTACTACTACTACTACTTTACTTGAATTGGCCTCCAGTGTATTTTTCGGAAAAGGAGGCGGCGGTGGTACTATAAACAATAGGGTTTTTTACATTACCGCTCTTATTGGCTACAACATCTTGTAAAGCACGTTGGGCTGCCTTGGCAATAAAGTCATTGACACTCACATGAGTACCATTTTGTTCTACCTTACATAAGTATCACTTTCCATATTTAAAACCATTTTTTTTTTTTTTTTTTACCATTCATTGTATGACGTAACCCTAAAAGGTTGTCCACCATCATCTCCTTGCTAATGAAACTAGGAAGCACCTCCTCCTTCTTCTTCTTTTCTTGGACCTTTTCAGTCTAAAAAAAATAAATAAATAAATAAATACATAAATAAATGCGCAAAATATATTCTCCTTTATTATAAACTTACCTTGGCAAAGACGATTTGGTCCCGAGGGGGGGCAATGCTTAATGTAGCCTTAGGTGCTGGTTTGGGCTTGATTAAACCGAGATGAGCTAAAACATCTCCCTTTAAAATACGACCTCCGTTGCCTGATGCCTTGATGCTATCCACGTCCTTGATACCATATTTAAGAACCAAACTGTACACTGCAGGTGACAATGGTTTCTTGAGCTTACTCGTATCAAGATCTTTATGAGAGATAGATGCAACAGGGGCCTCCACTATTCAATAAAAAAATAAAATCTTATTTTAATCCCCATGTACACCCGTAAAAACAACTTTTTCTTCTTCTTTTACCCTTCTTTTCTACAGGCTTCTCTGCAGCAGCATCAGCAGCAGCAGCAGTGTCAGCAGATGCAGTAGGTGCAGAGGCAGGAATCTCAACGGAAGAAATATCATCCCCTTCTTCAGCTAAAAGACCAATCAAGGTATTGACAGGTGCCTTACTTCCATCTTGAAGCTATATATAAAAATGTAAGTTTCTCTCTCCTCCTTTCTCTCTCTCTCTCTCTCCTTTCCCTCTCTTTCTCTTCTTCTTCTCTTTGTAAACCGTACAATGATTTTGGCCAAGATACCATCTTCAGAGGCTTCAACATCGATTTGAGCTTTATCAGTCTCGAGTTCCAAAAGAACATCACCGGCCACAAAGGAATCACCTTCCTTCAACTTCCACTTGTGAATGGTTCCTTCCGTCATGGTAGGACTCATGGCAGGTAAATTAAAACGACTGATGGCTGCACGACTAGCAGAACTATGGAAGCCTTAAATGCCCAGTTTTTTTTAGATTATTAAAATAAAACACACGCCCCTCTCTTCTTTCTCTCTCTGTATAAGCTTACCCATGCTATGACATGTCTGACTGACTTGAGTAATTCGACTGGCAACACGATGCATATTCCTTTTTGACTGTTGAAAAAAGTTGAAAAGGGAGGGAAAAAAAGTAAATAAATAAATAGATGGGGGACGGGATAACTGATAGTAATCACGGGAAAAAAAGAATAAAAAAAAAAAAAAAAGTTGTGACTGGGGGGTAGGGCTCTCTTTTTTTTTTTAATCGATCTTTTCCTTATGTTTTTTACTTTTATGGGGAGACGCCCTCTCACAAATAAAAAAAACTACATTGAAGTTACAAAGAGAGACTGATGTCTATAGAAACATTTTGTTGTTATTGTTCTTTTGGTAAAGAAATAACACGTAGATATTGTCATCGTTTATCCCCCCCCCCCTTTTTTTTTGTTATATACAGGCCTGTATTCTAAGGCAGATCAATGCAGTGGGATGGACACTATGACAGTTTCCCAGAGCTCTATTCGGTTTATCCGTGACAAATTCAAGCTAAATAAATCAATGCCCGGCTGCAAATCAAACACACACACATACACACAAAAGATAGGCTATTCCGCCATGTCTATACAACCTGCCCCATTTGATCACGTAAGCACACTGAAAGATGTCTGTTTACTCCAAGTCTTTTTTTTTTTTTTAAAAAAAAAAGACAGTGATAAATTTTGAAGCAACAATCACTCAGACAATGTTCTCATAAATTGTATGCTCTGTAAAAGGAAGGATCCTATTTATTATATCTAAACATGACACCATTCCCCCGCTGTTCCATAAATCCTATCAATTTCTCATTTTTAGCATTAAAACGATCTCGACCTTATGCATGTATATTAACACGGATGTTCTAGACATAAAAGATTATTTTTTTTACAATGCGTTGCCAACATCAGTAATATTCTAGCCTGGCATCAGCAGGCTTTTTTGTTTCTTTTCTTTTCTTTTTTTTGCAACAGTGTCCTTCATATAAGCTGGGACACGACTGACATCCTTGGTTCTACAGGCGGTAATCCGTTCAATATATATTTCACCAAGGAGATAACAAAGTTAATAAAAAAAACAGTCTTGTTGAGACGTCATTGGTCCCATACTGATGGCCTAAATTTCGACTGTGAGTGGAGAATCTATATGATGCATGATTCACGCTTTTTTTTTTTTGGAGTAGTACGTGTGACTGCGTTGAAGACGACTATAAAAAAAGCAAGGATTTTTATTGATGTTCCCACACCTCTTTTCCTTTCTTTACAACACACTTTTGCTTACTTTTGTTTCAATTCTTTAGCAGGATAAAATACTTGCTTGGCTCTAAAGTGTAAGGTGATGTATTTTCAGGACGACTCAACACAAAGTATCAGCTAAACTTGGCCAAAGTGGGAACTCTCAAAATCACTATTTTTCATGTGTAAAGAAGCATTCACCCGATATTCCCACCTTGTCTGTAAATAATCGTATCCATAGTAACCGTCCGTAATTAACTCCCGGGAACTGGGTTAATAGAACTCAAGCTGTGATGTACACTTGAATTGGACCAAAAAAAAAAAAAAAAGTGCCTTGTTTACCTTGACACTTGTCAAAAAAACTTTTGCAGTATCTTGCATGGGGCAGAAAATGCTTGTAGCACGCTTTTAGAGATATGTAAAACTTAAAAAATCAAACATATAATGGAAGATGGTTTTTTTTTTTTCATTATTAGGTTGGCATGGGATACTTACTTGTTTATATCCGCACTTTTTTTTAAAAAAAAAAAAAAAGATGCTAGGCTATACATTTCTATTGGCCACTACAAAGTAAAAAGACATAAGCAAGATGGGTGACCATTTTAAACCGTCATACTCGTACGGATTGTTAGGATGTCGATGAACAGTGTGCTTTCGAAAAGAGAAGCCGCACAGACGGAAGGGATAATTCAAAAAAAAAAAAAGAATGCATCAGATTATCGTGGATCAGTGTGCAAATTTAAAAATCCACCATGAGTCAAAAAGAAAGTAGTCGAGCAGTAAAGGATGGACAAGTTCTTCTTTATGAGTTGAACAGCTAGTAAAGAACACAAATGATATTGTAGTAGGAGCAATCAATGTCGTTAAGACGTATTACAAAGAAAGTGTGATACTGAGTGAATAGGGAGTGCCACTAGTATCTATCAATGACAACCAGTGGCATGATTGGCTGGACTTTTTGACTTGAATAATAAAAAAATGTTACAACGTAGTGTGTCAAATGGGTGGTGTGATTGGCTCTGGAGGTGTGCAACATGAGTACCAGATCTGCCTGTTTTTAACTCATTGTAATCATGGCGGAAAACGAAAAAAAAGTCTATAAAAAGCAAACATCTGATGTTCATAGGGTCGAAAATGGCTGCAACACACGAGTGTGAAGCCAAGACAGCACATTTTTTTTTATTTTTCCCTCAATGGATAAATAATACTTGTACAGAAAATTTTTTGGGTTACGCGCTAAAAAAAAAAAAAAATTGTGCAGAATAGATTTATGAGAAACATTGGAAAGATGATGTCTATTTTTAAAAAACAAAATCAAGGAAAATATGATCTGTTGAAAGAACCGTGGATAACTGTTTAAAGAACAAGTCATGACTATAATTACTTCTTCACTTATTGATAAAATCCTAAACTCTATCGTCGTCCAATGATTGTGACCCAGCTTCCCAATTTCCTTGTAAAACCTCAATCCTAATGAGCAGTGGTAAAAAGGAATTATTAACAGTGGATTTATTCCTGGAATTCACTTTGTATTACCCTGAATATTAAATGTATTATTAAAAATGGTATATAAAAGAAAAAAAAAGGGAAACATGCCACTGTTAATTTCTTCTTCTTTTTATCTCATCCTCCCCCATTCCTTCCTTTACACAACAACTCTCCTCTCCCCCCTTAAAATAGAAAAAGATGTATCAAAAGCTCTTTATTCTCGCCACCTTTGCACTTACAGCCGTCAACGCTCATCCTGGATCACACGCCATTGTGAACGCAGCAGTCGCTCCCTCCACTAACTTCAAATTCACCGAGACTTATCCTGAAGCTGGTATCATCCCCACCGCTAAACCCGAATGGCTTGAATTACTTAAAAATGTAGATATTGCCGCTGCTCCTGTCTACAAGGTTGGTAACGGTCTTGGACCTCAACAAGAAGTAGCTGGTCAAGATCCTTACTGTGATTGGACCTTTACTGGCTGTTTCGGTAAAGACGATCTCTACAAGTGTCCCAAGGGCCAATGGGCTCTTACTTACGATGATGGACCCTCCGAGTTCTCACCCAAGTTGTACGATTACTTGGATAAGGTAGATGTCAAGGTCACTTTCTTTATGGTGGGTGGTCAAGTTGTCAAGTTCCCTGACTATACTTTGCGTGCCTACAAGGCAGGTCATGAATTGGCCATGCACACCTGGTCTCACAACTACATGACTTCTTTAACCAATGAACAAATTGTTGCTGAACTCAAGTGGAACGAATTAGCCATCAAGGAAGTTACAGGTGTTGCTCCCAAATACTTCAGACCTCCCTATGGTGATATCGATGACCGTGTGCGTAACGTTGCTGCGGCTCTTGGTTTCATTCCCGTCATTTGGAATCACGATACCAACGATTGGGCTCATGCTTCTGACCCTGTCAACTTCAAGTCTGCTTGGATTGATGGTAATGTCACAAAATGGGCTACTGCCGCAAAGACTGCTACTGTTGGTGGTATCTCTCTCGAACATGATTTATATGATAAGACTGTCGATGCTGCTATTCGTATCTTGCCTATCCTCAAGAAGGCTTATACTTTAACTCCTGTTGGTCAATGTAACAATGTTGATATGTATAAGGGTAACGAAACTGTTGTCGCTCCTGTTGCCAAGCCTACCACCACAACTCGTCCTGCCTCCAGTGTTGTCCCCCTTACCACTCCCGCTGCTGCTGCCGTGACTCCCGCTGCTGTTCCTGCTGCTCCTAGTGTCTCCGTTGCTTCTGTCGATACAGCTGCTATTGCTGCTGCTGCTGCTGGTTCGGGTGCCTCCATGACTCATGCCAGTGCCTTTGGTCTTGGTGTTGCTGCCATTGCTGCTATTGCTTTGCTTTAAATAATACATTTAATTTTTTTTCTTATGCTTCTCTTACCCCCCCCCCCTTTCAAAAACCATCCCTTAATACCAAACTTTTTTTTTTCTTTTTTTTTTTTTACATGTACACTTAAATAAACTATATTTTTAAAAAAAGATGCAGTCAAAAAATGTTATTAAAAAAAGGAATATTATTATATATTATATTTCTCTACGGGGAAAGTATATATAAATATGATGTATGTTGTCTAGGCGGAAACGACGAAATCAGGGAAACATTCCTTGATGGTCTTGCTATGCTTGTTTTCAGCATGTTCACTTAAACTAGAGAAAGAAAGAAAGAAAAAGAATAGATTCAGCCATCAAAGGGAAGCCGATGAACACACACACACACACACACACAAAATACTTACGCCTTTTCACGAGCAGTACAGAGGAAAGTTTGGAAACAAGTCTTACAGATAATGTTCTTTGCGAGTTCGTTCTAACAATTTAAAATGAAAAAATGTTAGCATGATATGTTTCTTCTCTGCTATAAAAAAAAAAAAGGGTTGCTTTACTGTCTTCTTTTGAGACTTGGATTCACCACCGGCATTCTTAGCATTACGCTCACGCTTCATTTGTGCTTTTTGTCCCTGTAATGAAAGAAACTCATGTTAGTTGATCCCTTCTCTTTTTGTTGTGTGAGTTACTGAACTACTTTACGTTTCCCATTGTGATGTATTAATTAGTATAGATAAGATATAAAGAAAATATAAAAAAAAAAAAAAAAAACAAAAAAAAAATTTTTTTTTTAAACAATCGAACGAAATAAATATTTCCTTATTGGGCGTAAAGAAGTCCCCTTTGATTGAAAAAAATAAAAAAAAAAAGGGGCAGTAACGCTTTTTTTTATAAGTGGTCTTTTTAGTCATACAAACAAACGGACGATCCAAAAAAAAAAAAAGAATGCTTGTTCCCATCATAAGCTAATTTATGCAAAATCAACCTGTAATTTGACATAGATTAAAAAGGAGAAATTTAATATATCTGGGGCCGCAATAAAGCCTTTCAAACGCTTCATCATATAACTGTGTATAAAGCACAGATTGATGAGGAGGGGACACTTGTAGCAATTGCACAGTGTCCAATTGCACAGTGTCCAATTGCTAACTGGGGGGGGGGAGGCAGTAATTTGATTGTCGGAGTTGCACTGAGAAATAAGCATTTATTTTAAGCACATTGTTTAAAAGAAGCCAATTGGTTTCATAGATAATTAGTTTTACGAGGCACAGTTGGCACAGCATTGGTCAATGTATTTAAGATCTACATGGTGTGTGTGAGTACATTTATACTGTGCTTAAATTCACGAAACCTTACCTGTTCGATTACCCCACCACGATGGGAACGGATAAGATACACCACTAGCTCCTCCGTAAAGTGACATGGCAATAATAAAAACCATGAGAGATGTTCCAGAATCCAGTGCTGTAGAGATTAAATAATTGTACTTGACAAACCAGGCTGTATGACGTCTTTTGATATAGAATTGTGAAATAAGAACAATGATAAATGACACTGTGATCCAACTACTAGCAGAGCCAGGCACAATGGTCATGCCAATGAGAATCATGGGCGTATTTACATATTTGTATCCTACAACTGGAAAGCGTCGACTGAGATACCAGAAAGGCACAGGTAAAATAAATCCAATCTTTTTTTTTTTTTTTTTTTTTTTTTTTTTTTGGTCAAAGTAAGGTGAGGACAATGTCGTATTGAAAGTAGAGAATACCAACTTACTAAGAAAGCCCAAAGAATAATGTAATAATCTGTGCCTGGGCCAAACATGTTCATTGGTCCAATTGCTCCCCAAGTAATTGCAGCAGAATTGATGGTTTGTGGTGATGCACCGTTCCAAATATTACTGCCTACGGGATCTAATAAAATTTCTCGTTGAGAATTCACTACGCTCTTTATTTTAAAAAGAAGGATCAGCAACATTTAAATCTCTACAGCCAAAAAATAAAAAATAAAAAAACTTACGTGATTCACAATATAATTGAAAATACATCCGACCAAAGTACCCAACATTTGATTAATAAATATAGCACGAGGGGGTACTTTTAAATAATGCCCGATTTTCAAATCACTCGCCATGGTGCCAGCTTGACTCAATGTATTATAGCCTAACGTTTTAAAGTACATATTTGCCACTATTTAATAATAATTCATTTCCGCCCGTTATATAAAAAAAAAAATTCAATTAGGATTAGTGCTGTAAATGCTTAAATCTTCATGCATTATAAGTTACCTGGTAATCCAGGGAGTACAAAACCACAAATCATTTCAGCAAACACATTTAACCCGAACCCAGTTCCTGTTAATGCAGTAATCATATTGAGAGGCAAAGATAAAATAGTTGACATAACAATGGCCATGATCACACCCCACCATGGAAGTTGGCTGTGGTTAATATACGCTATTGCAATGTTGAGTCCCATGCCACCAAAATACACAATATAATACCACCATGTGGGTACTTCTTTATAAAAGGACATCATGCGCATATGTGGATCCGTATGCTCCTCTGCTAATTCACCTTCTTTTCTACGCATGTCCTTGATAATGGCTTTGAAACTGGCACAAATTTCCTTCCCGTGAAATAAAGCAATATGTGTGATTGAAGCAGTGACAGCAAAATTAATAAAGATATATTGTATGGCAAATATACTCGAAAAATGAGGACGACCAATTTCAGTCAATGCGGTTTCGTTTAGTGAATTATCGGCATTCAGTACTTTATGTTGGGGATAGATAACAGATGTACCGTTTGGCAGTAATTGAAAGATAGAATTTGATAAGAACGGAAAACTTTGTGCGTTCCAAACATCATAGTAATAAACCAAGGGTGCCAAAACCCATAGTACCAATATACCGAAATATATATTTAGCTGTACCCAGAGAGGTAAAACTAACGGGCTTAGATTAGACAAATAATTCCAATCAAAGCTCAATTGAAACATGCCCATGCCTTCATTTACAGCTAAACCACCAAACAAACGCTGGACCCAAACAGAGTCATTCTTTGCCAAGCAAATAATTGATACACCACCCAAGATAGGCATCATGTATTGCGGAATGAACTCGTAAATAAAAACAGCACTAAATACCATAAAGAAGAATTTGGCACGCCATCTTGATTCTTCTTGACTACCGTTGAGAGTTCGTAGTAGAGAAACAGTGGGTAAAGAAGTTGGCCAAATCATGTTGGCAGGATACACAAGAAAGTTTCGGAGTTGACCAGCAATGCCGTAACCTACCATTTGTGTGGCCAAAAGCAAAAAAATCGAGCCAGCTGGCCCAGGGGCATTACTATAATAAAGATTTTGCACTGCTAGAATATGCGTAGCATACGCAGATGTGTTGGCTGCTGATACAATCACATAGATACAGGTATGTTCCTTCACATTAAAGGGACCCGGATTGAGCCATCCGCCTGTAGGCATGTACCGTGCCCAAGCATTGCAAACTACATAGGCAATCATCAGCATAAAAGTATTGGTCAATGGCAATCCAACAGGCTTAAATACCATCAGTTGGTATACGGATGAACTTAGACATGCTAACGCCTGAAAATAAGATTAAAAGAGTGATTAGATGGATCGTACTATTAGTAAAAATGGTAAATACTTTACAATACCAGTAACAAAGACGCGAACAGTATAGCATGGTAAGGAAGTATCATCTTGCACTGTAGCTAATTCATTTACAACCTGAATATCGATATCTTCTTCCTCGTAAGTTTTGTCCAGATGTTCAACATGATGCTTTTCTAAAGAGCTATCAAAGACGGTCTCAAACACATCATCGTCTCGTACAAAATCATGCTTTTCTGACTTTTCATGCATAGCTTTATGTTTTATTGCAAAAAAAAAGAAGGGAAAATAAATGAAAAAAAAAAAAAGATATCTTTTTTAAAATGTGTGTGCTTCTATTTATACAAAAGAATCAAGGAGGCGTCCCTTTTTAAGAATTCTATTCTCTTTTTTTTTGTTGAGAGAGAGAGAGAGAGAGAGGGAAAGGGTCGTTTTTAAATGTGGAGCGATTTATCAGTCAATGATAACACACGTGCCTTTTAATTTATACTGATGGCACTGGATCAAATAGAATCACAACAGCAAAAAAAAAAAGGAGGGAATGGGAAACCCTTTTATTTTTTCCTAGCTGTACTTTAAAGAGGATAAACATAGAAAACTGATTTCTCTATTAAAACTGTTACTCAGTTTTAGAGCCAAGAATGTGCTTTAATTGGTAATTCATTCCCTGCTGCAGCTGTACTAGTTGGAAGAGATCATCGATACCCCACATACATGATCTCTCTTTTTTTTTTTTTTTTTTTTTGGTTCTTCGTGACGTTGTTTTTATTTCTCAAGCAAATACACAATAAATAAATAAAAAATATTATCCATTCTTTTATATTCATTGACTTAAAATGCCTGTGAAAACTTTAGTTGCATGTTGTCAAGATTCCTTGACTAAATCACTAGATGGTAAATATAAAGAATGAGAAAAAAAACATGGCAAACACGCCAGTTTAACTCTTTCATTTTCCTTCTTGAAAAAAACAATAGTACTTGCTGAAGTTGGGTGTGTTCCATATTCATTGCTGAAAAACTCTTTACGAACAGCTACACCACAACAACTCTATCGTATTGAGAGAGCCAACCCGGTAAGGCTTTTTTTTTTTTTTCGATTTTATCAAGACTTATATTTTTTTTTATAGGGTCTTGCGGCAGAGTCCGACGGTAAAGTTAGACAAGTTTAAAGAAAAAAGAAAAAAAAAAGGGGGGGGGGAGCCTGAGTACTAACGCGCAAGATTAGAACTTTGGTTGAAACATTGTTTCTTGTTTAAAGAAATTAAAGATGAACATGAACGAGGACTTCATAAAAACCCAAAAGAATGGAGAGAACTTTATTTGGTAACTTTTTTTAATTTATGACTCTCTTTTTTTTTTTTAGTAACGAAATAATAATAATAATTAGAACCGTCATACAGAGGTGGAGAGGAAAAGAAAGGCAATTAAAGAACGAATTGCCAGTCAATACAGTAAGCTGAAAAACGAAAAGGCAGCTAGATCAATTAAAGTGTTACATGGAGTTGTTCCCGTTGCAAAAAATCATTCTTATGAAGCTGCAAGTAAAGTAGACCTATCTCCCCCCCAAAAGAAACATTTCAGGATACTAATTTAACTTGTAGGACAATCTACCATGAGTAAATTATTTCAACAATCTAAACGTGCAACAAACAAAGCGTATGTAACTATGACTACCATTTAAAGTACCCGATATTAATAGCGTCATTATAGCACTTCCATTTATCAACAACCTAAAAAATCCACTGCTGCTCCATCCACAGCACAAAATTTTGTTTATGCCCCTTCTGCTTCAAATTTAATTCGGGCACCCAAACCACCATCCAAATTGATGAAAGACTACCAACATAACCGTATACAATACCCGCGTCAAAAATCTCCACCTGCATCTTTGATAGCCCCGAAATCCATTATTCCCCTTGATCATGTACGTACCTGACTAAATACATATTGCATATATATATAAAAAAAAAGGCACCTTTTCTGATTTGAAGTAGATTGAAAGAGTAGCGAAAAAACCAAAGGTAAATTAGAAATGATGAGAGGAATACAGAAATAACTTATACTTTATTGTTGTAGCCGGAAGAAAAGAGTCTTGATAAGAAGAGACCAATTGAGGAACGAAAAAGGCCATCTGATGATAGAAAAAGACCCATGGATGAAAGGAAAAGGCCGATAGATGAAAGAAAACGACCCACGGATGAAAAACATAGACAAGGTGAAAGGAAAAGACGACTGGAAGATGACAAGCATCAGGAACCAAAAAAGAGACCTGCTGCTAAAGTCAATTTTAATATATTTAATGAGGTGAGTTGAACTTATTTATACACTGAATTACTCTTATTAAAATTGTATATTGTAGTTGCTATAATAAACCTAGAATACATCCTTTTTTTTTACTTTTGTATCCGCAATAAGACGATTTACATCATCCTTTATTTTATCGTGGTTGGAAGAGGAGAATTGTTTATCAACTTATCGCCTCCCTCAAATATAGAATTCATTTGGCTTATGCGCTTAATTAAAAAAAAAGAGGAGCCAGGCTTGTTGGTTATCGGGTAAATTAAACAAATGCTGGCGGGGAAAGGGGGTCGAGAAAAGGAGGCATACAGTCTGCAACAGCATAAATGTCGAGTCATGCCCTTTTTATTATGCGAAATTCAACCAATAAGAATCGTATGCAAAACAGTAATCTTTTTGTATCCCCCCATTGTTTTTTTTTTAAAAAAAACATGAGGTTTCACGATATATATTTCCAACAACCCTTGCCACTTTTCTAAAAGTGTGTGTAGACCCCCTCTCTCTCTTTCTTTTCCTTCATCTCTCTCTTACATTCGATCAATATTATCAACCCACCTTATTACATCAAATGTTTAAGCCAAGTAACATATTTTGAATCACATCCATTTGATAGCTGCCATGCAAAGCCATCCCGGCTGTGTTTCATTTCGCCCCCCAGCCATTTCATTTAGGTAATTAGTCTTGTTTTTTTTAGTAATAATAAGAGATTAGAATTTAACATATTGGTCCTTGACTGAAAGAAGCCAGACAAGAGAGGAAACTATGGTAGAAAAATTAGTATATACATATATAAAAAAAAACGATTGATGTATGAATTACCAGCAACAGTGAGAGGTGCCATGAAAGGACCGTTCAACTTACAACCACCGAAAACAACAAGTTCACCCACGAAATGAGTTAAAGCAATAACATAGGTCCAAATACCGAGATCGTACATGCTACAATTTAAAAAATATGTTAGAGAAAAAAAAAAGTATTTCATGGGAAGGACTTACAACTTGTGTTGAAGATGGAAAGCAGCATAGATACGGATCATACTAACAGACCAGGTCCAGGTGGCAAAAAGACGACCACTCAAAGGAGTTACTGTGAATAGGCGTTAGAAAAAACCTTGATATTATTTTTCTCTTCTTTTCTCATTTTGTTATCTTACCTTCTTCGGGTTTGTTGGCATAAACACGTTTACTCAAACTATCAGTGCAAAAGTTTTGGATAGAGTTGAAAATACCAAGGGCAGAAGTGAATAATAACCATTTGGGAAGATATCCTTCGGGAAGAGTGGAAAACACTTCGGCAAATTGAGAGTAATAAGCTTCCATTTTTTAAAACTTTCTTTTTTGTGTGTGTGTTGGAAAAGGAACGACAGGAAGAAAAAAGAAAATGGGTGCCAATGTTCACGAAAACTTATTAAAATGTCATGTTAAACTCAGTCACAAAGATGGGTAAACATTCAAGAATAAATGAGACCCTATCATTTATTTAGGGGCTCTCTTTTATTTATTCTTCGTGGTACTCTGGCACATCTGGTAAAACTAGTGCAAGGTTTGACACACATACGGTCAACTCTTAGATTATTAGTATCACGCAAAGGCATCTGCTAATAACGACTACAAATTTTAATCCTCGAACGTTGATCTTTTCCGAGACATGGTCTTGTAGATCCGTCTTCTTCATTGGTAACACAAGCCTTTTACAAATGCGCCCTTTGTAAACCCTTTCTATCTAAAAAAACACCCTTCTCTGCAATTCACTATATTGCCAACATCTGTTACAAGGGCACTTTCAAGTTACATACCATCCACAACACCTGCTTAAGTACCTTTCGGAGAACCTTTAGCATCACTTTCTAATCCCCAAAGCCATGCCGAGACCCATCTCCACGTCTACTCAAGTTTCTAACATTAACACCTGTAGCAGCACCCTTAATTTATTCACATCAGAGAAACAAACATTCAAAGGGTCACTCAAGCATAAAGAGACAACATCGTTATTAGTTGAGAAATTGGAACCATATTAATTTGATGCTTTTACAAGAGATCTTGAAGTCTGTTCATTAGACAGCAGGAGAGAGAGTTTTAAATACAATTACTAACAAGTACTATATTGGAAAATCGGCCCCAAATGGACGATTGAAATAGTAATTGTTCATTACTCATGTAAGCAAATGTGTTATTTAAACATAAACAACGTTGCTACCCTGATTCCGTTTATTTTAAGAGGGCCTTCAAATATGACAGTGTGTATCACTTATGCTGTACTTACATAGCAGTAGTATGTACGTCGCATTAATTTTTACATTTAGTGGACACGAAACGTTTAAAAATTGACCAATCAGGTCATAACACCCTGGCTTTTTTGTTTTATGACAAAAAAAAAAGGTGAGTCTTCTTTGCTCTTGTATACGTCTGGCCACAGTGCATCTATCTTACGGGGTATGCCCAGACAGGCTTTCGCTTGAGTCTGAGCTTGATAACGTAGCCTTGAAGTTAGCTTGCAAAAGTGGGTTCGTACGGGTTTCTTAGCGGTTCTTTGAATTTGATGATTAGTCCAGTGCATGAGTTTAAGTGGCCTGCTGCAGCTGCTTCTACAATACGTAGAATGGCGAACACCACTCGAGTTCTGGGGGGCTTTTTTTTGGGGGGCCAGATGAACTTCCACCTTCTCGCGGTTGGCTCTGTTAATCAAAGCATTCTAAGAATACTTTTGAGAACCAGGAGAAGTTTGAAGACTTGTGTTACTTTTTATTGCAAAATAAAATATTGCTTTTGACCTCTTATTTTTTTACCTTACACTTATATACACAAGTGTGTTACCAATTTATACTATAAAAAAAACCGAATATACTTTATTAATTTGTTTTTTTACAAAAAAAAGATAGCTAGGTGTCTTCGTTATAAAGATCAACTTTTGTGTGGTTGTATTTGATCTCTGTTTTCTTGAACAGAGCTTCGTTTCTTCTCTTAAGAACCCCAGCAAGTGTACTTTTGTAGATATAAAGCATGTCCTTCTTCAATTTTGTGGTATCGAATGCTCCATCAGGGAAGTTGTCCATGCTGTCAAGGTCTGAAATGTATTTCTTTAGGCCTTCATCAAGACCGTCCAGACGGTTTTTAGGCGTCCGGACTCATCAATGGAGATCCAAAGTCATTACTGTTATTGTTGTTGCTGAGGAACGGTTTTTGTTCCAAAAACGATTTTAGCAATTTACAATAAATAAGTATATTCAGCTGACGTATTTCTAAAATGCCAACACGCTTAACTGTCTGCTTTTTACTGTTTTGCGAATTGAAATTTATTTTTTGAGAAGCAGGACATGGACGAGAATCAATCCTGCACTTTTGGGTCGAACAATCTTCCGGACGGTCTTGGTGTGAAGGCCTTTTATCAAGGATTCAGAAGTTGTGAATGCCTTTTTTTTTTAGAATCCCTGTAGATCCATTGCTACTGTTTTGAATTCCCTTTTATACAAAGACTTATGCACACAATTTTTGAGAAGCAATGAAGCCGCTTTTTGGGTTACATTGTTGCTTACAGTAAACGAGATTGGATGGTACCGTGCGAACCCTTCTTCTTTGAACCTTGTGCTGACTAACATCCATTTATTAGCTGCATGATTTTTCATGTATTGGCTTAGGAGCCTCACAACTTTCGTGTTTGGTGCTGTAGTTTCTGGGATAAAAATATTTACTTCGACAAGATACGGTGTCATATCTATTTGTGAGCAAGGAAGGTAAACCTCAAATTCGTATTTTCAAAAATGTAATCGAGAAGCTTCGCAAAGCGGCGATAATAGGTCATCTCACTATCGCTTTTATTGCATTTGCCAATGTACTCAATCCAGTCAAATAAAAAAAGCGTTAAAAAGCAAGGACTGGGTTTATTACATCAGGATTACATAACTGATAAATAAACTGCATTTCAGATATAATATTGACTATATTCTTGATTAACTTGAAGTTATTCTGTTCGAATAAAGCTAAATGTATGTGATGCTACACTTGAGACGTGTTTATTAGTAAGCTAGCAAAACATACTAATTGTAGGAATTACTTAATCTAGGGGCCATCAAAAATCGTAAACTTATTGACTTGGCCATGAGATGAGTCTCTACTGTCATAGGTCTGTAAAAGTAGCGTAGTAGCCATCAATCGGCTTTGGTTGACGTGATAGCTCAAGTGGGGACTAAAACGTTCTTATTTTTGTGACAGAAAAAAAAACCATCGGTCTGGGCAAAAGGAGTCTTTGTCATCAATCTGGGATATAGACTGCAATGTAAAATATGTCACAAAAAGAATGCCGCCAAGCAAGTGATTTTGCAGAGCTTAATACATCCGAAAACCTGGATTTTAAGCGCAGTCTTAATATAAATGGCTCAGCGGCGAATGGACTTTTTATACACAACATACTTATGCCTTTGTAAAAGGGTTTGTTAGAAGCAAATTTATGTCCTGATTAATTTCAGAAGTATCAGGTATTTTTTAATTAGTATTTATTTTTAGAAAATAGCCGTCTTGTTGATGGGTTTGCGTAGAATATCCATTTTAAGCTATAAGTATAAAAATACATAATCGTTATTACAAGTTAGAAGGCGAGGAATAACGAAAAAAACTTTTATTTTTTATTAGAAACCACGGTATATTATATAATATTATGCTGTATCGTTGGGTATATTGAATAATAAATTGTAACATATGTTTAAATACGAGTTGTTACGGGTAAAACTACAGAATGGGATATGCAGTATCGAAAATTAATTGTGTAACTTATCAAAGTGACGAAAGAGGTTCGTGCAGCAATGTAGACAGTGTGTATGTGAAATTTTGTGATTAGCTACACTATACATCATCTGCCATTGTTCTATTTATCCTACCGACTCGTGATTTGTTGGTAAACTTTAACCCAAAAGTAATAATGTATTCTAGAATGGGTTCATTTAGTTAATTTTGGATGGATTATGCAGTAAAATGGTTTGGCACAAACACTTGACTTTTTTTTTTTATTAGAAAAATGAGGCACAAAACCCGCTTTTTGATACAACAGTCAGTTGAGTGTATCCTGATTAAAACGTGCTCTAATGTACCACTTGTTTTCTTCTTCTTTTAATAAACCACGTTCATTGCGTACGAAAATACTTCTGGATGGTTTTAGTTAGTTAATAAAACACAGTTTATCTTTATTTAAAGCACTAACTCATATATAAAACTGATCCAGTGAGTGAGTACAAGTAATGTGCATTCATTGGATTATATTTGCATGTGACAAAGAATTTGTCATCAATTTGCAGCATTAAACCTCGTGCAAATGTCGAAACGTAAAAATTACGACACACATGGTACATTGGGCACTGGACTGTATGATACTCAAATCGTCTTGAAATAGCATCACTATAGGTTTAAATATCGGATAATTAATTTCCTTGCCCAAAGAGATTTGCATCTGTGTAAGTATCAAACTGAAAGAGCGAATGTCATATTATTATGATTGTGTCCAATTAAGGAAGCTAAAATACTTGGCGTCAATTCCTTCAAGGGGTTACTTAATATTAAAGTAACAGTACCTCACTACGAGTGTCAGGCCATTAACAGATGTCCATATACGTTTTTACAAAAAATTTACTCGAACGAGTTCAAGTTAAAAACGATCAAGCTTATTATTTTCCTGAGTAATAAGACTAGATACGAGTCTATTTTAATAAATTGCATTAGGGCTACAGCGTTGATAAGAGCTAAGTTTATGTCTGATAAACTGCACCAGATATCATAAATAAATGTGAGACCTATTCAATCTCGGCTTTAAAAGTATTACATGTATCCTAAACATTTGCTAGGTATCCTAATACCCTTGCTTAAACAATTGCGTTGCAGCATTCGTAGTAGTAGGAGATTACACTCTCTAAAGATAGACACCAGATAAATCAAACGGGCTAGTTCATGATCTGCGAAGAAAATACAGGAGCTTGCCAAAAAGATAAATTATAACCGCTTTTGACCACCTAAAATCAACATTGATTCTTCATGGATAAGATGCATCTACCCCCTTTGACCATGTCCGAAAATAAATACATTAAAACAGCACTGAGCCAAGTAAGACCAAGTAAACACACACTCATTTAATAGAACCTTCAATTATCCTAAAAATGAATACTTCAAGGGCTTTCTGCTGCAAAAGAATTCAATAATGACGATATACATTTCTATCATGTAATAAAAAACAGGTTACCCCTTTGTAGTATGACAGCCACTACTTGCCAGCACTGGTTTTAGCCTTTAAGCATACTTGGTCACAACTTTTTACAAATAAAAAAAAAAAAAAAAAAAAACTTGGCTTATCCGCTACCCAGTTTTCTGCATCAAGTTGGCTTGTGGGAAGATTCCTTTCATTTTTTGTGGGAATATTTCCTATTGCGTGCTGCGTCGTAATTTGACACTGGGGAGTAAATTTATCTCAAAAATTTGAGTCTTGTTATTTGGACATTGCAGAAAGTAACGTTTTAATGATAAAACTGGATATATTTAATGCACTTTCTGTAAGATCATCCAGCAGGGACCTTTCTGATGGTAAAACCTAGTGTAAAGACGGGGGATTGGTTCCGTCGGCAACATAATTTTACTACCGGAACCGCAAATAAAAATAAAAAAAGAAGGAACATGGTTAAAAGAAAGAAGACGCTAAAGAAAGAAATGAAGGACTACCATTACATTGTGTTGTTATGTTGTTGTATTCATGTCGTACCTTATTTTTTATAAAAGAAACGAGGGAACGATTGGAAGCAGTCTGCTTCCGGGAATAAAGTTTTCCCACAGCTCCCCGACTCTTTTTTTTTTAATTAAGAACTCAAATGGTGAACAGCTTAATAAGCTTTTATTGTATTGGCTAAATGCCGTGCGTAGCAAAAGACCAACAGAAGATTTGTCGCGTGGTGTGGACTAAAATAGGTTTCTCACGTAAACAAATGACACGAATACACCTGTTTCTTTACAAAGAGAAAACACATGCTGATTGCAGTTTCGTCTGTCAATGGCTAATAGTTTAATAGAACAACCACACTGACCAAGCTACCTTTTGTTGTGTTGACATATCCCATTTTGAGGGGGAGTTCGGAGGATCTGGACTTATTTTTAATCAAGGCTGATTCACTGTGCGACTTGGCGCCTCTTTAAAAGCGCAATCCGTTAAACTCCCTTTTATAAAAAGGAACACTATTTTTTTTTAACTCTTCTTTTCCCTTGTTTAAAGTTCTAAAAAACTCCCCACGCATACACATACACACACACACACACACACACACACACACACACACACACACAGAGATATATTATGGATAAATTACGATCGCACGCTAAATTTAAGATCCACGTAGAGAATGAAAACTTGATCATGTATGGCGTTTCGTCAGAATCAGCCGGCTGTGTATTGAGAGGCGTTGTCAATCTACAACTACAGGAGACTACAAAAATAAAATCAATTGGATTATCGTTAGCAGGAAGGATGACGGTATCATGGACAGAAGGTATTAGATAAAATACACTTAGAGTATTGTAGTGTCTAATTCAGGCTAATATATTTAGGCGTAGGCAATGGTCATGACAGACTATTTCGTGAGGAAAAAGCTGTATTGGATCATCAATGGACATTCTTACCCAAACAACAAAAGATGCATGTTTTAGGAGCAGGAAGTTATACGTACGCATTTGAATTGGTGCTGCCAGGCGATTTACCCGAATCCACCTATGTGCCTAATATTTATACGGTACAGTATCAATTGAAAGCGACGATTGAACGATCCACCTTTTTGCCAAACATTTGCAATCGTAAAATAGTTCACATATCTCGACAATTGCTTCCTTTTGCACCCGAGTTCTTAGAACCTGTGTCTGTAGCAAACCAATGGGCCAATAAGTTGGATTACGAGATCACATTACCCAGCAAGATATATACGCACGGCGATCAAATTCCAATTACAGTGCGTATCACACCCCTATCAGACGCACTACGCGTGAGACACTTATCATGTACATTTAAAGAATATATGGTCTGTAGAGCAGGGAATCAAGGGTTTTTGAATACCCGAGCCCGAGCTCACGGTCGAGTATTGTTTTCAACACGAGACGATAAATTTGGTCGAACCAATGCCAATGATGGTGGTCATTTTGTTGAATGGACCAAAGTACAAATGATTCCTTTATCTAATTCATTGCTTGATTTGCAGTGTGATATTCAGAATGACTCGATCCGTATCAAGCATAAAATCAAGTTTGTGTTGTCATTGATCAATTCAGATGGACATGTGTCTGAACTCAGGGCTGCTCTTCCCATCACTATTTGTGCTGTGAACAAAACTGGATTACCGGCGTATGAAGAGGCATGGCGTACTCTACCTTACAATCCTGCTTCCATGTTGGCTCTATTATATCAACAATCGTCAGTTTTACCGTCCTATAATTCTATTGTTCCCTCAACTTTACCGCCAGCGGCAGATCAAAGACACAATCTCCCACCGACATATGACGAAATACCATGGTTAGTGTCAAACTAAAGGAATGATGTCAACCTTCTTCCCATGTACCATATATTGTAAATTTGTCCTTGTATATTATAACTCTTTTTTATTTGTATATGAAATAAAAATTATCTATAATCTGTGTAATGTTGTTTATTCCACTTTATATGGCAAAAAAAAAAGAAGAGTGTAGCTGCTGCTTAAATTTTATAGGAGCTCCGCTCTCTTATTTAGTTTTTTTTTTTTTTGTCTTTCTTTTTGTTTCTTTTTCCATCCATTAAACAAAAACAATGTCAACTACGCTGGACTATTACGAAGTTCTTAATATTTCCGTCGACGCTGACGATAAGCAAGTAAAAAAGGCATACAGGAAGCTTGCCTTAAAATACCATCCAGATAAAAACCAATCTCCAGAGGCTGTTGAAAAAGTAAGTTATGCGAAAAATAAAATCAATATGTCTAGTCTATTTTTACTTATATATCTTGTTCAGTTTAAAGATATTAGGTATGATATTTATCGATTTGTAGAAAATCTTAGTTTATTAACAACTTTTTGTTCTTGTATATCAGTGAGGCCTATGAAATATTGTCAGATCGTAAGTATATCAATTGAAATACTTTTTTAGCCCTAGACTAAATCATTCTTTTTCAAAGCCGAGAAACGCAGAGTTTACGACACTCGTAATGATGTACCTGATCACCATGATTATGAATACAACCCATTCTCTCAATACGAGGTAATTATTATGAAATAGAAGCTATTCCTTGACCTTGTTCTTAACAGAAAAAAATATATTCTCCCACACAGTTTCATAGACCTGAAGATATATTTGCTGAGTTTTTCAATCACATGAATGGATACGCCAGCGGCGGCGGCGGCGGAGGCGGAGGCGGCTTCCATGGTAATATAAATAATAACATGGCTTATGTCATCTTAAGTAATCATGTATTTTTTCTTCTAGATCCTTTTTCTGCATTTATGATGCCAATGCATACGCCTATGATGTCTTTTAATGCTAGCGTTGGATTCAACAATCGTGGGTTTGCAGGACACGGTATGCAAACTACACCTGCTGGTTTCATGGCACCTCAATTCCCTTCCATGATGGGACAACAATATGGACAACATTCCTTCTCTTCTTCATCTACTAGTGGAGGAGGCGGTAGCTATTCAAAATCCGTCTCCACATCTACACGCAGTGTGAATGGTGTCGTTGAAACAGTAACCATTACAAAGATCACAGATGGAAATGTAAGGGACACTAAAAAAGGAGGGGTTGAACATTAGTACTTATTCTATCGAATTAGGGTACCAAGGTGATTGAAGAATACGGAAATGGCCGAACCAAAGTGAATGGTATCGAGCAAACTCCAGCAAATCACAACAAAACGTTAGAGAATAAAGTAAGGCCGCGAAACGAGATTATGATGAATAATTCTGATCACTGTGAAAAATTGCAAATCGAACAAGATGATGTACAAGAGATTAACAAAGCTAATAGGGAAAGAGATGAATTAAGACAGCGTATGATACAAGAGGTTGAAATGAGGCGTGAACAAGAACGATTACGAGATCAGTGGGAAAGACAAAGACGACATGATTTGTTAATGCAACGCCAGCAGGAGCAAGAACGTTTCTTTGAGTTACAACATCAGCAATTGATGTTTTATCAACAAGGATTGCGTCAACAAGATTATTATAATAATACTGCTAATGCTTTAAATTATTATCAGTATAACCCTTATTACGATGATGACGATGACTCAAGTTTCTATCATCCCGCATCTCCACATCCTCCTTCATTCACTCCAAATTATTACCACTTGTATTAAAAAAAAATCCCTCATTGTCTTTTTTTATTATTTCCTATAAAGATAACAACTCTTTTTCAAATACTTTAATCATCTTTTCGTCGTGTACTTCTTTTCCATCCGTGAAAAAAGGTTCAATAGCCACACGGCTTGTAGACTCGAATAATTCTTGAATGATGTGTTGTAATTTACCTCCAGTTTGTTTGAAGTCGGGGAACTAGTCATAGAACAATTGTCAGCTATTTTTGTACAATTTAAATCATCCTTTGTATACACTACCGCATTGGCCTCTAAAAAGTAAACCTTTAAATCCTCATCAATCATAAAATCAATTCCAAACAATTCAAAGGCATTGGGAATAGCTTGGAAGGTAGTCATTTCACTGGCACAGGCATCGTACACATCAGCCAAAATCTTCTTCATTTGTTCAAAGATATGATTCAATTCGCTTTCTTTCAAGGGTAATTCCCAGAATAATTTGACAGAGGATGCTTCATTATATTCTTCTTCCTCTGTTTGAATACAAGTATTTGTCAAGTGAATTAAATTGTCGTCCAAATTGCTTGTATCGTACTCCTTCATGGCGAATAAAGCCAACATATCACGATAGAGGTATACTTGGATATTAGATTTGGCCATGACATAGGCACGGATATGAAATTTACGTTTGTTGACCAACAAAGGGTTATGAATATAACGTTGGATAACCCATTCACGCACTTGTGAAAGATCTTCCTGATCCTCATCATCCTCTTCTTCTTCGCTGTCAGATTCAGGTTCCTCAAATATAGCACGTAACTGATCCATTGAATTGAACACCTTGATACCGGCTGCTTTGTTTGCCATACTAGGTTTAATGATAAACATATGATTTTCATCCGCTTCTAAATCTCTTTCAACCTCAAAGACTTCATTCATGGCTTCGTCGAAATAATCCACATGATCCAGCTCGAATTGCCATGTTTCGGGGATCGCTTCCTTCAAAATGCTGTTGGGGTGTTTGGAAAGATATTTGGTCATGTTGTAAGCTAATTGGGATTTACGAATCAAACCTTTGCGAATGCAGTAGGCATTAGCAAGACTATCTGTGTCATGTTTGGCAACATGGTGCCAATCGATCAATTCATATTCAAGCCACTGAAGTTTCACGTTGGCAGGACAACTCTCGGCGTTGGCTTCCGTTACTTCTTCCACCACGTTCCAGTCCAGACGCTTTGAATTCTTTAAGGCTCTGACAACAGCTTGATGAGTATAAGGTTCGTCGAGATGAACAATTGCTTCTAATGACATTTTGGTTAAGATTGACTACAAAAAGATGAAAAAAAAGTTTTCTTATTTCTGACAGCGGGGAAAACTAAGCTTCCCCGATTTCTAAACGGAGTACAGTGCCAACAAGGTATATCATGCTTGTTTATTGTTGTTAAAAAATAGAGATAGAGAAAGGGAGGGTAATCAATAGTTTTTTTTTAGTTGTTGTTGCTGGTGAAAGTGTGTGTATGTATATGTGATATATATTTATATAAAAAAAAAAAAGTAAATGTAATGGGGAATAAGGTGTATAAAAAAAAAAGAAAAGAAAAAAAGATGTATTTTTGTTTGTTCAGTTAGAATTCCCACTTATTGAGATTCTCATCCATAAAGAGTTCGACCATACTCTTTACTTTAGTGCCAACGGGACCTTTTGGCTTCATCTCCTTGATACGTGAGATAAACTCGGGTGACATTTTTGAAGAGGGTCTTCTGGGGAAAGGCTGAAATTCACTTGTGGGAGTATTCGGGCTCGAGGTTTGAATAATTGTTTCAAATCGAAGTCGTAATTGATCCACTTCGGGAGTTTCTGGCCGAGGTAAAGATGACACAGAACTGGGAGAGAACGATGAAGAACGACCGCTGTTCTGGAATAGATTCGCTGCCATCTTTACATGGTTTTGATGGTCGTTATTAATCGCAGCCGCTACTTCTGCATCATGCTCATCTGCACTTGAACTCGTTGAAGGATGTGACACAGGCTGTTGCGCTAAAATAATGTGACATTCTTCCTCCTCTTCAACCTCGTCCTCCTCCTTTGCTATCGTATGTTCTGCTATCTCGGCTTCTGTCTCTTTTTCTTCCGTGCTTGTCTCTATCGTTTGTGTCTCCTCCTCCTCGATTACTGGCTGTACTTGCTCAATTTCGGGTTCCACCTCTTCTATGATTTCGGGCTGTGTGAGTTCTACAGGATCCACAGACTCTACAGTCTCAATAGGCTCAACAGTCTCGATAGACTCGACAGGATTCACAGGCTCGACAACCGGTTTAGTGATGCTTTCAACAACAATAGCCTCGTCTTCTTGTACGGGCTTCTGCACAGGCTTCTGCACAGGTTTGGGTTTTGCAAGAGAAAGAGGTCTCTTTTCTGTGAGCTTACTTGGTTTTCTTGTTCGTCCTGTAATAACAGAAGTAGGAGGTGTGTTTTTCGAAACACCCCCTTTTGCTGTGGTTGATAGCTTTTTAGTGGTGGTTGCCGTAGCCAAGCTGGATCTTCTAGACTCGGCTCTTCCAGCTGCTAAATCGGACCTTCCGACGATCTCGGATCTCTTTACAGGTGGTTTTGTACTGGGTGGAGTGATACGGGATGATTTCTAAGATAGATGGTTAGTGTTCATACATGGGGCGTACCACAAAAAAAAAAAAGGTAGGTCAAACTTACCAAAGGGGGAGGTGTTGTTGTTGACTTTACATTATTGGGCGTCTTACTAGTGCGTACAATGGGAGTAGGCTTGCGAAGGGAATTACGGGGTCCATCAGCTGAAGATGCTGTGTCACGTACTCTGCTTTGATGGGGTGATGTTCCTGAAACAGTTGATTTCTTTGTTGTTGTAGTGGTAGTGGGCTTTTTGGAGGAGGAGGAGGAAATGGTCTTTCTATTAATAACTTTTACAGGGATTGAAGAAGAGGATGATGAAGAAGAGGAAACAGAATCCTTGCCAAAAGTACTTTTGAACCATTCTATTTCGGTGTGTGCATGATCCGGGTTCAAGCTTCCGTGATATAAACTTTAAAAAAGAGGGTAAATACTCGGAGTTTAATAAAAGACTGAAAGGAAATCATACCTTTTTGATTGTGATGCATCATGAATGATATTTAACCAATCTTCAATTGCATTTGAACCTTCTAAAATAAAACCAAATACAGTATATCTATTTTTAACAAAGAAAAGAGATTAGTTACTTTATATCCCTGCTACATAATAATCATTATCCTCTTACGCTTCTCTAATCTTCTTGTTTAATACTTTGCTTGCAGACTCAATTGTTAATTCAAATCGTCTTTCTGCGATAATTTCAAGTTTCGATATCTTTTTCAGTATATCGTTTCTTGTATGAAGAGGCACTATTCCAAACGTTTGTTGCATTGTATATAAGAAAGAAAGAGAGAGAGAGAATGTCTGGTATGCATTAATGAAAATGTTATTTAAACCATAATAAAAATTAAAACACTTACATTTTCTTTTTGTGCAATGAAAAAAAAAAAAAAAGAAAGAGAAAAAGACAATAAAAGCTCAATTGGAAAATAAATAAATAAAAAAAATATATATAAGGGGCCAGTGAATCTCAAGTATGACAAGGACTATTACAAAAACGTGGGCAATGAGCTTTCCAAAACACGACGTGGTCGGAGTCAGATGACAACATTATATTCTGTTGTCTATGATTTACACATTCCTTTGCAGCACAATCCTGAAACACGAAGCCATTCCTCCCACAAGAATAAAAAAATCTTTCGCTTTTTCAGATTTGCTCACACATATAGTAAAATAATCCCGTGTAGCATACAACACATGGAAGACAAGAAATCATCTAACTTTTAACTGCTACTACTACGCAAATATGCAAAGCCCATGTCTGATGACGATGACACTCTTACTCCTCGAAACACCGAGAAATAACTATCCAAGGATTGTGTACCACATTTTTTCCAAATCAAAAAAGAAGCCTTCTTTTTTGTCAACATGACCATGTGCGCCAAGTATAATTTGACAAAATAAACAACCGTGCCACACAGCCAAAAAAAAAAAAAAAAAAAAAAAAAAAAAAAAAAAAGGTCAATGCTAACACTCTCACACGAGTTTAATCATTCCTAATTGATTAGTAGGTCTTCGTGCATAAGCTTACAAACCGTAAACCCATGTAACTATATTAGAATGGCAGTAATGTCCCTCAGTATTACATCACATACACGCGCAGTAAGCATACACTACAATTAAATACGATGAAACACGTACCTATTTTTGGATATACGATTATACATTTGCTTATCCCCAAAAAAATAATAAACGGTAAAAATGACCGCAGCAGTGTTAGGAAACCATGAAAAAAAAAAACTATCCTGGAATGAATACATCAGCGATTGTAGGAATGATAACCCTTGAACATTCAGCGGCGTAACCCCTCCCCCTCACACAGACATGATATTGTCCAATTTAGCTAATGTCGGTAAGTCAATTGTTCATTAAATATAACTTATTTTGGTCAGTTGAACTAAACTAGTTTATATTTGCCTATGGCTGAAAGGTAATGAGATAAGGCTTCGAAGAACAGTAAAAGTACATGTGTAGACATGAAAAGTATCCAACAATATTTAACTGACCGGGATTTTCAATCTTTGATAAATTCACAAGCAGCCCAAGAGCTTGTCCAACTTCAGATCATTGTCTTACCTAAGGATATAACCATGAAGCCGAGATATGGGATTATTTGAGCAACATGATGAGGAGGTTCAATTGGCTCGTACGGAAATAACCTGTGTCTACAATGCTGGCTTTCAATTTTAACACGAGCCACACAGTACTTGACATGGCTTATTTTATTTGGTGTTCTCACATGCAGCATCTACAGAACAGTGAGTAACAATAGAAAAATACAATTTTATCAGGAATTATGTTATTCAACCGTTAAACTCTTGCAAAAAAACTGTTTTGATCAAATTCCTTTGTGTGTATTAATCTGAGCCAAGTTCTCATTCTTTATTATGTGTCATACTTTACAAGCATCACAGCGCAGTACGGCTGCAGCAAATACATATAACTGTAGACACGGATACATGGTTCTACTTTTGATTTCTGTATTTTGATACATCACTGTAGCTTGTTTGACTATATCTTTTGTATCTTTTCTTTTTATACGTGTATCTTATTTTTGGGTAATAGGATTCCAATTCTTTATTCAAAGCCAGCAGGGACCACTATACTAGTTTGTATCATGAGTTACTTTAAGGGTTTAACTGCGGTTCCAAACATACGATTAAAAGTGGAATTACAGGTATTATTAAGAATAGTATGATCTGAATAAAAAGGAATGGATTTAAAAACATACGTATATTAAACTAATTTTATTGCTAGAATAATGAGGGCTTTGTAAATCATGATACTAATTTGAATCAATAGCATAGTTGATCACAGACTGCTTCCATGCAAGTATCATCGGGACTTCTTGGAAAAACGTTTTAAGTTTTCTGGGCGTATTTGGTATGTCATTATTTGCAGTTATGCTCCTATACATAACAGTGTTGTACGTGTGGAGTTTCACCGCAAAATTTCCATCGCGGTCAATTTTTGATCAAATGTCAACGGGCAAAAATGCGATCAAATTTTGACCGTGATCACAATAAATGTGGCCAATTTTTTTTTACCGTAATCGCGGCGATGGCAGTCAACTTTTGACCGTATTCATCACGGTCGCGGTTAGTTTCTACACTTTCTGACAGTAACTTCGCGAATGCGATTGCTGTTGATATAGGTAGAGATTTAGCGTCGAATAATTGGACTTAACAAGACATAGTATTGCCATAACATCGCATGCAAAGCATTTGATCTGTATCAGTATCTTTCATAATTTTTACCATGTTACGATACAACTTCTCGATATTGCTTTAATTCTTGCGAGGTGATGTCTTGTCATTTATACCCCCTGAGAATTCTATAAGTACCGGAGCAATAGACTTGTTTTTAACCTTGAAGAGGATGCCATCAAATGTTCGTCGACCTGTTAGAGAGAACTCTCTCTCGAGCCATGAAAGTTCTATGACATCATTATTTGAGAGGAACAACTGATTAATAAGATAAATGATCAGATAAGCTGCTGACGTCCTCTCGAGCATGGTTTTGTTTATTGGGTTTTGAGGAGACTTCATCAAATCCAAACTACAGATGTGGGGATTAGCGATATGTAAGTATGAATAATATGTCAACTAAAGTTTTTTTTGTCATATTTACAAGTACCTGGCTGTTACTTCGATGAAGCCAGCGTCATGATGGGCAACAAGATAGAGCATTGTAATTATTGCTCTTGAACGAGGAATTCCTAGTAAACGCAAGTCATCAAAATCGCTTCGGAATCCATTTTTATAGAGTACTTGACTTAGTATCTGAGATGATAGGGATGCCTCAATAAGTGAATTGCTAAGCTCTGTAGTATAAGTAGACAATGTCACCGATAGTTTGGTTTCTTCAGTTATTAGATTGTAGCGGTCATTTCCAATCTCCGATCTCAATATATCTACAATGTTGAGTTTTCCTACTCTACTCAATATTGGATAGATTTTCTTAAACTATGTAGTCTTATCAACTTTTACAAATAGTTGTACTTACCACCATTGCGCTCAAGTTTTGTAAATCTCGACAAACTCTTGAGAACAAATGATACCAAAATGTTTCCGATGTAATTTGAGGAGCATTTGTGTTAAAGGTTAGTAGCTGAAGACTTCTGTTGAGAAGCTCGCGTACGTTTCTGAATTGACGAATAATATCCGCACAGGTTTGAATCATACGCGACATCATATCCATCATTAACCAGACCTGGAAATTATCTTCTTGAATAATTGCAACATCTTCCGCAATGTAGGCTTCGTGTATTTGGTTAGTTACTCTTAATGTGCGCTCAAGCAATATACGCACTATGACGGATTTGCTGTTTGTTGTAAACAACTTTGGTCGCAAAATCAACAACTGTTGGTGACCCTGCAAGCAAGTTTGTTGATTGATTTTTTTTTTTCAGAAAAAATAGTCTCAAAAGCTGGGATTGAACAAATGTTTTTATTGATCATGCGTATCCTCTCTCTCGTTCTTATTAAGAGCCCAAACTGGGAATGACGGATATTGCGAGGAGCCATAAGCTAATTCTTAGGGAAGAAGTAGTTATCACAATGGTTATTAAGTGACATTTTGACCGAAAGTATGTTGATTGGTATTATGGAAATAAAAGAGATGACATGTATTCAGTAAATTCTTGTCAGTTGTAGACTTGGGTCTTGCATTTCCATAAATTAACTAGTTAGGACGCCAGAATAGTTAGACAGGGTTGGGTCTTGGAAATATCCACCGTCATTGGATGGATAATTGCTGCCGTCTATACATGTTACACGCCTTGGTGATACGTTCGATTTGTGAGTCTGCAATGTGATCGCGTCCTAATACTTTTCGGTGTGTTTGGCAAATTCAGAAAGATTGTTTGTTTATCCCAAACCCCAAATTCCGGCACTATATTCACTCAAGCCTTATCAACTTACGTTTTCTAGCGGCCGAAAAACACTGTCAAGTCGAAAAGAATTATTAACCTTTGATTTTCCCAAGGATATTTTCAATATTTACGTCAACCATATTTGTATATAAAATCGGGTATTTGAATTGCCACATAGTAAAACCATAAGTCCAGAATTGCATTACAGTTTCTTGCCTTGTATCACCTTTATGTGCCTCCGATAATAATGCTTTTATTGTCATGTGCTCTGATGTTTGTGAACTTAAGAGGATAAATTAATTGAGAGTGTTTTTATTAAAGAAATAACCATTATGTATATATGTATAGAGTATGTGTAAAAAAAAAAATAGGTTTAAAATTGTGTAATATTAGTCATCTTTCTAACTTCTCTTCTGACAGCCCAAGCTTTTATGATTTGTAAAAAGGCGACATAAGTTAAAGTCATGGCAGTGAGAGCCACACAGGCATTCATTAAGAACATGGAATCCACCTGGTTTCTCCTTAACCAAGTCATTGTACCCGAATTTGAAGCCATAAACAAGATGGAGCCACAAATTAATAAAAAGGCACCCAATAATTCGGAAGGAGGTCGTGTAGGTAATGTATCGTTTGGTGTGTTACGGTACAAGGAGATATAAGTGATAAACCGGCAGATAGCAGCACAGGACAAGAGAAGCCCCCACATAAAATGAATGTTGGTGGAATAAGCAGTATCTTGATGATGATTTCCCATGGAGATACCGGTCATTAGTACTGTCAGCGCAGGGAAAGGGTTCAGTGATAATGTGCTGGTAGTAGAACGTTCTAGAAGTCGACGGATAGCCCGGCTTTCGACCAAAATACCCACAAGACCGCACCACCACCACATGAATGCAAGACTGGCGTGCTCAAGATCTTTATGTGTCCATGCTGAATCTTGCCCGAAATGCTCCATCCATGTATTGGTGATACCATAAACAAAAATCAGACAGGATTCAATCATTTCAAAGCTATAACTTGAACTTCCTTCATTCCAAGCCCAGCCTCGATTGGCAAACGCACCCAAGTATCGACCAAAGGTAATGATACCGTAAAAAAAGAAAATACCACCTTTGATTAAATGCGCAATACAACCAAGTACTTCCCAAGACCTGAATAAATTTCATAAGTATACATGTGCATCTCAACAAAAGCAGCGAGAGAATGATCATTACCTACATACGCCATGATAGACAACAAGACCACTGAGGGTCTGAACAAATGCTAGTACGATAAAGGTTCTTCCCATCACCATGTGATAGTACTTGCACACGACCTTGGTAAATGAATTATAAGCAACAGCGACAAAGGCATTCTTGACCAGGGTAGGTGTATAAGTGGATACAAAAGTATAGAGACGAGACTGAGGCAAGTAATCCTCTTTGTCAAAATCAAACTCTCCATTTTGCAAAGTTTCGCCGCTTGACTCACTCTGGCGACGCTCCTCGGTTTCAGGGTCCAATATCTGGTAGGAGGTATTTCTAGCAATGGCGTTTGATATCTTTCGAATGACACCGACCAACATTTGCACGCACAAAAATAGAAATAAAATCCAGCCTAGTGTATGATGGGAGTTCCCTGCATATAAATGAGGTGTTGAGTGACCGTACAATTTGGCGAAGAAGAAACCGACCATAGCAAAGACAAAGGCACCTAACTGGACAGGAACATGAAGTGAGGATTTGGCTATGCCCAACATGATACCGATAGGCATCAGGACCCAGAAGGCTAAAACCATCATGGTGACATGAATATAAAAATAAGATTTATCAGCCGGCAGTAAAGCGTAAGACATGGGCTCGTCTCCTGTGGCATTGAATGCTGGCATTTCTTCCATAGCATGGTGTTGTGCTGATGCTAATTGTATGGCACACAGACTCAGTAAAAGAGGCCACTTCATTTGTGCTGTTCTAATGGGAAAAATAGGATTAAGTATAAACTAAAAAAGAAGAATGGATAAATAAATAAAAAAGGCATGATATTTATAGTTTATCATGGAGAGAGGCTTTAGGGAGAGGGTAACTCTCCGACACACAGTTCAGTCTATGCCCATTGTATGTGCGTGAGATCTTGTTCAAACATTGAAGATTCACTATTGTATATACAACACTTTACCCCTTTCATAAGATAAAAAAAAAGGGCGTTCTCCTGTTTTTCTACATGTTTTTTCTCCTTGAACCAAATGGCCTCTTTTTATTGTGACACCATTCAAACAAACAGCTGCGGTGGAGCCGTGATCAATCTTAAACACGGATAATTTTTAATTTTTTTTTTTAATTTTTTTTTTACCCGTCCTTATATCAAAAAATGAAGCTTTTTTTTAAACATTGACCAACACGTAATGCATTTTTTTCCATACACGAACAAACAATGGCCCTGTTTTCTAGGTTCATGCACAAATTTTTAATTTTGAAACGAATGTATTTTTTTCTGAAGTGTGTTATGTGTAACAATGGAAAATCTTCTTTACCCGAAATCCTGCAAAACCACAGGGGTGGGAAGGGTAAAGTTTTTTTTGTTCTCCCGAGACGTTCTGTATTGTTCTATGACGATGATAAAAAACTCGGGATATTCGTCTTTGAAACGGACCATTTATTTTTCCGGGGGGTAGTGAATGAACATTAAAAGTTAGATAATGGGACGAGGTGAGAAATATTCACGCCTGTACGACATAGAGGACATTCGGCCTTGTTTTGACACCATTCAACAATACAATTCCAGCAGAACAAATGACCACAAGGTGTGGTTGTCGTCATCGTACGCTGCTCCAGACACAAGGCACACTTTAACATTTGCGATGCCTCATAACTCATCTCTTCCTCTTCTTCAGGTTCACTCATAATCGAATCCATAAAGTCAAAATTATCGTCGTCGTCGTCGTCGTCATGGTTATCGCGCTTCTTTTCTTCCGTAAGATCCGACTCGACTTCCGATGATTTTACTTGTTTCTCAGCTTGATGTTCGGCAATTCTTTTGCGGATAGTCAATCCGCCTTGAATAAGTAACTGCAGCGTGATCAATATGCCCAATATTTCGTATCCTGCTCTTTGTTCATTGGGTCCCAATTGGCGCGTGAATATCTAACCTTTCTCCCACTTTAGTTATCTTTCTCACCCAAATAAACAACACAGTAACTTACGTATCGAATGCCAGTGAACCTTTTAGAAAAATTGTAATAGGCACCAAAGAAATAGAAAATGGCGAGATGCACTGGGCGAACATTCTTGACAAAAAACTCTTGAATGGCATGGATGTGTGTCTTGATAAATTGCTGCACTGAGTGTTTCAAACCTTGTTTGTTTTCCAATGTGATGTGTTGAGGCGAGTTTCTCTTCAGTTGGCTGATACCACGGGTATATACATATGGCAGCACGGTTTGCACAAATACAAGCATGCATCGGCGCTATATACATGTTGGGGGATATGTCAATATGTTTGTATAGGCAGTTTAAATAATAAGAAACCTACGAGCATGCCAGGAAACGTGTGTGTGTATTGGTTGATTTGGACAAGATCACAGTATTCTTCGCCTAGTGTTTGTGTACCCAATAAAGTCGTTAACCCGTAATAACAAAAGTTGGATAATGTATTGATTTCCTTTTGCCATTGATGTTGCCGTCTGGCACCTAATTAATTAAGAAAAGTCAGCGAATGAACATGAGAAAAAAGGACGAAGTTTCGTCATTTTACCGAGAAATTGTTGAGCGACTCTTGTCATTTGCTCTTGAAGGACCAATTGGTAATAAACATCCTTTTGATTTGCACGAACTGTAAACTCAACGTCAGTCTGTTTCTACATGTAAGGGCAGCAACACTTACTGATATCGGGCTGTGCACCAAAAGGAAAGTCAATGTCAAGTTGTGCCATGTTGAATAAAGGAAAGATGTCGACTAGGTTTTTTTTTTTAAAAAAAAAAAAATGTGGGAGGCAGGAATTCTCACATGTTTGCTGTGGGAGATAGAAACTTAGTCAGCCAGAATTTGCCGTTACCAGAAATATTGACACCAGCGTGGTGACAAGTTGTAGAGTGGACGTCGAGTTGTAACTTGATCCCTGAAAGATCTAAGGGTACCCAAAACGAAGAAGGGATCAAACGACATGGTAAAGTTCTATACACTACCGAATTCGTTTATTAGTGGAAATACAGACATCTTTATTCAAAAAAAGTACTCATGGTGCTGAAACTGGATTTTCCCCTGTAATCTTTTACGAGTTGCCATGAATGATCTATATGTCAGTTTGATAAACCTTATTCATCGGTGTCACTTACCGGCCCTAATCATACATTTGTAGCCCTATAATATGTTCTTGAAATCAAGAGATAGGAGAGCACTTGCATAAATATCTGATATGCACCCTGTAAGTAGAAAGATATGGCTGATATCGAAGTATAATCATACAGTTAAAGAAGATAAACCCCTTATTCAAGCTGGATGACTAAGCATACAGGAAATAGAAAATTTTTAAAGGACGATGGCGCAATAAGAAAAAGGAATTATTAATTTTATTTTGTGATATAAGGGCATGTTGAATGTGTGTTTACTAATGTTGAATTAGAAAGTAAAGACGTAAAAAGGGATTATAATGTTGGATGATAAATGAGAAAAAAAAAATAGATTGTTGAAATTACAGAAAAAAGGGTGGGGGAGTACAAATCAATGTTGAAAATATGATACAGAAAGAAATGATATAATGTTGAATTAGTTAGGAGAAGGGGGGGAAATAAATATGTTGAAAGTATTTTTGAGATGTTGAAATATATAGAGAGATAAATGTTATGTTGAAATATTTAAAATGTTGAATTTTTTGGTTGTTGTTGTTGTTTGTTTGTTTAAGCCTTTTGCTCAGCTACCTTGTCAAGCAGTAAACTACGAAGAAACTTAATTTCTGTCTCCAAGTTGTTCACTCTGTCTTGCAAGCTATCGGACTTGACAGTCATTTCACGCACCGATTGCTCCATGGCTTGTTCTCTCATCTTCTTCTTTACACGGAATCGTGCACTGGCAGCGGTATTACGACGACGCTTATCTTCGTCTGGTGTTTGGTTTTGTTCTTCTTCATCATCTTCTGCTTGTTCTTCCACAGTTAAAGCACGCTTTAATCCAGCAGAGGACTTCTTGGGTGTGGGAACAGTGGCAGCAACCACAGGAGCGGGACTAGGCGCAGCAGCAGCAATGGGAGCGGACAAAAGGGAGGCTAAAATGGATGCATTGACAGGGGGTTTGGGCATCAAAATTTGACGTGGAGGAGCAGCGATCACAGGTGCGGCCAAAGGTAGGGCAGGAGCCAAGGGACGTGGTTGGATACGTTTAGGTGCAGGCTTTTGATCTAATTTAACTTGTTGTTGTCTTGGTAACTCATAGTCAAGGTAGTTGACAAGTGTATCGTAAGTCTCGGGGTCTAAACCAGAAGCAGATTCGAATTCGCAGGCATTAATGCTTGGACTCTTCTTCTTTTCTTCGTCATAGATACCCACTCCAGGTTTAACATCAAATGTAAATTGTGCGTTACTCTATTAAATTCAAGGGCGTTAATAAAAAAATTTTTTTTTAAATAAACGGTTATTATATTACCCATAAGTCAAGTTCATCTGCAACATCTTTTTCAGATTGAATGGCTTCACTGGGTGAATCAAACACAAGAGAATCAAGGCTTGACAAGTATGCGTCGTATGGTGGGTATGTCATGTTTTATGTATGTAGAATTGGGCTTCTTTCTTTTTAAGAAAAAAAAAAGTATAAAGGAAAAAAGTGAAAAAGAAAAAAAAAATCAAAACAAAAAGGACGAGATTATATAGGGGCGGGGGGGTTGGACGAATATGATTGAATTGGCGCTCTGTAATAAAATAAATATAAGACCCGCGGTTACACGCAGCACCAATGAAGCCAGATGTTAGTCAATTGTTGTCAGATGCATACACCTGCTAGTGAAACTAGTGTCAAAGTAAATGTAGATAATGTTATAGTGGCAAAGTGTTAAGCTTTAGTGTGGTATCGGGTAAAAATAAGAGGTGATTTATTTATTTGTCATTTGTGAGTGGAAAATATATCGTGTAGCCACTAGTGCGACTAAGAAAGAAAAAGAAAAGAGGGTTACAAAGTAAGAGAATGAAATGAAGAAGGAGTGAATGACAAATGAGGATTTCCAGCATTGGGCACTGATAGTCTGTTTTTGCTTATGAGATTAGTCACAACTATGGGGGAGGGGGCTAAAAAGGGAAGACTTACGGGCATAGTCAGTCTGTCGGGGACATGGCTGAATGTTTCAGTACCATACCGCAGCTCAATATCTACTTTTTGGAAGGTCTTTATGGTAGAACACTTGACAACATGCACAATTAAATACAAGGTGAAACAGCTAACAGAGGTAACAGCAACAAAAACAAACTTTTCTAGCCGACTATAGCCTCTGGTAGGTGAATATCTCCCTTTGCAGCGGGTGCAATAGCGTGGTCGACCATTCTTATCTGACCAATCAAGAAAGCACTTTTCATGGGCCAGGCTATAATTTAAAGAAATAATTAATGCCCCCCTCTGCCACACACACACCCCTTATTTGCTTTTAAAATATAAACATATATAAAAAGGGCTATTACTAACTATGGTTTGCTTTTTACAACACAGTTGCACGGCTGCACCAGTTCACTCTCACTAACTTGACAGCAGATGCTGCAAAACTATAAATAAGAAAAATGTTATTATTATTCTTTTCCATTTGGTCAATGAGCATGCAAAAAAAAAAAAAAAAAACTAATTTCAATACCCAATCAAGAGGTGAATTCACTTCATAATCTTCTACTAAAAATGCATTTTGACGAGTTAAACAAGGTGTAGTCATAATTCTTGTAAATTTTTTTATTCTTTTTTTTTTCTTATAAATGATATGAATGTAGTTCAAATTTCTATAAAACCTACTTTATGATTTTTAACTTTTTTTTTCTTTTTTTTTTTTTTTTTTTTTTTTTGATATATAATGGTCGTTGTTAAAAAAAAGAGCGTTCAACTACAAGAATAAAAATTGCATAAAATAACAAAAAAAAGGAGAAAAAAAGGAGGAAAAAGGCGATTATTTATTGGAGCTATTTTTATACCTTTACTCAATATCTATACACCAGGTGACTTAACTTAATAAAGGTGTATGCTCATTCGGCTGCTCATCACGTTTAAATAACTCTTGCCAGACCCCCACAAATAAAAACTTGATATCTCGAAACGCATTGGCTTTATATTGACGTACTCTTTCAGGTCGAAGTCGATGCTTGCCATCAATTAAATGATGTACACAGTACTACAATGATAAAAAGTCAACAACAAAAACCAATTTGAACATATCACGAATAAATTACATAGACCACGGATAAAACGCCCAGACTGGTAGTAGCTGATACCATAAATGTCACAATCTGTTGATACCGCACAGCATTCAAAATGGATCCACCACCCAAGATTTGGCCACTCATGGCACCTGGTATGGTAATCATTCCGATTACAGACATCTGGTTTATCGTTGGTAACATGGCGATACGAATGGCTTCTATGGCAACCGCTTTACCTGCCTCCCATCGACTGGCGCCAAAACTCAGATAAGTCTCGATTTGGTCCGACTGTTCTCCTACTTTGGTCAGGCAGGTAGAAATAGCTACTGCCATTCCACCAGCTGTAATTCCCAGTAATAACCCAATAGTAGGGATGAATAATTCCGGTAACAGAAAATTGGATTCATTCATGGCAAATCGTGTCCCTAATACACCTATAAATAAGGTTGAAAATGCTGTAGATATAAACACCGACGGAAACTTTTTTTTTTTTGATTTTAGCAGTGTGACATGTGTGAAATCTCGTATTTATTCCATACCATTCCTCGAAAGGACCAATCTGATTTATTATAAACAGTCTCGCACGAACTCAGAAAGATTAAAGTAACTGATTAAAAAAACTGGTTACCTTTCCATTCGTTATTATTCTATGTTTCTACTTACATGTCATCAGCATGACGAGGATAGGATTCTTGGCTCTAAAAACGCTATCAAGAATCTGACCCTAAAAAAGAAAGTCAAAAAAAGTCAAAATAAAAAAAAAGTGATCATAAATTACCATAATTGTGAGTTGAACAATACATCTGATGGAACTTGTCAAAAGTGATTTTTCTAATTTTAAACCGAGCCCCATGGATATAATGCCTAAATGATAGACATCAATACCCGGAAAAGATTTAAGTTTTCTCTAAAAGTGTTACCATTCACCACAAGAAATCCAGCAGCAATAGCCACATTCTTCCATGATAAATCGGGCACCTTGTTTTCCTGTATTAAGAATTGCTGTGTCGTATTTAACAGTTCCATTTCTATGATGCCTAGCTGTGAGGAAAAGGTAAAAAGAAAAGATGGATTTGAAAAAAAAAGGGAGAGAAAAAAAGGGTTTCCCAAAAATAAAATCTTTTTTTTGTCTTTCTCTCCTTTTTAAAGACCCGAATGACGTACGTTAACAGGGCTGACATGGCTAATTGACATTATTACCCCGTAAAGCAAGGTCTTTTCCCCAAGTGTCCACACATGAAACGTTTTTCTTCTTCCCGGGAATGTTGCATTAGACTGCCTTTGCGTACACAAGCTCATTGTAGTTCAAACATGTAACAGTTAAATTAATTCTTGTCACTGTTTATGAAACTACGCACATAAGTCCTTGTCCTCCCATGATTCAAATGCTTTTTTTTGTAACAGTTCAAAATACCACGGAGTGCTCTAATTTACCACAATGAATACGTCCCATCGCAAGTAGATAGTCTTTATGCAGACCGAGATTAGGGGGTTTCAAGCTCAGCGTTGTGGACAATTTGACATGTTTGTTTTATGGCATAGATAATAAAGGTACAAATACACTCTTATCAGATGGTAGAAAAATATTATGAAACAATGTTATTTTTAAGGATTGCTTGTACACAAATGATGTGCTACTGGGACTGACTGCGCTAACTTAAATAAATCCCATAAATGAGGATAGTTTTATCCCTTGAAAAAAAAATGAAATGATCTATTCTGCATTGTAATTGTTATCTTTTCATTTTATACACTTATACACTTTATTTTTGATCTTTGGCAGCAAAGAAATAATGCTTTAGATCCTGCAAAGAACAATAAGTGCGGAGAGACACTTGTACTAGTGACATTGATAGGTCACTCAAAAATTAGATATCTGTCGACACAATATTCCAAAAAGGGAGTAGTTTATAGAAATCTACATCTAATAGCTTACAGAATGAAAGTGAGCTTTAATCAAGTACAATCTTATTAAAAACAAGCACCTCGGAATATATATTACATGTTCAGCACTTTGGAACAATTACTCGGAAAAAGCAGACCGAGTCTATAAGCTGAAGAAAAAGTGTGTACAAGGTTCAATAGCTATATTTGTGTCACCTACTAAAGCTATCCGAATTGGCGCGATGTAAATAAAGAATGTGTCTCTTTTTCAAATTTATCATTTCATTTCTGTTTAACCCAATCACAGTGATGAAAGAACACCATAGTTTTTCTCGATATGATTATTGCATTATTTTTGGTATCTATTCAATAGCATTGCATACTTTAAAGAAATGCTAACTTACTATAGAATTTAACAGCATAACATGCTTTTCTGCAAGTATTGCCACTACCGGCCAATATTTTGGAACATCCATCAATTCTAAGTAAGTGAGAGGTTTAGTGGCATTATTCTCCTTTTTTAATAAATAATCTGGCAGTCTAAAAAGAGCAAAGGAATCCAAACTTGCAATAGTGTGTAATAGTAGCGACGGAAACATTTTATATCAAGGAGACTCAGCGGATGAGGAGTGGAAGTTACAAGAAAATCGAGAAAATAATGTTTATGTGCGTAACGTCTTCCTGGAACTTGGAATGAATTTTTTGAATACTCAAGACGGCGAGTCTAACAAAAACGATATACATCACAAAGCTGCAGTCCAGGGCATTATACGTGCTTTAGAAGAGGAGATAGAACATTGGGAGAAGAAGTTAAACAGTTCGAGGACACAGTTCCAATATGTATTCAATGTACCAACTCATTGGGATTACGCGATAAGAGAAGAACTCATTCGGCCTATATTTATCCAAGCCGCATTCATCGACAAACATGATCATGGTCGATTAATTTTTTTCACTCGGCTCGAATCAACATTTCGCTTCATTCAATCGGAAGACAAGTCATTTGAAAAAGTAAAAATTCAAAATGGCAAGCAATATATGATGTGTACTTTGGACTTCGGTGCTACAACATATATAACTTTAGACTTATTTACAGCTCGATACCCTTCATTTACGTCAGTCGAAAATAACTATGTTCCACAAGCATTAAAGTCGATTTTTTTCACAGCTCCTTTCAAACGAAAAGAAGGAAGAGAGCGGATCCAAACATACTTAGAAAATAAATGTGGCTTCTTAATTCCAACTAAATTACTTGATGTGCTGGGCGATGCAGGGAAAGTCTATACGGATAAGGTATTTAAACTTTTTACCTCTTTGGACGTCAAAGATAAAATCTAAACACGCGTTTTTATATGTAGAACATAACCAAAATGTCATTACAAAGCTTTCAAGCATGCCAAATCTTCAAAAATGTAAATGAATTACATCATGAACAGTACCGTTTGAAGCAGAACGAGATTGAATTTATTGAATCAATAACCATTGGCGATATCTATGCAGATTTTCCCACCAGTTCTCTCGGAACAGCATTAATGAATCAAATTGGTAATTTGCTTACACACACAGAAAAAGCAAATATTCTAGCGTTGATCATTTTCACAACTGATACTACTCTTTGCAGTTTCGATTATAATTTTGTGAAAAAGCGTGTCGAACATATACTAAAAACATTTGGTACACAACAAAGCAGATATTCCCTGATGACATTTCAATATAATGAGGTCGAGCGTTTACATTTAACTTTTAATGCAAATAGTCTGATGAAAAGTAGTTCAGACCTCATAATAGATTATATAAAGGAATTTAACAAAAACAGAGACCCAATTATATTACCGTCAAATCCAGAAGAGGGTCAACCAAATCCCGTCTACTTTATCAATATAGGTATTATATAAGTAAAACTATCAGTTTGGTCAAGTCAACTTATTTTTTGCAAATAGATATTCTTCCCACAAATCTCCAATTTGTTATTACCCACGTGGGAGAAGGTGGTTTCCCAGAGAGACCTGCAGAACGTATTCAATGGTACTTATATGGTCACAAATGCAGGTCAGTTATAGTACAACTAAAATCGACAAATCATATTGATATAGTAATATACAACCTTTGGACAACTTTATTACACTTTCAGGCTTAGGCCAAATCTCAGCACTTCGGATGACCAACAGGTAGTAGTTAATTGAGTACGTCATACAACATTTATTTCATTTTTCATTTATAAAAATTGTGTCTAGGGTGAAACTATTTGTAGAGAATGCTTTTGGTGATTACCTTAAAAAATATTCAGACATCACTCAGCAAAATGACATTAGACATCTGTTTATGTGTTCTGGATCAACTCTGCTCGATGAGATATTGATCGACGTTGAAGAAAATTGGGTTTTTGAAAAAGATAGCTCGGATTTTACAGCGATAAATTGTCAGTCAGGTTATGCCTATTTTTTTCTAGTAACATATTTGTACTATCTCAATAAGGCGGTAAAAGATAAATTGGACGAATCATTTGATGAGAGTTGGAGAGATAAAAGCATCGGCTATGCCATATCTATTGAAAAGAGCCTATTGGATAACTTGTTCGTCTCAGAGAAAATAAATGAATTGCTTTTTGCCTGTGGAATTCTCATCAAAGATGATGAGCGTTACCGAGCAGATGTTTCAAGCTATGGTGAAGACATACTCCCCTCCATTCAAAAAAAGCTTGGAGATTTGCAATTTAAAATGAAGTCATATTTCGTGGTGGCTCAACTACACCCAGCGCACATCCGGCTCGCTTTGCATCAGGTCGTTAGGCTTTCATCTGCTGACCAAAACGCAGCCACTATCATTGTCGAAGATGAAATAATACAGACTGAGAATGTTTATGACACCATGTGTAAAGTGATATGGGTAAACATGGTGAACAATCAGCATATTAATTATTGTGCTGAACACAGTAATAAAGAAAACATAGCTCACCATTGGGAATCAGCCCAAGCTAACAATGACATTTTTAAACACTTAAAACCATGCGTGTTGGATATCGTAAGTAGAAATCAACTTGTAATGCTCACTCAGTAACCATTTATTTTAATCATTTAAGCTTAACGACATACGCTTGGGCATGGACCACATAAAATATATGAATATAAGTACTGAATGTGCTTGTACTATTGGTCTCTCTCAACGTTATGTTCTTGATATTGGCTTTAAGCCAATCATCCAAAAAATTGCAAAAATTGCTGCAGCTTCCTTGACAAATCACAAATTATTTGGATGCTACGAAGTTAACTATGTATTTGTACTAGGAAATCCGTTTAATCTGCCCCCTAGCTCAGTACATTATAGTACACATAACATATTAGTTCAAAAAGCTCTGGATACTGCAATCCACTTGAAGGGAAAAGTTGCACAGGGGGTTTCCCTACTGGAATCTTTTGATAAATTATTAATTCCGGTTACGCTCAGTAAGCCATACATGTACGACAGATTTATCTATGGTGCATTGCGCCAAGTAGCAGGAAAGACATATGGAATACGCTTGGTTGATAAAAGGAATCAGTTTCAATCCTTTCGTCGTGAAAACTGTACAGCCATTGCACCGGATGATGGCAGTTACATGTTGGTTCTTAAGAAAGGACAACCAATCCCCATTATGGGATTGACAATAGAGCTTCGTCTAGCTTTTGAATATGTAGGTTGTACAAGAGTGAGTAAGTACTTTTTATTATGGGAATATGTCACTACATCATAGTTGATATAAAACATTGTAACTCTCTTAGGCATTACTGAAGCGCAAAATCCAAATGAAGTCGTGTACAATGGGCTAATTCTATTACCAAAAGATTCTACAGGTGTTATGTCTCGGCTTCGGGTCATGAATGAAAATGGATCCTCAACACAAATAATTTTAAAGTTTAAGAAAATTAACCATAATCATTCTTTACATATCTCATTGAGAGCTCAAGGAGGCGAAGACACATTTCCACAAATTCAAAGAAGACATATTGATTTAGAAGAGCCTCTCACACTCGCTTATGCCTGAAAATTGTTAAATATATCAAAATAAAGATCTATAAGATATCGATACTTTTTCTGTTTTGCAAAAAAAAATGAACACTTGTACGGGGGATACAGCTCGATTGTGACGATAAATCTCTCAAAAGACAAATGGCGTTTTTTTATTATGTTTTTTTTCAGTCAAAAACCATAACAAAAAAACAACTATGCTCTCATCTTGTTTTTCAATTTACTAAATTTTATCAACACACATCCCTAAGAAGTCGTTGTGTGAAAAACATGATAGCCTGCAATTTGATTAAGAGCTCATTATGTGGGCAGACTTGCCCTTGTCTATTTGACAAAAAAATGTCCAAAATCGAGCCTTAAAACACAATACGTGATATAATCATTTTTTGGTGCACCAAGAATTGTCCTTTATTTGGAAGAAGATTGGAAGGAAATCGGAGACAAATGTGATTTGTGCGGTTGCAAAGAAGGCGAAGAACAAGGTTCGCGCCAATTATGTCATCTATGGGACCAGTAAGTCGATGACACTGTATACACTTTATGATTACTTTACTCATTAATTTAAAGAAGCAGACACGGATTTCATGCAGGAGTACTACAATGACAACGGAGCTACCCTTAGCTCCAACCTTGAGTACTTCGCCAAGCCTTACGACGAAGCTCTGGAGGTAAGACCCGGTAAGTTTTTGTTTATAAAAAAACGCGGCTGTGCAAACATTAATATCAGTTTCTTTTGCTTATGTTAGATCCTACCTATGAACTCGTTGAAGAGCCACTCCCAAAGAGGGGAGAAAGAACCTGTTGTGAAACAGGACAATATGCAGATTTTCAATACAAATTGTTATTCATAAGTTATTCAGCTTTTTATCTATAATCTACTATGAACGTCTTCTTACAACTTGCCTATCAAATATTATATCGTCTATATATAACTGGCCTATTATCTGTCCGTCTCCCTAGAAAAATAGATGCCTAACTAGTCTCTTTTTCTCTGTAGCTGTTTACTCAAAACCTCTTTTTATCTTATTCTCTTTACTGGCTCGCTACCATTTATATGCTTATCAATTATTGATGTAAAATAACGTGATGCCCAGAATTATCTGAGACCATAGTGAGTATTATCAGCACCAATATATAGCTTCCAAAACCCAAAAATAAATTGAAAATTTTGCTCAAAAGTGATTTGTAAAAAATACATTATATAAAATATAACCTTTTACCTTCTTCCGTTTTGTTACAAACACACTATTACTTGAGAGTTTTATTTTAAAATACTCTTAAGTAGAAAAGATTCAAAAACTGACGACAACAGCCGCCTAGATTCTCACTATACGTGGGCATCATATGAGATATGGGAGAGAAGATTGACAAATATTCAAAGAAAGTAAACATGTTTCTATAGATTCTCTAGCCTGGGATATCTTGCTGGTGAGTGAGGCTTGTTTTTTAAATGTGGGTATCGCCCGAGTGATTTCGAAAGAAGCCGATGAAAGTGTTGTAAGATTTTAACTCTCTTGTAGTTTTTCTGGAGGAAAAAAAGAATGCCGAAGTAAAATCAGTATGATTTTTGCTAGGAATTTATGACAGAATTGAAAGCTCACTCGTTGTCGCTTGACGCTTCCTTAAAAAATTTGCTTCATTCTTGTATCAATAAGAACACCATATATTGGTTTGAAGACATATTGGCTGGTGTAGACGTCCAAACCATAGAAGCAATATGATTCATGGCGAGTTGACTGACATTTAAAAAGCGTTGTAAAACGTCAAAACAGAAAAAAAAAAGTCCAATGAAAAGCCTTCCCTAATCTTCCACAGCTTAGGTAGTCTTTACAGGGCGATCCTTATAATAGAAGTGTACAAAAGTAAGTAAAGCTGCATACTTTATTGTTTTTCAATGGCCTTGCTTATTGGATTCGATGTCGATTAGTAGAGTGATTTTTGTACGACTTAAAAAAAAAAAGGTTACTTGACCCCCCGAGGTAATAAAGTTTTCGGATGGAATGCCATGGCACAAGAAATTTACGGAGTCAAAATCTACACTCACTTGACATGCCACTCATAAAATTTTGATAAGTGCCTACAATTGAGCAGTTTGGTTTATATACCAGGTTTATAATCTTAAAGAAAAATGTCGATGATATAATCCGGGAGGGATTTTATATGGTATAACCAAATAGTAAGATGTAATCGGGCTTTCCATTTAGGAATACATCTGGAATAAGATAACTAGTCAAAGGTCTTTATTTTAAAAACAAAAGACAATGTACAGTTATGCGATGTTGATCTGAATAGGTAGTTCTCTTTTTGGGCAACGTCATTCTTCGCGGCATACAATGTTTTCCTCAGTTTACTGCTTATTCCCAAACTTTATGACCTTCACCAAGATATTCTCGAGATGAAATGTGCTGCAGTAATGTAACCTAGACTGGCATCAGTTTATGCTCGATCTTTGTGTTGAGCAGATAAAGCAGAAATCTCCCAAAATGAGAGTGCTTTGTGTACCAACAAGGCATCTTTGGGCTTATACCTTTCTTATTTTTTTTGCATCCGCCAAAACAAAAAGGGGGGGGGGGGTGCGGTGCGCGCGGGAGGGGAAAAAATAAGAATAAAAAAAAGAGATGAAAATTCGAGGTCTTTTTTTCTTTCTCTTTCTTTTTTATATTTGAAAAAAGCAAGCGTATAAAAAGGAAATACGCGCGCGCCGGCATTTTCCTCTTACTTATATATATCCAAGCAAGCCGCAGCTCAAACAACATGTCAGATATCATACCTGCTCACCACATTACCCGTACCATGTTATCGAACGGTACAACTGTCCATATTAACGGTAATAAAATAAAATATTGAGCGAAAGGTCAGCAATGTGACATGTTATTAAACTATTTCTTTTTCGAACTCTAGATTATGTCTACCTTACACCAGAACATCTAGGAGAGCCTTATTATATAGGCCGAGTCATGGAGTTCTGCACCTCAACTAAACGAAAGGGATTACAAGCTCGCATTGCTTGGTTTAATCGACCCAAAGACGTAATCAATCGAAAATCGGCTGATCCTTGCCTCTTAGTAGCAACGATGCATTCCGACATCAATCCTGTTTCCTCCATTCGTGGCAAGTGTACTGTCACCCATAAATACTACGTACAGCAGATTGATCAGTATCGCAAACAACAAGATAACTTTTATTACAATCAATTATATGATCGATACATTCAGCGTGTTTACGACGTTGTGCCATGTGAAACTGTACAGAACCTACCCATGGACACATTAGAGGCTCTGAAACAGCGATATCAATTCATTGTTGTCGAACAAGGCAAAGCGGCCGATCTGACTGTGGCTAGGCGAAATTGCTGTGTCTGTCAAGAATGGTGCCAAAGGTAAATATATATACTTATATCCATAATACTTTATATTCATATTACTCCTTAAAGTGCGGTATCTGTTAAATGCGCTGGATGTCAAAAGAGCTACCACATGTCTTGTTTAAACCCCCCTCTTGTACGTAAACCATCTAAAGGGTTTGCTTGGCAATGTGCGTTCTGTACTCGACAAGAGGTCCTGGCCGACTCCTCTTCTTCACAAAGTCCGATGTCAATTGGTAGAGATACACCGCCTATCAGACCTTCACCGGACTTGGATCATCCACCCAGTAAAAGTGAACTGAAACGACAAACTCGTGCTACCCGCTCTCAAGCATCCTTAATATCAACATCCTCATCATCAGCAAAACTGACCATACAGCAATCACAACCCACACAAGAGATTAAATTAAAAGCGCCCAAAAAGGCCCCCAAAAGTAAAATAGATATTCCTTTTCTCTTAATTATATTCTTACCTTTGATTATAACTGTAGATCAACAAATTAAAATGACACACATGTGGCCGTTTCGCTATTTCGGAATCAATACAAATATTGGTGATATTCTTGGTACTCAAAATTTTTAAAAAACATGCTTTGTGTGACGTTTTTTTTTCTGGGCTAACAATCATAAAATTTATGTATATGTAGATGTGGATGACCGTATTTACCCAAGGGCAAAAAGTAGAATTGGTGTACGATATCAAGCGTCGGTGCCTGAATGGGATCAATGTCAAAGCCCTACTACAAGCGATTCACTATCCTTCAAATCAAAGAAGAAGATGGATAAGAAAAAGTCAAATAAACGATCAGGTAAAACAAAATGAAGATAGGAACATAGGGGATTAAGCTAATATCTATTCTATAGTGGAAGCAAGCCCTGATGCAGAACCAATGGACGTGGATGAAACTGCCGAAACACCCACGATCCCTACTCGAGGTGGTGATGATACAGTTACTTGTATATACCGTCCTGGCATCCTCGACAATGAACAAAGTAAAGTATCTTTAATAGAAAAGATATGAATTGAAATTGATTTTTATTCATTTTTTTTTTTTAGTTGATGATTATATGTCGCAAGTCAAGGAACTAAAGAATATCCCATTGGCACCTCATTCATCCGATTTAATGGATCGTGCTTTATTGGAACTCGAAAACCATGATTATCATACTGACAAGGCTTTCGAAACCATGACGGAATTATCTGGGGCAGATTTCGTGCACGAAGTAGAATGGACTCAAAAGGAAATGGATGCGTTTGAACAGAGCATACGGGAGCACGGTCATGATTTGAATTTCGCTAAAAGCATTGTACAGACCAAATCCATGGCGGATATCGTGCGCTATTTTTATCAATGGAAGAAGACCGAGCGTTACGAAACCGTGTATTCTGATTGGACTAAAATATACCGACCGCTGTAAGTATATATTTTTGTGTTACACGGTAAAAAACTTACTGATAATTTTTTACTGCGAATAATAGTAAAAAGTTCAAGAAATTTCCTCGTAGTCAGATTGTTGAATCAAAACAGGACGACCAATATCTACAAGTAGATAGCGAAGAGGAATCGGATCCAACCATTGTACCCAGAGCCACCTACACAAAGCCATATCAGTGCATGAATTGTTTGACGGATGAATCCAAAATATGGAGACGATCTCCCTCAGATTTCGACCGAAAGCGAAAAGTGTTCAACAAGGTACTTTGTGATGACTGTGGTATTTATTGGCTGAAATATGCCAAAACAAAGCCTATTGCACCCGAAAAAAAGAATGCCAATAGTACACCTACTTTGTCCATCATGACCACAAGTACTGCTGCACCGGAAGAGGATCGAAAACGTAAAAGATCAACTGATATCATCAAAACGGTGTCAAAAAAGCAGAAGGAGAATGTAAGTTGTTTGATATAATCACTAAGAAAATGGTTAAAACTAATAGCATACTTTTTCAGGTACGTCAACCCACACCTGTACATTTCGAGCCTACACCCTGCAAGGTCTGTCAACATACAGGTCCTTCAGATCAGCTCTATGTATGTCATGGATGCGGTATGTCTGTGCACGACGGTAAAGATCAATATATGTAAATTTTTATAGAGCGTGGGATACTGACTTAATTATATTCAGATTGTTATGGCATTGAAAAGAATTTGGAGCAAACAGGTTGGTTGTGTGATCCATGCGATAACAAGATACATCCAGTGGCTTCATATATTTATGAATGTGTCTTGTGCTTTCAACCTCCCCAAAGCCAACAGCCTTTAAAGCGAACCTCTGGCTATTACTGGGCTCATGTGCAATGCGCAACATTTATTCCTGAGATCAAGTATGTTCAGCCTTCATTACTTTCTCCTGTCGAATATATTGGTTGTGTCAACCCAGCACGTCTTGAGGCAGAATGTCACTTATGTCATCGACAACGTGGTGCTTGTGTCGCTTGTACAGAATGTAAAAAACCAGTGCACGTCCAATGTGCCATCGATCATCATTTCAAACTGGCTTTTGAAATTCAACCCAATACCCATAATAGCAACAAGTCTACCAAATATCCCATAATTCCTGCTGGTCTGTTTGGCCCATTATCACCTTCCGGCCTCATGATCCCACAAGTATGGTGTCCTTCCCATAACTTGGCCAACCGCAAGCTGATTGAACTCCACACAAGAACACACAATCATACCCCAGAGGTAAATATAAGCATAAACAAAAATAACGCGTTTATGAAAGAAAAAGGACTAACGATTAAAACAGTCTTCAATCATAACCTACTCCAAGAATTATAAAGGCATTGCAAAAGGCACAACGCCTGCCATGAGACGTTTCAAAGCAACTAAAAGACCATCTCATGGCACACGGCACAAGATGCCTAGTTCGAGAGAAGCAGTGTTAGAAGCCTTGGCTATGGATGACAATGAACCTGCCCCCGTAAAAATTCCTTCTGCGATAGTACGTCATCATATCATGAAAAAGCGAGTGTGTGCCTCTGCAGGATGTTATGTACAACATACACCAATTTGGTGGGGCAGCTCTGAAAAAAAGATTTGTCAACGCTGTCACCAAAAGTGAACTATTAAGTGATTTTTTTTCTTGTTTTTTTTTGAGTTTTTTTTTTTTTATGTTTTTAGTTTGAAAAATATTTATTTTTAATAAATGGCTTTTCCTGGATAAACTAAGGTGTAGTTTTTTTTATAAGTTTCAATTTCTTCTGCATCATCCGATGTGCTTTTAGCGAGAAAGACAGGCGAAACACCCAGTCTGATTTTGTCGACCGAATCGGACATTTTGTATAATGGTTTTACTTGGTTTGTATGTACATCATCGCCTTTTTCCAAATGAATGATCTCTACTAAATCTTCTTGTCCCCGAATTGGTAAACTAAGATCTATTGCCATGTCTACCAATTTTTCAACACGAGCCTCAATATCCTCTGGTTTATCATAAAATTCGTTCAATCCAACCATAATTTTCATTATCAAACCCTTTCTAGTTTCATTATCCCTTGTTTTATCATAGCCAGGAGAATGCATGCTGTCAAACGTAGCTTTAGCTGTTTTCAATCGTAATTCGTTAATCCAAGCCTCGTGCTTTGTATCACTAAACAACTGTCTGATTTTTTTGTATGCATCATTGATCTTTGAGTCTAAATGAATCTCCGCCCTAAAGATTACCTCGACAATCTCTCGCATGATGAATTTCTCTATCAGCACCGATACCAATGCATAATCTGCCTTGCCCGGACTTTCATCAAACAATTTTTTGATCTCTAGTTCATCTTTTTTATGAAGTTTCATAAAACGTTCAATGACTTGATCACGTTCCAGGTTTTTCTTGAAGCAACTTTTCGAATTTGGAGGGAAATTCGAAAGTTTTCCCGAGAATTTACCAAGCTTTGCAATGATTGTGGAGAAATCGTCATCCGTAACCCTAATATTCTTGGTGCGGTCGTAATATTCTGCCTGTAATTCTCTGGCTTTCTTACTGGTCTCTGCGCTCTTTATCTCAGCCAATTCCTTTTCTTCTTTCAATCTAATGTTTGTGGTTTCTAATTCCTCATAACGCTTATGTAGGGCTGCCAAATCGTTTTTGTGGTTTTTTATTTCTATATCTCGTATGGCTTGTTTGTCTATCCACCCTTGCTTTAATATTTTTTTCTTTTCGCTCATTGGGATAGGAGCATGAGTATTATCACTTGTATTATTGTTTTTTGCATTTTTATGATGAGGACCTAAAAGTTGTGAACCACCGGCATGAGGTGACGCATGCTTATTAGCTGTATTTTGGTCTCCGTTTCCAATCATTTTGGATATTGTCTTTTTAAGCAAAAAAATAAAAGAAAGAAGAAAAGGGAGAGGAAGGAAAAGGCGTAAAAAAATAAATTAATCTTTGTGTACAAATTATTTATGGGGTGCTCAGCCTTGCGTGTTACGACAAAGTTTATTTTTAAAAAAAATAATAAAAGCCACTTCCGCTATTAGAAATTTGCATCGCTAACATATTATACGGATACACACGTCTTACGTACGGCTATGTACATTAAGGTGAACCTTAATCTCTTTTTTTCGATCGTGTATGAAGGCTCAGTTATATTGTATGATAACAAATTTTTCATTAGTTCTGTGTGACTTTATCTATTTAGCTTCTCCGAAAAAAGCATAGAATCTCATACTACTCACATGCACCAAGTGCAGATGAGTGAAAGTCATCGTTATCCGTGAAAAAAAAAATGTCAGCTGTTACGTTTGTTTGTATTAGGTTTCTATGAAATACTCTGGTTTGTATCTCCATACACCTGGATGCTAAAACCTCAAGGGAGGACAAAAGAGAATTTAAAATACAAAGAAAGAGCTCAGCCAGCGTTATACATGCATCCGCCATTGTTTTAAAAAAAGAATGCCGGCATCGTCATATGGAGTCAATAAAAGGGGGAGGGTTTCTAATATAATCGTCTCCGACCTACCCTTTGTTGTTGTTTTTCTTTTTACATGGTTCATTGTTAGGTCGCCAACAAACACTACAAGCTGGGGTCTGATATTCGTTTCCTCCTGAAAAAAAAAACGATTTTCTTCGTGGCTGTATCTCATTATGCATGATAATGTTGGATTATCTATGTTTATGATAAAGGGTATATTAATTAATAACAGTGCCTATTATTTTATTTTGAAAAGATCAGGTACCAGCGTAATAAATAAAAAATAAAAAAATGACAGGTAAAGCGACTTGTTTCAGATCATTGGAGAAATGACGTGATGTGGTCGTTAAATCATACTGGGTGAGTCAATCGACAAATTGCTTTATATTCAAAAACATTAACATATGTTAACTCTAAAGAATTCGTCAATTCTATTAGAAATACCTTCGCATAACATTGTTATATCATTACCACGAAAAATATTCAAAATCAACTACTGTTTCGCTCAAGTTAGTGTTTTATAGCCAAGGTACGTGACTCCAGGTAGATATAATATAAATCTTCATAACAATATTTATAAGTCATATCTAGAACGTAAAACTATTTTATATACTTCAACAGTTATAACGATGGCATCAGTATGTATGTGAATGATGTTATGTTATTTGGAAGACAAGCCAGTTTAAAATATATTGTGACAAAAATATAGCTAATTTTTATTTAAAAATAGTAAATCCCAATGGTTATCTGTTGGGTTTTGGTTGAGGAGGCCATGGAGGAGGGATAGGTTCTCTGTTATTCTTCATTTGATTGAGGATGGATATGAGTGATGGATAAAAATAATATTTCGACTGATGCGATAGTATTTATATGTATCCATTGGCGACATTTGTCGGTCAATACCAAAAAAAAAAAAAAAATAGCAAGATTTTTTGTTTTTGAGTCTATCTACATGCATAACTATCATAACAAAAGTCGCCAGTGGTACAAGAACACCAATACAATTAATACAAATGTTGCTGTAGTTTAATTGAGATGCCCATCGTGTAATTATCGTAGATACATTTTAACTGTAATGCCATTTTTACCAGCAAAAGTCACAACCATGTGCCTCTTATACGATATTTGTTCAAGTCACTAAAACACTTAAACCATTCGAAGCACATTTATATGATATCCTGACTCTAAAATCGCTTTCGATCTACAGATCCATTGATGGTTATAATACATTATTTTATTTTTGAGTTCCCATAAATAAGGCTTATTTACAATTTTAATTCAATGCTTTTTTGAACTCGGCAAAACAATTTATGGGATCATTGTAGTCTAATAAAAAGGTTAATAATCTGAGCATATTCTTCATAATTGATATTTTCACATTACCCATATCGCTAGCTGGATCGCAGGAACACTTGTCTCTGAATTCAGGCTCTCTGGGACAGTGGGTATAGGCAGTGTGCCTATAACCAATATCATTAAAGAAATGGAACTCATCTTTGCGAAGCATCAACGAGGCAGCAATAGAATGTACTGGTGCGTCGCCCCAACGTTCATAAAAGAAACCACCTTGTTGATCCAAGTAGCTAAACAATTTTAAATAATCATTTGATCTCCAGAGTTCCAACGAAGCGATTTCAAAGTTAGTCCAGAAATGACATCCATTGTAACTGTCGCCATTATTATCACTAACAAAGTTGATCAACGAATCTTTCTTGGTGGGCCAGCGACTGGCTACTTCAGGGTTCTCTTTGCGGAAATTCATAACAGTTTGCCAAAGCGTAGGTACAGTAGCCATATACTCTCTGAATGCAATAGTAAATCCTTAATGACGAAATGTTAGGATCAGACCAACGTCATACTTTGAAATAGCTTACCATATTTCTTGCCATTGTTTCTCATATATTTAAATACATCATAATCAATATCACAGTAGTAATTGACATAAGGTTCGATACGCCAGTAGTAATCGTATTCATCCAACATGGGATGTCTAAAGAAAAAGCCACTTTGGAACCTATATTTTATATGTATATATATATCAATTACTGCTTTCTTATGAAAAAAGAAAAAAAGGTCAATGCAAATAGTTTTACCTGCACATATGTCTGTATGATTCACTATCCCCATAAGGTATACCCTGTTGTTGCAGTTGAGATCTACATTCTGCAGCATAAGTTTGGTTGATATAATTTGGGTAACCCCACATTTGACTATCGACTTTGCCATATTTCGTCACCGATTTGGTTAGGGCGGAAGTGGTTTCGATGAATTCTGAAGTAAACTCCTCATCGTTCAAAAAGACATAGGGGTAGTCAAATTTGCTGTTGAAAGTGCTTTCAATTTCTCGAATAGTAGTAGCAATACCGTCCAATTCACTGTTGCGTACAAGCACAACAAAGCAAGCCTTCATGGGGGCATTGTCACTCATGGGTGACATGACCTCCTGTGTCGATGTTGTATGACTGATGGTGAAGAAGGTTTGAATAGACATAATCACCAGTATTATACCTGCCGTCATAAACACATAGGGAGTTACCTTTCCGCTAAACCACCTCATATTAGAAGAAAATTTAATAATAAAAAGGAGAAAAAGGAAAGAAAAAAAAAGTATGTAAATTAGGCCTCAATTAGAGTCTATGGAAAGGCGGACCCGAAAAATGGTTCTGGGTAACAACTTTTTGGCGTTTTGGTGCTCCCTACAGATGTTCATGCCGGGGAATTCTATACTAACTAATATCTGCTTTCCAGAGTTTATCTACTGCTTATTTAGATACTAAAATACCATGATTACGAGCAGTAAATTCATCATGAAATGACGATACCGGGATATGAATTTAAAACTGATCGCTCAAGCGTCCCTTTAAAATGTGACACCGAGTTTTGGGACTAAATTTCGTTGGGCTACTTTTTTCATGGTTTTGCTTGCAACTTGATAGTGGCAGAACTATACTATTTGAATCAGTAATTGATAATGTTTTATTGACAGGAAATTCAATCAATTATATTAAAAAAAACTGTTGATGTTACAACGCTTTTGTATAAAAATGTATGCGTCGATCAGTTAAATTTTACGCATCAAACTGAATGTACACAATGGCTTTGGTTAGAAATAGACTCTGTTCAGCTAATAAATATTGTCATTGCCTTGCAATAATTTAAGTTGCCTATTAAGCGTGAGCAATTTTTCGTTACCACAAAGTATGACAACGAGCAAGATTCTGAGTTTTTGCTAGTTTTATTGAATTGCTGTGCTTCCAGTCCCAATTGGTCTAATTTTTTTTTCGAACTTTATTTGGTCATGGTATATAAGCAGACTAACAGGATTAGATAGGCAACTTATTTGCACACTTATTGAAGATATTAATGGAATTTCGAACATATTTATGTATATTTTTCGGTGGCACTCTCACACAAACATATATCATTCTGGTTGTAAACGTCTGGTTGTCCTAGAAACACTATTTCGTCCACAAGCGTCACAAACATCAAACTTCCACGCAAAATACTTTTATGCGATTGCCTAGATACACCAGAACATGTAAGGCGAGCATCTCTGCGACGATCAGTTGAAGCCATAGAACAGGAACTGTTCTCTTTAAATAAAAAGTTAAAGCAGTGAGGGAGTTGTTGTAATACCTTTCCCAACTCCTGCTATAACGATCAATAAACAAGCAATTATCTTCTTTTTTGTATTGCTCTTTAATAGAGGGGATACTGCCTTCAAAAATAGCTATGAGTAGGACAGAAATAAGATTATAAAGCACACATTTATATTATGTAAACCTCGAGAAGGATTTTTTAATACACAAACCTGATAATCAAAATGTATCAGTTCTTGTTCTTTTGATATCGTAATAGGATAGATTGATACATGCTTCTGTAACAGTGTATTTACTCCCCCAGAAGTTAACCTAATCGAAAAGTTTAGACTCTTATAGTAAAAAATTCATATACTCAGATAAAGATGCCATATTACAAACAATTGCAGATGCTAACAATCAAGTTGCTCAGCCATCTTTTGAAGGATTTGCACGTTATTCTGTTAATTGTTTCAATGGCTATCTTACTGGCTGTCCTATCTAATAAGTAATTAAATTTGCGATATTTTTAATTTTAAAAGCACAACACTATACTTTAGATGCGACAAAATATCTTGTTCCAGGGCAAAAACTAGACCAATTGGGACTGAAAGTACTGTACATTAAATGCTTATGTGGACCCAGCTTTACATGTGTTGTCTGATTAAACAAATTATTTCGGATCACCCAGTTATGTGACAAGCAGGAAAAGATGTATGTACGTTTAGGATATAATGTGTTTCTATAATAAAATATACACAGGATACCTCCTATGCTTGGTTATAATGCATATACAAGTGTTATTTTTAAGCAAAATGAACATCTAGTATTCATTTCTGCCACTTTAAATTGAAAGCATTTATACCAAACATAGATATCAATTTGATTCTGTGTTGCACATAGATCTATATGTTTGTTACATTTCATATTTATGACTAAACGTAAAGTACTGGCGTGACACGGGTAATAGCATCGCCCTACCGATTCCCTACATATCATGCTATCCGGGACATAACTCCTTCATCAAGTTACATGTAAGTGTTTCCATTTTAAAACTATTTGATTCTTTGTATATGAAGTTGTATTAATAGTTCCCATCAGAAAGTTATCTATAGAACTTGTGATTAACGTGGGACGCTTTGTATTCCATGTGTTAATGCCACTATGAATAACGTATATAGAATAGATTCTTACTGCATCTATTACTACATATTTCCAAACTATAAAACCAAATGAGCTTTCAAGCCCAAAAAGCAATGTATTTCTGTGAGAAACAGACGTGACCTTACAAACAGGTGAGAAGTGAAACGGCGTTCTTTGTTCAAAAGTGATTGTAAGATTGTTAAAGCCCCGTCGTTATTATTATTTATTTATTTTTTTGCGCGAACTTTTTTCTTCTTCTCTCTTCTCTCTTATATAACCCTTCCTAAAACCAGAGTTTATACATGTCTTCACCCTCTGATTCCTTAACTGATATTGGTTCGTATATAAATGTAATTCACAAACTTTGCGTTTACCAATAATTCAATCTATAGACGAATCTGCCTTGAATAAGAAGAGAGGCAGAGCACAATCTGTCGAACCCGCCTCTCAACAAGAGGTAGAGGACGAGGTAATTTATTTTATTCTAGTAAAAAACCCAATTGATTTTAACTCGACTTTCCTTTCAGCTTAATCCTACTGAAGAAGCTTCTACAATCGTCTCTGCACCTAAAAAGACGTAAAGTTTACACATTATTAACATACAGAAAAAAAAAAGTTTTTTTTATTAATCTTTTTTTCCAAACAGTAAACGTGACGATGAAGATAGCCCAGCTACAGTCAATACTATTCGTAAAAACATGAAGGACATGTCAACTACTGATAAGAGTTTGACAGAAAGCAGTGACGATGAAGCCATGGGCACCATTGCTGAAGAGGAAGAAAAGACTGCTAATTCGCTTGCTAAATTCGGAGGAGGTAAAGATGATGAGGACGATTGGGGAGAGTTTGCTGAAGAGGAAGAAGAAGAAAAACCTGCTAAAGCTGAAGAAACCGATAAGCCTAAATACACCTTTGGAGCTTCTTCTGGTTTCGGAACTAAAGGTTGGGGTGCTTCACATCAAACTATACCCACTCCATCCAAGGTGAGTCTTTATTCATTGTCCGGATAAATATGATTGTTTTTAACTGACAATTGTTTATGCAAAGCAACCTACATTCGGTGGATTTGGAAGTAGCTCAGGATTTGGTGGATTCAAGTCCTCATCAACAACTACAAATGATACAACCAAAATGGATAACACCAGTACTAGCACTATCACTAACACCACCACCAGCACGTCTGTACCTTCTTTTGGCTCATTTGCAAAGGCAACTACATCCCCTTTTGCAACAGCAGCAACGGGAAATGCGTTAGCTTTACCACATTCACCTGCCACGTCTTCCGCTAGCACAGATTTAGAGAACAACAGCACCAACGGCGGCAGTAACAACAATAATAAGGATAGCGAGTTGAACGAAAGTGACAACGAAAGTAATACTGATACACCTACTGCTTTTGGAGAAAGTGCTAGGGTTAAAGTACCTGGAATTAAACAACAGACTGAGGGTAAGATACGAAATAAAAAATTAACAAAAAAAAAAAAAGCTTAAATATGTGACATGATGATCCTGACTCCCTGTTTAGTCACGACCGGAGAGGAAAATGAAAAGACGATTTACCAGACCAAGGCTAAATTGTTGGTTTTGGATGCAGTTTCTGGTAGTTGGAAGGAGCGTGGTGCTGGTACAGTTCGTATTAATCAAAAGGAAGAGGATGAGAAATTACAAACACGTCTTGTTATGAGAACAGATTCAGTTTACCGAGTAATTTTAAATTTATTACTTTTTGAGGGCATGAAAGTATTTATTATGCAAGATAAATTTGTTCGATTTGCAGGATTCGAAAAACAAGATGACAGTGCCGAGCCAAAATTAGTTAGTTATGCCCTTAGATTAAGTAATCCCTCTATCGCCAATGACCTCTGTGAAGAAATCATGAGCTGTATCCCTACCTCTTCATAATTATACAACAAACACACACTCACTCACACAATCACTCTCAAAAAAATATTCAAAAAATATACATACACATATTAAATAAACCAAACCCGTTTGAATAGCACAAGCCACCAATCAAAAATTAAAAAAATAATCTTTTTTTTTTTTTCTTTTACTTTTACTTTCTTTCAGCTCTTATTCATATCACCATGGAAAAGGCAAGAAAAGGCTTGAAACCTGTCAAACTTCCCCAACAATTATTCAAGTCTTGGGAGACTATTATTGATAAATATGTTGCCTCTTCAAACAACGTAAAGTTAATTCCAGCTGTCATGGCCCTTCAAAAGCTCATTGCTTGTCAAGAAGCTACTTATGACCAACAAGCCCGTTGTATCAAGGAAGCTGGTAAGACAAACATAATTTTTCTTTTGGTTAGTTAAAAACCATTCATGTTTCCTTATTTCAGTCAAGGCTATGCAAAAGAACGTTAGTGCTATTGAAAAATTACAGCCCGAGGAATTACAACAAATTAAAGCGCTTGTCGAACCAATTGCCTCACTAGGTTATTTTGCAGCCTGTGAAAACCTTTCTCGACGTACGTTTGTTCCTTTGATTGAAGCAGCCATTCAATGTACAGGAAAAGATGATATCCAGTTTACAGACTATTATATGCAATACACCTCGACTGAATCCACCGAACAAAGTTTTGAGGGCAAACCTCTTTCACAAAGAGCATTGACGATTTATGCGACCTTGAGCTTCCCTTTAGGCCGTAGTTTAATTATCGACACTTACCAACATACACTCCAATTCCTCGTGCAAGGTCTTTTGACTGCTCAATATCAATTAAAAAACGATCGCGCTCACGTCGATCAATTCATGAACGATATTCAATTCACAGTCAAGACAGTTCTTGTTTTATTATCTAGACAGTTGGAAGTGGGTCCACGCATGTTTGAAAAAGTCGAGTCGAATACAAAAGATACAGATGTTGCCTTATTAGGCCAACTCATAAAGACTTTATTAGACATTTGTGTGGATACAACGACTTTTATTAGAGAATGTAATCAAGTGGCTGGTATGGCTATTGGGGCCTTCATCAATTTGGCAAACAATGAAGAGTTTGCCCGTGATTGGGTACTCGGCTGGTTTTTTAGTACCACTACCAATACCACCACACAACATATTGAAGCTACATTGGGTGTAACTCCTTCTCAAAAATTGGTAGGTGAAGAAGGTTGGAATAGTCGTGATGCTCCCATGGTTTTTGCCTTGAGAGGTTTGGTTTCCAGTTTAAGAAAGGAAATCGTTATTTTAGACTGTCCCACTGATTTGGTTTTAGTACCTGCCATCAAAGAGTAAGACCCCCACACAATGAGAGGCAAAAGAAGACTATCATCTAAATCATAGTTTTACTATTATTATTACCATAGTACACCTTCAAAGAATCTCCAAGAAATCATTTTTACCAGCGTCGATTTATTCTGTGGAAGGGCTGAATTAGATTCTTCTTGTAAAGTGATTGCATTTGAATCTATGGCAACATGGCTTCAACAAACCAAAGAAATTATGGAAAAGCATCCTGAACTTATGAACTCATTATCTGGACCCATTACACCACATAACATGAATGTCTTGATCCAATATGTATGGGATCATTGGGATGATCCTATCGATTCTATCCAGCACAAGGTTCGATCCATCTTTGAACTTTCTTTATCCACCTTGCAGATTAAAATCAACGCCGAAGAATATACACACTTTGTGCGCACCTTGTTAAAGAATTTATTGGCTATGGATTGGCACAGAAAGGTGAAATATTCACTTTTAAACATGTTGGTCGAAAAGATTGATACAGACGCATTTTTATCTATCGAGCCTCACTTGATTGATAAATGTTTCTTGGCTATGGACAGTCTAGTCTTGTGTCCTCAAATCACCTATTTTTGTTTAGCTTTCTTGTACCGTCGCGTACAAGACACCATCCCTGGTTGTCAAAAGTTCAAGGGCCATAACGAAAAGATCAAGCAAAGTGACGATGTGCTTGTCAAAAAGGCCACGACAGAGTGGGTTGAATTATGGGTCGCTCCTATGCTTCAGTGCTTGACCTCTTCCTCTGAATTATTACGTAAAAATGTCAGTGGATTCTTGTTGCAACCCTTGTTCAAAATCGGCCCTCAGGCCTTTTGGTACATCATTCATATTTTACAAGATATGCAACATCCTTTATGGAAAACATTAGACGTCAAACTTAGACTGAATGCTTTTATTGCTGTTTTAAAATCGGGTCGCGGTTTGGATATTGTGGACGGTACAGCTTATACAGGAGGAGATGCGATGGAAAAAGGAAAAATCTCGGTTGATACTTTGAAATTGGCTATTTATCATAGTGATGCACAGGTCCGTATGGATGTCCTTGGTTTACTCTGTGAATCCCGTAAAGCAACTGCTCAAGTCACACCTACCGAATTAGAAATGTTGAGACTCTTTATTCCTCTCAACATGAACTCGACTGCCCCTGAATTTCGTCAACAAATGTGTGCCCATCTTGCTAAAATCTTGACTCGACTCAGAGGCAACCTTTACTCGCAATATAGAAACTATAAATCGCTTGTGTTGTATGCTGAAAAGGCGGAAGGAGACAAAAAGGAAACTGCATTGACTGAAGCTGCAGATATTTTAGTCGTTATTGATCAAGCCAAGGAGTTTTTGTTTTGGCTTTGTGATCATACTGCTGAATCTCTTTACCCTGGTGCTTCTTATCAACGTGTGGCTACCGCCTTACGCATTTTAAGTATCACTGTCAAGATCTTTGGTGTGACCGAATTACCTCCTATTGAAGGCTTCACAGATCAACAACCTGATTTCCCCTTCAAGATGCCTATTGCCAACCCTCGTCTTTCCAAATTATTAATTGACGTGTTCTTGAACCCCTATGATTTCAACCGTGTACAAGCGTTTGAAATTTTGTGCCAATTCCCTAGTCCTCTTCCCGGTATTGAGTCCAAGTCAGATGTACAGGACTTGCTTTGGTGGGGTTTGAACAATGTGGTAAGTACTCGTGCTGGTGAAAGTGATAGTGGTGCCATGGTCTTCCGTTTGATCTTTACCAAATATGTGGTTGGACTTGGATTTGATCTCAGTCCTGAACAAAATGTCACTGTTCATGCTAATGCGACAAATGGGGATGCTGCTGTTGTGTTCACAGAGAGATTATTGGATTTGCTTGAGAAACAAGTCAATGTTGCTAAATCTAATATCTTATTAGCTGCTCAACAACATCCTATGCATGGTACTTTGTTGGCACTTCAATATGTCTTTCAAGAATTGGATTATACCAGTGCCAATGTCAAGAATAATTTTGCGGCTTGGAGAAAGACACATGCTCGTGCCATCCAATTGATTCATGTTACATGTGATACTGTCATGCCTGTTTTATCAGACCCTTCCCCTGAAGGTCAAGTACCCACTAGTTTCCGTGAAGGAGATGATGATGAAGAAGAAGAAGAGGATGATGAGGAAGATGATGAAGATTCTGGACCTAAACATCAAGTAATTCTGAGTTGTTGTTGGCGTGCAGTTAAAGAAGCCAGTTCTTTATTACAAGTGATTGTATCTAAGGCACCTGCTTCTCCCAAAGAATCCAATACCACCATCCTCACTCACGAAGATCTTGTCAAGAGTGGATCTCTTTTCCGCCATCTTTTAACAAACATCAGACATCGTGGTGCGTTCTCTGCTGTCTATCCTGCTTATGTATCTCTTAGTACACGTTTGTTGACTTCGCGTGATGCTTCCATATCTCAAATCCCCGCTCAATGGCTACAAGAAAACTTGGATAGTTTAACATCCAGCAATATCTCCATTACGCGTCGTAGTGCTGGCCTCCCTCTTTGTATTCTTGCTATTGTCAGTAGTGAACCTTCTGTCAAGAAGGATCTTTTGAGTAAAGCCATGAAGTATCTTATGAAACTTGCCAGCGAAGAGCCTCCTGTAGATGCTGATCAAAGAATTGATCTGCCCCAAGTCCATGCGTATAATATTTTGCGTACTATCTTTATGGATTCTAAATTGGGTACACATGTTTTGGAATATGCGTCTGGTGGTTTCTCTTTAGCTATCAATGGATTTTCCTCATTCAGGTAAAAATTATAATTATGACAATTATTGTTATTTTTTTTTTTTTTTTTTTTTTTTTTTTTGCTAAAAAAAAAGCGTTTTTATATAGTTGGGCTATTCGTAATTGTTCCGTTATGTTGTTCTCTACCTTGTTACAAAGAACTTTTGGTACAAAGAAAACTAGAGATGAGCATAGTCACGTCAACACTTTAACCGGTCGAGAGTTCTTTGTTCGTTTCCCTGATCTTCATCCTTACCTTTTGAAGGAATTGGCCGTAGCGGTTGAACAGCTATTAAAGAATTCGTTAGCAGCTAGTGTTCATCCTGGACTTTATCCTATTTTGACACTCTTATCTCGTATGCAACCTTCTACCGAAGATGTCAATGATGAAGAGACCGTCTTGACACCCTTTATCCCTCTCGTCATGCCCTGTGCTGCTAGTGCTATTTACAAAACCCGTGAAATGGCGGCCAGAGCGCTTGTGCCTTTGGTTTTGGATGTCGTACCTACTATCAAGTACTTGTTGAACATCTCAAATACCATCACACAAAACGAGATTCATGGCCGTTTCCTTCAAGTGCAGTTCTTGTTGCGTGGACATTTTTACGCTAGTTCGGATGCCGTTGCTTCATATCATCAATTTATCAATGATATGCCTGAGATGATGATGGGCGCATTGGCATTGTTGCGTGAACAAAGATTCTGTAACATGAATGGAGCTTTACTTTTGAGCATTATTAGTGAGTTCTTTTTTGATACCAAGTGGATGACCACGGGAGGAAAGAGTAAAGAGCTGACAGAAGGTACGGGACAGATTGAAAAAGATAAATTATGTACATTCATATGTTAACAATGTAAAATGTAGAATTGATTCAACTTTCAAATGAAAAGTTTGAGACACTTCGCAGCACAGCCAAGGACTATTGCGTTGAATCTGTTAAGAAAGACCAAGTATCTGGTATTGGATCTTATTTACTCCGTGAAAATATGGCTAATATTACAGTAATGGGTACTTTAAACAAACCTGATGCCAAGCTGGATAGTATCTTATTTTTGTTGGAGGATCGTGATTATGAAGTGCGTTTGTTGGTGCTTCAAAAGCTCTTGAATTATTTCACTGATTCTACGCATGCTACAGACGATGCATGCGCTTCCCGTTACACGCGTTTACAATGTATCCTGGTGCAAAGAACATTCTCCGGTGAGGATAGCTTAAATTGTTATGTTTTGACTGCCAAGCTTTTAATGGCGCTCAGTTCTTCCAATCCTTATCCTGCCGACTCGGATATGCCCTTTACATTGGAGCAATATTGGGACAAACTTGTGGTCCAGTTTGCCGAAAAGAGAGCCTTATCTGTTACTGAATCCGTGCTTCCTTTGTTGGGTGCATTGCTTGCCCAGATTCTTCGACATCCTGTTCATATTGACTGGGTTCAACAATGTCTGGTCACTTGGAGTGGATATATTGAAAAGTACAGTCAAAAGGATATTACATTGCCTTTACGTGAGGCTGTTGTGAAGTCCCTTCAGTTCACATCTACACAGGTCTTTGCTAGTACGTTTGATGAAAACAATAAGGAAGATGCACGTGTAACAGCTGGTCTAGCCATGGCACAGCTCTTGCAAGATGACGATGTGGATGTACGTGATGATACCGCTTGTATTGTGTCCGAAGCACTTCAATTACAAGCCCCTGTGCACCATGAACGTGCATTGGAGCTGGTGCACAAATTTTTAACAGGTCGCTTTGATCAGTCAAAATTATTAGAATCAACACTTGCCCATACCCTTGCTGGACCTGAATCCTTGCGTAAGTAAAGAGTGAAGAGTGGGAATAGAGAATGGAAGACTGAAAATATATATATTATAGAGACTGTATTGGAAAATGAATGCTCTCAATCCAAGGTTTTGTTTGCTAAAGAAGATCCCAACATTTTTAAGGAAGATTTGATTGACGTTCAATGGGCCCATGTGGATCTTGATACACTTCATATGAAACATTCAGTGCAGGTTCAGTTAGATCAAATGATTGCCAGAGTGCAACAACTTGAGCTTTTCAGCAAAACCGTAAAGAAAATGTCTAGAACCGTAAGTTATGGGGTTTTTGATGCAATAAGGCAGAGGTATAATAATGTTTTCTTGTAGTTTATGCAAAACGGACCATTTGGTATCACCTCAAGAGCAACGATTTTCATGGCAGCTTATAGAACTATTTTATCTCTGCATCTTGAGTTTGAGTCTTTAAATGGCACGATTCCTCGTGATCTTTTAGCTGCGGTCACAGGTAAGAAAGAAAAACATGTTATGTGTGTAGCGTGTGCTGATGTAAGTATTTGAATAGATCTTTCAAACGCCCTTAGTGACTTGAAAGGGGACTGGTTGCATCCGTTGTTATGGGAACTTTTGCGTGGCGATTTAGGATTGTATTCGAAGATTAGGTTCTTTTTAAAGCGTCACGGAGGACCTGTTGTATTTGACAAGATGTTCTTGCTCGCTCCTGATTCGAGACGTTTATGAATAAATAAATAAAAATATGTGCCTGGCGGTTTTTGTTATGACAATTGTACGCTACGGACTAGATTGAAATTTTTTTTTTTTTTGAATACGCGCAGTTTTAGATCATGCTGATCCAGTTTGAAAAGTGACACTTTTTTAAAAATAAAACATTCCGCACGGGAAGAGTTGTGCCCTGATTTTTATTTTAGATACATACAGAGTTTCTAAGGAAGATGGTATCTGTTTGCGATGCATTGTGTAATGATAACAAGCTCAAAGGTATAGTGGAGTGGTTTCGCGATACAACAGCATGTTGTCATGCAGTTTAATGTCCTTTGGAAGAGGTAATGTGGGAATTAGCATGTATTAAAATGGAAAGGTTTTAATAGAATTTTTAAAAAAAAAGAACGATTACAAAAAAAAAATAAAAAATAAAAAAAGGTAGCATAAGTTGAAGGAGAATGTTTTGTTTTCGTTTCTCTCTCTGTGTGTGTGTGTCTTTTTGTTTTGTTTCTCGTTTAAATCTTCTTTCCGGTCTTTGTGTTTCCAATAAGGGATTTGTGAATGTGAGGAAGAACACCACCGCCTGCAATAGTAGCCTTAATGAGCGCGTCAAGTTCTTCATCACCACGAATAGCTAACTGTAAATGTCTGGGTGTGATACGCTTGACTTTGAGATCCTTTGTAGCATTACCTGCCAATTCAAGAACTTCAGCTGTAAGATATTCGAGAATGGCAGCCGTGTAGACTGCAGCCTTTGCTCCAACGCGTGCATTGCTGTGTCCTCTTGCTTTTAAATAACGATGAATACGACCTACAGGAAACTGGTACAAAGAAAAGTGTCAATAACAGGTATACGTCATATTATTCAGAAAAGTTACCTGAAGACCTGATCGAGCAGATTGAGATAAGGTGGGAACCTTTTCTTTGCGATCAAATTTGTTTGAAGTGGAATCGGGTGCAGCACTATCAGCCTTATTTTATAATAATTAGTTCCCTGTCCTTTTTATTGACTTTTTTATTTCTTTACCATTGTGTAATTGTTATAGTTTTATGTAGAGATTAAAAGGCTTGAAAGTAATTAAACAAGGCTTCCAGGAGGGCTGTTTTGTTAAAATGAAGAAAAGGGATAAAAAACAAAAATATTTTCAAAATAAGGGTGCGCGAAAAAATAAAAATAAAAAAAAACTGCGGAACGTGAATTGTGTTTTTTTTGGTACAACAGTGTGAAGAGATTCATAGGGCTGGAAATCAGTGCGACTTTATGTGTTTTTTTTGCGGGTTTACAAACTCCCAATTTGCAGTCTTGTCATTGGCCAATATGTGTTTTTTATGTTCTTAATTTATGGGTTGGTGAATCTGGACAAAGAGGCGACATGATTTATAGGAAATACTGTAGAGGTAAATGGATTATGGATCTCAAAAAAATAGTATTTATACAGCAAATGAGTTTGAAATAAACTTTAAGTCTTACCGAAATAATAATTTGAGGCATATGTATGAATGAAATAAAAAATAAGATTAGAACACAAGAGTATACTTTTGAGTATAGTGCTTTACCTTAATAAGTATTGCTATCATCGATAGCGTGTCTATTATCGTTTCTTCTGAAGAAGGATCTGACGGCATGATAAATGGGTTCAGTATTGAATTGACTGATTTTTTTAGGGTTGAGGGGTGGAAGAGGTAAGCCAAAAAGAAGACTTGTTAATCCTAGTATTCCTATAGCTAAAGCGGAAGTAGAGTCTCTTGCTTTATGAAAACATGCTAGCTTGACTGATATACAGTTACTGTTGTTGCAAACCGACGTTCCATTGATACTTTTGACGATAGACTTGTATTTTGCGGATGATATTGAAATTGGATGTGATGATTTGTTGAAGCAAAAAATACATATCTGAGAGGTATTATGCTCGTTGGTTTCAACTCAACAGAAGTATACAAGCTATGTTTTTTTGGTTTCCAAATCCCCTGTACTTCAAGTGATCTTAATACTGGATCCCAAACCATACCCTCGGCCACCCACAAACACAATGCTTCTGCATTTCTTACCGTTGTAAACGTATTTTCTTTCATTAGAAGAAGTTCAGGCGGAATATTCAGTCCCTGAATATTAAACGCACTAAACTTTCTCTTTGGTATTTACGTAATGGCAACTGCGGAGATGAATTTAGATCCTCACCAGGATTGGTAAATAGGAGAAATGTTTATGGAGACCTTTTTGACTTTGTTTTCTCTGTTAAATCTGGTTATGAAACTAAACGATAAGACTAATAAATATAAAAATGAAGTATCCTAAATTTTTGTCTTTTAGATCTGAATGCCATTCTCAAATATTTAAATCACTGCGAACAATAGGAGTATTACCACCACAACAGAAAAATGTCAGACTGGATTTTATTTTTACTCATGTAGCTGGCTTGAACGCTAGTTTCTTTTGCGAGGATAAACCCACATTTAAAAAAAGTGCCAGAGATAACATGAAGTCGAAGGACTTGAGAGAAAAGGCATTGGTTTATTGGTCATACCTCCTCCCATATGAAGACTGTACTACGTTTATTACTGCTGTTTCGTGTCAGTTTAACAAGCTTAACTTACAATTTAAAGCGACCAAAATTATTGATGGAGTAATTGTACATACCAACCTGAAAGAAGTAAACATATCAAGTGATGAACAAGATAGCTGAATATCTCTCCACTGTTATATCTTTAGTCGTAAGTTTTGGGTACTTAATTTTATTTACTTCTTTTATTAATATTTTGTTTCAATAACAAGAGGATGGTTTTGCAAAACTTCGAAATTATCAAAACGATGATTGATATTGCAAAGAAAGAAGATCTTGCATTCTTGTCTACTTCTGAAATTTCAATTGAGCACTTTAGAGATGATTCTCCTTGCGATTCAAACTCTTCCAATTCTACTGATTCTACTGGTGATAATGAATACATCGCATTTTTTCAGTTTTTAACTAATTTATCAAATTCATTGTATGAAAGTACAGCGTAAATTGAAAATTGGGAATTTGCCAATCCGCAAAAAAAAAAAATACAAAGATTGCTCTGGTGGTAAATAGGACAGATTCTGCGGCCAGTCTTCTACATCCTTCTGTAGGTAAATGACATCAGTTTTATGAATCACCGACAGGGTATTCACGCGCACATTGGATAACACATTTTAAGCTCACTGCTGGTGAACATGTTACAGATGACGCCAAATGGTGTCTCATATGTGTTACGTCAAGAACAATGACTACTCTGCTGTAAAATCAATGAAGTGTGTGGGTGCGTGCGTGGGGAGGGTAATCCATGGCCCGATAATAGGGTTTACAATTAAACAATTCACGCTATGAATGAAAAAAATGTCTTGTAGTGCGCGAAGAATTGCCGTATTGAGAAATCCACCATTTGGAATTTTGCAAATCCGACATGTTTATTTTTAAAAAACAAAAAGCACACTTTATATCTTTCTTTCTTCTTCTTTCTTTGTTTAATAAAAATACAAAAATAAAATGGCCAAGGTAGAAAAGATGGGAGAAGGACTTGACAAATTGTTTTACTCAATTAGAAATGATACTAGAAAATATTAGGAAAGAAAGGTGCTGGAGAGAAAATTAAAGCCAACCGTCCTATCAGGGCTGATTGGAAAGAAGGCGTGAAAAAGAAACAAGTGGGTGTTTCTGACATGACCATGTTGACAAAGATTACAAACGAAGCCATTAACGAGAACTTACAAAAAAGATGGCAAAATGCCGAGATTTACGTAGGTAACTCTTCTTTTCATCTTGGCCCCCTTTTTTTAACATACCCTTTTTTATACACACTTGTGTGTAATAGACTTACATTGGTCATGTCCTCATTAGTGTCAATCCCTTTCGGGACTTGGGAATCTATACAGATACTGTATTACACAGTTACAAAGGAAAGAACCTGTTGGAGGTAACAAAAAAATTATCATAGACGTCATAAGGTGATACTGACTATTTATATTGACTAGATGCCTCCTCATGTCTATGCTATCGCAGAATCATCCTATCATCATATGAAAAGTTATAAGGAAAATCAGTGTATCATTATTAGTGGTGAATCCGGTGCTGGTAAAACAGAGGCTGCAAAGAGAATCATGCAATATGTCGCTGCTGTTTCTGGAGACGGTCAAAACTCTTCAATTAAAGAAATCACCGAAATGGTCTTGGCAACAAATCCTTTGCTCGAAAGTTTTGGTTGTGCCAAAACACTTCGAAATGATAACTCCAGTCGTCATGTAAATTACACAAAGGGATTCGCTTACGCCCCCTTACTTATCTCTTTTTTTTATATAGGGTAAATATTTAGAAATTCAATTTAACTCTCAAGGTGAGCCTGTGGGTGCCGTCATTACCAATTATCTGTTGGAAAAGGTATGTTGAACAAACCCGTGCTACTTATTTCGCTGTTTTTTAATTTCATCAATAGAATCGTGTGGTTGGTCAAATCGAAAATGAAAGAAACTTTCACATCTTTTATCAACTTACAAAAGCTGCACCTCCTGAATACAGAGGTAAAAAAAAAGATAAGCACAAATTCCCGGGCTTTTTTATTTACAAAACATTACCCTTTATTATTATTATTATCAGAATCATATGGTCTCCAGGGTCCCGAAAGTTTCTTGTATACCAGCAAAAGTAACTGTTTAGATGTACCTGGTATTAATGATGTTCAAGATTTCCAAGAAACTTTGGTAAACAAAGCAAAACAAGGGGGGTTATTTATAAAAGCTAATAATGCAGATAATCTAGAATGCAATGGGTATTATTGGCTTGCAAAAACACGAACAAGACGAAATCTTTAAAACATTATCAATTATTCTTTGGTTGGGTAATATTGTTTTTGTGGAGGATGATAGTGGAAATGCCGTTATTTCTGACGCGGATGGTAAGAATCCATGATCATCAAAAGACCTAAACTGAAAGTATTATCCTAGTTGCCAACTTCATTGCTTATTTGATGGAAGTCGATGGAGAACTTCTTTCAAAATCATTGACCAGCCGTGTCATGGAAACTCAAAGAGGTGGCAGAAGAGGTAGTGTATATGAAGTACCCTTAAACGTCAATCAAGCCAATTCCGTACGTGATGCACTTTCCAAAGCCATGTACGAGCGATTATTCGAATGGATTGTCACCCGAGTCAATGTCTCTCTTCAAGCACGTAGTGCACATCAATACACCATGGGTGTGTTGGATATTTACGGTTTTGAGATCTTTGAAGAGAACAGTTTCGAGCAGATGTGTATCAATTACGTAAACGAGAAATTACAACAAATCTTTATCGAGTTGACATTAAAGGCAGAGCAAGAAGAATACGTACGAGAACAGATTGAATGGACACCCATCAAATTTTTTAACAACAAGGTTGTATGTGATTTAATTGAAGAAAAGAGACCTCCTGGATTATTTGCTGCTCTCAATGACGCCTGTGCCACTGCACATGCTGATTCTGGCGCTGCAGATAACTCATTTGTTCAACGTTTGGGATTTTTGTCCTCCAATCCTCATTTTGAATCCAGAGGCTCTAAATTTTTGATTCGTCATTACGCTGGTGATGTGCTCTACAATGTGGAAGGTATGACGGATAAAAACAAGGATTCGCTTTTAAAGGATTTATTGAATTTGGCTTCGGGATCTCAAAATCAATTTATCTCATCCACCTTGTTCCCCGAACGTATCGATCCTAATTCTAAGAAGAGACCTCCTACTGCTGGTGATAAAATCAAGTTATCATGTAATACATTGGTCACCAAATTAATGCAATGTCACCCAAGTTATGTTCGTACCATCAAATCCAATGATAACCGTAGTCCATCTGAATTCGACGAAAAGCGTGTACTTCATCAAGTGCAGTACCTTGGTTTATGTGAAAATATTCGTGTTCGAAGAGCCGGTTTTGCCTACAGAACTGTAAGTTTTAATTTTATTACCTCCCAGAAAAAAAATGATATGCTAATGGTGAGATTTTTCTAGACATTTGATAAATTTGTAGAGAGATTCTATTTATTATGTCCCGATACTGGATATGCCGGTGAATATATTTGGAATGGAGATGCCACCAGTGGTGCCTTAAAAATTTTGACGCACAATAATATTCCACGCGAGGAATGGCAAATGGGTACCAGCAAAGTATTTATTCGACATCCCGAAACCATCTTTGCGCTTGAGACATTGCGTGATAAGTACTGGCATAATATGGCAACGCGTATTCAAAGAGCATGGCGGGCCCATGTGCGATACAAGATTGAATGTGCTAAAAAGATTCAGCGTTTCTGGAGACAAAACAAGTATAATATCGGATATCTTCAAATGCGTGATTATGGTACTCAAATGCTGGGTGGTCAAAAGGAAAGACGTAGATATTCCTTGGTGAGTATGAGACGATTCACAGGTGATTATTTGGATATCAAATCCGGATCAGGATTATCTACCATGATCAGAAACGCGATTTCTATTAAAGGAAATGAAGAGGTTGTCTTCAGTATGCGTGGTAATACGCTCATTCCAAGAGCAATGCGATCCAGTGTACCCAGTCCTAGAACTTTTGTCCTGACAAACCAAAACTTGCATATTGTCATGGCTACAAAGCAAGGCAAGGTTTTATCCATGGTAGATGAAAAGGTTATTTCTTTAAACGTCATCAACAGTATAAGTGTATCTACTCTTCAGGATGATTGGGTCATTTTACACGTTGATAATTCACCTGACGGAGACACCATTCTTTCTTGTACTTTCAAGACCGAAATGCTCACACACATGTTGCAACAAACAGGAGGTCGTATCAAGGTCTCTGTTGCTCCTCAAATTCAATACAAGAAAAAGGGCGGAAAATCAGTTACCATGAAATTCGTGAAGGATGAAGCCGCAATTCATGATGGTATCTATAAGAGTCACGTTGTCAAGATTTGTTCTGGTGCTCCCGCTGGAAGTCGTAAGTATTTATAATAAAGGGATATGTATCCTCATGAGACTTAATTTTCTTTCTAGAATCCAATCCTCCTTGTGCTGTCAAACCAAGACCCACTAAAAATACAACGAGAAGAGCACCTGCAGCTAAAAAGACCAACATTGTTCGTAGCGCACCTCGTCCAGCCGCAAACGCACGTCCTGCTCCTGCTGCCACGAACAACACTATTCCCGCATCCAACATACGTCCTGTATCCAACAATATGGGCAGATCTGTTCCTCCTCCTCCTCCCCCACCCGCTCCTGTGGTTGCACCTCCACCTCCTGCCACACCCACTTTACCCCAATACAAGGCCATTTACCCCTTCCAATCACAAGAAGCGGGAGAAATTCAATTTGAAAAGGGTGATTTATTAGAAATCGAGCAAAAGGATGAAAATGGATGGTGGTTAGCACGTAAAGATGGTATTGAAGGCTGGGTACCTAGTAATTATTTGGAAGAATATATCCCACCTGTTGTAGTATCTACACCTCCTCCTCCCCCTCCTCCTGCAAGAAGAGCTCCTCCTTCTGTACCTGTGCCATCCAAAGCCGCTTCTTTTAGTCAGGCAAGTCCTGTCAGTAATAGCAGTGTTCCTGCTTGGAAAGCAGAATTAGAAGCACGTAAAGCGGGTGTCATTCCTAATAGTGGTGCAGTATCGTCATCATCACCTGTTCCTGCTGCTAGAAGAGGCCCACCAGCTCCTGGACAAAAGCCTTTGATTCCTTCTAACAAACCTGTAGTTCCTGCAAAACCCATGGTTCCCTCTAGACCAGGTGTCGGTGCACCCAAACCTGCTCCTCGTGCTCCTCCTCGTGTTGGAGGTGGTGCCGACCCATCAAACGCTGCTGCCTCTTTAGCGGATGCTGTAAGTTTTACTATATCTTACAAAAATAGAAAGTCTAATTTTTCTTTCTTTTTTTTTTTAAATAGCTCAGGGCACGTAGAAATCAAGCACCTTCACATCATGACGATGATGATGATGAATGGTAAAAATTTATAGAGCATATTGTCATTGCCATTTTTATAGGCAATCTTTGTTTAAAAATAAAACGAGTTTGTTGTATGATGATGATAGCGATTTTTGTCGTATGATTGTAGTTTGTTGTAGATTAAGCGGACAGCAAAGACATCATAAACGCAAAAGCTTTAATTGGGTCGGGAGAGGTCTAAGGAGAACTCTTGTTCTTCCCAAAAAAAAAAAAAAAAAAAAAAAAACGTCATTGGGTCTTTGAAAGACTAGATAAATTAATTTCGTTTCCTCGACTTGTAGAGTAATCCAATGTTGATATGAACGCTTGGCTCTGTTTTTTTCCATCCAATTTTAATGGAAATACTGGGCGGAATTGTGGGGTGGAATTACTGAGTGACTATTTGGTCACTAATGCTATAAGTATAATCCTATTTCGCTAGCATCTCACGGTCTAGACGTTTATAGTTTATTTATAAATAAGGGGATACGTATAAAAGATCTCCATATTCAAAGTCGGCTTCATGTCCATCCTGTTTAACGGTAAACAATATTGAGTATTCTTTAACCACGTGTGTAAAGATGATAGGCTTGCTGGCGTCTTTTATAGGAATTATAAATCGGTGTAGTTTTTTAAATGAGACATTTGATATATAATTATCTTCATTGCCATTATCTTCAGAAGCATATAAAACTGTATCATAGAATTTAATCTCTAGGCATTTATCCATCAGAGCGATAATTTTATTCTTACCTGCTGCAAGAGAGCACTCATCTCCAACGTAAAAGTTGCCATCCAACCTTTTCGTAGTGTCGCTAAAATCTTGGTCCTTTTTTATTAGCGGATACAGTGCAAGATTATCTTCGGCCGAAATTAATTTTGAGCCGGGTAACATCTCAAATGGTGCTTGCGGCGTCAGTGGCTTTTTCACATTATGGCTGAGAAAATGCACAGCGTAGGTTCTCCTTGCTATTCTTTTCACATCAATATTTATAGTATCCAAAAGAATGCTGTTAATAACAATATCCATATGTCTACCATTTTTGGGGCTATCGTCATATATTATACGATGAGGTATAGGACCGCCTTTATATTTAGCAAAAGAGCTCTCTAAACTCTCATTAAATATGTCCAAAAGAAAGGAGGCGCATGTAACGGGACTGCCGACATTTTTTGGTGATAATCCCTTATTTTTGGTCTCTACTATCTCACCTACTGTAAACAGTAAACAGCACACTTCGGAATCAGGAACAGATTTTGCTCTCCTAGTAGCGCATAGATTAACGATGGCAGGTGCTAACAGGTGTTTGATCCACGGGATTATCATTAAATTTTCAATAAGTTCAGTTGTAATAAGTGAGAATCTCAGACGTCTGATATTATGAAGAACATTGTTGTAAGTGACATCAGATGCTAGTTTTCTGTACCAAAGATTCATCGCTGATTCGTCGTCATCCGCAGGAATTCCGAATAATTCTTCTAGTATGTGAGTATCGCTTGGCTTGGAAAGGTCGACGTTGTTTTTTATATACGTGGAAACTTCTGGAGTCATGAAGTTGATTCTGCTACCCAGCCGAAATATCGTGTCTTCGAATAAGATTTTATTTTCTACTCTGTTTGCGAACAACTTTTTGTCTTCTTGCTCCTGTAATGACCGATCGTAAAAAATATTCTCAGTTTTTAGTTTTAACGAATATACACCAAGTTGATGATAGCTGGGACGAAGGTATTTTTTGTCATAGTTGATGACATATCCTGTTTTTGTCTCACCAGTTAAGTCAAATGTATACACATCGTACGGTTTGTCTTCAGGTGCTATGTCAATTGCTGTAAATTGAGGCAACCACGATCTTTCTTTAAAAATGTCGGTTCTACGATTATTTACAATAGTGTAAGGAGAACAAAAAAAGGACAATACACCTTTTTCCATAAGAAGATACGTTAGGGTAGGGAAATAACGATAAGCGGGAAATGGTATGGTGCTTTGATGAATCCTGTGAATTTCGAACATACTCCGGCCTTTTGCTAAGTCTCCAACTTCAGTTGATGTTTCATCTACCAATTTGGATAGTGCGTCGAAACTGAATTTTTTTAAGCAGCCAGCATTTTCGTCATTCCAAATATCAAAAACATAGTTGCATAACGTCATCAATGCATTCTCTTCGAATTCTGGTTTAGCTTGAGCCAGTAACACATAAAGCTTGTTTTTCATATCATTCATACTATTTTGCTGAGCATCGTTTTTTGGAGAAGGTGGCGCAATGGAAAGATTCCAACTGATTTGAGGAAGGCGATTTGGGTCAGATTCTAAATCTTGTGCAACTTGTCGAAGTAGCTGACGGAAGAAACTATCGGCCAAAAATGAATAATAAAGCTCTTCATTGATGGCTCCAATATTTCTTGGGGTAATTCCAATACTAGGAAGTTCCGAATGAATAAATATTGTCTCCGCGTATTTTAGCAGTAATTCGACCAAAGAAGTAAAATAATCAGCGATAAACCTGTGATAAAAGTGCAAACATATTAATGAATGAAGTCACTCGTAATTAACAGTTATATTACCCTTCATAGTCAAAAGAAAATATCTGACATAATTTACCATCTGAAGGTAGTAATCTAATAAAATATGAGAAAATCCTGTATTTAAATTCTTCACTTCAGTGCCAAGTCACTTACGTTTTTTTGACAACTTTCTCTGCCAAGTTATACTTAGCATGTTTCGAATTCATGTCTTCAAGTTTGACAAAAGAATATGTTGCATTTAAATTATGCATATCAACATCTAGATACATACGTTATAAAACCAAATTTATACACACATGAACAACAACATACCTATAGCTACTAGCATCCTAAAAAATAAATTAGGGTTCGGTATGCAATTTCCTTCGTCATCCTTTAAGGATAGTTTGGGAATTGACTCGACGCAATCAATACCATAATATATCCCTCCTCTCATTGACGCCCTATAACCATCTTCAGGTACGATAAGATTTTTAACGGTATTGCTGCTGGTGATGAACTCTTCGTGTAACTTTTTATGAAGATAAGGAGATTGACCAAACCCTCCTAGTAGGAATAACGTATCAATAATTGTATGGGACTTGCTAATTTGTTTTTCTATCAATGCTATCACTTCTTCAATAATGGGGTCAAACACATATTTAGAGATGTTTATTTTGCTGATTCGCAGTTGCTTGATTCCGTTGTGGACAACAATATCACCCTTTAAAGAGAGAGTTTCAAGAATGTTCTGATCCATCCCAATTTCAGACTCGGGTAATGTAAAATAAACGTAATCAGCTGACGATAACGCTTTGATTTCATCGACAGTATCAAAATCACAACTGCCATCATCATCTTCACTATAATCGATTTCATCTTCGCTCATGTTTATTGAATTATCACCAATGCTAGCATCTTCCATACACTCATCAAAATCTGGATATTCTTCGTTATAGTTATAGTCATTTTCATCGATATTCATCATTTTTAAATGTTCTGTAGTTGTAATTACTGCATTAGATGAACTGCTTTCTTCCGATAATTTAGTGATTCTTTCAGTTTGTCCCGAGCTTATCTCTGTAGCATTATCGCCACCAAAAGAGAGCTTTTTTTTCGAAATAGTTAGTAAGATAGATACATTGGCCGGCTTAAGTTACCTTAATTTCATTGACGAATTGATCAATTAAAAACCGAACAACATTTTCTTCGATACAACCTATAAACACATGGTCTCTCAAATATCTTTCCATGTTTTTGTCCAAAAAGGTCGATCCGCAATATCCTCCACTTTCCAAAGCCAGTTGACAGTGACTGATTTTTGAAGACTCGTGTTCAGAGCCTGTACATTCATATGTGGCTAAATCAACCGTACCACCACCGGCATCACACACCATATAGCGTTCGCCCTGAGACAGTTTACTCGTGCTACCATCATCCATCATGCAATATTCCCGTTTACAAAATAAAGAAGCTGCATGTGCCTCGTCAATAATAATAAGCCTCTCTTCTGGGTCGTGCGAAGCGTCAATAAGGTTTGCTTCAATAGCAATATCGCGCATCATTAATATATCCTTATTAACCCAAGTGGCTGGAACGGTCAGTACGTAACGACACTTATTAGTATGATCTGATGATGAGTCTGGGTCCACTGTTTGATTTAGTTGGTCACAAGTATATTTGTTTATCTCCCTTAAAAAATCTATCGCCGCAGTTCTGTATATTTCGAGTTTTTCACGTCCTGCTTGTTGACAAAAATCTTCTTTCAAATTTAATTTAAATTGCTCGACAAAAACAACATTGGGGTCGTTGGGATTCGTTTGCAAATAATTAGTAGCATCTTTCCCCCATTTAAGTAGTTGAGGAGGGGTTTCTTTGTTGTAAAGACAGGCGGTTGGCGTTTTTTCAAACGTATCATTTGAACGTTGGTTCGGCCTATTTTGCTATATTAATCAATCTTGTATGCATCCAATAATTTGAATTTTATTCTATTACCATTTTATAACATGCACAATGCTCTTATTATCTTTTACGTAAGAAAAGCAACTCCCGGAAAATGTTGTACCAATATCTATTATAGTGAGATAAGGACGCGGCGATTTTATTTAAGATCAATGCTTATTTTATTTTTACCTATGCTGATAACATAATCGAACAATTCAAAAGATGTTTTCATGATTCTTAGAGAGAAGAGAGGAACGATTTGAAATGAAGGGGGCTTTTATTTATAATTGTTGCATGCACACCTTTGTGATACCTAATGATGATATTCATTGGATTGTTTAGAATTTGTAAGGTTTTTTTTTAAACTTTCTGCGTATTTTACGTCATTAGTTTTGTATTAGATGATAATTACTTCTTTCGTGTAATTCAAATTAGCATCTGTTTTTATTATATAGCCAGAATGAAACCTATTTCTTCTTACCTAAATGACTTGCAATTACAAATCCAGCAATTTATTGTTTAAAAACAAAACATAGAACACGAAGCCCCTCTGTCGATTGAAGGTATAACTAAATCATATGAGAAATTCAAAAAAAAAAAAAAAAAAAAAAAATACCAATTGACTTTAAATACTACATAGGTATCGTATTTGCAAGAAATAGAAACATTGCATAGAAGTACGTATACTTGCGTTTTTCGGACCACTAACTAAGAAAGTATAATATTCCCTGAAAAGCGTGATAGTTTTACTTTTCTAAAAACTATGACGAGATTATCAGAATCTTCAATAGTGTTTCAGCAAAAGTTTTTATTTCACTCAACAATTCTGTTACCAGTATATTAATCAATTGAATGGTAAATTTGGGTTATGTATCCATACATACATTGAGAAACAAAAAAGGGGGGCCGGGTTTCGAGGAGTAACAAACAGAATTTAGATGATTTGGTATCATCAAAGACTTGCATGGTTTTAATATCAACTAAAAAAGTTAATCACGACCAGACAGAGCTAAGGCCTTTTTTGAAATGGCTATGAAAAGCTATTTAATCATTTAAAGCATGGAGTTATCTATATTTTATGATATAGTTTAAGTATTTATAAACATATTTTTAAGAAAAAATGAAGCGCCGGACTATTTCAATTCTACCGTGGCCTATTTATACTTCGATTGTAGTAAGTGGTCCATTAGTAAACCTAACAAATTACATCTAATTTAATTATTTTAACATTCGTTTAATTAATGGCAAGCCTCGGTTTTTGGAAACAGTATGAAGCACTTTAAGGCGTCAATTCATCAGCATGTTCAGAGATTAAATCAATCTGAAATCTTCGAGATAAGGCTTTGTTTGAATTGGTTTCACGATTTTTTGAGGCAATTTTTGATCTGTCAATATTCTTGATTTTATTTAAACTCAAAATCAATTGCCGGAAGTCAAATAAAGATAATATATATTTTAGGCTTATCGGCATTTGCCAGCCGATAGCTACATCCTATTTGCAAATAGTGAGTGTGATAAAGTAATTGACTCATTAGTCACACGACTAGAAGCAAGGAGAAACTCAATGCTCTATTATTACAATGACCCCTTAATAATATTGTAGCGATAGTCAACGTGCTTATTAAAAATAAATACATTTTTAGTGTAAATTTGGTCGCTAGACTATATCTCTATGACTTCATGCGACGTTTGTGTGCCATGGTATAGTAAAAAAACCATAATTAACAGCGCCACATTTGCAGCTGATGCTCACCGCTATTTGTGAAATTATGAGACTAACAAATGCACAAAACAAAATCTAGCAGAGAAGTAATGCCAAGTAAAATTTATCTCTGTGCAGGAGATTTTAGACATGAAAATCGGCGGGAACAGCAAAACAGCGCGTGATTTCCGTGTGTATAATACGTGTGATGGGAAAATTGCAATGATAACACAACTTTGATAAGAGAATGAATTAAAAAACCTGTAGAAAGCAAGATTATTGACTAAAGAAATTGAGTCGGTAATAGCATCGAATAATCCGCTGACAACTCAAACGGCTAAGGCCCTATTAATATATCCTTTCTACTTTTACGAACATAATTTTGCATCTAAATATGCACGAAAACAACAGAAGAAAATACTACGCAATCGTGAGCTATTGTCAATGTAGTTAAGTGATGTTATACACACACTATGTTTTGGAACAACACTGTGTAACATAAGCTAGATACATTTTTTTGGAAAATTTTCACGAGACATTTTACCTGTATGGTGCTTGTTTGCTTCAAAGTTCGAGCGTGCTTTATTTCGCGGATGTAACAATAATCATGTCACTTTTTTTAAAAATAAAACCATGAAAAGCAGCTTGTAAATACTTATTATGAGAATACATGGTATGAATGCCATATTATTGGCAATAAAGAATCATGAAACAGGGTATGTATAATGTGGCATTTGGTGTAACACTATGGAATGAATTCTTATTAGACTTAAAAAAGTGCATTGGTCATACAAAGAACACACAAGTAATTTTTATTGGTTCAAAAACGTACAAAAGAGAGAAGGGGGAAGGAAAAAAAAGTATCCTTTTCCATTCTATCCTTTCTTTCTATCTTTCTATTATGTCTTCCACCATCACATATGGGGCAGGTTCCCTCGATGAAGACACAAAAAGACATTCACGTTCACTCGATCTTGATCCAGCCTCAAGGACTGTTCGTCATTTGCACCAAAGATCAGTTTCAGATGGCGTAGACATGTTTATTCCAACAGAGCCCATAGCGACTACTATACCAATGTCCAACTCCGTCTTTTCACTTTACAAAAAGTTTGGCTCTCCGGGTCGTAACCGTAGTTTAAACCACCATTGCGAGAGCAACAAGCAATCTCAATTTTCGAAATCAAGAGCCTCAATAGGCTCTGCTTTTTCTAGTTTATCAAGCAGCAGAAAGTCTTGTAGCCAAAGATTCAGCTGCGTTAGTTCTCCTGTCAATAACCCAGGTATATCTTATAACCATTGTTGAAATCACACTTATTTATTTTATTTTTTGCTAAACAGGTGCCGCAGAAGCTATGAGTCCAATGATAAAATATAATACGATCAATGAAGAACAGGCAACCATTGTCGCTTACGACGAAAAAACCCCATCTTATCTGCTGGCTCAGACAGGGGAATCCAAGTAATAAAACAAAAATTAGGGACTAAATGGAATTAAAGGCACTAACCACCATTATTAGACGTTCTTTGCCTTGTAGTTTGCAACAGGAAATCAACCAATTCTCTATCGATGGTTTCGCACACAAATATTTTGCTACACATAAACGAGGACTTTTTAGAAGAGCAATACCAATGAATGAACTATTAAGTTGGACAAGAGATTCCATCAAACAACCACTTTTATTATCGAACAAGAATTATAAAGATGCACTCAAGTGTTTTAAAATCTTACAGTTATTAATGCATGATCGACAAAGACCAAAACATTTCAATTCGATGGAAAGTTTCCAAGCCTTGTTGAGCTGTGGTATTAGCAAAGGTCAAATGCGTGATGAAATTTACGTTCAGGTCTGCAGGCAGCTGAACAAAAATCCCAGGGGGTAAACAAATCATGGCTTTTTCTATTTGATTTTTGTACTCAAACTTAACTTGTTTATTTTAGTGAAAGCATTAGAAAAGGTTGGGAAATTTTATGTGTCATAAGTGTTACTTTCCCTCCATCAAAAAATTTGGAATCCTCCTTATTCCGTTTTGTCGAGCAACATCATAACGTTACAGCGAATCAAGTAGACGTACTCAGTAAATATGTTTCATTAAAGTTGATTCGTATTTGTAGTAGGGGTGCAAGAGGAAAAGTACTTTCACCTGCAGAAATTGAAAGAGCTATGGTAAGATTAATTCATTTTGCTTTCCCTTACTTTTTTATTAAGCATGGCTGTAGGAAGCACCTTTTAAACCTTCCGTATTTGGAGAGCCCTTAGATGTCATCATGGAGCAACAAAAGGATGATTCTAGCAGGATACCAAAGATTGTAACATTTTTAACCAATGCTGTGCATGATTTAAATGGTCAAACTTCTGAAGGAATATTCCGTGTACCTGGAGATGCAGATGCTGTCACTGAATTGGTTAGTGTGTTACGATGCACGACAAAAAATTTTTTTTACTAATACCGTTACCAATAGCGCATTCGAATTGAAAATGGCAATTATGATTCAACTGGTTTTGATGATCCAAACGTACCTGCTTCGCTTTTAAAATATTGGTTGAGAGATCTTTCTGAACCATTGATACCCACCTCTTTGTACGATGACTGTATTTCAAATGCGCATGACAAGGAAAAGGCAGTAGAGATCATAAATTCACTGCCTGAAATCAACCGTCGCATTGCTCTTTATATGATTCGATTTTTACAAGTAATGCAGACCTTAATTAGTAGAAACAAAAAACCGTGTACTAACTACTATTCTAGGATTTTTCTGACCCACAAGTGATTGAACATACATTGATGAATGTGGTGAATTTAGCGATGGTATTCGCACCCAATTTCTTGCGTTGTCCCTCTGTCAATTTAACTACGATATTTGAAAACTCTAAATATGAGCAAGCATTTCTTAAGACATTAATTACTGAATTAGAAGTGGACAAAGAAGCTTGTGCCTTTCAAGACATGGATATTATTGGAAGAATTAAAGTAGCACAATAGCTTTTTTTTTTCATGTGCTGGGAACTATTTATTCCCTCTTTTTCTCGTTGGACAAGAAAAGCATTTATAAACACACACGCACAAACCTTTTTTTTTTTTTTCCTCATCATCACATTCCTAATTTACATTCATTAAAAATAATAAAACATGAGGACAATAGGTTTCCTTGCCATTTCTACCTTCCTTTTAAATAGCATTGCAACAGTAGCAGCAGTTGCAGCAGAATTCAGGTCTGGAGAAGACATGTATGATATTAAAGCATCAGTAACCAATGGTACGACAATTACAGCAGGGAAAATATAAATATTGATATTTTTTTTTTAGCAACTTTGAGTGGTTTTACTATTGAATATAAAAACTATTACAAGGTCGTAACAAACATCATAACAGGTCAAAAGTACTGCCTTGTAGGTTGGAACCAAGTACGCCCTGAAGACTGTCCACAAGATTCATCCTTCAATGTACCTATACAAGAGTTCAATTTTGATACTGACTCTTACCACGCAATACCATATATTGAATTGCTCGGTATTCAAACTAAGTTGTCTGGAAGTGTTAATATTCAAAATATCACTTCTCCTTGTATACTTGATGGTAGTCAAAACACTAAAATTACATCTCCTCAAATGGTTCTTTCTTTGCGATCAGTAGGTTTGCCATACGTTAGTTTTTCCGGTAATGATGACAGTTTAGGGCCACTTGAGGTAAAAAAAAATACATATATATATATATACAATAGAATTTGAGACACTGACTCTTATACTTCTTATAGAAAGCATCTTGGTTATTATACCTTGGCGTCTTTTTTGATATGGAATCAGAAGCACTTTTAGCTTATAATCAAATTGCTAATAATTACAATTGTCACAAGAGAAACTTACAAAGAGTTAATAAGAACAGAATCGTATCATGGACTTCTTTCGATCCTATAAAGAAGACCTACACAATCAACGGCGATAATTACTATACTCAATTGTCCTCTGATGCTGGTGCAGTACTTCGCTCACCTAATAGACTACAAGACAACACATACAATACTGCAGTATTTACCGAGCTCCATGCACTTGCTCTTCAGTTACAAGGAGCAGAATTTATTTTTGATATCAGTGACACATCTGTTGATTACGCTACTTGGTATAAATCAGGCGGTGTGTACTTTACCCCCAACAATAGCTTTGCTCATGTTCCCGCTATTGCTGATAGTCAAGTTTATTCGACTCATGGTCTTGTAAATTCAAACGGCATCTCTGGTAAGTTATATATTTAGATACAGACATGCTAAGGAGATTAACAAATTTATTTAGATTGGACACAAAGATCAGCTGCTCGTCCTGATCTTGCACTCTTAGATATTGTCGAGTTACTATATCCAACTTTTGCAGTACCTGATGCTTCAGAATTTCCTGTATGGTTTACTCGTTTCGATAAAAAGGAGCAACGTTTGATCAACGAAAGCTATGGCAACTGTTCAAGCATCATTACCTCAGCCGCTAAAGAAACTGCTTGTACCATCGGTACAGATGGCGGTAGCCATACCAGGACTTTGACCTCTGGAGGCAAAGCTGGTGTCTCCGTCGGTGTTATTATATTTGTATTCTTGGCAGCAGGCCTTGGCTTATGGTTATTCCGTAGATACCGTCGTAACAAAAGACATAATTTCTATAGAATGAATGAACTTTAAAATTTATTAAAAAATGAAAGGAGATTAAAATAATGAATGTGTGATAAGGAGTGAAATAGATACAGAAATATTTTTTAGGGGGAGAAATATCTACAATGATTGGAATATATATGTAATAAGTGGTATTGAGATGAGAGGAAAAGAGCTTAATAGCAAGTAGGTGTATCAGTAGATAATTTTCTTGTCTTCCACCAACCATCATTGTTGGTTTTTGGTTTTTCTTCAGAAGAAAAGATAGATTTTGTTAGCTTACGCTTCCATACGCCAATAGAAGAAGCTCTTGCAAAGAAGCGGCTATTTGTGGGTGTTGTAGGCGTTGTAGGCGTTGTAGGCGTTGTAGGTGTTGTTGGTACCTGAATGCAGGATTGTTCGAATTCTCTTAATTGGAACAATAACCCAAGGTTAGGGCTGATAGGAGGGGCTAATAACTTGACGTGATTATAGGCATCTTGCATTGGCATCTTTAAAGTCTTCATAACATAGGCAATAATAACTGTTGCAGAGCGAGCAACACCACATTGGCAATGAACAAGAATATTCTGCTTTGCCAATCTTGCTCTATCAATGATATCAATTGCTTTTTTCAGTTCAACGACTAAATTATCTTGATTATGTTGCCATGGTAATTTTTGATAAGAAACATCTGTGGCTGCAGATTGAATGGTCTGAATACTGGAAGCACCACTGACAGTAGATGCTTTTGATAGAGATGGGGAAGGAGTCAAATCATCCATAGGTTGGAACATGTCTTCGTGTGGATTATTGACTTCGGCTGCAACATTTAATATGGCACTAATAGATAACTGGCGAAGATTGTTTAAATCAGCCGCATTTTTTTCTGATCCTAAAAAAAGAAAGGGCATGATCTTGACTGGTCCTAATGGATACGCATTTACATCATCTTTCTCTTGAATTGCAATGGCTGTTTCAGGTGAAAGACAAAGAGATAAATTCTTGTTATTTCTTCTACGGTTAGCAAGTGTGCTGGTACTGGGTGAAATGTTAAGTGATAATCTCTTTGTTGTCATTTTTTTAAAAGATGTGAAAAATAAAAGAATAAAGAAAGAAAAGAAACAACAAACACTATAAATAATTAATTTACATCTTATTTAGAAAAGCGGGAGAAAAAAAATTTAATTACTTATCCAATCATTTTCCAATTCGCTAATTACTTTCATGTTCCAGAACAGCCTCCCCTTTGTTTTGTCACTCCCTCTTTTACCGGACGCCACTACTTGTCCATATCATAATAAAATAATATTCGTAAGCTTAACTTCTATTTATGTTGTTGTAATACAACAATTAATTTACCCCAAAAGGCAAAGTATTGTTATTATAGTGCCCGAATACAATATAATCTTACGTCACTGACTAATTATTTTATTTAACAGCCACGTGACAATCACTAAGTTGTAATCATTATAAGAAAAAAGAAACTGCTTATCCTATTGGAATTATAAAAGCGATACCAGCTATTTCGTACATGCCTTGTGTTTACTTAATGCACATAATAAATTTTACCCCAAATGGCTGCATTAGTCCATTATTAACGCACATAAAATAACCTTAATCTCGGTCTCAGATCACGCGTAGATCTTATTTACAATAATATGATAAGAGCCATCTCACAAAACGCTACAAATGCTTCATTTAACGCACCAAAGTATCATATTCTACTGTTGATCACAAGTTATCATTAATTTTTTTAAGCCCATTACTTTTCATTTTATTAGTTTATTATTAGGTGCCGTCGGAACAAACAAATAATGTTTGTAAATCAGTATTTACAAAAAAGACCCAAAAAAACACGAAAAAAAAACCAGTTTTAAAAGCTGCGCTATTTATTTCCCGCCGAAAATTTTGTTTTGTTTATTCTTTCGTGCTAAAAAAAAAATGCGCGCGAATGCAGACTTATGATCTTGTTACGTATCATAACCTTTTTTGTTTCCCCAGTCATCATGTGGACAGGTAATTAATATAATTTTTTGAGGCTACACAAAAAGTTGGGGTACGTGACAGTTCCGATACGCCTGTCTTTGTTCTTTTCTTGCATGTAATGTAATACAAGGTATATTTTTTATACCTATGAGAAAAATCGCAGATTTATTGTGACGGAATATACAAGAGAGGTTTTAGAAATGATAAATGTGGAAGGTATTAACTTAATGTTGGATGATCAGGCTTATATTTTTCCTGATCCGACGCTTCGGAATCGGTAACTCTACTTCTGGTACTCCTATCGTCAAGATCTTTACCAGTGGTTTCGGGCATACAAAAGGTTACGAAAAGGAAACCAAACAAATTAATGACGATGAAGACAACAAAACTATAAGTTCCAAGTCCGGCATTCATTTTTGGCCAAATGGTATTAATAACGAAATTAAATAGCCAGTTAGAAGAATTGCCAAGTGCTGAACCAGATGCAAGTGCGTGCATTGGTAAAAGCTCTGGAGCTATCATCCAAGGGATAACGCCACATCCCATAGAATATGACCCAGTAAATAAAATAGCAGCTGCAATGGCAAGACCACCGATTCCTTGTGAGCCGTTACTACCAGTAAGTGTGGATCCAAGAACCATCATGACAGAAGCGATACATGTACCGCCAGTGGAAATCATCATGAAGCCTTTACGACCAACTTTATGCATAAAAATAACAGCAACTAACGTGGCCACAATATTTACTGTTGCATCGGCAAGAGATATATTTACAGCTAAAGTCGCATCGCCAAACAAGTCAGTGAAAAAACCAACGGAATAAACAGACATAGGTCCCACACCGCCAATTTGGTTGAAAGCTTGAATGACCATAACAATTACAGTATTCCATGTAATTTTTTTGTCTTTACAAGAAATGATGTCCCACATTGACATCTCTTCTTGGGAGGATTCATCCTCACGTTCACGGGCCGCAAGCATAGCAGCAAACTCTTCTTCGACATCAGCGCCAGCACGGAGTTTTTGAAGAGTAGCACAAGCTTCATTATATTTTTTATTTGCACAAAGACGACGAGGACATTCAACGGTGAAGAAGAACAAGAAGACCAATTGGAGAGCAGCAATTATTGAAGGAATTGCCCACAAAAAACGCCATGCCGGAGCAAAGGCCATATACCTTCCGCAGATTTGGGTAAACAGAATGCCAAAGTTCAAGAAGAGTTCAAACAAAGACCCTAATGCACCACGGCTCTTATTTGTAGATATTTCAGAAACATATATAGCAACAGAAGAGCCACACATACCAGAAGCGAAACCTACAAGGGCTCTTCCGACTGAGTACATAACGAGATTCACGGAACATGCAGATAGCACACCGCCAAGAATCATCCAGAGGCAAGAAATCATAATATTATCCCGACGACCATACCAAACATTTGTGTATTTACTAGCAAGGCTACCAAAGAAACCACCTATAGCAAAGGCACCAATAGTATAACCCCTATTTTTTAAAAAAATAAATAAATAAGAAAACTGTTTAAAATTATAATGTTCATTATAATTACCATGTAGGGAAATCCATTGGAAGGCATCCCGGTAAAGGACCAGACTCATTTGTGCCTGGAATACAGTAATAAGAACCATCGTCGTTGACTATCCCCATAATAACCTTTTCGGGCATATTAGGTACACCTTTTAAAGATTTCGTCAGTATATAACTAAATAGGACATAATTTAATACATACTGATATGCCATCCGACATTGAACCCTGATAGTGCAGCAATAGTAGCGCAAGCTGTCATATACAAGGGGAAACCCAAATCTTGAGATTTTTGTTGTGCAAACATTTTTTCTTGTGGGGGAAAGCACAATTAAAAAAAAAAGATAAAAGATAAAAAAAAAAGAATTAAAGATAGGAAAAAAAAGCCTGTTTGTTAGATAATGATAAGAGATATTTGGCATTTATACTGTCTATGGTTACCTTTTTCAGTAAGTGTAGATATACCCTCACACATTGCAATTTGATTCGTTACTAGGTGGTACATATCATAGAACTGGCCTTCAACCTTGATGTATAATTTTTTTGAGAGCAGAGAATATCGGTTATTAAACAATCTTGTATCTACGGCTCGTGTGTGTAAAATATACCTGTATGTACAATAACGGTATGTTATTTTCCCATGAATTCCGTTTCACAGTTGCTTGAATAATAAATAATTCTCGCATGTGATTCCAGACTCCGTGTTTGTTGGACGTATCGTAAACCAGGTTTACATAATACACCCATTTCACCATGCATGTTAGAATCCGTTATTTGTTCGAGTACAGCATATAAAAATACGTGTCAAAGTGTAATAATACAAATACTGTGTGTCTGGGAATTTGTGTACATGTGTGCGTAAGCGAGATACTTAAGGGTATGATGGGTTTAAAGTTTGGTTACTAATTTTTTTTTTTTTTTAACAAAAAAAACTCTTCTCCCACAGACAATTTTTTGATATAAAACTCAATTAAACTTTCCACAAAGATTATTTTTGTAGTAATTATTTTTGTTTTCAAACATACTAACAATTGTATATATAGTCTGACTTCGATCATTGCTGTTCGATTTCAAAAAAATACAGCCAAGATACCGATCGAAAGCTGTGTATCAGCGGGTATTACAAAGTATTTTTCTAATTATCAATATATGGTCATATAATCCAATTAAAGGCAACACTTCCCTATAAAAATCATGACTTTTTGTCATATTGCATAACTTTAAATAAGTTTAACTTATACAAGCTGGAGTACTATTTTTTTATTTTCCCAGTACTCCCTCGCATTAAATGGAGCTGTATTATAATATGCATGCATGAATTTCATGTCTCACAACAGTTATTTTACCCAGGATTTTTGTATTATTACAGCAGCAAGAATATCTTCATTTGCTCAAACATTCTTGAAAACATTCCGATAAATAAAACTTACATAAGGCCACACCTATTTAAACGCAAGTCATTTCTTCGAAACTATTTTTTCAAAACAGCAAGTTTACGTTACACTAAAGCAAGAACAGTATGAAATTTAGTTTGTCGCTTAGACTTTACTTCAATGATGTAAAGGACGTTTTTTTTTTTTTCCTTTTTCATAATAAGGCCCTTGTTTATGCATCTATTTCGATATTACACAGACTTCAAGATTCCTCCAAAGTGACTTACTAGTAAGCCTCATTGATTTGTGGGATTTTTAAATGGATATGCATTAAAGATTACCCCTCAATACTGCTTGAATCTGTTAATAGACGCATTGTTCTCATTTGATGCGATGAAAGTATCGACACCGCGTATTCGTATTTGGAAATATTGTACGACGGTGTTCTTCTTCATTTTATGAAATTTTATGTTAGATGGGCGTAATAGTATCCTAAATAGATTGTTGAATAATGGCAGGGCATTTACCCAAAAAGCCATCCTTCAGTGAACGAATAAAGAAGACTAATATCACCGAACGTGGAAAATGGTGTAATTACTTTGCGTATTACTCCAATATATTTAGTTTTCGGGATCAAATGGGCTCCAGTAGCATTCAATGGCATGACATTTTTAACACCCACAACGGCGAACTATTTATGTAAAAAACCAAAACTTGTGTTATGCGACCAAAGTTTTGGTCGCATAACACAAATTTGTCAAGAAATACACAAATCTTAAATCTTGCGCTTTTTTTTTTTTACCATCCTCTTTTTTTTTTTTTTTTTACATGTTGCAAATTCCAGACTCCAAAAACTGAAAATATTGAGCTCTGTCTAAATTTTTTTTTATTCTATTTACTAGTAATCAGTTGTTTGGCCACAAAGTTTTCGGTCAAGCTTTTTATGAAATTGTGCTTTTGGCCACACGACTTTGAATTTACTTTTTGTAGCCGAGTACTGCACAAGGCCAACACATTCAACAGTGACGGTCACATCACACACAGCAATCTTGCGATAGGCTTTATCTTTTGTGTTTTCAACCACAACAGGAACACCATGACTGTCAAGACTGTGCTGCTCCATCACCTCAATCACTGCCAAGAAGGCAACCTCATTTTCCTGCTTATGCTGAATAAAGCACTGCACCTTTCCAACAAACCAAGCATTTCGGGTCGAGCTAAGGACATTGTTTTAATATCTCTTTTTCGTCTCTCTCTCTCTCTCTCTCTCTCTCTCTCTCTCTCTCTCTCTCTCTCTCTCTCTCTCTCTCTCTCTCTCTCTCTCTTTTTTTTTTTTTTTTTTTTTATAAATAAATGTTATGAAATCTACTAAAATCACACTAAATTTCATTAGACCAATAATTTTGTAAAAAATCACACTAATTTACGCTAGGCTATTTTTTTTAAAACTAATGGTGCGCGATCCGTCGTTTTACTATTATTTCTCTTTCTTTTACATACTTTACAAAAAGACTTTAATCAATCGGTAAGTCCTGCTTTTGTTTTTGATGTAAATACTAATGTCGTTACTTATTTTACAGGCTTTCTATACTATTGAGTTCGCTCATTCCCTACCTGTATACCCTTTTATTTTATGTAAGAATCTTTTATGTTGATTTAAGAAGCTAATATCCATTTTTTATGTTCTTTTTATACTACATTATCTTGAATATTGGGATCATTAAAGTATTATTTATTGTAGATATGTAAAAACTCACATAAAGGCAAATCATACGCTCGAACCCTAAGGTACTTTTTGCACCTAACATATATCATGCTACCTATACCGTATAACTAACCTCCCTTACTAGTTTAAAATAATTTTGAAAAGACACATTCAAATATATCTATATTTAAGGTATGATTACGTAGAGGTCGTATAACTAACATTATTCACTAGCTTAATAACACTTTAATTGACCCATTTAAATATATTATACTCTATATCCACATCCATTTGCATCCTTTAAATAAAACGTTTCTTAAATTATATGTTATACTTATAAAATATTACAATTGAATGATATATTTCGTATGACCAAAATGTTTTTTACTTATAACCAAAATACATGGCTTCTTAATAAAATTTTGATGTGTCAACACAACATATTTGCATATCGTTACAGAAATATTTATCATGCAACATAAATACTTGTCCTATGACACAAACTATGGTCATGAAACGCAACTTATTCTGATCGATTCTGGTTCTGTGATCAAAGCTTATGTTAAAACCCCAAAAATTTGTCAGATAACACCAAAATATTTTTCATTTTTTGTGTAATTACACCAAATGTTTGGTATATATAACAAAAAGTGATCAAAATGCTAAAATAATTTTGATCATATTCCTGAGACGCCAAATAATTTGGGTTGAATTTGTGTTCGGGAAACAAAATTTAACCAAAACGTTCGCCGTTGTGACCTTCTACCGAAGAAGGTAGAAGTCGGTTGTTCTATTTTTTTTAGTAGAGATATTTTCTGTTATGAAGGTTTCTATGATCTCTTAGGAGAGCAAACTCGATATATCGCTCAGAGCTTTTGCCAAGAAACTTGATTTTTTAAAAATTTCTGGTCTCAGGCTACTGCAAATTCTGTTTTTTAGAGGACAGAGCTAGATGTGAAAGGAAAAAAAAAGATGTGAGAGGATTTTATTTATGTTGGGGATGATAGACATAAAAAACTTTGATTATTAAAATGACTATGTAGTTGCCCTTCAACTCTTTTACAAAGTAAAATTAATTTAAATGTTTAGTCATCTCCGGAATAAATGTATGTGATGTTACACGTCTTGCAAACAGTTTAACATTCGTTTAACTAATTATCACATTGTGACAGGGCTATTTTAAGAAAATGAGCCATGCGATGCAAATAAATAGAATGCAGACAAGAAAGGTGATATCACGTGGATAGGCGCAAAACTAAGACCTATGTGCAAATAGCATGCTAATAAATTATAATCTGTTTTTAAGGAGACTAGCAAAACTCTGATAGATTTGAAAAACTTTAAAAATAATGGAAACCTACTTCAGGCAAGAGGGCTTTAGCTGTAATTTTAAATCAATGATTGCATCAGAGTCATTTGTCCAACATAACGGACTGATAAATCTGATCTGTACTTTTCTTGAGGAGTAATCAGTAGCTCTATTAAATGTGTACTTGATTTAAATGTTAAAAATGTTCATTAAGTGGGATCATAAAAGTTGGACCGAGTCCATCTCTTTACGTCACTGGTGATTTAGAAACATAAATGAGCAGTTAATTTGAGTTGTGGTAGGCAATAACTAGGTGTATAACGGTGATATTTGTGGGACATATACCAGACAAACACGTTATGGCGTTGAGTTATTATTGGTATTATTTAGAGAATTAGCCTGAAATTTAGGGATTTTTAAACGAAATAAGCCAACATAAGGGTCAAATGTCGAAACGGTTTGGTGAGGTAGTAATCAAAAGCTGCTTAAATATGGAAAATAATAATAATAATAAAAAAAAAACGCGACAGCCTTCAAGCTTTTTTTTTAAATAATTGATAGAATATCTACGTTGAAAGAAAATGTAGAGTTGTCTCGTCTTTAGATGACTTTTTGTGTTACTTTAAAGATAAAAATTAAGGTTTGTAATCCCACTAGATTTTAAATTCTGAAAATGACAACTCTCTATTTGTTTTGTGCATTTGTTTAGCGAGTTCAAAATTAAAATATACCTAAAAGTTGTGATAGCGTCCAAATATTTGTCATATTTTTTATCGTATACATTTATTATAAAGCTAGCGATGACTGTAACATTTAGAGAATTAAAGATGGCATATTTAATGTGGTTTTATATAAAAGTTAAATGTTCAAGTAGCTAGAGAAGTAGCCGATTCATTAGTTGGATCTGGGCTAAGTTCCTGAGGATTAATATTGGTATCTTCCTGAGGCTTTGACCTGGGCTGTATAGCTCAAAAGAGACGCTAAGCAGTGAATTAAATGGTCCAGTAGTAACTGGCGTGAAGTATAAGCTGAGAAAGAACAGCAATGACTAATAAAAGTACAGCGAAACCGATGGTTGTTCTCCAATAAGGAGCAGAAGCGTTCGGTTGCCATTGCATCCGTCTCCTTTTCCAAACTTGCTGTATGTCCTCAATTTTTTCTTGAGAATCAGGAACGATTTGCAGCATAAGGTAAGCATGATCGCTGGCGCTATAGTCTCTGTTTCCTATCCATTTTTGTCGTACATCCATACATCTGACCATTGTCCAGTCTAATTTTGCTTTGAATAAACCAAAGTAATCAGGATTATGAAGAGTGACCTCATCGGGGTCCCAAGGATCATAAAATCCAGGGTTGCGTGCTCTCTTTAAGGTTTCCAGGTCGAAACCACCAAACAATTGAAATATGTACGGCCCTAAAAGACGCCAAAAGAAACGAACAAGACGAATGGGAGCCATACAGAATGGGAAGCCAGCACCAGCTAAACGAAGATTATATTCATGTTGAGGATCACGATAGACTGACATGACATGTCTATCGAACCAGTTACTTTCGGTATCGCCCAAGGATAACAGTCTGTATCTGTCGGTTGCATATTTTGGTGAGAGACGTACGATGGAGTGAGCCATGGTATTCAAATCACCGCTGATGATTTGATGAGGGTATTCTTTTGCATTTTCAGATGCGTCTTCAAAAATGTCGGAAAAATTGTGGATACGGCCAATGATTCCTGTAAATACTTCTAAATGAACGCAATAGCAAACGATGGGTGGCAAAGAAGAAGCTGTCACGGTTCCTACCAAAGTGAAACGTCTAAAAGAGTAAAAAAAAAAAAAAAAAGGTTTTAGCTATTTTTTTTTTATGTGTAGAAAGACCAATGTTTGACTCACTGTCCTATTCTTGGTTCCTTTAATTTATGACCGTCCTTTTCCCAATTGTAGACATTTTTACGATGCTCGAGTACTCTGAAGTCTATATCATGCTTTGATAAAATAGCATTTCCATGGACACCACCACCTGCATCACGTAACTTTCGTATGGGACTGTCAAGTTCCTCGAATTCACAAACAAATGCGCCCTTAAGCTGTAAAGCCTTGCATAGTTCCTGCATATGGTCTCTGCCGCCGGATCGCTTACAAAATATGTCTACTTCTTGGAGCAAAATTACGTCGGGATCCAAATCTTGGATAATCTTGATGATAGCCTCGGATTCTAATTTTGGGGGAGATAATTTAGATGATTGTTATTGTTTAAAAAGGGGTCGCCAATACCATAATTTCTTTCTATATTCCACTGAAAAACTTTTAAAGCTTCCTTTTCAAGTGGTTTCTCAAGTGGTCTAAAGTCATGAATAACCAGTTCACCAGGCAAAGGTAAACCCATTGTCGAGATTATTTTATTTTTTTTAAAATTTAAAAAAGATGAGGTGCGAAAAATAAATAAATAAAAAAAAAAACTCTTGGCTTCAGGATGACAGTCCTTAAGCGGTCATTCAAATAGATGAAGATATATAATTTAAGATTTCTGTTCATTCCTCTTCTTCTTTTTCTTTTTATGCAGATACAATAATGACAAAAGTAGGCCAATGGAAAGGGAAAACTTGTGATTCTTTCTTTACAGAAGTGCTTGTTCAACCAGATGAATTAATACGAGAAACCACAAATTACCGTCGAACCGGCAAAGGGACTACGAATGAAGAAGAAGAAGATGGCAAAGGAAAGGAACCTGGAAGAGTGATCCACAAGGAGGTCCAAAGGTCTAAAAAGACTGCTTATCAAGAATTTATTTTGATATCTAGAAACATCATTTCATTCATACTGTCTGCTCCTATCTTACTGATCTTATTGTCGATAGCCACATTTAAAACCGCCAAAGTTCACTTATTAGAAAAAACCAAAAGAATCCAAGAGGATCAAGAAGCACTAAAGCCCGATGAATTACTGATACAAGACGAAACTTACTATGCAGATCGTTGGGGTTATAAAAGTGAAATGCATCAAGTGTTGACCCAAGACGGCTATGTTTTACAAATGTATAGAATATCCAAAAAGGGTTCAAATCCACAAGGGAAAAGACCTGTTTTCATTGGCCATGGTTTATTTCAATGTTCTGGTGCCTTTGTCTTGAACGAAGAAAATTCAATGGCCTTTGTATTAATTGATCAAGGGTATGATGTTTGGGTTGGAAACAATAGATCAATATCTGGGTTGGACCATATTTCATTGTCACATGAAGATCCCGAGTATTGGAATTGGGGATTAAAAGAGCTGGGAATATATGATTTCCCAGCTATGGTTGATTATGTGCGATCCTTTACTGACTTCTCCAAGGTAACACCTCTATTATTATTTAACTGATTTTCGTCATCTTTTTTTTTTTTAACTGTTTGGATGATAGATTGCATACATTGGTCATTCACAAGGTAATGCACAAGCCTTTATTGGACTATCATTAATACCAGAATTGGCTGACAAGCTAAGCTGCTTTGTTGCTTTGGCTCCCGCTGTATTTTCTGGTAACTTGGTAAAGTAAGTTAAAAAAGCTACTAAATTCCAATTTTTAGATTTGCAAGTGATGTAATTATTATATATATATATTTTAGTACATTTCCACTTTGTCTGCTCATCAGTCTCAATGATTGGATGTATTCCTTAATGTTTGGTATAAGCCCCGACTCAGATTAATGCAAAGAATGATTGGTTTTAATATAAATTTTTTTTTTAGGTACAGGCTCTTTTTTGTCCATTATGTCTCTGGCCCAATCTTTGATTGAACCCAAGACATTCTGCTTTTTGGCTTACAGCATGTTCTCTTACTTGTTTTCTTGGTGGGATAGCCATTGGCTTCGAAGAAGAAAGGCTAAATATTTTCAATTTACTCCTCGCCCTGTAAGTACTAAATTGATTGCCGATTGGATCGCGGGCTGGGGACGTAAAGGAGTTTGTTTGTACATTGCGGATCAAAATAATCACCAACAACAGAAAATCACCCAAAAAGTGCCTCTGGTGGTGTTTTATGGTACTGCTGATTATTTAGTGAATGGTGAGCGTTTTGTGCGTACATTTAATGGATATGAAACCCATGGATTGTCACCGTCTCAATTAGCAAAGGAATCATCCAATCACGAGTGGAATACAGCAAAAAGTACAAACACCTTGTTTCCAATGTTAGACTTGGTTCATGTGGAACGTATCGAAGGTTACGAACATATGGATACTATTTGGGGGCACGATAATCATAAAACAACATATCCCATCGTTTTGAGCAACTTGGAAAAGGCTAGATGGGATTAGAAGTTAGAATTAGACTTATACCAGCAAAATCATCCATGATGATTTTATTATAAATAAAAAAAAAGAAACACTCCGCCTGTCATAACTATAAATTTTATATTCGGAACTTGGTTTTATTCAGATGCAAGGTTTTTGTTGTTTGTTGTATAAGGAGGTATGGATGGGATATATATATATTTATTTACAAACGTGCCTTAACTTGAGGTACGTACCAAGCCATCTCAACTTCCTTTTGCTTGAAACCACACTTTTCATAGAATGGGACATTCTAAAAAGCACACATTTTTTTTTTTTTTTTTAGTCCCCTTTGTCTTTGCAGAGCTATTATTATTATTCTTTGTTACCTTTTCTGAACAGTCCAAAATAACCTTATAACAACCGCGTTCAGCACCAATAAACTTGAGAGCTTGAATGATTCTCAAACCAAGCTTCTTTCCTTGTTGATTGCTGTTAACAGCAATATCCTCGATGTGACCAACAAGACCATTCTTATGTACAAACTTTCTCTCGACAAGAATCGTACCAACAGCAACAACCTGATCCTTTGCATCTTCAGTGATAGTGATGGTGTGATCTAAAATTATATTAGATCTCGGCCTAACACCCTTTTATTTTTATTGTACTTACATTCATGGTTGTGTTTCTTTAAATAGTTGAATTGTTCTATTGGTACTCTTGTCAACAAATTGAAACCATAATTTAAACGTCTCTCGTGTATTTACCTGTAAATTCTTCTTTTGTATGACCACCGACTTCGGTCAAAACTTCCAACACTTGGAGAAATCCACGCTCATAATCATTTGAACGAAGCGCGCGGAGTGTGTAACCGGGAGGCAAAAGAGACTGAACTTGGGGACAGAGCAAACTGGATTCAAAAAGAGTAACTTCAGACATAATAAAAAAAAAACAAAAGAGTGTTAAGGAACAAAGAAATCCGATAAAAAAAAATAAAGTGTTATTTATAAATTTTTTTCCGCGGTGAGGGCAAAAATAGCTTTTATTCCGCGGAATAAGCTAAATTTGTTTGTACTACCTCTTCAATGATTGGCTCCTAAATACAGAATAAATCTTTAGGAGCTCATGCTCAAAATAAAACAAACACGTTTCTTCTTCAAATCACGCCTATTAAGAATTTAGAGATATGAGCCATCAGCCTAAATCACCATAACAACAGTCGTATAGATCACTGAAACTTTATATTATCCTCTTTCTGTAAAATACTCTTTACTTCTCAGGCAACCTTAGATATCCAGGAGCCACCAGTCTTGGTATACCTGTCATCTATCCATTACTCTTATGAGTAACCTAAGGCAAATATTCAGTGGACATAAACTCGTGCTGTTTTGGATAACTAGGCGTTTAATTAAATCCATTTCATAACTTGTTTAAAATGTGGAAAAGTCTAAATTATTTATTAAAACCAGTAATTTAAAAAATTAAAGGTAGAACTATACAAGGTGAAGAGGTAGTGACAGTAAGAAAATTATTTAGTCACGGGACGAGTCTTGCGTTGATAATACGTCGTAGCGTAGTCTAATAGGTTATTGAGAAGGCCATCGTCACCTCTGGGTTCTTTGATGAATATAGCAGGCTGACCGACAGGTGCGTCGATAGGTTTATAAGTACCATCACCAGGATAATATTTACCAGTCCAGATATGACGCCAGGTTACATTTTGAGCATCTGCAGGGAAATAAACTTTGACATAACTGGCAGAAGGTGTAAGTACAGGTGCAACCATCATTGAACTGCCGATCATGAACTGCTGATATGTCAATTCACGAGCAATCTTGTCGTTGGGATAATAGAGTACTGGGTGACGTAAAAGAGGCCAGCCCTTTTCGTAGGCTTCCTTCAGCACTGTTTTACGGTAATCTTTGATGAGTGTAAACAGTTTGGCAGTATGTGCAAAATGTTCGTATGAATCTGTAGGGAAAAATTTGTATAAGAAAAAAAAAACAGACTAAAATCTATATGGGAAGAAGCTTACCTTCATTATCGTAAAATTGTGCATTTGCAGAAGGGATAAGACCTTCGGTTGTTCTATAAGCGGCAGTCAGTGCAGCAAGTTCCATCCATCTGAAAAGCAACTCCTTTGTTCGAACCATTTTAAAACCAGGAAGGCTGCTTGTCACTGAATTATATCCACCAGCATCACAATGCGTGACTGAAAACCCAGAAAAACCGCCTGAGAGCATACCAATTACCTATAAACATAAGCTTATTGAGTCTTCCCTGTTCTTAAAATTACACATTCCCCATGTAGTTATTACTTACAGCACTCTTGATACCATGATGCTGATCCCAAGTGACATTTTGATCACCAGCCCAAAATAAGTTCATACGTCCTGGTGAATGAGTATAACCAGATCTGAAGAAACAAAGAGCCTCGTTTTCTTTACCAAGCTCAGTAATCACTTCACGGTGTAACTTAGCCCATTCCTCTGGGTAATGATTGTGATAGGTAGCAGCTGCTTCGCCCGAGTGTAACGCGACTTTATTGGAATCGGAGGGTAAATGTTCACCAAAATCGACCATCATGCCTATTAGGGTAAGCTGTTAGGATTTTGCATAATTATTACCTGGGTAGATATTTAAGTAAGATATTTACCCGATACCCCGGATTTCCATACTTGGTCTTTCAAGATTTCTTTAAACCAGGTACATGCTTCAGGGTTTGTCAGATCCAAGAGACCGGCTTCTAAATCTTGACCAAACTTAATTGAAAGGGCATTATGATCAGAAGAACTTGATTGGGTACTTTTGACTAAATAGCCCTTATCCTGAGCCTCGGGAAACAGATTTCTTTTAATACGCGACTTTGAATTAGCGTTGGCTAAAAGAGGGTTCACATATGATAAAACACGAACAGTGCCAGCTTTATCATTAGATAACTCTTGTACAAAATTGTCCCAATCGGGATAAAGTTCATCGTCGCTCTCCCAGTTCCACCATTGACGGGTATACTGTACACCGCGACCACCATCCTGTAATCTTTGACCGGTCCAATCTTGAATAAATACCGCAGAGAGTGGTACATTGTACTGACGTAGTTTTTGCACTGTTTGTCTTGTCTTGTCTCTTCCTCCTTGAATACCTGCAATTACACCATCTGAAACCCAATCCGGTAAAGGAAGCATTCGACCTGCATAGGACGTATATTCTGTCAACAGGTCTAGCATTGTCTTTCCATCCAAGATACGACCTAATTAACGAAAGCCTGTACTCAGTTACCATGCTCAAAACGTGGTAGACACAAAAAAAATAGCTTATTATCAATATTTACCTCTCATTACGTCTGATTCCAGGCGAATTGTCACACGGTCTGGTGCGGTAAGATCAAAACTCATGTATTCGGAGTTCTCCATAAACAAGCAACGAATATCACTTGAAATATACTGAGGAATCGAGGCATATGTAGCAAAAAGATCTGTTGGGCCTAATGTACCAAACACACTGAGGGCCGAATCCTTAAGTGAGGCTGTCTAAAAAAAGAAAAAGAAAAAACACTTTTAGTTGTTCTATTCTCATTATGACTTTCCTTTCTTCAACTTACTGCAGGTGCGCCTCTTCCAGCACCTTGCTCTCTGATAATAATAGATTAATTAATACGTGTTTTTTTTGTAACTCCACCAATTCACAAACCTGACAAGAATCGGAACCTTTTGTCCCTTGAGCGATGCGTATGAGAATTGTTCGCCAAAACCATAAAAGTGTTCTTCAGGTCTGCTTTCGTAGGTCAAGAACAAACGAGTGTAAGCATCCATTGATGGATCTCTTCCGACAATTTCTACCGAGAATTGTAATTGACGGTGTGAAACTTCTGTAAAAGTGAAAATGTAATCCATGTGAGTAGGTAACACCAACTTTGGACCAAGGCCACCGTAAATCTTGACTGTAGAATCATTTTCTCGCTCGATTTTAGTAATTGTTTGAATTCGAGTGAATTTCTCGTCTGTTTCGGTCACTCTAAACACACCATTATCACCATTCATTACGATATCTTTGCCGACTGAAGAGGATAAGAAGGGCATGTTTTGTAGAGCTATTTTATCGGACGATATATTAAAACGTGGTTCGGCTACACAAAGCAAATCCAAAAAAAAAACTTACATTTCCAAATAGTACGTCCGTGTCCATTTTTAACGGTCAAAGCTAATGCTTGAGCATCCACTTGTACTTTAAAGTGTCCTGTTGAGAACTCTTGATCCGAAACCGCATTGCCAATTGATAAACGTGGCTGTATATATTCTTCGGGAGATGATAAGCCGACTGATTTCTTTACCGATTGCCACATTTTTTTTAGCGTATTTTATGCAAAGAGCAAGAAAGAGCAAAAAAAAAAGAAAAACTTTCTGTTGCTTTATATAGATCTCGGTGAGTTTCAAACAGTTAAAATAGCCGGCGTGCTTTTTTTTTTTTTTTTTTTTTTTTGCTCTTGTGATATGGGAAACGGTTATCGGTACATGTTTTCCCGAAATTACAGTGAAAAAAAACATTTCTTTCTATTTTAATGAACATGTTGAACGGATATACAAAAATTACTAAAAAATATACTCTATATAGTCTATCTATTGCTTCTTTGTGAAAAGCTCATCAGAACGAAGATCGTCATAGGCCTTACGCTTTAATGAGTGCTTGGCCACCTCAATATCAGTCTTGATGTCACAAATAAGAGCATCTAAATAGTTGTGTTAATATCACCGTAACGAGTGTTTCGTATGAAATTAAATTACCAAGTGAAGGATAGTTTTGTTCGGGACGGATATAACCTGTAACAATGATTCTAATAGATTCATCATAGAAGTCTGACTCGAATTCGTGAAGAATATGCACCTCCTATTAACAAAAAGTTAACCACTGTCTCTCTCCCAAACCATCCATTCTACTTTGACTTACGGCCGATCTCTTTTCGTTATTATAATAAGGGTTCCATCCTAAACTCATGACCATAGGATAAACTGTTTTATCAACTTCTCCAACTTGAGCCCATCCATAATAAACACCCGTAGTAAACTCGGTGAACATTTCTTCCAAAGCTTCTTCGTTCATATTAGCTGTAAATAGTACGGTTATTATTATTGCTGTGAAAACCTTATCATGCTTTCCGAGCTTATTTACCTGTTGGAATGCCTAATTCCTTTGAACCACGACCAAATCCTTTAACAACTGTACCAGCAACGGAAATAGGATAAGGTGCTTGAGGAATCTCGGAGCCAACAATAAGAGGACGATCAGGGTTAAGTGTGTTGCTCATGTTGTGTATATAAATGGAATTTATGAAAGAAGAGATGATGAACTAATGACAAATACTTTTTTTTTTATCGGTTTAGTTTTAACCGCAGCTGATATTACAAATCAAGGGAAAAACATCAATCATTGATTACTGGATTTTCCAAAGTCAGACAGAATAAAATAGATCTTAGTTTTGACTCTTTTTTTTATCATTTTATTCCATATTCCAAAACCCTGTATGCAACTCAATGGTTACACATGTAGCTTGATTTTTGGACGATTCAAGCTGATTAAAGCATCGCGGACATTCAACGCGCTACGTCGATACCTTGATCAACGATCGTCTATTGTGTCAATTGTTGGACGCCATGCGACCCTTGTAGCCTAAGAAAGAGCTCAGCCAATCTCCAAAAGTTACTGTTAACCAATAATGGAGTAATAATTCAGGGAACACCTTTCCTTCAGAGTTCGTGGCAAAGTGAGTGCCGTTTATAATTCAACTTTGAAAAATCTCATTTTGTGGGATAATAACTATTCCAATTGACGAAGTAAATTCTAGAATTCCGTATTCTCTTCAAACGTATTTTTTTAGAATCACGTGATGGTCTACGCATAAGTCTTTACGTCGATTGACATACCTCATCGTCTAAACTTTGTAGGATGATCGATTTTTGTTTTCTATAAAATATGCTTCACTGTTACCCTTTCCAACCCAAAGGTCTCACCCAAAAAACGCAAACATCATCAAGACAATTAATGAAGTAGTACATTGCGGTATATTGAAATATCCCAATTTTTTATCAATTGATTACTGACAAGTATTAATGAAGAACTTACCAAAGTATGATAAGTGAAAAATGATATGCACATATATATTGCAATCTTTATTACGCATGTGGTATTCACCAGTCTTACGTGATATTGAAAACACAACATTATAGTCACATCTATGTAACAAAAAATATATCTTTACACAGGTATTCCCTGTCGTTATACTGCTCACTATTGTCGTGTAAAAGTATTCCGCTCATGAAAAGTTTTATATAAAAGTTTCAACATCATTTTTTATAATGGATTTTATGAAGACTCATTTACTGTGGCAGAGAATTTGGAAATCCTGTACAAAAAAGTAGATCTAAAGTCACGGCATTAATGGACTGCTTTCTGTTCTGGGTCGCGCTAGCTTTCGTGATGGTTACTGCCCGTTTTTTTTTTTTTCTTTTTTAACGCGCATAATTATGTCTGATAAAGAAACTCAAGCCAAGACCCTTTTCGAAGAAGGAAAACTTGCTTTTAATAAAGGGGAATACTCTGCAAGTATCACCAAACTCGGTGAAGCATGTCAACTATTGTAAATACAAACCACCATTTTTTTTATATACGAGTGATTTGTAACGCCTGCTGTTTTTTTTTGTCTAGAGACGAAGTTAATGGTTGTCTTGCACCTGCTAATGGCGATGCTTATTTTCTTTATGGTGAAGCTTTACTCCAGTTTGCCATTCAACAAAATACAGTTCTTGGACAGTCTGCACAAGCTTCGGCTACTGCTGTTGAAGAACAACAAGAAATCGAAAAAGAAGAACAAGGTAATCCGTGTCCGTTGCCCTGTACTCCTTCCATTTTATTAATTCCATTACAGTTGAATCCAGCAATCCTTTATTTCAATTAGGTGCGATGCCTGATTTCACAACTAAAGCTGAGGTAGCTGAAGAAAGTGACGACAACGACGACGAAGAAGAAGAGGGCCAAGATTCTGCCGATGATGATTTTGAAGCAGCTTGGGATATTTTGGATGTTGCTCGAGTCATATTTGAAAAGGGCGAAGATAAAAACTCTCAGTTAAAGCTGGCTGATGTCCATTTATGCCTGGGTGATGTGTCACTTGAAACTGGTTAGCTATAGAATTTTTTTTTTTCCAGAGATAATCCCGGGAAACACTCATCAGTTTTGTATAGAAAAGTTCAATGAAGCGTTGACAGATTATGAAAAGGCAATTGAGATAAAGCAATCCGTTTTGGAAGACGACAACAGAGAATTGGCCGAAGCTCATTACAAGTACGCCCTTGCACTTGAATTTTCTTCCGATAAAGCAGATCAAGCTCTTCCAGAATTACAAAAAGCAGTTGCAGTATTGAAAAAGAGAATCGAAACCTTGGAAGTGGGTAATGGAAAAGGCAAAGGAAAAGAAGTCGCTGATTTGGATACCAAAGCTCAAGATGAAATCACAGATATTAAGAGTCTCATTCCGGATATGGAACTCAAGGTAATATCAAAATATTTGGACGGGACTAATTCTTGGTATTAAAGTGCATTTATGTTTTTACTTGAAGATTGAAGAACTCTCTAACAGACAAGCTACTGAAAAAGAGGCCGAAGCATTGTTAAAAGCCATGTTAGGTATCGGAAAGGGCAGCAAGGCCAAAGAAATTTCAGATGCCACTCCTGTAAATGATTTATCAACTCTTGTAAAGCGTAAAGTAAAAGCCATTGTCACAGAGGAGGATTCTAAAGACAAGAAGCAAAAGTTGGAATAGAGGATCCCGTTATGTTCTGTCTCAAGAGCAGCTTCGATGCATACACAAGTGTGTATGAAGCAAAGAAGATCCTCAAATTTGTAGAATTTCAAATAAAGTTTTTTTTTTATATGTACATCAAATTTCTTATTCGAAGAGAGCTTTTTTGTGTGCTATAAACTGTAGATACCTTAACCCGTTTCTATGCGCTTAATTGATGATTGTAAACTGCTATGGTACACGTTATGAATGTATGCACTTTTGTATGCATCAACCTTGGATTGAGCGGAGTTGAATCGACTTTTTTTGTTGCGGCAAAATTGCTCAGAAAGGTTCATGAAGCAGACGCAATCGGGAAAACTGTAATTTCCTTCTCTTATATTCCACTTATTAAGCATGGTTAAATTCATCAAAGCCGGAAAGGTAATACATACAACCAGTTAGATGGACAGATGGGAATGGACGGGTGTGAAAGATAAAAAAATAATGGATGGATGGATGGATGGGATGAGATAGAAGAAATACACAGAGATTTTTCTTTATTTGAATCGGAATAAATTAGAATTATAATTTTGACATTTTATTCTTCGCTTTTATAGGTTGTTGTAATCCTCCAGGGCCGTTATGCAGGCAAGAAGGCCGTCGTCGTCCGTAGTATGTAGATTAGTAGTGTAAAGACGCGCATAGTTTGTTAAATACATATTTCCAATAGACCATGATGAAGGAACCAAGGATAGACCCTATGGTTATGCCGTCGTTGCTGGTGTCGAACGTTCTCCCCTCAAGGTCACCAAGGCCATGGGTAAGAAGAAGACCGCCAAGCGTTCCAAGGTCAAGCCTTTCGTCAAGATTGTTAACTACAACCACATGATGCCCACTCGGTAAGCTTTAGTATTTGTAACATTTTTTTTCCACTATGAATCCTAATAGTTGATTTCGTCTGTTAGTTATGGTTTGGAATTAGAACAAATCAAGGGTACCGTCTCTGCTGAAACTTTCAAGGAGCCCACTCAACGTGAAGACTCCAAGAAGGTCATCAAGAAGCTCTTCGAAGAACGTTATCAAACTGGTAAGAACAAGTGGTTCTTCAGCAAGCTTAGATTCTAAGTTAGTTTTTTTGTTTTGTTTTTACTACAATAATAATTCAAAATGATTAGAAAAAATCGACTCGTCTTTTTTATACCTTTGAGATGTGTTGAGTGTTTAAATATTTTGATGAGATACAGGATGCGTGCGGATTTGTGGGCACTAAGACAGTTATCGTGCTTGGGTACTATCTGTCTGTGATACACCATTTTCCTGCAGCCAATTTTATCCTGCGTGTAACCCCATCACTGATATGAGCTCTCCTAATAGCTTGGAAAATCATCACGATTATTTTATAGGCCGTGAAACGACCTATGCCAATGCTATTGGCTTATAAAGCTTCGACTCACGCAACGTAATGCATACTATAAATATCAAGCGTATGAACATGATGTGTCAAAACGACATTAAAGTACCAGTTTCCTGTTGTTTATGCGACTTTCATCAATCTCTGGACAGAAGAGCCATGTTTTATTATTCACTATGCAATTTGCCTTCAGAATTACCGACTACAGCATTGTCTTCGTATATTTTGTATTAACGATCATCTTGAGTGTTTAGCCCCATCATGCCGTGATTTTCAGTGGTTTTTAACCCACATGATTGATGATTTTATAGGCGGTTTAAAGCAAGAATAGCACAAAATCCAATGCTTCTTGACGATAAATACATCTTTCATGACTCTAATTAAACTTTTATACGGGCTAACGATTTAACATCATAGCCAGTTTTGAGGGCTATTACTTTATTGGATCAAATGCTCATGGGTTTGTCAAAATTAAGAAAAGCTGCTGCAAAAGCGTATATTTGGATAGGTTTTTTTATTTTAAGTCTCAAAACTATGATACACTGAATTTAAGAGTATTTTATAGCTGTACATTATACAAATACATACATTTATGTAGATCTACTCTTTAATTATATGGTTGAGCTACGCATGAAATTATTATTCCTGATATTACAGCTAGATACAGACGACCTGGTCCGGGATAAAGAGTGTGGAATCAAAAATAAAACTCCAGTAATGTCTCCAAATACCTTTAAGGATAGACCCAAAAAGAAAGATTGGGGTTGTCAGTAGTTAGTTGGGGAATTGGAAAGTATATAGACTGGATAGGACATCAGAAGGTGTAAGTAAATATAACGCGGGAAACTGCGGATATAGATATGTAACGCCTTTGAACAAAAACCAAAATGATCTGGTTCACCATCAGTTTTATAAACACTTTAGCTACCACTAAATTCCTTCTTAGAAATCTCAGTACCACCTAGAGTATGCTCAGGAGTGAGTGATACACTTTATTCTCTTCTTGCAGGCGTGAATTAACTATAAAGGGGGAGCGGAGAATGCAACCTGAGGGGAGTGTTCAAAAAAACCGAAAACATTTTGTAAGCTGCGCTCCATTTGTTAGTCAATTCTTGTTAGTATGGATTCGTTCAACTCGTAGGTCTTTTCTACTGACTTTTTGGACATAAGCAATTTCTCGATTACATTAATAAAGACTTCTAGCTGGGAGAATTGAGGAATCGTAACATGTTACTTGATTTTCTTGGTGATCTGAGACGCGTAGAATGAGCTATTCGGGCCAGATAGCAAGGTGATTTGCATAAGTTCTCCTTCCCTTAATAATTTGGATTTATTGTGTTCGATCTTGTCTTGTCCAGCTAAAAGTATACATTCCTCACCACAAACAATGCCGAACACATCCTGCTTGAAGTTGAAAAGGATACGGATGTCATGATTTGAGTACAAATCGGCTTTTGAAGAGGTGAATCCCGACAGAACGGTTTCTCCAACTTTTATCCTCACCAAGCTATTGTTAATGTATAATAGCTTCTTAAACAGCGGAAGCCAAAGTTGGTATGCAAAGTCTCGCTGTGAAACTTTTGCATGGTTTACTGGGTCCAAAATAAAGCGATTGATATCGAGAAGGTACAGGACATTTCCAAAGAAGCCAAGATCGAACCTGACAAGTCCAAATTATTAAGGGAAGGAAAACTTATGCAAATCACCTTGCAAAACATCATCACGGACTACAATCAATTTCGTGAATACTCCGACTATCTGGCCCGACTTGCTCATTTTACATGTCCCATAACACCAAGAAGAGCGCGTATCATGTTACAATTTCTCAATTCACAACAACATTCCCATCCTCCTTCTCACAGCTAGGCGGTTTTGTTAATATGATCGAGAAATTGTTTATATTCAGTAATTCAGTAGAAAAGACTACCCATAAGTTGCACGAATCCATATTAACAAGAATTGACAAGCATATGGAGCACTCCCTTCCTGTAACATTCTCTTCTCCTCCATTATATTTCACACACCCCAGGAAGAGACACAAATCTTTCGCTCGGGTGTTGCATCAATCAAACTGGGGAAGCCTCGTTTATATTAAATGGAGCTTTGCCCAATAATTTCTGAAATGTATCAATAAATTATATGTGATTGAAACTATATGTCTTTTTGTTTAAATGGAGATGGGTTTCCCTTTTAACTAGGGAAGGAGATAAGTACATTGTTATCTGAGATGAGTGCATGGGAAATTGTATTACAACTAGACGTCAATATGATGATCTGTTGATGGTTATTGTTTCAGTGCTATGTTGGAAGAGAGTCAACTAAAGCTTAATTTGACGTAAACGCTTGAGTCTGAACGCAGAAGAAAAAGTGACTGCGCCCACATTTTGCTTTACATCTCCTTCGCTATTGAGATTATTATCTTCTTTGTACCTCAACCACCGCTTTTTACAATGTCTGTTGATAATTTCAAAACAAACATCTATGAATATCTGGAAACCCTACCAACATTCACTTTTATGCGTTTGTTTGAAAAGCCAGCGACCTGTCTAGCGATTTTTAGGTAGTGACAAAAAGAACAACATAACAGTGGAATCTAAAAGTTTTTTTCTTCTTCTTTTCAAAAAGGTTGCTGCCAAGCTTAGGCAGACAGATAGTTATGTCTTTGTTGTATGTTGAGATGCCCATGCCGATAAATGATCTTAATGCTTGGGTGAATAAGGATGGACAAAAGTATGTTTTAATCGGCCAAAAAACAAAGGCGCGTTTGTTAATCTTTCTTTTGTAGAAAATTGGTTGAATCCTTGCAAAAACTTTCAAGGCTTCGAATTCTCGAGCAAAAAGAACAATTGTTGGTGATGAATGATACTTTCAGGCGTGAATTCCAAAATGCGCTGACTGGAGGGTAATATTACAAAGAAGTGTCAATTTTTTTTTAAATTTAACATCAAAATTTATTAGTGGTATGCAACAATCATTTGGATTACCTTGTTCGGCACCAGATAAACACGCGGTAGATATTGGTTATTTGGATCATTATGCGACTACACAATGGGAAGCCATTCTTCATTACATGGTTGGTACTTCACTCACGAAAAAGCCTAGCCGAGGTGTATTAAATCTTTTGGAAAGAAGTAAACTTATGCAAAGCAGGTAGAAGAAGAGAATCAGTCATGATTGGGAAGGAGTGACTGAGACATTATTTTAGTAGCGAGTCAGGACAATTACAGATCACAAATAAGGGGTTTCAATTTCTCCTTCAAGATGTCAACACACAAGTATGGGCATTTTTATTACAATATTTGGATATGGCTGAAGTTTTGCAAATGGATCTTGTAGAAGTTTTGAATTTTCTTTTCCAGCTTGGATCATTGGAATTGGGAGAGGTAAAATTGTTAGCAGAGAAAAAGAACTAGAAAAATCCTCTAATGCAAATATTAGAATTATTCCGTCGAAACATTAACACAAACCCAACTTCAAATGTTAGAAGATTTACGTGATTACGGCATCGTATACCAAAGAAAGGTAAATTTATAATTGGTTAAAGCGTCATAAATTGCTCACCTGCATATTAGAAAGTATCCAAGAGATACTACCCCACTAGATTAGCCACCACATTGACCTCAGGAAATGCAGCACTTGCAGGCGTTGTTCTCAAACATGGCAATGCTGCAGAAGAGCCTCGTAAAGAAGTGGCCGTTACCGATGTAGGACAAGTAGATCAGGGATTTGTTATTTTAGAAACCAATTACAAACTTTATGCATATACGGGTAAACATTTGTACATTGATGACAGCATAATGCAATATCTAATACAAATACACTTAGATTCACCACTTCAAATTGCAGTATTAAATCTATTTGTGCAACTTCAATCACGATTTAGAAATATGGTAACGGGTGTCATTACAAGAGATAGTATCCGAAATGCTTTAATAAAGGGAATTACGGCTGAACAGATTATTTATTATATGCAATCACATGCCCATTCCCAGATGCGAAAAAAGGTAATATTGACAATGCAAGGGACGACAAAAAAAATGAGACTAAACCTGTTCCTAGATACCTATTCTACCCTTGACTGTCGTAGATCAAATCAGATTATGGGAAATGGAAAGAAATCGTTTAAAACCAACTGCATGTAAGATAGTAAACTTTGTGCGTGTATGCTTTATTAACATTATGTCATAGCTTATCTATATCACGAGTTCAATGTGCAAGCAGACTTTGACGCTGCTGAAAAATATGCAAAAGATTTGGGTGTTTGTTTGTGGTCTAGTTCAACCAAACGTACTATGGTCATCTCCGAAGCGTAAGTTTTGATCTTGAAATGTCAACATTGATATTAATTTTAAATTTTTATTAGCGGTCATGATAATGTGAAAGGATTTGTCAAGCGAAGACTACTTAGAAACTAATTTGAACCTTTGGGTTATCTTTTTTATTGATGGTAAATTCACCCATAGTCAATTGTAAATATATTAAAAATAATCTGGATTTCAAACTACCGGTTTAATAAAAAATAAAAAATAAAGGGAATCATTTTAAAATAGATGTAAACTGACTACAAGGTGTCGATAGGGAGAAAACACTCTTTCCTTATCTTTGCTAGAAGTAGCGTTCCAGACAAAGCGGTAGAGTTGGTTGATTTTGAAGAGCCGGTGGCTTATGTGTAGACACGGCTATAACAGTTTAGGCTATTTGAAAATGACACAATGTCATAGTTTAGTGTTAAATTAAGGGCTACAAGGGATTTTGATGGCAGATGAGTTTTTACCAAAATAATCTGCTGAATTACAACAAAAGTTCTATTGTCTTAGGACTGGGCAGATCAGACGTTCCTATCCCTCTGATAGAATAGGTAAGACGTTGCTATGTGAATCTTTTTTCGCGGCAAGGTATGCCTTTGTATTCACAGGATGAACTAATAATGATAATAAAGCTACATTCCCGTACTATTCCTTTCATGTGTATCGATTTGTTTGGAAGTGTAACATGATTATGAGGGCTGTTGGGCACAAAGTATCTCCGCCCGGAATAACCCTGGACCCAAGGTGAGAGTTCGGGAAATGTAAATGTGTGTTCAGGTAGGGCTGATATAAGCTTTGGGTGATAACACGATGACACTTGGTGGGAACGGCGGATAAAAAAGGGAAAATGTTGCCATAGATACTAGTGTGAATACCTTGTATAAACTAGGCTTTATTATCCCTTTCCATGTGAGGCGGAGAATTGTAAACAAATTGTCCTGAACGTATTTAAAGTGTTCCAAATAGGCATTAGTTCCTTGTAAGAGGGGTACACAAAAAAAAAGAAATTGTGGGGTAGCATGCGGTAAAATGGTAATTTTCGGCACAGATTGGGTATGTAAAGACTCTGGTTAAATGTCCGTTACAACAATAGTTCTTCCAATCTTGTGAAAATCAAAAAAAAAACTAGCAAAAACCTGCTTAAATTGAAATATTGGGAAGGGGAAATAAATAATGGGACCAGTTTCCCGCTTTACAAAAAGATTTACTGGACCAGTCGTTTAAAGTCCTGGGAAATGTTTGACATCCTCCCAGATTTGGACTTCCGCGTATTTTTTTATAAAATAGTAACCGTGTGCTCTATTTTCTCCTTTTCTTTTGTTATACACATGGACATAGAAACAATCACTTCACCGAAAACGTATCGTAAAAGCTATTTGAATGTTTGTCCTTCCGATGAAGCAGGACTTTTAAAATACTCTTCTACGACTTCAGCCCCACGATTAACGACTAAAGTAGCTGTCAAAGCGGTCCCATCCTCAATGATGCACATCAGTAATAGCTCACCAAAATCCCACCAAGAAACTGATCTGCAGTCAGTTGTTTCGAAATATCATGCAAACCCAGAGTTATTAAAACTCATTTTGGCTAGTAAAGTGGAAGAGGATAAGCGTAGAACCGAAGAAGCTAAATTAAAAGCAAAAGAAATCGATTTATATTTTCAACAACAACAAGAAAAAGACGAAACCAATCGGAAAAGCCTAATATATCCCAAAGAGCCGCAAGAAGAGCGACGTAGACGGTCTTCTTGCAGTAGTACCAGCAGTAACGGTAGTACGGCTAATACAACAGGTGCGGTTGATTCGATTCACCGAAGAATCGCGCCTTATTCAATCCCAAGGCCAATTGCTGTTAGTGATAATAGCCATCGTCGTCATTCATCCATCTCCACTGCATTAGTGTCTATCAATAGATTATCAATTAATAATAGTAACAATAATAAAAACCAGCAAAAAATAGCTATAGCCTCATCAGCGCCTTCACCGTCATCACAATATTTGTATCCTCCAAGGTAAGAGAGAAGGATAAATAGAGATAGAAAACTTGTGCTCACATGACCCGTAGTAATGGTATCCGTATATCACCAGATACCAAAATTACACCACCCGTCATAAAGGCATCGCGTAGAAGACGATCAATGCAGGCTATCACAAAAATCGTCGAAACAGTCGAGTACCCGTACGATGACGGGCATTTTTGGAAGAACAATGGTAATACAGTACAAAAGAAGACTGGGTGCAAGAGCGTCTACTACAAGTGCGCAAATAGCTGCAAGGTAAAACTCGGATGAATTCGGATACCGTCCTTTTCCGAACACATATGAAATTCATGCTTTTTTTTTACCCTCAACTAACCAGTTTTAAACAAAAATTTAGGGATGCCCTGTCAACAAGACAGTTGTAGAACAATTGAATGGGAGTTACATGATTAAATATAGAGGTGATCATGTTGCTGAATGTTCCCAAGTTGAACATATTAGAGATTTGTAAATAATAATAAAAATGTCCTTTTTTTGTATGAATACCCCCAAAAAAGAAAACATCGTTCGTTTTATTGTATGATTACTAAATGCAGGAGATATAAAGAGAGCTAAAAAAAAAAAAATTAGACAGAAGCATAATTCATCCTTTCTTTCTTTCTTCAACTATACACTATGACTTTATCTTTTGCTCTTCCAAGATTCTCTGGCTCTACTTTAGAGCCTTCATCAGAACCAATTATGCTTTATGAATCCAAATACTATGAAAAGGGAGCGGGAAGAGCAATGCATATAAAGATTATCCCTACAAGACCAACATTACCATTACAACGTGATTACAAGCCACCACATATCATTATTCCAGTATACAAGTTTAATGAGGTGTATCTTGATCATCATGAAGACCTTTCAGCTTGGTCTTGTGAAGAAGGCAATGATTCATCCATGCTTTGGGATCCATTATCTGTCCATAGTAACACATCTTTGTAAATACCGCCGGAATAACTGTATATATTTTTTTTCACACGTTCATTCCCATCATACACTCTCTTTTTTTTTTTTTGCTCTTTTATCTGTGTGTACAACGGAGGGAAAATATTTATATATAAAATTTTTTATCTATCACTACTTGTTTCTTGTTTTAATTTTTGCGTTCGAAATAAGGTGAATTATTCATGAAAACTACGCCAGAATCGACAACCCATTCACCAACACTGAGATATTTATCAGCATATTTACGGATTTCGTCGTTTTCTATTTGACTTGTGGCAGGTCTAAACAACAGTTAACGCGAGAACAACCTGTTTCATAACAAACTTACTGTAAACCTGAATTTCTTTTGATGCCGGCAAGCACAGCTGAAATGAGAACAGCATCTGCTGTGAAATGAAATAAGCGACCCCACATTTGTAATAGCAAAAAAAAAAGTAAAAAGGTTGGAATTCTCCTTTTCACTCGTAAGACATATATATCATGAACGCGTGACTGTCGCTCCTACACTCTGGTTCGATTCTAATGTAACCCAATGGCATCAGTTGTAAAAAAAAGATGAAATGTCATTATACACTACAATAAGTGATGTGAATAGTTCAATTATGAATAATGTATTTCCTTCCTTTTCTTTTCCTTTGTGTTCTTTTATATAATGCAGACTGATAACAACCATCGTAGAATGTCCCTAACAATGCTTCTTGTATCTGAAGAACCTTCCAAGCCAAACAATAATGAACCAATAACCAAAAGTGTCAAAGATCGAAGAATAAGAAACAAGACAGCTTCTGCCAAATACAGAGCAAAAAAGACCAGCCAGTACAGAGAGATGCAAAAGACTATACAGGATCTGCTACAACAGAATACGCTTTTGCGCAAAAAGTTAGAACAATACCAAGAAGATATCCCTGTTTCCTGTTCAGGTGCTAATAGTAGCCAAGCAACCGATCATTTACTGCCCACGTTTAAATACGGTGACGAACTTGTTGCATATTCTAGCACTGATAAATTTGATACTTAGCTCGGTTCATTAGCCCGGCATTAATAATTATTTAAATAAAATGTATACCATCCGAGCTTACACTTCTTATGCAGCGAATCACTATGGCCCGGTGGCTTTTTTTTAGACACAGCATTACAAAAATATTTCTTTTTTGCTTTTTATTTTTGTTTGTTAAACTAATATTCAAATGGCTTTCAAAAAGAGGGAACAAGTAATGCAATCCGATTCAGAAGAAGAAGGTCATCGCTATGACAGCGAGGAGGAAGAACACAGCGTAAAAAAAAGAAAACTTCAACTGCACCTTGCACGATACGTTATTTATCTTTTTTTTTTTTTTTTTTTTTGAAATATTAGGAAAATGAATCAGGATCAGAAGAGGAAGAGAGTGGCGAAGAGGAAGAGGAAGAGGAAGAATCTGAAGAGGAGGAGGAAGACAAGGAAGCTAAAGCAACCCAATTAGCTAATCTTAAAAGAGGTACAGCTTAAAACCTTGAGTAGATCTACGTGGAAACTAAGTCATAATAATTATAGATCTCGCTCACGTCTCTTTCGAACAACTTGCCGAAATTAAAGGAAAGATGGGCATGAAGGAATTCAGCAATGACAAAGTAGTGAAAAAGAAGTCAACAACAGTATCCAAGGAACAAATTTTAAAAGACCTCAAAGGTGCTGCAGTCAAATTAAAAAAGAACGATAGAGTTAAACGTACAAAGGCAGATATGAAGAGAGAGAGCAAACACATGTAAGTTTTAATAGGCGTGTCCGAGATAATTACTGATGATCGAATTAGGCCAATGGAGGTATCATCCAAGCGCGCTGTGGGTCGTTTCAGAGATGTCGTTCAATTACCAGCAGAGGTAAATATTGACGAATTACCAAATTGAGTTTGTTTGTTGATTAACGTGCTCTTGTAGAAACGTCGTGATCCAAGATTCGATAAACTTTCTGGTCAATTGAACCAAGACTTGTTTGAGAAATCATATGACTTTTTGAATGACTATAAAAAATCTGAAATGGACATGTTAAAGGAATCGATAAAAAAGGAACAAGATCCTGATGCACAAGAACATATGAAGGGTTTATTGATGAAAATGGTAACACAAACTACTCTAATTTTTTAAAAAAAAAAAAAAAATCATGCTAATTATATTACAGGTGTCTGCTGAAAGATTTGAGCAAGAGAAAAAGAGAAAGCAGGAACTTTTACGCGAGAGAAAGAAGCAGGAATCTGAATTGGTCAAACAAGGAAAAACTCCCTATTTCTTGAAGAAATGTAACTAATTTAATCACATCACTTTATCCCAACACTAACACATTACAATTTTATTATAGCCGAGAAGCGCAAGCTTGATCTGATTGATAGATACCAAAAGATGGGTAAAAAGACTGTTGATCGTATCTTAGAGAAGCGTCGTAAGAGAAACACAACAAAGGACAGAAAGCATTTACCTTTCAACAGAAGATCAGCTGCAGACTAACTTTGCGGTACACATCCATTTATTAGTTTGTACAAAAATGGCTATTCTCTTTTATTCCAATTTAGATGTAAATGAGATAAAAAAAATATATAAAAGACAGCTCAATTGTTCAAATAAACTTTTTTTATCATTAAAATTACTAAACAATAAAATGCATGGTCGAACAATGATTAGCATTTTTGTGACACTCTGTACATTGCTTATGTGTTCCGCCTCTGCATCTACTGTCTCTTTCGCAAATACTCCAGCAAAGAAGACTGACAGCGCTTCCGATATATACGGAAAACATAGGTTAATCTCTTACGTTGTTGACTGGGAAATTCCTGAGACTATTAAGTGGGATCAAATGGATCATATTGCATATGCTTTTGCCGAACCAAATGAAAGCGGGGAACTTAAATCTTATACTGATAGTAATCTGGAATCACGTAAGTTGTACATACAATAGGCAGTTACAGAGATGTAAATTAACAAATATAATCTAGTTGTTACCGAGGCTCATAAGAACAAAGTCGGTGTCAGTATCAGTGTTGGAGGGTAAATAGATCTACCGTTAGTAATATGATACAGTGTCTAATACTAGTTCCTATAGATGGAGCGGCTCGAAATATTTTAGTTTATTAGTTTCCTCAGATAGTAAAATTAAAATCCTCGTTAACAATATTATGTCTATGGTTGAAAAGTTTGATCTTGATGGCGTCAACCTTGATTGGGGTAACATGAAAATAATCGATATGTCGCACCAAAATTTAAAATCACTAAAATTTAATACATAGAATACCCTAATGATCCTAATGGTGTTTCTTGTAACATAAAGTAAGAACATTTAATATAAAAAGTATTGGCATCTGCTAACTACTTTTATATAGGAACCCCAAAGATACAGCGAACTACCTTGTTTTTGTTACTGCTTTACGTAAAGCCTTAGATGACAAATACACCAACGTCCATAAATTGCTTACTCTTGCTGTTGGAACTAACCCGTTCAACGATGAAAAGCAGACTCCCATTAAGTCTCTTGAAAGTGGCTGGGCCAAAGCTGTTGATTCATTCTATCTTATGGTAAGTACAAGTTACGCAAAACAATATCAGCAACTAAATTAGTTATAGACATATGATATTAGCGGATCATGGATGAAGCAAGCTGGGCCTAATGCTCCGTTAAATAAAGCCGGGTCTGAAAAATATGACTCTAGTGTTGTTCAATCAGTTCAAGCATGGAAAAGCGCAGGTATACCTAGCAAACAGCTGGTGGTCGGCATACCATTTTACGGAGCTTCTCTTAAAACTAGTCGAGCGATTAACTCTGCTTCTGGTCTTTACGTCAAGCTGGCTAGTCCCAGTGCCATTAAGGGTGATCAATATGATGAATTGAGTGCCGATGCCTGCTCTGGAGCCAAGAAAAGTTACTCGGGATCATTCCAATGGAGATCTATTGTTTCTGCAGGTATTTTGGATAACAAAAACGGATGGAAAAACTATTGGGATAAGGTGTCCACTACACCTTATGCTTTCCTTGCTAAAGAAAAGAAGTTTCTTTCATTTGATGACCCCAAATCTCTTAAAACTAAGGTTGATTATATCAACCAGCAGAATCTGGGTGGAGCTATGATTTGGTCACTTGAAATGGATGATTCGAAGAACTCACTGTTAGCTTCTATTCAGAAAGTTAGAAAGTAAAAAAAAAAAAACGTTGTGAAACGTTAGTTACATGGCTGGTCCTATACTAATAAAAACTCACCTGTGTATTACTACCATTAACAAGAGACCCATACCCTATATTATAAAATCCGTATATTCACGTGTAGATGCTAATATTGTGTGATAATTTGGTTAAGTTAGTTTATGACAGAGAAAGTTAGCATTTTTAAAGTATTACACAACTTATTTCACAGATTATATATCATTTTAAATTCATTTACAGATTGAGCTTTATTATTATGTACAAATGTATTGATGAGGGTCCTTAGAAATTAGAAGATGGCACTTCAAGAGTATCACCAAAATGGGGTTTCTCCTTCTCGTCCTCCTCATTAGGAATGGGCAAAAGTTCAGCGTCGTCCTTTCTGATATCTTCTTCGGGTACAAATAGTTGATCTAAAATATCAGGAGACTTGGGGGCATTGGATTGTCTGAGAATATCCTCTGTGTTGATCGTAGTGATAAATGCATTATCGCCACTGTTACGAGTAATGTGTCGTGCGGCAATGGTTGACTTACGGCGACGAACCATAGCCTCATGCTGTTCATGGGCAGATAATTTGGAGTTTTCATGTTCAATCATCTTCTTGAACAACAAATCCGGATCTGTACATGTGCCCAGGGCTCTTCGTGAACGAACGGATAGATACCCGAGGCCTACTTGATAAGAAGCATTCATCCATCCGAAACCTTCCCTAGGAACAAACTTAAAATCGATACCCACGTTACCGTATTCAACTTGAACTTGATGGGATAAATTGACCACATCAAACTTTTCAGGGACTACACCATTAAAATCAACGAACGCCTTTGTAATTGTGTACAAGAAACGGTAAGCCAAACGACTAGCTATATCAGACATTCCGTAATTTTCGAATGCTTGCCAAGCCATAATTTGATGAGGGGCCCAACCAAAAGGGAAATCCCATTGACGATTAGGACGATCGATGGTAATGTGACCACGAGATCTTTCAGTGCCGGATACCAGACCACCCTTCACTTCGAACTTGTAAAGACTCTTGGCCAACTTGTTAGCTTGATCAGAAGAAGCACAACCAGCCCACATCATCCAGTACGCAGTTGCACTCTCATAAGTAGTCATCTCCTCCTTAACAGTATCATAATCAAAATAAAGGTCCTCCTCTTCATTCCACAAGTACTTGTTTATCCTCTCTCTCCTTTTACTTGCACGCTCGGACCACTCCTCAGCAGATTGCTTGTTTCCGTCAAAATCTTCCAAATCATCATCCAAGAAATCTCTGATGCAATCAGCCATATCTGTTTCATACTTGTAAAGCAAAGCATTTAAATCCACAGTAGCAAGGTTGGCGCAAACTCCTTCAAATCTATATGTTGTGTCGTGACCAGATTCTCTAACAGCACGATCGTGTAAAAAGTATTCATCTAATTCAGGTTCTATGATTTCACCGGCGTTATATTTGTCATCGAATTCGGGAATAGTCAAGCCTCTTCTTTTTGCAAACTTGCTAATAACATGATCAAAATGGGATGCCTCGGTTTCAGGTGGTATACCTAGTCCTTCAGGTCGGTATCGAGATAGCATGGTCTTCTTATCAAGTCTTGGTTCGGCCATCCAGATGGTATGGTATTCTTTGATAGCGGATTTCAAAATTTCCCTCAGCCATTCTTTGTTTTCCTCTTCTTTTGAGGAATCTAGTTTTTCATAAATCTTGATAGCCATGTCAGTCAAGAATGGAGGTTGTGAACGAGATAGATAATAGGATCTATTGGCATTGAGGATCTTTCCATAGTGTTTGATTTCATACGCAAAGTTTTCGACCATACCACGAGCAAGTTCTAATCTATCATCAGCCAAAAGACCCAAAGTTTCAAAGTAGGAGTCCCAACCATACATTTCATTGAAGCGGCCACCAGGAACAACGAACGGAACACCTTTAAAGGTATCATTACCATTTTTATCCTTAACTTTTTTCATCTCCAAGGCCAGAATACCGGGCTTGTCGTTGATACTCTTGACGTATTCCGGGGTGATATCTTTAGGTAAATATTGAACATCCAAATTCAAGTGGCTTTTCTCTTCAGATACGCGTTTATAATAATCGTAAATTTCAGGCAAGTCGTACGGAATATAAATTCTGGGAGCGATATCTTTAGACCGGTTTTTAGGGTCGGAGCAAATAGCCTCTAATCCTTCGCCATCAATGCACCGAGTTAGACCATCCCAAAAAAGATGACGTATCATTTTAGATAAGCGATTGACAGGATCTTCGTTTAATCTTTCCTCATCCAGTACAACATACTTACGACCGAAATCTTTTGCTAACGCAAGTTCTTGTAATAAATTGGAAAGCATATAATTTCCACGGATTTGGAACCGTTTATAACCACCCGAGTCTGCGGTACCGAGAGATAAAGTTTTAGGGCCAAGATCATTAATTGTAATTTGGAAATCACCGTTTGTGTCTTCTTGTTCTAGTATATGAGCTAATGTAGTTTCAACATCAACTAAAAACCTTCGGTTTTTGCCTTTGTCCTCTATTAAACTTGTAAGTCTTATGTTTTTTTGGTACTAGAAAATATACTATTTACCATAAGATGCGCGTCTTTGAATTGTGCCGTTGTTTAAACCTGCATTACCACGGGAACTAATCGATCCACTTCTCTATTTTTCATAAAAGTACATGTCAATATAAATCATAGGAAGTAGTGAATTAATTTAAGATATTACTGTGGTATGTGTTCTTGTAATTGGACCGGAAGCATTTCTTCCGGAAGTATAATAAGTTGCAGCAGGAGCAGTAGGGTCAATACTTTCCCTTCTTTTATCGATCATATTTTTTTAGTAAAATTAACTAGAAAAAAGAAACGAGCAAGATAAGAAGTATAGGTTTGATTTATACCCTAGTTTTCAATTCCTTGGCCGCCAAAGCGACCTATCATCAACAGGTCTTGCATAATGATTTGTAGGATTAGGCATAAAATATTGAAACCCCGCTTCGGCCATCAACTCTAGCCTCTCAAATGACGAAGTTTCACTCTTTTTTTTTTTTTAATCGAACTACAGGATTTAGCCTAAAAAAGATTTACGTGTAAAATAACATTTATCAAGGGTCTAATACAACGAATGTCTATTTTCAATTAAATATTTACGAATACATTATCATCTATAATCACTACAGACAACTTTTACAATTATTGTGCTGGACACAATTTTAACATCGCTAATTTTATATCTGCACCTTTTCTATGCGTGCTTTCTTAAGGGCTTACACGATTTAAAACCCGGGAAAAAGTATCAATGATCAAATGGATTACCACTACGGTGGATAGTCCGAAATTTTGACACGACAAGGAAAGGTTCCTTTTCACGCAACAATTCGCTAAATAGCCACTAATATACAAACATGGCCCAGGCATATATTGAAAGAGCATGCATTTTTCACGTCTGCCGCAAAATGTCTCATAACTTTGAGGATATGATGCGAAATTGTCTACGGTTCTTATTGATTGTTCACGGTATTCTTCATGATGGTTCTCAAATCACTCGCTGACAATCTTTAAATGGAGGGCCTTACAAAAGTATTATTTCAAGTCTTAGTGGAAGGCACTAATCTACATTAAAAAAAAGCTAGATATTCGTAATAGACAACACAGAAATTTTTAAAGTATACTACGATGAGGTCATATTTGGATAATATACCCTAAGGGGATCTTTTATTAATTTTGTTGTTTTAGTATACGTCAATAGGCAAATAGGAGATGTACACATCCTCCTCTTTTATTTATTTTCTATTTTTTATAATAAAAGGACATTTGGTCATTAAAATTAATTTCCTTCATTTAAAGTGATATCCAAAATTCAAGCTTAGGCATTTTTTGAGTCGTTGTTGCTAGATTCTGCTACGCCAAGTAGTTCAGGCTTCTAATTGTGATCATAGGCGTTTCACGGAGATCGATTTTGGTAGTTGCCCTATAATTCTTCAATTTAAACGCATTTTATCTTTGACACGTAATTATCTTAAAGATCTAATCACTTACGTAAAAATTACTGCACTTTTGACGCGGACCATAAAGCTAGATGATATCAAGTTTAGATTCCGCTCTGTATTATGGATTTTTGTTTTTGCTTTATTTTTTCCCATCTTCAATTATGTGTATGCTAACCGTATTGCACCTGGTTTTATAGAACCAAAAACACTTTTGACTTTGTTCAATGAAAGCTGTTTTAAAAACGGTTTAATAAATCGTTACTAAATATGCAGTTTAGCAAAAGCATCACAACAAATATGTTTATTATTGTTAAACATTTATAATAATAAAGAGTGATATGGTTGTATCAAACTTCCTGTTTTCACTTGACAACCCGATCGAACAGTTTTGTCAGTGTTTATGATCAAGATTAACCAGGTAAAGCTTTTAAGTAAAAACAGATTTAGAAAAATTGAACTGACAAAAAAAAATTGGGACAGAAATTGTCTTTTACTGGCGTAAGACAAAATTATTTCTGCTGTGACAGCAGATAGAAAATTCGGCTCTGTTTAAGGCTTTGGTTTTTATAATCCAACCATTTTTTTATTTTTAAAAAAAAAAAAAAAGTTCGCCACGCTTTATATCGATAGTTACATATATTTTATATATATGGCTGATTTATCATAGTAATGCGCATTACTGCCAGATTAAAATGTTTGGGGATTGTCAACAACGTCAATCATAAGTCCGCTGGTTCACATGCTTTTGTGTAATAAACAAAATTACAAAGTACACAATACCTGTGATCTTCTTACTGTGTGAACAAAATTAACAGGTACGTATTAGTCGCTAGATGAATCATTGATGTCCTTCTTTTTTTTCATTGCTTTGAACTATTATACGTCTGAACGATGAAAAATTAAATCCGGCCCACAAGAAGTCATCCATGAATGATCAATAGTGACGAGGTGGTTAGAGTTGTACACAGCACCTTTGGACTACACAATGGGTAAGACAATATTTTAATTACCCTTATATATACGGTTACATGCTATTAACAAGCCCTATTAAAGTCAAAAATAAAGAAATGTATACAATAAAAGTATAATTTGATTTAAACTGGGTTGCTTTAGGTACCGAAAAAAATAATATAATGAAGGAAGCAAGTATGTATGACCATAAGATATCTGCATTAAAGCCCTTTCACAGCGCATACCCATAAATTACTGCAAAATAATCTCTTTATTTGATGATTTCCGTTGTAAGAACGTTGCCGTTTCCGTTTCGGTTGCTTGTTCTTTTCTTTCTATCATTATATGAGCATGTGTTACCATGACGGATAGCACAAAAACGCTAATTTGACCTAAAAGCAATTATGAAGTTGTTGCTAAAAAATGGAAAGTACACTGTATTATTCTAGCTGAGACTAATTAGTCTTATTATATGCATGAACATAATACAAAGCCATCACAAGATATGTCGAATACTTTACACTATGCATGACTTATATACAGATGATATCAGTTCTTCGTTTTAAGAAATACACGCTTAGTTTCACTATTTTTATACAATTGTGTAAACTATATTTGTGGCCGCATTCAATTGACAGAAGATGCTCTAATTATCACAGCTTAAAAAAATGCTAAATCTAATTATTTTGCTACTATTATACCCCTTTCATATGACAATGAATTGAAAGTAGACCAATAAAATTAACTGTATCTTATTAAAGGATGCGTGAAGTAATTCCCACAGAATAATCAAATGATGACATTGTTTGTGGGAAAAGTTTGTATGAAAAGGCATAATATCCCTGAGGCACGTAAAATTATAAATACATACAAAATGTAATATAAAATCGAGCTGTAAATTTTAGTGAGATGTATAATTATTTTAGATATTTGACAAAATAAAAATATAGTATGTTAGTTTTGATTGCTTTGGTTTATGCCATGATATTGTTTATAAATTCATTGCTGCCAAATAAAAAAAAATGGCCGTGCGGGTGTATTACTTTTAAAGATTGAACCCTAATTCGGCAGGGAAATTTACCTCTCATCTTCAAAGTCCCTGATTTGTTGGTTTGTATTACACACGAGGGGACTTCTTTTTATTTACAAAGCCGTCATAGTTTTTAGTGGAGTCAAAACAATACTATAAATAAAAAGGTCTTTTCTTTTTTCTTATTTTATTTTTTTTATTTCAAAATCTTAAATTTCTTAACATGGCTCCTGTTGCTTCAACTACCCCTATCCCTACCGCTGCAGCCTTACCTGGCCATATCGGTAACCTGACTGTCAAGGAAAATGACACACTGAAGCAACTTTGGTCTCGTCTTTTCGAGCTTTTTAAGCAAAAAGGTACCGAATGGAAACCTGTCCAAGTAGAGGCGGCTCCTGTCAAGAAAGGATGGTTTGGAAAGAAGGAAGTCCCAGTGGAAAAGAACGATGTTTTTATTGGTGTCACTACTGATCCTCAATGGGCAACTTTACCCCTTGAGAAGGCATTGCCTTTGATTCCCGGTGCTGACCTCCACGCAACATTTTGGAATATGGTTGCTACTGATAACCCGGATGCTGTCTGTCTTCGTTTCTTGCGTGCTCGTAAGTGGGATTTAGATCTCGCTTATAACATGTTAGCTAATACCCTCCGTTGGAGAGTTACTATGCGTTTGGATGAAATCGTTGCTCTCGGTGAAAACGGTCTTCGTGATGAACTTAATAAACTCAAACCTGAATTAGGCGATAATTTTGTTACTCAACTTAATGCTGGTAAAGCTTATTTGGGTGGTCCTGATAGGGATGGTCGTGGTATCTGGTAAGGAAACAACATGAAACTTGTTAAAATACAAATATTGATTTTGCTTTATTTAAAGTTTTATCAACGTGAGCCTTCATAACAAAGACAATCAGCCTCTCGAAATTATCAAGCTCCTGACGATGTATATTATGGAAACTTCCCGTGTTGTAGTACATCAACCTGTCGAAGCCGCTTGTATTGTATTTAACATGGATGGATTTACTCTTAAAAATATGGTATGTGTGAGGGCCTTTTATTGTTTTCTTTTTCTTTTTTTTTTTGGGGTGGTGATCAAGGCACACAAAAATTTAAGATTGGTAGAATAGGTACAAGTGTAACATCGAATTTTTAACTTTATTTTTATCCTTTTTTTTAGGATTTCGATTTCGTGAAATTTTTGGTAACTTGCTTTGAAGCATACTACCCCGAAACCTTGGGCTCTTGTTTGATTCACAAAGCCCCTTGGGTTTTCTCCACCATTTGGAATTTGATTACTCCCCTTTTGGATCCTGTCGTTGCCACAAAAATTCACTTCACCAAAGACTGTGACGAATTAACAAACTATGTTTCAAAGGATTCTTTGCCAGGAAATATTACTGGTGAAGTAGGTAAAAAGACTAAAGATGAGGCTGTCGTTGTTGGCCCCGTCGCACCTGGTACTTTAACTAAGCCCACTTCCGCTGCTTTCCAAGCATATCAAGCTTCTATTACCGAATACCAAGCTAACACCCTTGAATGGGTCAAGACTAAAAGCGCAGAGGGCTCCAATGATACTGCTTATCGTCGTGAACTTGCTAGACAATATCGTATTGCTCGTATTAATGCTGAAGTAGATATTAGAGGCCCCACCAGTTATCAAGCCAAGGGTCTCGTCACTTTGGACAAGGAAGGTCGTCTGCTTCTTGACTATGGAAGTGACAACTGGGTTCCATTAGATATCACTGAATCTGTTTAAATTTCACTTTCTTTTTTTTTTCCTTTTCGCAGCAATGTTTGGCTGGTTTCTTCTAGAAAGGAAATACAGCCACCTTATTTTATTTTTAACCTCCTTCTATTATTAATTATCTACTATAATGACAGGTTTACCTACCTACACTTCATACCCTCTACTTTACAATAAAATTTACGTTTATTTAATTGATCCAGGTAATTTCAGTTGTGCCACAGTGTTACCGTCGTAATGAGCAATGTAGCAGAAGTTTAAGCAGACATATTTGGCTCAGCCAAAAAAAAAAAGGCTAACGGAACAAAATATTTAGAAATATGTCCCAGTGCATGAGTTTTAAATTTTTTATATCCTTTGAATAAAGCCACGACATCAAAAAGCCTAAAAAGGCTTCACGATCTGAAGTTTAACTCAAAATACATGTATGTGATAGGTTCCTTCATCAAAAAGTACAAGGTTATAGGGCTTGTTAAGACGAATCAACACGTAGTGAGTATCTTGATTTGTTTTTCAAAAAAAAAAAAAAAAAAAAAAAAAATGATGCTATGCATTCACGGTACTTTATAGATTTCAACGCTTAAAATCAGATAACTAAAGTACAAATTTCTCACTTCATTCCTGTCTGATACTTCGCCGTTAGAACTCTATTGACGCTCTGATGTTTTTTTTTTGCAATAAATCGAAAATGCAATTAACTGCATCTGTCAAGATTATTTATACTATACATATTCCAAAATCATAAAAAAGAAAGATTTTTTAGATAATTTACAACATCATACAAATTTATTTATTTAAATTTAGGGGGATTTGGGGAAAGGATTCTAATTAATTGAGATATTTTTTAAACATATTTTTTTTTTTTATATAATTTACTGAGCCAAGGCAACAGCAACACTGTAGGCACCACTGTGACTAATTGAGACATTTACATTTTTGACACCGGCAGCAGAAGCAGCGTTCATAGCTTTACCGGTTAATACAACTTCAGGAGCACCGACGGCATTAGACTTAATTTCGATCTCGTTCAAAGGGGCACCAGCACCATCTGAGGGGATGTTTCCATATGAGGAGATTGCCTTGAATACAGCTTCCTTGGCAGACCAACGACCTGTGAAACTAGCCTGGGGATCGGGACGAGAGTTACAGTATTCGATTTCGGCAGCAGTGAAGTTGCGTTCAATGAAAGTAGAGTTTTCAATGTTGACGGCATTAGTTAACTCGACATCGACACCAACACCTCTCTTTCCAGCTTGTTGTTCGGTAAGAGAAGCAAGGATATTCTTGGTAACGTCAGCATCGCCAACTGTGGGGGCAGCTTGCTTAGCGGACTTATTATTGAAATGCCATGACTTCTTTTCCTTAGAGTATTCAGTACGAGCACTAGGGTTCAAGTAGACTTGAGACTCAAGTTCATCAGTGTAGGGAGCTTCATGCTTGACTTGGACAAAGTCAGCAACACCAGTAAGAGAATCGTGAAGATAACGGTAGGTCTTGGCATAACGTTGAGCATTCTTAGCCTTATAAGCGTTGTATTGGCTTTCTTCTAAAGCAGCAAGGACATAATCAGGATGAATAATTAAGACTTCACCGCCAGCTTGACCGAAACCGAAAGACTTGAGAAGACCGGCCTTCAAACCGTCAGTTTGGATAGAGCGAGAAGGATAAACAATGAACTCGAAGTCCTTCATGATGACATCAATGTTATCAGCATTGCGGTTACCGGGGATGATACCACTGAGAAGACATTGCATCATACCGTTAGCCATCCAAGAAGCAGCGGGACCCTTGGGATGACCAGTCAAATACTTTTGAGTGATAGCCAAAAGAGCATTACCCTTAGAACGACCGAGATGCTTCATTTGAGAGTTGACAACACGGGATTCGTTCTTATCGTTAGCCTTGGTAGAGGTACCATGGAAAGAGGCAACACCAATATCATCAATGGTCAAACCATAAACAGCAAGGGCACCACGAATAGGAGCAATGTTTGAATCATTCTTAAAGAAGTGATGGTTATATGTACCCAAACATTCCTTTTCTTGACGCTTAGCTTCAGCGTGAATGAAAGTGGTACGCTCTTCGAGCCATGATTTTTCTTCTTCTTGAGGAAGTTCACCAGAAGCCTTAAGTTCAGCCAATTCTTCACGCAAAACTTCGTATTCACTTTCGACCCAAGATTTAATTTGAGCACGACGAGCCTTGATTTGTCTAGCACGGTAGTTGAAGTTCAACAAGGGGGAAGGTCTCTTGGTGATGTTCTCACGAGCAGTGGTCAAAATACCAGCACCAGGAGCGGGAACGGAACGACCTTCCTTATCAGTGGCAGTACTACTGAGAGCAATAATACCGTAAATAGGAGAACCGATTTCGATAGCAGTGGCAGCAGACATAAGAATATGGTTAGCAGAACCGTGAGCTTCCATGAAACCATTTCTGGAGGTAGTAGCAGGACGAGACATTTCAGCGGGAGTACGACCATGAGCAAGTTCTTCCACAGCATTGGAAGTGGCCTTCATGTTAGCGAATTCATAACTGGATTCTTCAGTGATGTCTTCAGTAGCACCAGCGATCATAATCTTGGCCTTACCAGTCAAGAGAGATTCACAAGCCAATTCGATAGAAACAGCAGATGTGGCACAGGCATTGACGGGAGTCTTAATAGGACCGGAAGATGAAAGAAGCAACATGTTAATCCAAGCAGGCATAGTGTTGATGAAAGACTCTTGAAGGATATCCTTTTGGACAGGTTTGTCAAGAAGACGATCACGGTAAAGACCTCTTTGAGACCATTGACCACCAACACCGGAACCAGTAGTGTTACCGATTTCGGAAACATGGACATACTTGAAGAACTCGTAAGGATCAGTAATACCGGCAGAAATGAAAGACTCGACAGTAGAGACAATGTTGAACAAAGTAACGGGATCAACTTGATCGACAATATCTTTGGGAACACCATAACGAGCAGCATCCCAACCAGTAGGGATTTGACCTGCGACAAGACGATCGAAACGAAGGGCCTTAGGGACATACAAGGTAGCACCCTTACGCAAAACAACACACCAATCACCATTAGCATTTTCATAGACATCGGCCTTATCTTCCTGTTGAAGCTTGAAGTTGTCAGCTTCTTCCTTGGAACACTCGAAAGGCTCGAGGTCATGATCGACAACAATTTCTTGCATGAGCATCTTCTTCTCGGGGTTATAACCATCCATAACGGTAGGATCTAGAAAAAAGAAATTAATACACAGAAAGAAATTGGCAATTCAAATACATACCAATAAGACGAATACCACAATGGTCGAGAATTTGCTTTTCATACTTGGTCTTGATATCCTTTTCTTCAATAGGTTCACCAGATTTAGCATCTAACCAGCCAGAGTAGAACTTACCAGTCTTCAAATTACCATCATGATGCTTAATAAAGCCCATGATCCAGGACATTTCAATACAACCCTCAAGAGAGAATTCACCGAAAGCTTCCATTTCCCAACGAGTTCTAGCATTACCCCAAGGGGACACTTCACCGAAACCAGCAACAACAATAACTTGCTCAAGATCAATCATACCCTTAAGATGACCAAGATGCTTGAAGGCATCATAAGATTTAAGAGTAGGGAAGTCAAACTTCATGTTAGCACGAGGAGTAATGTTATGAGGCTTATGCTTGCGCTCAGCTTCTTCACCGAAGACAATCTTGAAATCGAGAGCATTCTCAACGTCAATAGCCTTACGGACTTCAGCAGTCTCACGAATTTCCTTACGCAAGTTGGCACTGACTTCATTCAAGTTGGTAATGAATTGAAGACCACCATTAAGATCAGCCCAAACAGGTTCATTTTGACAAAGTTCGACAATAGAAGGATGCATAAGACCAAGAATGTTGAAAGACATCTCGACAGTAGAGAAAGTTCTAACACCAAGAGCTTCAATACCTTCAGCAACCATGTTGTTAGCACTCATCAAACCAGTACCACGAGTCCAACCAATGACGGCACCAGCAATAATCAAGTAGCTAGACCAGCTCTCAGAGTACCAACGGTTGAAGAGGGTTTCAAGAGAGATCTTAGATTCACCATAAAGACCATCGGCACCGAAAGTACCATGGTTGGGAGACAAAGGAAGGATGACTTGAGCAGGACGGGTATCGGAACCAATCTTTTGCTTGTGTGTCTTAACGTTACCCAACATACGGAGAAGGTTAGTTAACATAATACGATGAGCAAGCTCAGACTTGGAATCAATGTTATCGATTTCACGACCATTCTCGGGGATAGCAGCGAAAGGAATAATGAAATCAAGATCCCAGTTAAGACCCTTAGGATCATAAATGTAATCGATCAAAGCATCGCAATCTTGCTTAGCACCTTGATTGAAGGGAACGACAACGAGTTCAGAACCCTTGGAACCATAAGTCTCGTAGATAGATTGGAAGTATTGAGTGACTTCACGACTGAAACGAGAAGTGGTAACAACAACCTTAGCACCACCAGAGATAAGACCCTTCATAACTTCAGAACCAATAGAATCTCTACCAGCACCAGTCAAGAGAACACACTTGTCAGCAAAAGTAATACCTTGGTCAGCGATCTCGTTCAAGACGTTGAGATAGGTAGAGGTAAGCTTGTTACTGAATTCCCAACCACTAGGATCGTTAACATTCTTCTTCTTGAGATGCAAGAAAGGAATAGTCTCAGTCTTAGGTTGAGCGACACGCTTACGTTCAGGAACACGGTTAACAGTAGAAGCACGACGTTGACGAGGTCTTTCTTCTCTGATGATGTTGTTAGACATAGCCATAGAACGCAAGACATCAGTGTAAAGCTCCTTGATAGCAACCTTGGTGCTCTTCTTCATCTTGTTTTGGCTACGAATAATCTTGTAGATACGACCGAGATCTTGTTGGACCTTGAGACGGTTAGAGAACTCAGAGACCTTGGATCCAGCAGTCATGTCGTTGACATATTCAGACAACTTGCGACAGCCAGGACGAGGAACCTCAGCATAACCAATGTCACCCTTCTCAGAGATGGTAGTCTTAGGACCAGTAGGGAAACCGACATCCTTGTAAACAGGGCTTTCAGCAAGAACATCGACGCAGTTTTCAATCAAGGCTTGACCGAATTCCTTGGCGAGTCTGTAGGTTTCACCCTTATCACCAGCACAATTCTCAACGTTGTAACGCATGTAATCGATCAATTGAGGATAAGCACGGTTCATGATGCTCAAACACTTGGCAGTAACTTCACGATCAACGATAGCGAGCTTACCGAAGATAATGTCGTACCACATTTCCAAAGCATCTTGACGAGACCAGTTCCAGTAGGAATCGTAACGACGAGCCTTGAGGGTAGTGAAAGAAGGCTTGATACCATCAGCATAGATGTCACCGTGTTCAGCGAGCCACAAATCAAGCTCAGCTTGTAACTTGGCAGTTGTGGTCTTTTCTTGTTCGTAAAGCTTAGCACCTTCACGCAAGTCCTTTTGAAGATACTTAGCGTATAAGTTGAGTTGTTGATAGATCAAAGCATCTTGCTTGGCCTTCATGGCATCAAATTCCTCACTGTTAATGACAGCAGCAGCTCCACCACCGTTACCACCGGCAGCAGCACCAGCACCAGGAGCAGATAAAGTAATACCAGCTCTCTTAGCATAAGCTTGAGCGACACTATCCAACCAGGCCTTGGCTTCAGGTTCAGCACCCAAACGAGCAGGAGGTTCCATAGTGATAGCAATCAAAAGAGCACCTTCGAGACGACCAGGACCCAAACCATAAGAGGTAGTAAGGTAGGTCTTAGCAGAATTTAAAGTGAAACCACCGGGCATCTTGGCACCAATCATCTTGGCGATCAAAGTGCTAGAATGCTTACCGAGAGTACCAGGGAAACTGTTGTTCAAGGCAGCTCCAAGTTCATCCAAAGGAGTTTCTTCGGACTTCTCGGGAACAGCATTGTTGAATTCCTTTTGCAAATCACCAAGAATTTCGTTTTGGAGAGTAGACTTACCACCGACTAAGTCCTTGATGGCCTTAGCCAAGGGGACTTCGTCAACAGATTTCTTGAGCTTTTGAGCAATGACAGCATGAATAATTTCAGTGGCTGTGACAGGAGCATCAGTGACGGCAGCAGCAGGTCCAGCAGAGGCAGCAACGGGAGCAGCGGCAACGGGGGCAGCGGCAACGGGGGCAGCGGCAGCGGCGGCAGCAGGAGCAGGAGCGGAAGATGCAGACTCGACAGGGGCGGCTTCTTCCTCAGCAGCGTTCTCGAACTCGTAGTAGATTTCCTTGGCATCCTTAGAGATGTTCAAGTTTTGACGACGGTTACTCAAAGCATTATCGTAAGCTTGATACTTAAGGTTTAAGGTACGAACAGCCATGCCACTCAAAGTAGGAGAAGGACCAACTTCGATGAGACGTTCAATCTTGTAGTTCTTGAACAATTGGTCTTGAGTTTCGATCCATCTGACAGGAGAAGCGAATTGATAGGCTAAAAGTTCAATCAAAAGAATATAACCAAGACGTTGTTGTTGAGCAGGTGTAACGTATTTGTCAGCAGTCCAGTTCTTGAGGACCTTGGCCAAACGGGGACTAGAAGTCAATTGATGAACATCTTCGATGTAGCTCTTTTCAGTACTGAAAGGCTTAGCAGTCAAATTGGGGATATATTTATCTCTCAATTGAGCAACGTTAATATCAGAGGGGTTGAACTTCTTAGCGAGGAAAGTACGGAAAGGAGAGACACCACTAAGTAAGAAAGATGAATGGAAAGGTACATCGATACCAGGAAGAGGTACGGTAGCATGACCACGTTCAAGGACAACACGACCCTTAGCTTGCTTAAGCTTGGTCTTTTCGAAGGCACCATCGATAATTTCATACAAGTGCTTCTTAACATCTTCAAGAGACATAGTTTCCATCAACTTTTGGAGATCAATGTTAGCAGTCTTGATGTAGTTCAAGACATTAGCAAGTGCATCGAGGTTTTGAAGAGCACCAGCAGCGACATATTGCCAGTTCTCAACGTTGAAGTTGACGATTTCTAAAACATCACCACCACGGATGGCAATGGAATCAACGACATAACGAAGAGCAGTATCATTGAAAGTCTTAGAGACACGAGCAGGGTTGACAGCAACCATACCATAGTTAGAGCGACCTTCTTCATCACGCTTGACAGCAGATTGCATGGTCATACCACGATAGAAGACGACATCAACAAGGGAATCCAAAGGTAATACATCACCAACGGAAGCCAAGGCAGCATATTCACCGAGAGAGTGACCGGCGAAAGCACAGTTACCTTGAATCAATTCCTTGGCACGCATATCTTCGAAAGCAGCCTTTTCCATTAAAGTCAAAGCAGGTTGAGTGAATTGGGTAGCAAACAAAAGACCGGTAGGAGAACGGAAAGTATAGAAAGCTGTACGAGCATGAATGGTAGGGAACAAGGGAAGAGTATCCACAGTACCATCAGCGTTGACAACATCATAAGTCATACTCATATAGTTGTCACGGATCTTGTTACCACGGGGACCACCGAAATGGACGACCTTTTCCTTGGGGTTGCTACGAACGATTTCAATAATAGAGAAACCATAGTATTGCATGAAATGTCTATCAGCTTGATCCCAAATAGCCTTGGCGACAGGAGAGCTATCATATAAAGCCATACCCATACCAATTTCTTGGGAACCTTGACCAGTGAAAACATAGGCAGTAACAGGTTGTTCAACCTCAGCGGTACCTTCAACAACCTTTTCGTTGTTTTGGTTAACAGTTTCAACCTTGATAATCTTACGACCGTTCTTCATACCAGTGTGGTAAAGCTTAGTCTCAAGTCTATCAGAAGGTAAGACCATACCGACAAACTTAACATCGTAGGCAACGACACGACGAGGGACGTTATCAGCAGCAAAGATTTCAACGAACTTACGAGTAGAAGCACTAGTCCACATACCATGAGTAATGGTACCAGGTAAAAGAGCCAAATCAGCAAAGTAGGGGTTGACGTGAATAGGGTTGAAATCACCAGATACGTTAGCATAAGGTTCGTTGGAAGCAGGAGCATGAACGACAGAAGAGTAGGTAGATTGACTAGGCATAACAGAGTATCCACCGTTTTCGAAGAAATGAGCTTGTTCGATTTCTTGAGCATTACGCTTCAAGTATTCAATAACGGGGTTACCGTGAGATTCACCAGACTCATATTCGACCTTGGCAACTTCAACAAATTCCTTTGTAGAAACTTGCATGACAACAGTACCAGTAGTCTTAACAGAAGAGAAGATCTTTTTGTTCTTGTACTTAAGTTCAGTGTTCAAACGGAAAATCAATGAAGAACCAACAGCGATTTCATGAGTTTCCAAAGCATCGTTCCATTGAACCCACTCCTTAGACTTGAGGACAGCAATATCCTTAACATCCTTGATCTTGAATTGCATAGGTGTTTCAACCTTGCGTTCAAAGGTATGTTCGAAATCACCAAAGGTACCACGGTAGAGGAACTGACTAGTGACCTCGAGAACGGGCTTACCCTCACGGACAATAACACCCTTCACTTCGATCATCTTACCAGAATCGGTATTAATAATGGCATTAATGTTAGCGAATGTGTCAACGACATCACCGACTTGGAGAAGATCAGAACCTTCCAAAAGACGATAACCGTTACCTAAATGGACAAGTCTTAAAAGATCACCATCGACAACCTTGGGGAAAATAGCCTTCATGATAGCCTTCCAGCCAACGACAATAGCGAAATCCATAGGGGCATAGACGACCTTTTGACCACGATCAACAAAGACCTCGGCTTGGTTACCAACAGCTTGACAGAATTCCTTGATTTCTTCAGACTTAACGGTTTCGTCCTTACCAATCAACTTTTCGTGAACAGGGATGTTTAAGAAATCATCTGTGTTGTCGACACCGAACCAAAGCTTGTAATAAAAGTTCTTGATACGATCGTTACGACCTTCCATCACTTCATGAACAGGAGCATAACCAAGTTCAGGCTTGTACTCGAACTGCAAAGGCAAAGGAATCAAGTCATTGTCTCTCTTTTCATAGAGTTTGACATCGATCAATTTACCAGAAACGGAGGCTTCGACAGAGGTGATGTATTGATCAGTCTTATCGGTAGCACTCCAAGGTCTCTTGTCTTGGACCTTGACGGCAGTAATCTCACCTTGAGCATCAGTAGATACGATGACCTTTTGACCAGCACGAGGACGGAAGATACGCTTGGCAGGATTATCAACGAAACGCTTTCCTTGAACAATGAAAGGAGAGGTCAAGAGAGCACGAAGCCAGTTGTACTTGGGACCAGAGATAGCTTGAAGCCATTCGTTCTCGGAGGGAATGTTAGTAACACCAGTTTCGTAAACGTGTTCATTGCCAGTGGAAGCAGCTTCCTTAACAAGAGATTTGTTGATGGGAAGACCACCGAGATATTCAATCTTGGGGATAGGAGTAGTCTTGTAATAACGTTCCTTCAAACTTTCGATGTGGCTTTCGTAAATATCACCGAGGATTTCAGCAACGGGTTGATCAGTACGAGTAGCATACTTGGCAGCAACAGGGCCGTGAAGGATACAAGTACGTTGAACGTCTTGATCGACAACAGCTCCGAGATCTTCAGATTGCCAGAGAGAATCCTTCTTAAACCAGATATCGAAATCTCTATCCATGACAGGGATGAAAGGAACAGGCTTTTGAGAGGGGCTCTTACAAAGAGCAATGAAATGAAGGACATCCTCGGAAGTCAAAAGTTGAGTCTCGGCTTCGGGGAACTGAGCCATGAACTCTTCAGTGAAAGCATAAGGGTTCTCTAATTGGCTATAATTTTGGAGCAAGGAAGGAGCAGCGACCTTACTGAAACGTTCTTCGATACGACGCATGAAATCTCCGAGAACGTTACGAAGGGTGATATCAATCCAACGTTGTTCATGCTTTACATAGAGCAAAGTGATGATACGGTTAATGACTTCAGAGTAAGTCATATCTTGAAGATCACAGGCATCACCGTTCTTCTTTTGACCAAACCAAACCTTTTGGAAGTCAGCATTTAATCTCTTGATAATATAATCCTTCTTGGCCATCAAGGCAGGCAAACGCTTGTCCTTAGGTAAAGAGAAGATGCTTTCATCAAGCTCTTTCCAGAGCTTAACACCACGAGTGGCAACCTTGTGAATAGGTTCACCAAGTTCAGAAAGAACAGTGATAATACCACCAGTGGGGCCCTTGTAAGTCTTTTCCCAATCAGCATCGTCGACACCAGGAGCATCAACCATAGCTTGCTTGGCAGCAGGAGAGGCCAAACCTTCTAAGGCGACCATCATGCGAGAGCCGAAAAGACAACCATCAAAAGGCATGGGAGGGTAATCGAATTTGAGAGACCAATCACCAGTGATATAAGGTAAAGTATCATCAGCACCACCGAAACCTGAACCGGCTACGAGGACAATATTGGGTTGACGACGAATAGCGGCATATGTTTCAAGGATAGGTTGATGAGCATCTTCGAAACTGTGATGACCACCAGCACGACCACCGGTCCATTGCATAATGATAGGCATGGTAGGGTTGGCAGCGGCAATAGCAACAACATGACGAATGGTATCGACACTTCCAGGCTTGAAAGAGATATGACGAATACCAGCAGCTTGTAAGTTGGAAATGACTTCATTAGCTAATTCGATACTGGGAACACCTGCAGCGATACAAAGACCCTCCATGGGAAGGCCTTCCTTACGCATGATTTGAACAAGAGGATATTGGAAACCCCATTGACGGACGTTCAAGAAAATGATGTTGAGTGTAACACCTTCACCGGCACGGGTGAGTTGCATAATTTGATCGACCTTTTGGCGAAGACGCTTTTCGTTGAAATGTCCACCACCAGCTAATTCAATATGATAACCAGCGTTCATGACAGCTGCAACAAACTTTTCGCTAACAGTAGCGGGTGTCATACCAGCAACCATAAGTGGGGGCTTACCCAACAAACGAGACATTTTAGTGTCTACATGAATACGTCCATTACTATAGATATCATTTTAAATGTCAGTATACACCTTTTCTTAATCACACTATTCTGTCTTTTTTTCTTTTTTACCTAGTGGTTTCGACTAACTTAGGTTGGAAAACCTTAGCCCAATCTTGAGAATAAGTGACAGCACGAATATCAGAATCGAAAAGATCAGCCTTGTAAGAAAGATCACGGTTGCTTCCTTCAAGAGCACCGGCTAAAACGATTTGTACGCCAGTACCTTCCTTATTACGATATGTCAAACCACCAATACCTGAGGTACCACCTGGTCCAAAATCAATAATGTGAGTTAAATCCTTAGTGGCGATAGCACTTTCCCAATGAACATGATGTTCACAAATAAGTTCCAACAATGCTTTAGTGATATCGGATGAAGTAGAAAGATCTTTGCCTAAATGGAAAAAAAGCCGGTCACGACAGTTAGCATTTTCTTCGATAAAAAAAAATGTTACCCCAATTCCCCACATTATATATTCCCCCAATTATTACCTGAGTCAGTAGCATAGACAGGGATTTTAAGATCCTTGGCCTCAAAACGAAGACCGTATTTGTCAGCATCCTTCAAGAGAATAGGGACAGCAGACTTCAAGTAGACACTGTGGAAAGGAGCAGTGATAGGCAAGAAACGAGAAGAGAACTTGATTTTACGTTGAGAGAAAGGTACACGAGATTGATCGAGACCAGTGGGAGCCTTCAACTTACGCAAACTGAGGTTCAAACCATACAAGGATTGAGGAGGACCAGTACAGACGAAAGAACGAGGACCATTGTGTAAAGTAACCTCAATTTGACGATCAGGAGCAAGATGAGAGTTGGTTTCTTTGAGATACTTTACAACTTGAGATTCTCTAAGGCCAGTGACAGCCAACATGGGAGTAGGGTTACCCTCATTGTTGCTGATGGAATCTTCGAGAATAGTAGGGTTTAATGTAGTAGGAGGGAATACTTGTTGAGCACGAGTACCGATCCAGAATAAAAGACCCAAAGCCTTTTCAGTGTTTTTGATAAATTCTTCTTCGGTGGCAGAAGCAGAAATAACTACAGAACTGATGATACCTTGACTATGACCGGTGGTACCTAATATACGAATTTATAAACTTATAAATACATGATTATAAAGACCCATAATGATAAAAAAAAAACTTACCTTCGAATAAATCGCGGACTTCGGCAGGAGTACGGTCGAGGACCTTAATCATAACATAGTATTGAAGAATTTGAGTGAGACCAATTAAAGGGAAACTGACAGGGGCAGAGACGAGATAAGCAAGATCAGGTCTAGCATCCACATTGTCCAACCAGCGCAAGATGTCCAAACCCTTGGAGTGTAATACACTTGCTTCGGGACTACGTGCATTTTCGGCCATAACAACAGCCATACGTTCAACAAAAGGCTTAACAAGGCCTTGATATGTTTCCCAAATCTCAGCAAGTTCATCAAAATACTCTTCAATGTTACCTTGACCACCGAAGATGGCAAAAAGTTTGGCATCACCACGAGTGGCAGCCTCGAAAAGAGCAGACTTGGCGGGAGCAGCTTCTTCGGGTGTTAATACGTTATGTTGCTTCAAAGCGACAAGGGCCGAATAGTAAGCTTGAATAACGACTTTCTTTGACTCAGGAGAAGATAATGAGCGAGTGACAGCATGGACGTCATTGTTCTTGAGATATTGGTGACCAAAGTCAATGAAAAGGGTCCGTGCGACAGGTAAAAATTGAGATTCATTCGAAGCACGAGAGGTAACAAAAAACAAGAATTTTGCAGCGAGTTCGATATCAGTGATTTCTTCAATGGCATCTGCATCACCCTTAGGGAATTCTTCTCTGAGTTGTTCAGCAGGAACCCAGATGTTTGCAGGTACAAGCACTGAAACTTCAGTAGTGTTTTGTTTAATAGACAAAGGACGGAGTACTTGTTGTTTATCCATCTTGGTTTAAGTTATATATATATAAAAAGCTATTCAATTTTGTTGTCAATTATCTTGCTCAATTACCCATTTATATCACACATATAAATATATCTATTACCTTTTTTACAAGATTCTTTTTTTGTATGTGTTGTATGATGTTGTATTAAAAAGAAACTGTTGCACAATACAAAAACGTCTAAAAATTTTCTTTTTCTTTTTTTTTTTTTTTTCTAAAAAGACTTGATTAAATTTTGTTTCCCCAAACAAAAGATAAGTGTAAAATAGTAAAGAAAAAAAGTTTTGATTTTTAAAAAAAAATATAAAAAAAAAAAGAAGTGTTTGAAAAAAGAAGAAAAGAGAAATTGGATGGGCTAAAAAGTGTTATGTAAATCAAATTTTTTTTTTTTTTTGGACCCCCATCAAACTTCGGATACCATATTTGGACAGTTGGTAGGGGCAAAATTGGTTCGGAGTGACTCGGAATTACCATTGTCCTTCCTGTATATTTGTATTATAAATACACACTCAACCCCAAAAGTAACAAAAAATCCACTTGTCAAACTTTCCTATAGTGTACGACTCGCCCCCAAAATTGCAGTACCGCTTTAAAGATAAAAAGTATCTCTCTCGTTCCTTAGTTTACACAACACTAAGCAACAATAACAATAACAAAAAAAAAAAAAAAAAAAGTTTGAGACTATCATTCTTTGAAACATGAAACAACCTCTATCAAAATATTCCTCCGAGTATAAATGTTGTCAAAAAACCCATTAGGAACCGCGGTCAAAGTTACACGATCAACTTGGAGTATAGGCGAACCGGTTATTCAATCGCGTATTGTAATCTGAATCCAATCAACTAATAAGTGGGGTTGTCATACGATTGTTTGTCATTTACATAGCCATATATTACAAATACAATAAGCAATTGCCCACAGCATGATACTTATCCATAAACAAATTCAGTATGCTTATAAAACTATAAAAAAAAAAAGAAAACTTAGCGTCATTTCATTATTTGTCGTCTAAAAAAAAAAAAAAAAAAAAAAAAAAAGGTACGCATGCATGGACTGTTGATATTGGATTAGAATTGCATGATATTTCTATTTTTTGCATATTCTTGTTTTAGTAATACAGGAAAGTATGGGGATGATAAGCTCAGAATAATACTTATATCGCACAGGCACATTTTCCACCCCAAGGAACATAATTGTTTATGCGGCAAAAGGTTTTTTTTGGGGTGATACAAAGTGGCCAATCAACTATTGCCTCTTAAATCATCCCCCACCCACCCTTCATTTATTTTATTTTTAAGCCCTACATATAAATATGCTTAGAATCGCCTGTTGCGGTCGAGTGATTACCCTCTCAATATTTCATGGGAACACACTGTACACAAAAATGTGAATTCTCGTCATAACTTTGGCTGGGAATCGTTTTAATATTTATTTTTACCTTGTTTCTCCATGACACAAAAAGTTTCTTCTTTTTTCTTATTTTCCTTAATTTTTTGCTCTTCGAAAAGCATAAATGAGAAGACCTAAATTACTGTCTTCTATACTATGTATAACCTCATTATATGCAGCTAGTGCTGTCAATGTTGTTCTCTGGGAACGCTCGCTTACCATGAACGCTACAAATATGAACGCTACTAATGTGGGAATAATAGATTTATCTACGTCTTACTTAGCTACATGCCAAGACTTTCAAGGAATACAAGTTGATTCATCGAAAACTTTACTCAATGTAAACAAATTATTGTCTTCAATCTCAATTGCTTATTAACGTGCTGTTGTAGAGAGTCGTATTCAACTTCGGCGATTGTTGTAACTCAACGACCACAACCCTCGAGTATGTTCAAACACTCAATAATAATAGTCTCCAAGTAGCAGGTATCGATCTTGCACAAAAGATTGCCCTAATTAAAAGGGGAAACTGTAAATGGAGCGACAAGTTAGATAATGTAAAAAAACTTTCGGACGCGCATTCATTACATGTTACCGCCATGCTCATTTATGATAACGAAACTCATAACACGAACATAAGTGTAGAAAGAACTTTTGTATACAATAATGGTGCCATAGACCCTCCTGAATATTCAACACCGCTACCTGATGTACGGAATGTAGTTAACATGTCTGATAATGACTTGTTTTCCTCTACGTCCCTCTTAACACCAGTTTATTTTGTCCCTCTTGTTTATGGCGAACTCTTTATTCAGAGACTGAAAGATTCGTTTGACCCAACCAATCCAAGTTTAAAAAAATATTGGGTCCTATCACCTTTCTTAGTCGACACATCCGGAAGCTCTCGTGGTCTCGCTGGAAGTGATAGAGCCTATATAGCATACATCATTGCTCTAGGCGGCATCTTTGTAATGGGTAATATAACACCGTTAACATCACATGAATTATATTAATCTCTTTGATGCAGGTGTAATATTCCTAAGATGGTGGAAAATACGAAGACTAAGAGCTGGCCACGCTTTCGATGGTTTCACTACCCCCAATGCGTTTGGTATGCAAACTAGAGTTAACCGACTGGATCCTCTTCCTGTGGAAGTTGTCAACTCTATACCTATTGCTAAATATGCCGATGATCTTGTGAAAAATGTTAATTGTGCGATTTGTCTTGAAGACTTTGTACCTGATAAAAATGATATCCGTATTTTACCTTGTGCCCATGGCTTTTGTGTACTATGTATAGGTATAAATGCATAAATGGATTGAATGATGTAAATATTCTCTAACTTGCGCTTTGTATAACATTAGACCCCTGGCTTACACAGAAGTCGTGCATGTGTCCTATTTGCAAATGGGATTGTTTGCCTGCTGACCTTCGTCGAGAAAGAAATGAGACACTGCAAAGAGATCGAAATGCTCGACAGTCTAATACTACGACCAATGAGTCATCAACTGAAATTAATGAACATACTGTTGAAATACCAATCCCATCTTCTGTTGATGCTCCAGAATCGAATCCTGCTGAGAATGCAACTACTCTCCCTACAACCACTATCACTACTACCAGACCCGCTACTACTAGTCCCACTACAACTAACAATACTGAATCGACTGCTGAGAAAGACAGACCCGAGTTGCGGAATCCATTTGCATCCAATTCTTCATCTGTGAATCATCAGACTGGGGATTCTCTGCGTCCTGAGTCATCAACGTCACCTTCTGAAGAACTTGAAATGACTTCAAAGAAAAGAACTTCTCCCAAAAACTAATCTATGTATCCATCCCCACTCCCATACAACCTTTTAATCTTGTTATATTATTAACCTTACTATCTATGTATTTCTTACATGTACCTTTCTAATTAATCCATTCATATGAAAATACAAATTAAATTATTCGTCCTACTCTGTAACACTTTACAAAAGCTGTAACGTTCCACTATTGGCGGTTCAAGCAAACTGCTATTGGTACAACATTGATAGAAACTGTGTATTGAGAGAAATTACTCCGAATTCTGTAAAAAAAACCAAAGTTTAAAATCTTGTGTCCCAGAACCAAAAAGAGTGAGGCGGGTGGTCCATGCGTTACAATAATCCAGCTTTTGCAAACAAAATTATCACCTGTAACTGTTCAACTGTGCTGAGCTAGTCGAACCGATATAATGTTATTATTGCGATCAGGCTTTTCTATAATAAGTGTAAAACTAACGTATATTCAAATGAACCACAATTATCCTTTGTTCAAAAAAATCGGTTTGTAATGGAAGTTATACCATGAAAGCTTTATAGTTTGATAATTTTAAGTCAAATGCTCTACAGCACAGACATTAATGCAGCACATATTTTGACAGCAATATAAACAAACGCCTGAACATTGTTTGCATAAAAGCTCATGTAACAGGCAGTCTTAATTTGGAAGAGAACATAATTGTTTATAGCAATATCGAGCCACCCGTAAGCTATGGTTGGGAAGAAACTTATCGCCTTCTCAAAGATTGGAATTTAGATAAAGTACTCAGTCACGTAATGTTTTGAGCTGTCTGTCCATATTAGACCAACATAATGTATTAAAGGTACAAATGAAGCAAATTTTTAATTGATTCTTTTAGACATTATTTTAAAAAAGTCACCGAGCCACTTATTTTTCGAATCTAAATATTGTCTTCACGATAAAGTCAATGTTTAAATTAAAATAGATCAAGTATCAGTTTAACTACATACACCACATTTATCAAAAATGTGGAAAAAGATTCCGATCTACCAGAGTCGAACTAGTGACCTAGAGATGACAATATACACTACAGTCTCCCGCTCTACCAACTGAGCTAAGATCGGTATTTGATGATTTTTGAAGTTAAAAAAATAATATATAGTTTTAAATAACAAAAATGTATTACGTAAGCATCACGTGTTTGACACGTGTAAAGAATATGATTGGTTTAAATGCATTTTTTTTTCTATATCTAGAATTGACAAAAAAAAAGTAAAAGGAATTGATTTCAAATATTCACTAAGTCTGTTTTTTATAACAGGAGCGTTATACAATTTTTGTGTATCATGCGTATGTATAAGACAATTGGATTCAAATGGTGACTTGAAATTTAGCAGGTTTCAAATTTTATTTTTGCACAAAACGTCCACCTATTTATTATTTCAGTAACGGGATGAAGGGGAGAGGTAGTTATCTAAATCATTTTGTAAAAAGCTTAGTAATTCAGAGACATCAGCATCATTATTAGAAATGAAATTGTGACTTGAATTGATTTGTTGATCTGCTTGATTGGTAAAAAGAGTAATATTATTCGTTAAATCGGCGTCAATCACAGGTGTTCCTAATGTTTCTGATATTTGCGGGGAAGAAGAGCAACACGACGTAGAAGGACTGGAGCTATAAGCACTACTGCCGTCCTCCTGGACATCCTGTAGGTGAGCAGCAACACAAGTACAAGTAAGTAATACTTCACAGAGGCATCCGTTGATAGGATTAGGCGCTGCAAAAAAATATATTTAGCTTCCAGAGTAAGCAGGAAAAAAAATAACTTAAAACTTACAACTGGCAATGGCACAAGTACATTTTACATGCGATTTATTTGTCTGCCTTAAATCTCGACAATGGGTGCATTGGCTGACTTGGCGACCTCTTTTAACAAGTGGAATCATTGGGCGATCTGTGTGATTACACTTCTTCACTCTATGGCCTCTTATGCAAGCTGCACTAAGGAATAAAAACAATGTTACTTTTTCGAGATGTAGTCATTAAGTAATCTTTTTACCAGGCATGTTTAACACCATTGATTAAAAACACCATGTTTAAAATTATTTATTATTTCAGTCATGAGAAAAAAGGGGAGATATGGGTTGTATAAAATAAGGAAAGAAAATCTAATGGAAAGAAAGACAAACGTCACAGAGCAGCATAAACTGCTCACCTGAGTCTTCCAAAGGCCGCTCTTGCTAGTTGAGCCAGACTCTTTTGGCCATCATCATCATACTGCTTTTCTTCGTTGGAATACATTGGGTTTATGCTATTTTTCATGCTACTGGGATTGTTGTTCATCATAGGCTGGTTAGCAGGCATCATTCCGGTCTGGTTGGTAGGCATCATCATAGGCTGGTTGGTAGGCATCATCATATTTGGATTATTCATCATCATGGAATTGTTCATTAAATTGCTGTTAATAAAGCCCTGCTGTTGGTTATGGAAAGCCTCGTACATCTGCTCGTGCTTTCCCATAACATCTTGTGTATAATACCAGAAACAGAACGCGAAATGGATCTAAAACAGCACATGTTAATACAGTCGAATCTTAATATCTTATGTGCACCTACATAAAGAGTGAACAGAATAACAAATATCACTACTGAAAATTTCATTTCATCTTCCCATAATCTGGAACAGTTGTATGCATCCATTGTCTTGTTTGTTGGGATAAATACTAAACCAGATACATTAGTGGCATCAAAACCAGCAATGGTATGTACAGTGTTATTATTTATAGTCAAAGTCCTCACTGTTTCAAGTTGAGATTTCGATACACACCATTCTTTGAACTCGATTTTTTGTACACCAAATATTATCATATTTACAAAATATACAATTAAAAACAAAATAACAAAGAACCATGTGGATCGATGAGATCGCCGCAATTGGTTTGGCATATTCTAAAAACGAGAACAATGTAGCTTAAGTATCATGAAGGCTCCAAAAGTAGATTGCATTTCGTTACCAGTGTAAAGGAGTAAAGTGATATAAGCGCTGATATTACAAAGAAAAGACAAACGACACCCTGCACTACCAATGATGCATGGTTTAAATGCGAGTATACCGCTATTTTTTTTTAATGACGTGATGAGTCAGCATAGCAAATAAATTAAGTATTGTTGATCTACTTACGACTTCTATCTTGAAATGAAAGCACACATGCATACATGTTAATAATCTAGATAAAAATGTCAGCAAAAAATAACGAATGAAATATAATGGTCTTACCATCCACAAGAAGCACACAAGTGGACCGGCATAAGACATGTCCATGCATCCACATATTTGAAATCTACGCAGTGGTTCTTGTTGATTTGGGTATAACTCTTGTTGCATTTTAGTAAGAAAGAGACAGAAATAACAAAATAAAAAAGGTTAAAAAAATCAGAGAGGTGTAAATAGTATTTATGTGCGACCAAGCAATTGCCTGATATAGTATGCAGAAAACAATTGAAAAAAACGGATCCTTTTTTGAAATGCCATATCATTAAACCTCTCTTGTACTTTGTTATTATTATTGATCAATTTTAATTTTTTTAAAGAAGATATTAATCTCGAGATATAAAAGATGGCCATTTGTTTCGAAAGAGCACTATCTTATCGATTATGCAAGCCTTTACGAAGCATATAGAAAGTCTAATAATTGCTTAATAGCCGAAAAAGCCGACATTTAATATTCTCTTGCAGGATTTGTATTTTGATATATTAAATGAATCTTTACTAGCAGGATGTCAATACTGCATTCTTCTGATATTGGATTTGCAAGTTTTAATATAAATTTGATACCTATACGAGTGTGTTTAATAAGTTAAATAGACAGCCTCAAGTAAAAATGTAATTCCGAAAAACTAGGATCGACATATATCATAGCATAATACTAAAATTAATAAGATATAGTACTTAGATAAATGAAACGTTATCTCAAACGTGCAACTGGTATATAACAACATTAGAAGAGCAGACAGTGTTATCATTGGAAAATTACTATATACTTTGTTCAATATACTGGTGTATGATATGAAGATGGTCCTCTTTCCATATTTGAGTTGTTCCACAAATTCAAAAAAAAAATCGAACATACTTTCAACTGAGGTGTGCTTGTTATTTTTACACTCTGCAATTTACATTTTGCTTAGATTATCGGATTATGGATCTGCTTTATGGTAACAACAGCTAGTGCGACGTTAGAAACAAAATACATACTCATTAACTGTTTTGTACTTTTTATCATGTTGATTTATCAATCTTTATAAATGTCATATGATTAGTTGTACCATATGGATTATTATAATCCTCTTTCTAAAACGCGCATTGATTATTGAGACAGACGGATACTTTCCGTTAATGAGTTTCCATTTGTAGTAAGCTTAATAATGCGCATATTTGCTGAAGTGCGCCACATGAGAAATTTTATTAAGGTTGTCAAGTTGAATATGATTATAGAAGATCTATTTGAGTTCATATACGAATACACGGTTAGTCTACTACCCAAATATCAATTACATTGATCAAAAATACCTCGATATTGTTTTTTCATCACGTAGACCCATCTACCTTTAGCACCTTTCCATGTTGTCGTGTAACTGATGATGTCGGACTTGGATAATAATGAAGCATACGCCCTTTGACTCAAGTTTTCAACATCAAAGTGTTCCTTTATAATAGCATATTGAACATCTGAGGTTAGGAACAAGTAATCGTAATGGGGGCTTTGAGGGTTGTTTAAAAGAAAAATTTCTTTTGAAAATTTCAATACTTTCGTATTCGATTCGACTGTACAGTATGGTATTAGTCGTTAGATATTTTATTTTGATTATAGCAGCCATTTTTTTTTTTTTTTTTTTTTTTTACTTTTCTTGAAATTTTTCTTGGGTTTTACAATGACGGAAGCATCATCATCGTCGTCGTATTCTTCACTAGAAGTGTCCAATAGATCTTCGGAAAGTTAGTTCTCTTTGAAAGTATATACTGTAGTCAAATTACCCGTTTCTTCATCCGAAAATGGTGGTGTTTCAGGATACGAGCAATAAAGGAAGGGGTTCAACTGTTTAGTAACTTTCCCAATAGCTACGGGAATCATTGGATCGGCATTTTTTAAAAAGGTAACGTCAAAAGAAGACTTTGATATTATCTGCTTAGCCTTCCTACGATTTTTCTCATTTGGTGGCATTGATAAGACAAGACACGATGCTTGTCCAAGAGTTAGTATATCTGTGTTCTTATTGACTGACATGAAAAAAAAAAAAAAAAAAAAAACGTTGAAAGTCGAAAGAGAGGGGTAAAATATGAGATCAGAAAGAAAACTCATTATAAAATAAATTTGAGTACACACCCATAGAGTTTTTCGGACGTTCAAAGCTCAATTTTTTTGGTTAATCTTAATATGGACATTGTCGGGTTATAGAATTTTTTGTATTTCGGTGGAACCGTTTTTGCCAAAATAAAAATGGTTCAAATTGTTTAAAAATAATTATTTTGATTGGATAGAATTATAGGCTTAAAATGTAGATTTTATTTAAAAAAAAATAATGGATGGCTTGGATGCCATACAGCCTTGCCAGCCATTGGAAATCCCTTCAGGATGGTGTAAAAAATGCATAAATTTAATCCACTACTCCCAGAAGACTGTAAGACAGTATGCATTGTTCTATAGAGCATGTATAGCCAGATGCGTACAACAAACCTATAAAAAAATAGTTAGTAAATGATACTGGAATAGTTGAATAAAAATCACTTTACCTTATTTCTTGTGCCGTTCAGAGTAATCCGTATTTGACTAAAGAAGTATGAACGTTAATGCATGTTGTTTGTACACGAAAAGCAATAGACTTACCTCACTTCATTACGCGTTAAATCTGTTATAAAAAATTTTTTTAGTCTTCATTTGAACAAAAAAAAAAGTGCTAGCAATATACCTTCCACATAGATGGGTCAGTTATGAGTGTACTATTGAGCATAAAAGTGAAAAACTATAAGATAGATAGCTTTAGCGTTTATAAAGGGAATAAGAGAAAATAACTTACCAAGTTAAAAAGTTAAAGAAACGGAAAGAAAGACATGAAGAAAAAAAAAGAAGCTAAAAGAAAAAGAACCTGCTGGAAATAGCTGTAGTTCAAAATTCTGGTCTAAACCTTTGCATATAAAAAACCTCTAAGTCAAAAAAAAAAAAAACTATATCTCTATCTCTTTTACTTCCTGAATTATGAATACTCAACCTGAACAAACCAACGAAACCGAAAACCCCTATCGTTGCGATTTCAATGAATGTGGCAAGCGCTTCCGGCATCCAAGCGCCCTTACACGTCATAAAAAATCACATAAAATTACCGAAGCCTTCACTTTTAAGGCACCCATTACCCCAAGCAACACGGCCTTCAGGCGAGTGAATGGACCAGAAGTTACTGCATTACCTGAGTCGATTAGATCTACTCGCATCAGTCTGGATCGTATGGTGTTTCATCAAGAGGACGAATCTGAATGCCAAGATTACAGTGACGAGGAAGACGACGAGGACGAAGATGAACCTTTTGATGAAGACATTGAATTCACTGAATCCATTGTTGATGAACCGGAAGCTGTAGTCGACGAAATCGAGGATCAAACACCCATAGTTGTCAACGGCGAGTTTTTTCCTTTCAGGGATAAGATACATCAATTGATGTATCAATTCTATTATCGGTCTGGGGGTGACATATCTCAAAGTTTGATGAAAGATATTGTGAAGCTTGTCAAGGACGTCACTGAAGCCAAGGTTGCCTATCCCGAAGCCAAAGTACCTGCAGCTGATCTCATATTCAACTTTGATGATTCAAGAAGAACAAGAAACCAGATTCCCTTGCTCAGACAGACGAAGCACTACGTCAAGGTTCAGAAAAAGGTGAATGGTCAAGAAGTCGAAGAAGATCTCCCGTTCTATATGAATCCTCCCTCCGAAGTCTTGAAGTTGTTGGTTGCAAACCCTTCTGTCACTGATCATTTATCAAAACTTCCTGATCATACAGAGGGCGAGCTTGTCGATAGTTACCAGTCGAACAAATGGCGTACCCACAAGATGTTTCAACATCCAATGGTCTCTGTCATAATCAACAACATCCCAAAGGATATCTGGGTTGGTGATCTGATCAAAACAGGTCAAACTTTTGTGATTGTGGAGAGGTTTTATACCTTGAATCATTCAATCGTTATGGCTGAAGGTTACCAAGTTCTTCCCGTTGATGGTAGGTTATACCTCCACAACATGCCCAGGAAAGTTTCTGTCGAAGTGAATCTCATTTCAAGCATTTTGTGTGATCGCCCGGAAACTTTGTCATTGGATTTCGAACGTAATGTGCTGGATGACTCTAATCTCCTTAGAGCTTCTAGTACCATTATTAGTAGATTGAAAATGCCAAATCCTTTGAAGCGCCCCTCTCCTTCTTCTGCTCGTAAATTCAAGCCCGTTAAGGTTATTCCCCTGAATTTCTTTACTGATGATATGAGTGGAAATCGAACCAAGAAACACAACAAGTTTGATAGTTGGATTATGGTACCCGCCGCTTTGCCTCTTGCTGAACGACATGCACTTGAGAATACAGCCTTCATCTGTACAGATCATTTGCTGTCAGCAATGCAAATGCTTCCTGCTATTGTTGAAGATCTTTTGTTGTTGGAGAAAGGTGTGGAGATGTTTTTGCCTGGTGGTGAGGCTGTCGTTGTCGTTGCTCCGTTGCAATTTATCACTGCTGATAATGCGCGTCATTCGGAGCTTGCCTCTAGTCGCGGTGCCATTTCAAAGATGCCATGCCGAAAGTGTGTTTGGGAATTAAAAACCCCAGCTCGACTTGATGGCAGTGATTATCGTTGTGACCCTCGCTCTGAAAAAGTGGTTGCAGATATGTACGCGCGATATTTGGCTTCTGGCGGTGACAAGACTTTGTTGGTAAATGTCGATACTGGTTACAAACTTGTTGGTGGTCAGGCTCTGGTAGACCTTCAATCGTTCGATACGATGTTGGATTGTCCAATCGAGCTCCTTCATACGATAATGCTTGGTGTCGGCAAAGCCTTGGTAAAAACATTGTTGCAAGACCATCTGAATCCAACTGAGAAAAGTATCCTCGAAACAAGATTGCATGGTTACGTTAGCAAAGGGTTTACCCGAAAGCTGCGTTCATCATTGCGTCTTCATGGATCTTTCTTAGGTAGGGATTACAAAATCCTCGTTCAGCAAGTACCAATTCTGTTGAATCAATTGATCTGTTCTGGTGAAATTCGACGTGATGACGGTGTTCTCTTGATCAAGACCTGCTTTGAAAATTTGGGCAAGTTAGCTTCGCTTTCTTATATCAGCAAAATCAAGCATAAGTCTGATTCGTACCTGAAGTATGTGGAGTTCACTTACAATGATCTTCGTGTCTCGGTGATGGAGCATGATGCTTACATGAAGCGAAAGTATCCTAACAGAAGGGGTGGCTCCGTTTATAACTCCAGTAAAATGCACATCATGCATCATCTTGTTGATGATATTTATCGATTTGGATCCCCAATCTTTTATGAAACTGAGAAGGGTGAGCAATTTAATAAATTCATTCGAGAGTGTCTGTTTCGTACCAACAGACATAATCCTTCAAGAGATGCCGCTGTTGCTTTTGCAAAGAGGTTGATGGCTCGACATGTATTGACTGGTGGTTCTTGGTTGGTGGCAGGCCAGGATTATCCAGTTAAAGCTTCAAACAAAGTCCTCGAGGTTGCTGTGTCCTTCAAGTCTACTATTAGAGACTTTGTTGATAATGACGATGATGACAAGACCATGAAAGTTGGCTCAACCGGAATTTTTCAAAACGGAAACAACCTCTTTATCGGTGAAGTCGTCAAAATCGATGCGTTGACTGGTGCTCCCACCATCGTTGAATACGCTCTTTGGTGTGAACGTGGACCTGTGACAAGATTTGAACTTCTAAGCCAGTCCGACGGTTTAAACTCCTGCGTTTATTACGTTTGTAACAAAGACAATGGAGGAAATCTTGTTGTTGAAAAGCTGTTGCGGACGAAGTCGACATACAGAGAAACAGAGTGTCAGTTCGTGGAGATGCTTGATTTTTCAAGAAAGATGAACCCTCGTTTCAACTTAATCAACACCAGCAAGTTTGGCACCTTCTGGTGGGCATTGTCTCATAAAGTTAAAAATTTATAAAATTTGTCTTAATAAAAAATCATGTTCATGTACATGTTAATTTCGCCATGTTAATTTTTACTTAGAAGTTTTTTTTTTTTTTTTTTTTTTTTTCGTTATTTCATTGGATGAAATGATTTTAAAAGCATAATTGTTTCCCAGAAGAGACTATCTACAAATTGAGCTAAGAAGATTTGGTGGGCTGGCTATTTTATTGGACGAAAGATTTTAAAAATAAAGTTTACATTCAGATGAGGGCACCTTACTATATAAGTTGAGGAGACTCAGTTGGTGTGTACTGTCAAAATCGATAATTCTCAAAATTGGTGATTCCTTAACAAGAAATGATTTAGTTTTAGACAGCCTATTCCCTAAAGAATTGATCAATTATCTAATTTTCACAAGCACAAAATATATATCCTTTTGTAATAATTATAAACGTTACAGACGTATGCGCAAGCCACACTCTGTTATTGGAGTACTGATTCACTAATAAAAGATCAATGATCAGCCAAAGTTATGTTGTAAATATATCACAAAATCAGACCTAAATAAACGCTTTTTCTCCCTCTCAGCTTGAATTCTCTTTTAGCTGGATATATAAAAAAGTGACTCTTGCTTCGTATTACTTTGTAAGAAAAACCGCTCCCCTTCATCTATCCAAATATCTTATCTCTGTAACGAAAATAAGCTATTGCTTACTAAAAATTACGAACCGATGAACAATAGGCTATGAAAAGGTTTCACTCAACTGTCATGGTATGACAAAAACTCAGAATTTGTTTAAAATTTCTCTTTAGTCAGCAGCCATATTATTGGCCAAAGTAATTTGGATGTCCCTATAAAAAACACATTTTCATTTTCGCAACCATTTTCCCTTTTCTTTTTCTCTTCACCCATTCTTACAATAATGAACAATCTTCGCTCATCCCTTATTAAGGCCCGTATTGGCAATCGTTCTTTGGCTGCTAATAGCTCCATCGTCGGTGCTACTAGTCGTGTTGGCGGTGTTCGCCTCTCAATTATGCAAAACCGTGCTTATTCTTCCGATCGTCCCAGAAAAGGAGGAGCTGGAGGCCTTAAACTTTTAAGTAAGCATAAATATGTGAAGTGTAATATTCTTTTAACCATTCCTTTATAACAGCCTTGCTTGGTCTCGGTGGAGCTGCAGGATACTATTATAATTCTACTCAGTCTTTCAAGACGAAGACTGCCCCAGTCACGGAAACTGAGACTAAGAGTAAGACTGCCCCTGCTGCAAAGACAGAAAAGAAAAACATTGATTACCAAAAGGTGTATAATGATATAGCAGAAATGCTTGATGAGGACCCAGAGTAAGTCTCTTTTGTGCTGTTGTCGCGTCCTTTTTTTTTTCACACAATTGTGGGAATAAAAAGTTCCGTTTTAAGGGATGTTTGTTTAATTTTTTTTTGACATCATTTTAGGTACGATGATGGATCCTATGGCCCCGTATTGTTTCGTCTTGCATGGCATTGTTCTGGCACCTATGATAAGGAAACTCAAACTGGCGGAAGTAATGGTGCTACCATGAGTAAGTGAAGAAGCCTCATTTTTATGAATTGTATGGATAACTAAACATGTGATTTAGGATTTAAGCCTGAAGCCACTCACAGCGCAAATAATGGTTTGGATATTGCCCGTGATTTATTGGAGAAGATCCACCAGAAATACCCTGAAATCAGTTATGGTGATCTTTGGACCTTGGCAGGTGTTTGTGCTGTTCAAGAATTGGGCGGTCCTACTATCCCTTGGAGAGCTGGTCGTCAAGATGCTTTAGAGGCTTCTAAATGCACACCAGATGGTCGTCTTCCTGACGCCACAAAAAAAGAGGACCATGCTCGTGATGTCTTTCATAGAATGGTATATGTTACACAAACATACTCTAGTCTCGGACACGTTGCTAAATATATTTTGAATAATAGGGTATCAACGATCGTGAAATCGTTGCTTTAATTGGTGGTCATACTTTAGGCCGCTGTCATCTTGATCGTAGTGGATTTGATGGACCATGGCAAGAGGCTCCTACTTTCTTTAGCAACGAATACTACAAGGCTTTAGCTAACCGTACATGGATTAAGAAGAATTTGGAAAGCGGTCAATGGCAATGGGTCGATAAAGACAATACTGTTGTAATGATGCTGCCTATTGAACTCTCCATGTATAATGATAAGGGATTCAAGAAGTACTACGATTTATATGCCAAAGATCAAGACGTATTTTTCAAGGATTTTGCAGCTGCTTTCAAGAAGCTTATTGAATTAGGCGTTCCTTTCACAGGTGATGAGAAGGTTTACGAATTCAAGAGAACCACCGAATAAGCATTCCTTGTTTTTACTTTTTTTTTTTATAAATTAAAAGAAAAAAGCTTTATTTATTGAATTTATTATCATAACTCATTTGGTTTGACTTTTGCCATTTTGACTCTACTTTTTTTTGCGGACCGTAAGTTTAGTCCTTTATTTCGGGTGTCCAAAAATATAGTTTTAGCATCATGCCGTATAATACATTTTATATAGGTTTAATAATCGAAAAGGTAATACTCTTAATTCTGTAACCCTTTCTAATTTTTTGTCATACCAGGTAATTACCGGATACTCACACATCAATGGGAATTGTTTGGAAAACTTCGACTTACCATTGCTTGTTCATGTTTTAATTTTTTTTTCTAAAGCATCAAGATTCTTTAACCAACGTAGTAGCTTGCTATTGGCTGTTACTCATTTCCAAATTCCACTAAAAGATGAAGATATTCTACAATATGGGGACCATAGCTGACCATACTAAAATATAACGTGTTTAAATGAAACTTCCCAGTCGTACATCTAGTAAAGTGATGTACCAGCACCATAATTAACCAAAAGGTGACACTGTGTCACATTTAGTCCTGTTGCATAAGTCAACTAATATGTTACATATTTTTTTAAAAAAGGGGGCAAGAGAAACTTCATTTGTGACCCCATCCTTCGAAATGTATTTTTTCCCTTTCTTTCCCCCATCACTTTTTATCCTTTCCCTGCAAATATGTCAACCGTTTCCTTCCAAAACGAATCTTTACCTTCATTTGAACCTTTAGAACATGCTCCCCAAAAGAGAAAGAGAGCTAATATGAAAGATGTTGATAGCCAGCCCGTTATTAAAAAATCTAGAGGTAGGTCCTGTCTATTCTCTTTTGTACCTTAAGTTTTAAGTATAAACTAATGCCTATCTACAGCCAAAAGATCCGTTGCCAACACACCATCTGTAATCATTCAAAATTGTAATATAATTATTTGTTTTCTAATGCACATTACTAGAATAAATCAGCTGTTTGGATCGGTGCCACACTAAAAGAGGAGAACGGAATCTTTTCTGCTGCTTTCAGTGTTTATTATGGTCTGAATGATGCCCGCAATTGCACAGAGAAAGTTGTTCTTCATCAAGACCAAAATTTGGACCATGTGTATGCCTTGGTTAGTTTATACAGATATTTACTCTATTGCATTTTAATTAAACTTTTAAAAGGGAGTCATTCGTGCGCTTGAAATCTGTATGGATGATGCTTGTATCTTGAGCATTCATACCGGTAGTAAACTCCTCGAGGAAGGTAAAATAGTATAACCCACCTTGATTCAAACATTAGATAGCTGTAGACTAATTTCTCTGTTAAAAAAAATAGCAATAAATTTAGAGCTGAAAGATGACAGTGAAATCCTTAATCAAGTCTTAGAAACAATCTCAAAGAGAAAGGGTAGCACATCCATCGTAAGTCTGCCAGTGTGACACAAAAAGTAGCACTTATCATTGATTATATTTCTTTTAATAACAGCGTTACAAAGCGAGTTCATCAGATAAACAAGATGAATATAATGTTTCTCATGATATGGCAAAAGATAAACTTTTAGAAAAGTGAGTGTGTAGCCAAATATGTGCTTGCAATGTGCATTAAAATTTCTTTTTTTAGCGATATGATGATCGATGAGGACGAAACTTTGGTGAATTCATTAGAAATGAAAGAAAGCAAAATAGAAGTGACCACTACCAAAATAGAAACAGTTATTACAACAATACATGAAGAGAAAGTTCAAGAAGACGTAGTGCAAGAGAAAATCACAGTGACGGTTGTAGAGGAAGAGTCCACCAGTTCTTCCGCCAAATTGGAGCCCATTGCTGCTCCAAGTTGGGCTTATGCACTTGGTCTGCACAACCTTTTGGATATATTAAAAGCCCCTTTTAGCCGTAAAAACAAGCAGCAATAATCTTCTTTCTCACTCATTACCTCCCTCATATCAACATATATAAATTAAATTAATAAAACAAAACCATTTTTTGTGCTTACAGCCGCTAGTTTAATAAATTATTTGAAACCGCGTTGTATCGTGGTGACTGATTTTATGGGACTATTTATTTGAATAAATTTTTTTTCTCCAAAGTTATAAAAACTGCATCCCCATGCACAAATTCTTTTTTCCCTACATTAGAGCTTAAAAGGTAAAGTAATCATTTTCAAAAAGTTTTTCTGTGGGATTTGTTTTTTTTTGGGGATGAGATTGAGAATATAGAGTCAAGCACTGAGACTTACCCTACGAAGGTATACACGATGTTAACCATATTCGCTGATAAAAAAAACAAATCTTTACAAAAACAAAAATACATATTTTTTACCATTTGTTCTAAATATTAATATTTTTATTTTTTCATTAGATTTCTTTTTGGTTTAACTAGTGTTTAAAAATACTTTTTTTTTGTAATAAATAATTTTTGTATCTTGTAAACTTTTTTTTCTTCTCCCATATTTTATTAATATGGGACGGTTGTTCCCAGGTTTTGCTTCTTGGCGAGTTCCACCATTAAGCCAGAAATTGCGCTGTCTTGGACACTAATACCGACGCTCTTGAAAAGGGAGATTTTTGTGACATCAGGTTTGACATTGTCTAAGAAAAGATTACCCATTTCAATCCAATCTTCAGACTTGGAAGATTTAACGAGTTCACCAGCTTCATGAGCACAAGCACCTACGGAATCAACTACAATAGTTTCTGCTCTCTTGACAGTCTCAGCATCAACTTCATGCATATCCATTCTGTAGGAACCAACACAGTTCAAATGGACACCGGACTTTAACCACTTTCCAAAGAGAACTGGCTCAGTGGCATTTGTGCAGGTACATACGATATCAGCATTTTGAACTTCATTCTCCAATTCCTCATTAGCAGATACAAAGGTACGAGTAGGATAGGCCTTTTGGAGCTCTTTAATGAGCTCGAGTCTACGCTTTTCACCTCTGTTCCAGATAGAGATTCTTTCTAAGCTAGGACGAACAGCAATCATCATATCAACATGAGAACGGCCTTGAGCACCTGCTCCAAAGACAACAAGGTTTTTGGATTCGGGATTAGCATAAAGACGTGTAGCCAAACCAGAACCTACAGTTTGATTTAGAAACGAAAAAAAGGAATACTTGATTTGTGATTTTTACCTGCGGCAGTACGAACGGCTGTCAAAGCGCCTGCGTTCATGACAGCTTGGACACAACCTGTGCTTTCATCCAAAACAAGAATAGTAGCGGGCAAACCGCTGAGACCTTCCTTTGTAGGGACACTAACGATCTTGATGGATGTAGTAGTATCTAAACGAGAAGGCATAAACAAGACTTTATGAGAGTCGGTAGAAATACCGATACGTTGAGGAGACTGTGCCTGCAAAGCCTTTTCTTCATCGTCATGACCTTGAGTGAACTTTACAAATGTCGTTTGCATCAAGTCAATAATTTCGTTTGCAACTCTGGGGTCACCTTGTGACAAGAGAGCATCGATATCAGTTTGGGATAAGATAAGAATATTAGACATGTTTTTGTTTATTGAAAAGAGTAAGAGAATCTGTTAGCTCGGTTTTCAAGTGCTAAATAGTTCCCACCATGCTGTAAGGAAAACAAGGGTATTTGATTGGCCAAAGCTTATAAATAAATAATCCCAAAAAAGTCAGTTCCATTTTTTCATTTTCTTTTATTCTTTCTATCATGTCTGCAACTTTAAATGATCAAGTGGTCCAACTCGTGTTTGGGCTGGCCAACATGAGCGTGGATATACCCTTTACAAGTGTTTCTTTACCTGTACTCGACGTGTTGTTTGCTGTATTGATCCATTACTCTTATCGATCTGCTTTAGGCGTCTCACACAGTCAAGTGGGCTGGTACCAAGGATTGTTGGCGACGTTAGTAATGGCTACTGGTGGTGGATGTACGGTTGCAGTATTGAGAGGTGAGCCTATTGGTATTCTTAAGAGTAACCAGTTTTGGGGTATTCACTGGTGAGTTAACGAAAAAAAAAGTGAGATAACAGGAGAGAAATGGGTTATTTATCATGCATCACGTTTTTAGTACCACCTATCTCGCCATGTTTTCCAACCCATACGTTTATCAGCTGGTTGATTTCTTATTTACGATACCCGTTGTTGAACATGTTTTTACTTTGTCCGATAGTGTTTTGCGTACTTTGGCCATGATCCAGGTTGGAATTGAAGGTGTCGATTCAAACCCAGCTCTCGGAGCAGATAAATTCGTAGCCAAAGTGTTGTGCGGCACTTTAGCTGGCTGTGGTGGCGGTTTATGGATCGGTAAGTTATTTTTATATTTTCGTGTAAAATATATATAAAAAAAAAACTTATTTCTTTCTTTCTATAGATGCTTTTCGCTTAAATCAATCCAACTGGTCATTCTCTACCCCAAGACTTTTACATGTTGCTAGTATTGATATGAAGATTTCCTTTGCTACTTCATTGTTTTATATTGGCGCCACAACTCCTGCGTTTGTTGAATATTTAAGTTTACCCCTTTTGAAGTCACAAGAGGCTGAAGCATGGAGTGTTGTTTTATTAACTTCAGGTTTAGTCTATGGCTCTTATAGCAGTAAGTGGGCAAAACAAGCAAAGGCAGTTCAGGATTTAAATGAAAAGACGGAAAAGTCAGAGTGAAAAATAAAAATAAATTTCCGAAGAAAGATATATTTTCAATTTTCTTTTCCTTTTCTTTCTCTCTTTACCCCTTTTCATATTTCATATATCAATATGGGAAGTAGTCTATCTAAAGTGAGTTGTGCCGATATTTCGATTCATCCTAAAAAAAGTCATAAATCCTTTCGTCGTCATGCGGTAAGAATAGACAAAACGAAAATTGGTGTGCCCACGGATTTTAGAGCAAGTATTATCACATTGGCTGGTTTGAAAGTGAACCTCGTATTAATACTCTTCTTTTTTCCTTTGTCTATTAGCATACATATCATGTCGGTAAGAAAAGCATTAAACAGCTTTAAATATTCCTCGTATTAACACTCCCATTTTCAGGAAACGGAAGCCCTGTCATGGACGAGGTAAGATTATAGATACAAAGACAAAAAAAAAAAGAAAAAAAAGAAAACTAACATCCATTGACTATAGTTTACAGAAAACTCTAGTATGAATAAGCCAGGAAGCATCGTGAGCGAAACTGATTTTATGGCAACCATGGCTCAAATCACAGATGCACTCCAAAAACTTCCTCTACATACCTCGTCAGCTTATTACAGTCCTAAAGTAACCACTTCACGGATCGGCAATAGTATGAGTGATCAACAAATTATACCCCGGCGTTCAATTTCTTTACTCAACAGCCAAGAAACAATTGAGGCCTCTGCATCCATGATTATCCAGCCATGCAAAGAAGATCACATCCAATTTAGCGAAAAGGAACGCAATGTACTGCAGATGACAAAGGCTACCTCGGTACAATTAATTGAAAATACTACAAAGCCACCATTGGTTACTCATCACAGTGATAATAATAATAGTCCGTCGTCATTGAAACAATACCAGCTGGAAACGACGACATCTGACACAACAGGAGGTTATTATGATTTTAGTTCTTGTCTTCAAAGTAGAATTGACGCTCAAATTGTTGAATTGGCAAGAGCCAGATCAAAGAACAACAAGTCGAATCGATCTCCAGTAAGTAAAATTTTGTTTATTGTTGTGATTTTATGCATTCTAAAAACCTTATCTAGAGGAATAATTTAGTGATGGATAAACCAACTGTGATGATATAAAGTGGTATAATAATAAATAAATAAATTCAAATATTCGATTATTTGGGCATGCGTGGGTTTTTGGTACATGTTGACACCAAATGAGATTTCCAGTCAGTTTCGTTAGCTTTGCTCATATCTTTTTGACAATATGGACAACGATACTGTTGTGGCGATGTAGCTAAAATTCCTTGTGTCAGTTACTTTTTCTTCTCTCATTTCCATCGTTACTCCCGAAACTAACCTGTACACGTCTTTTTTTGGGTATGTTGTAACCATTGTTCTACAGGAATCGATTCTCGGCAGTGAGTGCATGGCTTAACTAGATGCTTGCGTTCACAATCTTTTCTCAAATGATCTCTCATGGTAGATACTTCTACAACCTACTTGAATGTTTAATAATCTCGAGTTTTAAAAGAACTAGGTTGACTTACAATTTGACACATGGGACAGTTTGTCAGTACGGGACAGTCGTTATAGTAATGTGATATAAGAGTATCTTCGTTGAAATCAGCATCTTCTTCATCACAAAAGATGCACACGTTTCTATATAATTGATCAACATCGACAAACAAAGCCACGTTTTTTTTAAAAAAAACTTACGTTTTTTCTTCGTCCTCTTCCTCAATAATTTTTGGTGCCTTTGCAGCAGCCTAATACATAAACAATGTAAATATTTATTGTTGTGAATGCGTAATGGCACGTATATTACCTTTTTCGTTGAGCCCGTACTACTTGCAGGTTTTTTGTCTATGAGATATCTCGGATCATGTTAAAAAAGGAATTGCCGGACTGTGAGAAATGCGTACATACCGTTTTTCTTTGCAGACTTGGATGAAGTATTTGATTTCACAGCTAAAGCTCTCAATTCATTTACAGTGGTAGAAGTAGAGGACATGATTGTCTTTTTCTTTTCAGACTTCTTTAATTCCTACATTCGTACGTTAAAAAAGGTGTTAGAGCCACTTGTTTTACGCCCTCTCTTTCGTTCGTTATTACCTGGCTAAGTAGTTTTACTGTGTCATTTTCCAAAAAGGTGCAGATAGCCTTAAAGTCGGCGCCTTGCTGATGTTGTGCAACTACAACTAACAGATCCCAAGTAGACTTTCGAACATCTGCATGAGGGTGATTTTTCAAGTAGGAAGCAATAAATGTCATGACATCCTTTCGATGAAAGCTCGCATCGGTCTTCCAACGAGGGATAAGTGTCTTTTTAACAATAACCATAATCAAATCAATACGAGCCTTTGCATCCTTCATGTTTCGGATCATACGCTCCTTAAAGCAAAGAGGGGTTAAGGATGTGTATGTTTCAATGAGTTCCAGAATACTTTTGGTAGCCGTAATTTTGATTCCAGGATTATTATCACTCGTTCTAATGAGTACACGAGTGAAGAACTTTTCAATCCAATTAAGAATTTTGCTGTTACTATGTTCTAATAATTGGTCTAGAACAGAAAGTTAGCTCAAACAGAAAAATGATAGGATTCTTCTTTTCCCTTACCTTCTAGTTCTTTCCAGGTTTGAATAGCTTGGTTAAAGATGGATTCTCTTGAATCTGTTACCGCCTCACCAATCATTAGGAGTGATGCTTGGATAAACTCTAAATCTTGATCCTCCTTTTGCCCAATCAACAGGGATAATTCATTTAACCCGATTTGTCTACATTTAACCTTTACACTCATGATGCAGGCAACCAGATCTTGACCGAATTGCTCAATGGGTAACTCACAAGATTCAATATCATCATCTGATAAAGGCTCTGGAATTGTTTCAGGGTCCACTATTTGCTTCTCTACCACTACCTTTTTCTCAGTTTGTTGGATAGGAATGGTTGCAGACAACAAGGATGGACTTCCTTCATCATTCTTATTAATAGACAAGGCATCAAAACTAGTCCAGTTAGCAATAGCTTCATCTAATAATTGATCCGGATGAGCGGAAGAAGATTGATTTAGCTTTGATTCTGGGGAAGAAACATCAAGGGATTGTAAATCAGGGATAGCATTCTAATGCGTGGAGAGTTAGTTTCTCGTTTGATGCGCGTATTGTTCTATTTTTTTTTTTTTTACCTCCATCATGTCTTCCTCTTCACTGTTATAAATTGAGGAACTGTTCATGGTATCAAAGGGCAAAATATCGCCATCTCTCGTGATTTGGATCCCGGAATGTTTCAAGAGAGATTCAGCATTTTGTCTGACCTGAACCATATCTGCCTAAAAATAGAATTTACCCGTTCAGAGAGGCACTTATCATGACTAAATATGTGTAGTATTTTCTACCTTGATTTTATCCGCTTCGTCGTAATCTTTTGCACTCACGGCTTGATGTTTGTCATTCTCCAATTCGACCAAGAATTTATAAAGTCCCGTCAATCTATCACCCAATTCCTTGTAAATCTTTGCCTCTTTAAAGTCTTCATCTAATTCGGAATATAAGTCTAATTGCATACAAGGGCGTCTTCTGTATTGTTTTTCTCTGCTTACCTTGAGCAGATTCTTCTTCTGCATTTTGGATCACTTGAATCCAATGTTCTAAATTAAAATCGTGGTGTAGTGTCGATCTTTGTTGCACCTAATCATTAAAAGTCAGATTATGCCCCTCCCCAACAAATAAAGAAAAACGCGTGGGCCTCTTACCTCGTTTGTGATACTTTGGTGACGATATTGCTCAGCCGACGCAAGCTCATCCAAACAAACGGCATGACCAAGAATATTCAATGCTAATAGGCCAACCTGTCAAATTAATGTTAGTTATATGATGAAGATCCTTCTCTCCTTTCTATTTTATTTTTCCCCTTTGCTCTTTACCTGCTTGTGAATATTTAATTTGTTCTCATGACAACCTTTAATCACAAGTCTGATGTATTCACAATCCGCCTGGATTTTGATCGACTTGAGCTCCCGGTCTTGAAATCTATCGTTATTAGCAAGCCCCACAAATCTAACCTAGAAGCGTTAGAACTGTTGTATTCAGTAACGGTTTTTGTTTGTTCTTGGCGTACCCCAGTCTTGTAAACTGAACAGACATTGAATCATGTTCTTGCTCTTTTGTGATGCCAATATAAAGATCAATGCGAGAAGCAATCTTGTAATGATGTGATAGTATCTGAACTTTAGAGATACGACAAAGTCCTGATTTAAATCGTAAAATTAAATCCTGTGGATATTCTGGAAACCTAATTTTTTTTTTTTGTTGAGTTGAATTCAAATCAGGCCCGACTTTTAATAATACCTTTGTGTCTGCCAACCACGATGACTGACGTTTTGGAAAGGATCTGAGTTGTTTCCTGCATTAGACTCAAGGAGATGTTCAGGTTCATAATCCTGTTCACTTGATGAGCAATGAGCAATCTCAAAAGGAATAGATTCCATCGTTTTTTTTATATATATATATTAAAAGAAGGGAAAAAGGACGAAAAAAAAAAAAAAATAACAAGCAGGGGCAAAATTAACTTGATAAAAACCCAAACCTCGTGTAATTTAACCCAAATTTCTTTAGATACACGTTTTAATAAATAGCAGACTCGAACAATGATAATTTCCTTTCAGTTCATGTTATGAATATAAAAAACGCGTCGGAAGAACTTTTGCCGAAGTAAACCTGGATCTCAAATCTTTGTAGATTACATAAGATCTTTTTGGTACATATAGAAAAAATAACCGATTAATGAGCCGCGTCTAAGAGAATGATAATCCCGGAGCCAAGACAGACAAATGCATACATGTTAAGAGACAAAGAAAAAAACAAAGAAAAGCTCAGTCAACTGTTCTCACACGTGGCTGAGCCAGTTTTTGATCCGTACATTTGCATACATATCAAACAAGTATCTTTTTTTGCGCAAAGAGTAAGTGCATTATCAACTTTCAGATGCCAGAAGGAGAAAAAAAACATCATTCGGTTTCTAATCAAAATTAGTCATTTTAGATTGCGCATAAATCATAATTGATACGAGCAATTCCTCACTTTAGGTGATGTGTTGGGTTACATACATATAACCGACCCGTCTTGGTGATAAGCTCGTCAAACAGGGACAATGTGGCGGCGTAGTAAAAAAAAAAAAAAAAAAAAAAAGAGGCACCTTGAAATACCGGGCAATGAATCTCCCTTTCGTGTTATATAAAAGGGAAGCAAATTCTTTTTTTTTTATTTTATCCAAACATTTTTAAATAAACATCATGGTCGAATTACTTCAAAAGAAACCCTTTACCTTGAAGAGTCTTGTACGTAGTAACAAAAAGGAGCAGGTGTCACCTATTATCACGACATCTGTCGCAAGATACAATGATCCTTATATGCCACATATACCACAACATTCACATTCTACTCCTTGCTTGTCTCGTCCGGCTCGTCGCAGTGTTAATTTCTCCACACCCCAATTGGTTACACACCGTGAGCGCCAATCCGTTTCCTTGGAAGCTCAGCATATTCATCATCATCATTATTATTATCTCAGCCCTCCAACCTCTCCCACAACCGATTACCCACCTTTATCTCCTCCACCCCTTTCACCTACCACACCTGGTCATTCATGGAGAAACATCCGTCGTTCTCCTAACTGGCAGCCTGCTGCTTCCATCACAAGCTCGGAAGACGATGATGACAATGAGCCACTGGGTCTTCATGTCGTAAAACCGTTCTCCCTCCTAAGTGATACAAGCGAAGACGGTGATGATGAACTGATCCCAATCGCTCGTCTATCCATCTCTACCACTGTTCACTTATCGGCTGCCGAAAAATACAAGGCAAAAGTGAGGGCAAGGCTTCATATGGAAGATTCAGTTTCCATTCTCTAAATATATATCACCTGTACCTTACCTTACTTCACTTTTATACATATCATACTCATACCATCAATAAAATTTATAAATTGTCACTCTCACTCCCTTTTATCTCTGTTTATCATCACGTGAAATTGTTTGAGCGCCAACGCCAAAAAACAAACAAAAGTAAAGTCTACACACTTACGTCTACACCTATTCATTTTCATGTCTGAATTATATCTTTGGTTCATGTCCAAATGTAATGATAATTGGTTTGATTTCATAAAATGAACTTATCATTGCTGGTAGATAGTGTTGAATCATTGATAAATAATTTGCAAGTGTGAAGCATCATATGCATGTAAATTAATCGATGATCTCAACCTGACGTAAACCAAATCTTGTTTATCATTCCTAAATAAAACATTCACACACTTTTTTCTCTCTCTCTTCCTTTCTCTTACTACCTTTTTTTTTTGAAAGTCTTTCATAATAATAAAAAATACCGTGTCTTATGAAAAGGTTAGTTTATAATGGACTATATTTTAAAGAAAATTCTAAATCCTGACAATCATGGCAATAAAGTACAAAAAATATGGTTTTCTACTACATGAAAAGATGCGTTCTGGTTCTCGCAAATAATTAGCTTTAGGTGAACTATATCACCCGATTAAAGCTACACTCCCAAACAACCTGGCTCTTTGAAAAATGTATCGCAAAACATCATGGGTAATGTTATATCTTGTACCATTATTCGATGGGGACGGGCTTCTCAAGATTTGTTTCCAGATTTAAACTGGATTTAATGTAAGTCGCAAATATCATTCAAGTCAAATTTTTATTCAGTAAGATTAACAAAAACACGTTTCTATTATAGACATCACAAAAAATATGGTGTTTCTAACTTTCACGTGTCAAAGGTTTGGAAAAACACCTATCCTTATTTTTTTTCCTTCCTTTACCTTGTTGTGCGCATTGCAAGACGTCTGTCGGCTTTACGGATTTAAATACAATTTGAAAAATTACAACAAACTCGTTTGATTCCAATGTTAATTGTACGCGGTGACCCTACTTGTCCCATGACAATCTCACGCTTGAGGTATGAAAAGGAACCATGGTGGTTTTTTCTTCTTGTTGGACACAGTGGTATAGTACCATCAACGCCGCCACCAACGCCAACAGTTTCAGCACTACCAGCATCACTACCAACGCCAACAGCGCCACCACCACCACCACCACTACCACCACAAGAAAATGAAGGCAGTGATTTAAGCAGAAAAAGCAGCTCTTTGTCATCTGTTATCTTACTTGGTTCGGTTGCCCCTTCCCACAGGGCTATATTAGACTTTTTGAAGGAAATAATGCCCTTGGATCCCATCCAAGACATTACGACAGAAACCTTCCTTACCGAAGAAGCAATATCTACTCTTGTCGTGACCTATCTCCCAGATGGCGCAGTCAAGAAAAGTCAACTTGCTGAGTGGATGGCGAAAGATGGTGCGTGGGGTGTGACGAAGAAGAGGGGCACATCGGATGGAAGAATACAAGGCCGTCAGTACAATCTGGTGAAGGAGTCCTTTCGTGACTACAGATGGGAAGACTTTTCAAACGTTCACCAATTCCGTAGGCATGTAAAGGTCACAAAGGATACCATTATGACAATCGGCTACATCAGGCGAAGCAACACCACGGACTGTCTCGGTTCAAAATTAAAATCTTTGCAACTACAGTCCGTGAAACTCATGAAGAAATTGCTTTGTGAGAAAGTCTTTGGGTCTCTAAACACTTCGTCAAGTTCTGACATCATTTCAAGGGACTACAATGATGACAAGAAATGGCTTGACGAAGTTACAAACTGCATAGGAAACACCCAAGACATGATCGACGAATTGAACATCTGTTCAAGGAAGATTCGTTTGGTCACAATCGACTTTGCTGGCCTTTGTACTAATCCTGATTTTTTGCGTCGTTTTTTCAAGGCTAACAAGATTGTTGTGGAATTAGTCGTAGATTTAGGTCATAAAGTTGATATGATCAATCATCGACAGTTATTCAAAGAGGTTGATACCGTATCAGTGTTCAATTGCTGTAAATCGTGCACAACAAGATCACTGTAAGAAAAAAATAAAAAAAATAACGCAATCCGTGGCGCTACACCAGGTAGGGAAATAATGGGTTTGGTAAAATAAATCATGCTGATAAAACCTATAGGAAACATCACTGATAAGTGTATTTATACTAAAGAACTGAATACACTCCTGCGGCCGCCTACCTTTTCGATGTCGAAATTAAGATGCAGTATCTTGACGAATGGACAGCTTGAGACGGTACCTGGGGATGTTACCTCCTGTAAACAAGTGGGTCAAGATTTACGACAATCTCGTTGGCATTGAGACAAAATTACGCAAAAAATCGGTGTTTGTGCAAAAGCCCGCAAAGTCAATCGTGACCAGACGAATCTTCTTTGAACAGGTGTTTAGTTCGTCTATCATGTCTTGTGTGTTTCCTACGCAGTATTTTACTTCGTCAAGCCATTTCTTGTCATCATTGTGGTCCCTTGAAATGATGTCGGAACTTGACGAAGTGTTTATGGACCCAAAGACTTTCTCACAAAGCAATTTCTTGATGAGTTTCACGGACTATAGTTGCAAAGATTTTAATTTTGAACCGAGACGGTCCATGGTTTTGCTTCGCCTGACGTAGCCAATTGTCATCATGGTATCCTTTGTGAACTTAACATGCCTACGGAATCGGTGGACGTTCGTCAAGTCTTCCCATCTGTAGTCACGAAATGACTCCTTCACCAGATTGTACTGACGGCCTTGTATTTTTCCATCCGATGTGCCCCTCTTCTTCGTCACACCCCACGCACCATCTTTTGCCATCCACTCAGCAAGTTGACTTTTCTTGACTGCGCCATCTGGGAGATAGGTCACGACAAGAGTAGATATTGCTTCTTCGGTAAGGAAGGTTTCTGTCGTAATGTCTTGGATGGGATCCAAGGGCATTATTTCCTTCAAAAAGTCCAATATAGCCCTGTGGGAAGGGGCAACCGAACCAAGTAAGATAACAGATGACAAAGAGCTGCTTTTTCTGCTTAAATCACTGCCTTCATTTTCTTGTGGTGGTAGTGGTGGTGGTGGTGGCGCTGTTGGCGTTGGTAGTGATGCTGGTAGTGCTGAAACTGTTGGCGTTGGTGGCGGCGTTGATGGTACTATACCACTGTGTCCAACAAGAAGAACAAACCACCATGGTTCCATTTCATACCTCAAGCGTGGGATCGTCATGGGACAAGTAGGGTCACCGCGTACTATTAAAATTGGAACCAGATTAGCTTGTTGTAATTTGCTTCGTCTTACGTCCGGTGTTCATGAATGTCTCACTTGTCAACTTCACGTGTCTATGGAGCTGATGGACGTTATAAAGATCTTCGCATCTATTGTCACGAAAGGACTCCTTCACAAGATTGTAAAGCCGGTCATGGATTCCCAATATCTATCTTTATTTTATATATTATTTAATAAATTATATTATATTATTCTTAAATTTACTCTAGAAAATACAATTCAATGATATAACTGCTCGTCTTCAAAAAATTACCGGAACCTCAAGCGACAATACACCCGTTTCAATAATTGTCATTTCTACTTCTAACCAATCCTAAATATGTGTATAAATGGCCCATTTTTTTTTTTTTTTTTTTTTGTAAAAATAAAGACTTGTCAGTTTGTTAATTTGACTTATAATTTTATCTCGATTTCTATAAGAATAATATGGCTGCCACCATATATTAAAAAATAGCAATGGTGTATCCGTGTTTAACTGCCGGCCACCTTGCTCTAGTAAAAAAAAAAAAAAAAAATGCTAATGCGTAATTCTTTTATCCGTGTTTACTACCCCACAAACAGTGACAAGTGTACGTAGTCGACAAGTTAGTTTTAGCATGACAAGGATTCACATGAAAAATTCACACAGTTGCCCTTATTTTTTAAATAACCGCCCATTTATTACAAAACCCACCCTCTTTTATTTCTTTCAATTCCTTTTCTTTACATATACTCTTCAAAAATGGCCTTACGTCAAGTATTCATTGTATCAGCAAAGAGGTAATATTCAACCCATATCTTTTAGACAATTGAAATTAAAGCTTGTGTCATGTAGAACTCCTTTCGGTGCTTTTGGTGGAAAGTTCAAGAACTTTACCGGTAAGCCCAAAAAAAGAAAACACACAGGCACGCACATACTAAAATAACTTTTATAAAAAACCAGCTGCCGAGTTGGGTGGTTTAGCTTCCAAAGCAGCTCTTGCCGAACTTCCCAAGGACTTACCTATTGATTCCGTCATCTATGGTAATGTTCTCCAAACTGACATTGCTGGTGCCTATGTTTCACGTCACGTCGGTCACAGAGCTGGTTTACCCGTCACTGTACCTGCTTTGACCGTTAACCGTCTTTGCGGTTCTGGTCTTCAAAGTGTTGTGAACGCAGCACAAGAAATCCTCTTGGGTGAAAGTGAGATTGTTTTGGCCGGTGGTACCGAAAGTATGTCCATGGCTCCTTTTACTTTATCAGGTACTTCTCGTTGGGGACTCAAGTTGGGTCAAGATCCCAAGCTTCAAGATAGTCTTTGGTCTGCCTTGACCGATCAATATCCTACTCCTACTCCTATGGGTATCACAGCTGAAAACTTGGCTGAAAAGTACAATATCTCCAAGCAAGAATGTGACGAATATGCTGTTTTATCTCAAAACAGATACGAAAACTGTAAGTTTAACCAACGTAAGCTCCTAGACATCTTTTCTTATTTACACATTTATATATATATATAGCTGCAAAGGCTGGTATTTTCAAGGACGAGATTGCTCCCGTTGAAATCAAGGGACGTAAAGGACCTGAGCTTGTTTCTGAGGATGAACATCCTCGCGCAGGATTACAAATCGATAACTTGACCAAATTGAAGCCTGTCTTCAAGAAGGATGGTGTTGTCTCTGCTGCCAATGCATCTGGTATCAATGATGGTGCTGCTACTCTTATTGTCGCTAGTGAAGATGCTGTTAACAAGTACGGTTTAACCCCTCTTGCTCGTATCGTTAGCTGGCAAGCATCTGCTGTCGAACCCACCTTGATGGGTCTTGGTCCCGTTCCCTCCATTACAGGTGCCTTAAAGCGTGCCAATTTGGAATTAAAGCAAATGGGATTGGTTGAGGTAAACGAGGCTTTCGCCGCTCAATATTTGGCCTGTGAAAAGGAACTTGGTTTAGAAAGAGAAATTACCAATGTGAATGGTGGTGCCATTGCCGTCGGTCATCCCCTCGGTGCCTCTGGTGCTCGTATCTTGACTCATTTGTCTCATGCTCTTAAGCGTGGTAGTGAAAGATATGCTGTTGGTTCCGCATGTATCGGTGGTGGACAGGTAATTTTTTTTTGTATATTAGCCGGGAGATCGTGCATTATATTAATCATTTATTATTTAGGGTGTCGCCGTCATTTTGGAAAGAGTTTAAAGGGTGGAATTATAAAAATAAAAATATTAAAGGCGTTGTCAAGTATGAATTATTAGGTCATATTTTTCGCAAGTCTGTCTAATTTACGACGATGGTATGTCTACATGAGTGTGTAAAGTTTGTATCATGTATTGAACCAACTCATAAAGGAACATTCCAGATCATTGTTATTTGAGTTGCGGCGAATATTATCTGTAATTATATGGTTTTATTGACACAATACTTATTTTTGATATAAGGGATATAAGGGGCAATGGTTTTAATAAAATGTAAAAGACAACTTTAAATATCGGCATTAACCAAAAATAGAAAATAGAAATAGAACGAGGTGGCGAATAAATGTATTTTTTAGTTTAAGCTGCGGCACGAATCTTTACTAAGCTAAGCTGGCAGCTCCATGAAGTCCCCAAAAAATCTTGGAAATAAAAGAGACGAATCAGCATACAGCCATTATCGTAGTTTACTTTTGCAGCTTGATAAGTCTACTTTGCTAAATTTATTATATATTCTATTTTAAATTCCATCGTAGCAGGCATAGCTTCGACCTTTTCCAGACTGGTTCCAAGCTGATACATTTATCCAGACTATTCATGATGCTAAGAAAACTTAAAACCGGAGTTTTCCCCATTATTTTAATGCGTGACACATACACGAAAAAAAAGGGCCCTTCATTTTTGCTTTTTACACAATGGAGAAGTTTATTGCTCATCAAATAGAATTGGTCGAGACAGAGAGAAAGATTGATGTAGAAGATACCTTAAAATTACTATCTGCTTATGCTCCCATTCAACTTCAACGTCGTGGTGTAGCTCTGGTTGGTTTGAAAGTGACAGGTAAGCCCCCCCCCCTTCTCCCCACCCTCCTCTCCAAAGTATATTCACGTTTGTTTTGGTAGGCATGAGAACTGGATTAGGTGGAAAAAGGTATAACAGCCCAAATGGGTTTCAAAAAGTAAATAAGCCCTCTCATTTCCCTTTCGCAATGCTTTTAGCTTGATCGATCTCGAATTGGCTAATCCAAATATTTTACCACCTATTTTTCCCGCTCACAAAATTACGACGGGTGACATTGTGGGCTTGGACGAATACAAGAAAGATAAACCATCAAAACAAGCAGCTCGTTGGTCCGGTGTTGTACTTCGAGTCAGCGATGCAAGAATCACGGTTGCATTACAAGAGATGGAGGAGGAGTTACCCACAGAGATTCAGGAACGCTGTCAAATGTAAGCGAGGCAACCATGCTTATCGCCCCACAATAACCTCAACCTCTTTTTCTTTTTAGAGTGAAACTTGCCAACAGTGTTACATATGAGAGGTAAAACATACTTTTGCTTTTTTTAAAAAGAGTACTTGTTTACTGATAAGAAACGAATAGAATGCTTAAAGGATTAGAAAGACTTCAAAAAAAGAGTCAAGAAGGTGGGTCTAATTTGACAAATGTCTTGTTGGGTCAATCCGACTTATCTACACCTCAATTGATGGACGATATACAGTTTTTTGATGAGACATTGAATGATTCACAAAAGGAAGCAGTGCGTTTTGCTCTAGGCTCACCCGAAATTTCATTGATCCATGGTCCACCAGGTGTAAGCACTCATCGTCTTAAAATTTTCTTTTTTGTCTAATCCGATATTTTATGATAGACTGGTAAAACGTATACATTAGTAGAGATCATCAGACAATTATCCGTGAATCAAAACAAACGAGTTCTTGTATGCGGTCCATCCAATATCTCTGTTGGTAAGATCACAACCCTTCACCTCTTGTCCAATAGTACACTAACATTGTATTTTTGAAATAGATAATTTAGTTGAGAGACTTGCTCAACACCGACTCAATATTGTCCGTATTGGTCACCCTGCTCGTGTCTTACCTTCGGTTGTGGATCATACACTGGATGTCATTACACGTACCTGTGACTCGGGCCAAATTGTATCTGATGTGCGAAAGGAAATGGATGAAACTCTGTTAAAGATTCGAAAATCTAAGAATCGGTCTGAAAGAAGATCCATGTATGGTCTAGTCAAAGATCTTCGAAAAGATTATAGAGTGAGAGAAAGAAAGGTAGTGGATGAAGTGTTGACAAGTGCTCAAGTTACCATCTCTACTTTAAACGGGTAAGTTTACTCATATGAATAGCAAACGGAATAATTTTTTTTTAATTTTGGCTTGTTTATCTGTTTAGTTCAGGAAGCAGAAATATGTGGAACCGTGAATTTGATGTGGTTATTATTGATGAAGCCACACAGGCATTGGAAGCTGAATGCTGGATCGCTTTGCTTAAAGCAAAAAAAGCTATTTTGGTAAAGATACTTATTTTTGCTGGGAAAAAATCAGAAGGGATGCATATGCTAAAGGCTATAAATTTAGGCAGGAGATCATTTACAGTTACCACCCACGATTAAAACGCCTATTAAACCGAGCAGCAAGCCTAAAAAGAAGGGCGGCATGTCTACCGACTCTGACCTTTCCACCACTTTATTCGATCGATTGTTGAGCATGTATGGCGACCGAGTGAAGCGCATGTTGATGGTTCAATACCGTATGCATCAAAAGATTATGGAGTTTAGCTCCAAGGAGCTGTACGATAATAAACTGGTAGCCGATAAAAGTGTAGCAGAACATGTATTAGCTGATCTTCCCGGTGTCACCAGTTCAGAGAATACTGATGTTCCACTGGTTATGATGGATACCAGTGACACAGGTCTGGCACACGAAATGATGGATGATGCACAAGAAGAGCAAAGTAAGGCAAATGAACTTGAGGTAGAATTAACCGTGTATCACATCAAAGCTTTATTGGAGGATGGCTTAGAACAGGATCAAATTGGGGTTATCACTCCGTATGCAGCACAAGTGTCGAAATTAAAAAGGGATATTCGTGAACACTGGCCCAATATTGAAGTGGGTACCGTCGATGGGTTTCAGGGACGTGAGAAGGAAGCTATCTTGTTATCGCTTGTGCGATCCAATGACTCTGGTGAGGTTGGATTTCTTGCAGAGAAGCGAAGACTCAACGGTTAGAAGTGTTTATATTTTTTTTTAAAATATTTTCATAATACTCATCTATAATTATAGTGGCAATGACAAGAGCCAAACGACATTTATGTGTAATTTGTGACTCGGAGACTTTATTAGGGACAAAAGGAGGATCCAAACCTACCCCACGTTTTGATGGAGGTTTCTTGAAACGATGGATGGAGTATCTAAGTGACGAATCTGATTTAAGATTTAGTGAGTTTGTAACTTCAGTTTAATAGATAAATAAAAAAAAAAGATAGCTGGGGAAACACCAAGATTGAATCACCTGTTTGTGTGTGTGTTATGTGTTCATGAGAAAATAGTGTGGGTTTGGGATCATCTCTAATTTGAATTGCCAATTCAAGATGAAATCGATCGGCGGGAATTCGAATTCGCGCTCTCTTCTATCTTTTTGGCCGTTTCCCAGTTCTCGGACTCTGTATGTATATTTGTATATTTAGATGAATTTTTTTTTTTTTGTAACTATGATAAACCTGGAAATGCATGATAGAAAGGAAACATATCACTCCGATCATTACTGGTACAATGTATTTTTTTGACACGTCTTACCTTTACCGTATATTACTTTTTTTATTTTATTTCGGGAGCACAAAAGTAGTACTATTCAAGTAATTAATATCATAGGGCTCATTAGTTGAAATCAGCAGATCCCTAACAAAAACAAAAAGGGACCCAGATTTATTAAATGTAGAATGACAGCATTACCCCGAGAATTGCTTCTTGAAATTGTTACTCTGTTCAGTTAAGTATAAATCTCTGCATGCGCGCTGAATCACGACCGTTCGTAATGTAAACACCGCCGCTTTCTTTTTCCAAAAAGGAAACTTTTATAGCCTAACTGACCTTCCCATCTTTTTTTTTTTGCATATCCATTTGTCATGCCTTCAAAGAATGTTTTCTTTGCGTTCGAATCAATGTGTGACAAAGTAGGTGACACAACAACAACAACATCAATAACAAAAAATGCAATTTTCATATCATTATTTATTATTTATTATATTTTATATGTATATATATATTAAGTATTTCTTCTATCAGGGGATTGCCATAACCAATCACGAACGATTTGATCACCACCAGGTTGAGAAACAGTGATTGGTTGTGTAGGCTCATCTCTACGCTCCCACGAAGGTCGTCGAATCCTTGAAGGTGCAGTCGTCTGTGTATGTTCTGTGTAGGTGTCCATATATTCGTCCTCCTCCATAAATCGTCGTTGCGGAGGAGACATGGTATTGTTTCGACTATCAATACTACTATTCATGCCTCGCATTGGGATATCATGGCGACCCATACTACCGGGACTGCTCGGTTCGTTGTAACGTTGTGAGGAACTGGATTTTTTACCTTCCATCATGGAGAACATGACAGGTTGGCTGCTGTAAGGATCTTCAACAGCCATGTTACGTAATTGGGGAGACTCAATCGGCGAAAAGGGTCTACCGGCAGGTGATGTTAAGGGCACGGTGTCATGAGTCAATGATTGAGGATAATCAACTGTAATAGGAGACATGGGTCGCATAAATCCACCGTTGGCGTTCTTGGTGGTTGATATGCCACCACCGAATTTATTGGTGGTTTCGCTTAAGCCTCGTACACTTTCATTAATGACGTAGTTGTGTGATCTATCTGTGGGCAAGACTCGTGTTGCGGGTGTGTTATTAGAGAAGGCATAATTATTGGTGTTGGTCGATTCGTTATTTGTGCTTGTTGTTTCGCTAGCACTACGGGTATATTGAGGTCGGGGATGGAAAATGGAAATCTAAATAAGGTTTTTTTTTAGAAGAACTCAAAAAATAAAAATAAAGTTCATTGTATGTACCAAGAGTAACCAAAGTAGGATAACACAAATATTGGCATTAGCAATAATTGTGTCTGTAGCAAACTTGTTTTGATTAATTATTTTGGTTGTGGTTAAACCATCAGCACAAAGAATGATGAATGATGCGGCGTAAAAGAACAAGACGAGAGAGACAAGAGCGTTCATGTCCTTGAAATAGGCCAGTCTTGTGACGATGGTCTTGTTACTAGCACCATTGTTTCGTTGGGATAGAGCAATAATCCTCTTGAATCTAAAGTGTGACCTAATGCCCAGTAATGATGTACACAAGGCTAGAAAGTTTTTTAATTTATCACATGTGTTTTATTAGGCGTAACCAGTATTTACCTTCAATACCGTATGCAAGTTGAGGAATCACCTCTCGTTTGCTTAGATCATTTCTGTACACCCATTGAAGGACAGGAAACATAGCCATACTACCAAGGGCCCTATTAAATTATAAAAAAGAAAATCCCGTTCACTGTCTGACTGTAACATGTACCACACAATTTTTTTTTTTTTTTGGTTTCTTACCAGAAGATATAAAATTTGAATTCAAATGAACTCATAAAACTCTTTCGAGCAACCGAATTGGAGAGATAATTCCAGAACGATTGCATTAAAAAGAAGACACCGACTTGTAATGAAAAAGTAACACATTCGACATAGTCCATGACCTGGTATATTAAGGAAAAGGTTAAAGATTTGGTGTGACCCCAACAAAAAGTGGTACAAAGGTACCCAATCAAATATTTACCACCATATTGCTTTGGTTAGTGGAAGACCACATTGCAAAGGGTTTTCCAATGATCTTTCCTTCGTAGACTGTAAAGCCTTCTTCGTACTTGACGTATGTGGACATGACATCTAGCGTAAAGAGGTATGTCTTAGTAACAAAAAAAAAAAGATATGAAGTTTGTGAGTGACATTTAGTTTACCCCACATCGCTTGCATGACCATCGCTAGTATTAGCAGTATTGTAATGATGGACTTTAATTCGCCCGAAATAATGGAACTGGGCCTTAAGCATTTGAATCTATCGCCCTTGTAGACTGAATAGACGAAATAGACAGTCATGTAAAGCCATACAGTACATCGCTCTAAAGATATTTGCAATGTTATTATTTTACATTGGAATAGAGGCTGTTTCTTAGGTTACCTAGATAGGAAAAATCACTGTATGAAAAATGAAAGGGAATAGAAGAATTAATCATTTGTGAAAGGGTCAATCAAAATAGTTGTTATACCTGAGATGTGTCATTTCTCCAAGTCGATGTGAGAAATAGAAATATGTGGTATAGAAAAAGAGAAAAAAGGAAAATAAAGAATACAAAATCCAAATTCAGTTTATATTTTTGGTTGATGCTGTACGACTGTTACTGTGATCAATTCACCCCCCAAATGACCGCTTGCACCCCCCATTAGAACTTTTTACTGTAAAAGCGAGACCCATTACCATAATTAGAGCTTTCAATTATACGGGGTTTAAATGTTATTTTAAAATCAAAAAGGTTCATTGCCTTGTTTCTTTTTATTTCTTTCACTCTCTTCTTTTTTTAAACAGACAAATAAAATGAAACTCAGTTTAGTCTTCACCTCACTTTCAGCCCTGTTTTATATTGCTTCAGCAGCCAGCAGCAGTAGCTTAGAAAAGGGTGGATTTTCCCTTGTGAAAAGAGATCATGGACTTCCCTATGCTACTTTACCCTCAGATACATGTGCTACACCTGCCGCTTGTTCGAATATTGCAACACCCGTAACATGTCGTTGTAGCGATATCTTGACGACTTGTCAAAACGCCGGTGGACAATTTTGTTGGGGAAGTAAAACATTAAACTCGACTAGCTGCCCTACGATGCCTGATTCATGTGCATCCTCTTCTTTCGGCACAAGAACCGCTTCTTGTCTTTGCAACACCCAAAATATTCTCTGTGTTGATAATGCCAACAACTATTGCTATGGTAGTGTTTCTGGATCTACTGTAAATGTTGCAGCTATCCCTAACGCTGCTCCCGCCTCTTCTTCTGCCGTTTCTTCTTCTGCCGCTGCTTCTTCTGCCGCTGCTTCTGCCGCTGCCTCTGCTTCTGGTGCCCCTACCATGTCCGTTGCTGGTGCTCCTTCTAATGTAGCTGCTGCTTCTCCTACTGCCACTTCCGGATCTATTCAGCTTACAAACAAATCCATCTTCACTGTAGCTTGTGCCTTGCTTGCTTATATTGCTATCCATTAAAAAAACAGGATATTTATTCCATGATTAAAACTTTTTTTTTTTTTTTTAATCTATTGAAATTTCCCCCCTACTTTTATTTTTATCCTTTTTTTTATATATATATACATTTAGAATCAAACATGAATAAGGATAAAACTACATAATCTTGGATATAAAAGATATAAAAAAAAAAATCGTCATTACACATTACACACAAATTATATTATTCATTTTACAAATAAAATTATCATTTAAGCTATAATTAAAAAAGTAATCTTGGCACATTTTTCTATAGATTCTGTTTTATTCCAGACTTGTTTTAATTTCGTTGTTCCTTCAACTTTTTTTTTTCAGAAAATCTAATTATAAGTCTTGTACAACCTCATCTAAATAAATTTCATTTATCTTATGAACCTGTCAGTCTTCTATTGCAAACCAACCAGATTAAGAGAGACTCTCACTTTATCTCTCTCTCGTTTTTTTTGTTACTCTCCCTGGTTACTATTTGCATTTAATTTAGGGAGGTCAACCCCATGTCCACCCCAACCCACCCGGCCCTTGCCAATCTTTCTCTTTCCCTTTAGCAGTAAAAAGGTCATTATTTTAAGTCACCGCCACTGTGACTTTTGTTTGCTTTTTAAAAGGGTGAAGGGGGGATCCCTAAAATCTGTTTACCACCCTATCTTTACACAGATAAAAAAAAAAAAAAAAAAAAATGGAAGATACACTTGACCAAGTTCGCCAAAAATGTGCTCTCCAGTTAGACATGTACCAAAAATGTATCGAAAATTACCCTCACAGTTGGGATAAAAGTTGTATGCAACAAAAAAAGGCTTTGACAAAGTGTTCCGAAGACAAGTAAAGTTACGAATATACACACTATGTAACATTCACTAATATACGTGGAATAATGTAGTGTGGGTATTTTAAAGTTTGTCAAGGAGCGTTGCTCTCTTCAAATCAACAACTATGATCGTTGTTTAGGTGCTAATGCTGAGAATCCCGAAGAATGTGTTCAAGTATTAAAGGAATTGTATGTGTGTACTGAAGCTACTTCTATCGTCTACCGTGAAGAAGAACAGAAAAAGAAGCAAGGTGCGGAGAAGCCTGTTGCTGCTGCAGAAACACCTGTCAACACAGAGCCTGTAAAGAACTAGATTTTTTTTTTTTTTATTCAGCACTATAGAAACAAATAAAAACCGTGTATATATACGAGTGACAACTCTTTTCTTCGATTGACAGCTTTACGTAGACGATGTTTAGATGATTTTATTTTCGTGAATGGTGGAAGAGTGGATAGACTGACTAGAGGTGGACATCCTTGACACCCTTCTGACTGTATGTATCGAACTGCTTTCTTCCTTTTCTCAACATGTATTCTATTGTCGCAAAATCAGACTTTTTCAAGTTGTGTTCCTTAAACTCTCTGCGAATAAATGCATGAAAACGAGGCCTTGATTCCTGTTAATAATAAAAAATTGACAGGTTAAAATAGATTTTTATTTGGAAAGGAGATAGATTGGGGGGAATTACACAATTTTAATATTTTACCAATGGCTTATCTCGGGCAGCTCTAAAACACTGTCGGTAGAAACTGACAACTTCGTTTTGTAAACCTGATCTTTTCAGCGGTGCTGGCATTATTTATGTGGTTCTTGAAAAAAAGATAAAATAACATTGATGGGGCGGTTTATGCTTTACCACCCCCCACTTTGTGACGTATCTTTTTTAAAGCGGCTCTTCTTTTATTTAAAGGCACCCATCAAAAATTAAAACAAATCGTAAGCAAAAAGAAACATCAAAAAAGAAAAAATGAACGCCTCATTTCTATAAATATAAAGTATCGACAAACTCATCTTTCTGCTTCTGTCACGCAAAGTATGATTATTAATATAAATTGTATTATTACATATGAACCGTGTTCTTCTTGGCATTTTCACTTATATTTTTAAATTCTATTTTAAGAAAATATGATCGAAAGCTTTTTCCTACTTCCATGTGCAAATGTTTACTTTTTGACTGCTTCATCTTGAGCGTGCTTTGTGTCAATAGTGGTCTGTGCATTTCTATCCATGTCTTGACGCACCCCATGACCCTTTTTATGAGAGTATAGTAAAGTTCAAACAGTTCCTAACACAAAAGTTACACAAAATATAATATTGTAGTACATGTCTTTGGTCTTTATACAGCAGCTCTCAGTAAATTACTCCAAGACCATGAGAAAACATAATAATGGATCTACTCTCGTGTGGCAACTTAGTACCAACTAATGCTTGGGTCGCTCTTAACTTTATGCAAGCTATTTACGTTATTTTCTGGTCTTTGTACTGACTCTGTGTCTGGATATGAATTCTTAATTTCTTACATAATTGGCTTCAGTGCACTTTCGAAAAACACTACTGGCTATGTTACCATATGCTAAATAGAATCGCGAAATCGCTTTATGTAAATACGCGTTTGGTATTAAGTTTGGAGAATTTTGAGACACAAAGTCTTTGATTTTTTAAAGATGCATGATTGATTGTTACTTTTTTATAGATACTTTTGCGTGTTGTATAGCCACTGCTTTTTGTTTGCAATCATATGGTCTTTTTACGCCAAAAAATAGATAAAAAAAGAAATAGGTAAAGTCTACATCTATGTTACTTTTGAAGCTACAGTATGATCGGGTTTGTTTTCCATAAGATACGCTTACTGCTAGTAATACACCGTACTACTGAACACTGATGAACTAAGTACCAAGTTCAGCGTTACATGTATGTGTAAGTCCGAAGCTGTCTGCTGATGTTTCTTTAAAGGTTGACTTGGTCTCAAAAGGTAAACGTGCAACTAATGTTATCTACTTGGGAATAATAAGCAAGTCCATCAAAACGCCAGACTTCTTGGAACGTGGATAAAAGGTGAGAATCAAAGAAAAATACACTAAAAGTTTGTCATCTCATTTAATCAAACTATTTATATTGAAGATATGGTGACCTCAGTATCCTGCATATTGACGATCCTGAGGTTTTTAAAATTATGTTTGAAAGTTTGACGTATGAACATTTTAATTACCTGGATTTTTCTTTTTTGAGCAACCCACCTGACGTCAAGCTTTCGGGAAGTTAGTGAAAGCCAATTAAGTTGAATTAAAAGTTCCACTGGCACATCAGACAAGATCAATGTGCTGTTTTTATAACGTGGACATATTAAAATGGGATTTCTGGATGTTTTTCATCATCACATACACGAATCAGGCAGTTTGTAGGTGCTCAAATGAAGAAGTCCCAATTATATGTGTAATGTACTTTAACTACAACACAGATTATCTTTGAAGCTCTCACTATATGATTGAGAACGAAGAAATTGTATCATAAAACGATCGTACAGCAAGATCACATGCCCAACATCTCTTTGGCAATTTAAGTCATTTACTGAAAGTAAACCGGCTCTCTTAAAATGAAAGCAGGCGATTATAAATCATTGTAATTGATTTGTAGCAATAATAATAAGAAAAATCAGATAGAAAAGCCTTTTTAAATGTGCAAATTGGGAATTCAAAGTGCGCATATCAGTTTTAAAGGGTGTGCCAAGAGTTGTAACTTGTATACATCTTTGTGAGATTCATTTCATTTTACTACTACTTCAACGGGTAAGTGATGCTTCTGCTATTTGAATGAAAAGAGTGGTCTGTGCATTCCCTTTTATGTCTCGATGCACCCCATTCCTTTTGCTGATAATAATAGTAGAATTTAAAAAGATGAGAACACAAGAGTAACACAAAAAATAATAACAAATTTATTATTGTTATTTTTATTTTTATTTATAGGATTTTTGTCTAGATATGAAAAAGAAAGAAATGTAAGAAGGATGAGATGATAATTAAAATTAAATTGTAAAATGTGTATCAAACACTAAAATAATTGATATTTTTTTCCATCTAGTAGCGACCAGGCTGACTAGTAGAAGTGATGATGGGATCTTTACTAAGGTTGGTAGCTGAATTATAATAGCTATATTCTCCACTGATACCCCGAGCACCGCCCGACATTTCGGGTGAATGAACACTATGGATATCATCCGCTTGAGGATGGAAACTCTCGCGATCACTAGCGCGACGATTTCTTCTCCATCGTGTAAACAAGAAGAATCCAAGTGCACCCAATAGAACGGCCCCGCCGATGCCACCGACTACACCTCCAATAATCGCCTTGTTTTTGCTACTAAGGCCGCCTTCTGAACTACTATCAGGTGTAGATGTGGGTGTCTCGACCATCGTGCTGGGTTGTAAAGAGCTTGTGCTAGAAATAAAAGTTTGCGTAGGTGTCGCCATCATGCTACTGGTACTTGTAGGCAAAGCAGATGTCAACGAGGCTTCAATATAAGCTAACGATCATTGTAAGTATAAATGTATTTAAAGTATAGAGGGTCATACTAAGTATTTTACCTGTAGATGTAGGATAACTTTCATCAGCTAATAAATTGTGATTAATAACAAGGTACACGAAATAATTTTGGTGATTATAAATGTAACTTACTGGTGGTGTAATCATCGATAGCAGTTGTGGTACTATCATCTAAATAAAAAAGAAGGTTAGAGACTTTTGCAAAGTATTTAAAGTACATTCGTTTCTCTCTTTTGGAAAATACACTGAGTTTTCAAGGGAACCCTCGACTTTTTAGTGCAAAAAAAAAAAGTCATACACGTGTCACTGACATTTTTTGTTTGCAGAAATAACCGTACAGTGACATTTCCTTATAAAAAGTACGAGACCGTGATACAATGAAATAGCCTGGGCCATTTCCAAAAGAAAGAATTGTACATGCTATTTTTTTTTTAATTTTCTCCTTACCATTGTAATCGTCATCTGTAGGTGTTGCTTCCTCATTATAATCTGTGGTGGAGGTTTGTTCAGGATCTTCGGTAGTTGTAGCTTCATCGGGATCCTCTCCGTTGTCAGGATCATCAGGGTCCTCTTCATTATCAGGATCCTCTTCATTGTAGTCTGGATCTTCGTCGTTGTAGTCTGGATCTTCGTCGTTGTAGTCAGGATCTTCATCGTTGTAGTCAGGATCCTCGTTAGAGCCATCATCCTCATTGGTCTCTTCAGGGTCGGATGCATATTCATCATTATATCTCTGACGTTTCTCTAATAATTGAGCAGCCATTTTGTATGTATTATATATATATATAAAAGAAGAGTGAGAGAAAGAAAAGAAAGTAAGGAAGATGAAAAAAAAAAACTTATATTATTCTGTCACTGGGGAGAGCGGACATTTCACATGTGTTTATTTATAGCGTCGATCCCCCTAAAAACAAAAAAAAAATGTGGTCTTTTACCCAGAACAAACATTGGACGATGGATTTTTATATGATATCATTCACACACACATTCTCTCTTTAGTATGATATTACACCTTTTTTTTTTTCCCCACTGTGAGCCTATAGAAATATTAATTGTCTCTCTCTTTTTTCTATAATTTCTATTTAAACACCACTTCCAAAGATACTTGGTAGAACTAAGGAACAATAGTTTTTTTTTATTCCAGCTGTATTGAACAAATTGACAGCTAAAGGGGCTTAGGCTTGTTTTCGTTCCCTCAAATATTTTTTTTCAGCTGCTAAAACAGAGTGACACGTTCATGACAACATGTTGTCATCTGTAATTGAAAAAATAAACGTGAGCCGAGAGATAAAAAGAAAAGATAGCAACCCTTCTTCTTTTTTTGTTATGTGTAAAATTGATGTTCAATTTACATTATAGGATGCGACTCAAAACATAGACCCCCATGCAGAATTATAGGCTCCGCCCATTGACACTTATATTCCCGGTAACTACGTGCCTACACAAAAAAAAAAAAGTATGCAGGGAAGATGTTTCATAGATTCCCAGGCGAGAGTTTCTTATTTTTTGCTGCTGTTGTGAATGAACATGCGCTTATAATTAAAAAAGAGAGAAAATGAATTATAAATAGAGGATTTGTTATTTTTATCATGTTACACATCACTTTTTTGAGTTAAAAACAGAAAAAAAGTTGATTTATTTGTTTTTTTTTATTCTTATTCTCTTACACTTATCTTTTTTTTTTTTTACATCATATGGGACTGAACAATTGTTGCTTTTGTATTCCGTTAAGGTAACAAGAGATCTAACACCCTACACGAAATAGACAGCTAAAAAAAAATAAAAAAATTAAACCCCTTTCTTTCTTTCAGAACCGGTGTTACTGCGATCGCCGTCATTTCATCTGTAAGTTATGCTTTTCTAATGGCATTCGTATAATAAACTAAACGTAATCACTCAGGCATTTTATGTAGCTATACTCATATGGTTAATAAAAGATCGCAGCAGTAAGTTATTATCAGCAACAGCAACAAAAAAAAAGCACATCAAATAACATGTAAAACAAGTCATTTATAGTTTCCCGCAACAAGACCTATCAGCTGCGTCGGCGGTGTTCTGGACAGCCGTCTCCGTAGTCGGAGTCTATGCCGTGAGTTCGCTATTTGGTGTGATTGGTGGAATTACAGTGAGTTGAGAAATTCCCGCTTTATATAGCATTTGCTAAAAAAAAAAACCAATGTAAAATAGCAAAACAGAAATATGGTAAACATATTCCGATTTCTTTATTGGGCTATGGCTGTATTACTCTTGCTCTCTTCTGTGGGTATTTGGATTGTCATGATGGTGAAGAAGAGCTCGATTGTGCTTGGATGTCAGCAATATCTCACCGAATTAAACACAGCCAATTCACCTTATTCGGCCGTTGTGTTGCCTAATGGTACTAGTACGAGTCTTTATGCCGACGATTGTGCTTCTGCTACAAAGCAGTTCTTGATTGTTAGTGGTATTATTATTTTGGTGGGTAACTTTGTGCAGGTAAGCAATGAACAATGATAAATCCAACCATAGACTGATTTTATCCTTGTGATTTACCATAGATCTATTTTGCATCGACCATCAATGCGTATGCCCGTCGACTCAAGGCGTCGGGAGGCGGTAGTGCAGCGCAACATCATAAACTACGCGATATGGATGACTTTCCGGAAACCTCCAAAATGACGGTTTACTAATTTCTTTAGATCTTTTTCTTATATACCTGCTTTTTGCACACGAAAACATGCACACGTGAATCCTATTTTTATTTTTATTTTTCGCTTCCGAAATAGTCCCACTTTTTAATAATAAAAAAAGAGTTACCCTGGCTTTTTCTTTTCTTCATCCTTTTCTCTTTTTTTTTTATTTCAACAAAAATCATTGAATTAGAGGTCTCTTTATTACCAGTTTCTAACATCAAATTCTCTTGTATATATAATCAAAGCTATTTTCACTAATACAATATATCACAAGCGAGACCTCTTTTTCAATTGATTTCTCTATCATACCAATACACTCTTTCCCAAACAAAATTTCAATAGTAATGACCAACAATAACAACCAAAACGTCTCGATGGAGGAGGAATTCAGAGCTGAAGAAAGTTACTTTTATGAGTATGACCAAGAAATGGCTGAAGCAGTAACAAGAGCAGATGAGGAAGACAATGATCGTCAACAGAAAGAAGACGATGATAGTCTCCTGAGATTAATTGTGGATGTACAATGCTATCTCTCGGAAGCTCCTACCGACTCTCCACTCTTTGCACTTCAATACAAAATGTACACTTATCTCAAGCAACGTGCCTCTGAAATGGGAATGGATGTCACATCCATCTGAATATTAATGACTTTATATATATATATCTATGCCCTTTATTGAAGGTGCTATATTTTTTTAACCCAACAAACCCAAAAAAATAAGAAAAATATCTCACTCTCCCATAAAAAATAACAATAATAATAGTAATAAACCCGTGTTACTCCAATAACACCCAATGGTAACGCCGCATAATAAGCCGTCTTTCCTCCCTTCTTTTTTATATTTTGCATAAATATTACTCACGAGTTTTCTCATAAGGTTATTTGCAAACACTTGTATTTATTAATTTTCTTCTAATGACCCACGAGTTTGGTAGATTCACGAGCAACGTGTGTGTTGTTTGTGAAGAAAGGGGGGGAAAAAAGGGGAGAGGGTTAACTAGGCTGATCGCGTACTAACAACTCAAAATTTCCCGCTATTGTTTAGTGTAACTCTCATCATTCTATAGTTTGCGGCTTTAAAAAAAAAGACTTGCACAAGACCTGTTTTTGTAATGTGTGTGTGTGCGTGTGTAATCTACTACCTTCTTGCTGTCTACAAGGTTTTTTTTGACACACGTCTTTACAACTAAAGTGACGTGTATCACGTTGTCTATGACAATGAATATTCACTCTATGCTCCAACCTAGTATTTTGAATTTTCAAGAGGTGCATAGGAAGAATGAATATTGATATGAGAGAGAAAAGTAGGGGATCATCTGTGTATGCATATGTATATATATATACATATATATACAGATGACGCAAGTTGAGCAATAGAGGGGAATGTTTAATAGAGATGCACACAAATATTTAAAACGGCCAGTTAAAATTAAACAAGCGATTGGTGGTCCCCCATCAAATGAAAATCGACCCATCATGTACGTCACGTAATTTTTTTTTTCAAGTAGAAAAATAAAAAAAGTTGCCAATTTTTTTCTTTTTTTCTTTTTATTTTAACCAAATATAAATAAAAAAGATGTCTTGGGATCCTAATGCTGGTGCTGACTTTCAGTCAGAGGCTCCTCGTTCTTCTGAATACGAGTCTCGTCCTCCTCGTCCTGAGCCCACCGAGGAACAGTTACAACACAGAAACTACGATTGGGCTTCTAATCGCGCTCGTTATGAATATAACGAAAATGCTGTTGATGACCAAGGTATGGCCCCTCGTGATTCTACTTTGGAAGCAGAACTCTTTGAAGAAAACTCTGCTGAACAACAATCTCAACTCGACTTTTCCAAGTATGAAAAGATTCCTGTTCGTGTTGAACGTGGTAGTGCTCCCAACCCCATCAGAAGTGTAAGTTTTTATTTATACATAAAAAAAAAAAAAAAAAAAAAAAATTTTTTTATACAACATAAACATTAAAACTTTTTTATTTATTTATCTATATAGTTTGAAGAGGCTGACTTGAACCCTGTCATGAAGGAGAATGTCCGTTTAGCACGTTATACTGCTCCTACACCTGTTCAAGTAAGTACACCTAAATATTTTTTATATATATATTTCTGCGTGTCAAAACTGACATGTGTTCACATGATTAGACCTATTCTATCCCAATCGTTACTGCCGGTAAGGATTTGATGGCTTGTGCCCAGACTGGTAAGTAAAAAAAAAAAAAAAAAAAGTGTATTGATCCGTGCTAAACACTGGATATTAATATCTATATAACAATATAGGTTCTGGTAAGACTGCTGCTTTCTTGATCCCTACTTTGTCTGCTCTCTTCACCTCTGCCAAGCAACTCCAAAAGCCTCGTCCTGCTCCCTATGAAACCAGACAATATAAGGCTGAACCCCTTGTTCTTATCATTGCTCCTACTCGTGAACTCTGTTCTCAAATCTTTGATGAATGTAGAAGAGTAAGTTTTGTATTCGTTTTTAATGTAGCATGCACGTGTATTTATCTCTATTTTATCTCTATTAGTTCACCTACAGAAGTTGTTTAAGACCTTGGTAAGATATATAGACAAATTAAAAAAAAAAAAAGAGGGAGTAAAGAGTTTTATCCTAATATATTCTTCTTCTTATTATTATAGTGCCGTTTATGGTGGTGCTGATTCTATGGGTCAACTTCGTCAACTCGAAAGAGGTTGTGATGTTTTAGCTGCTGCTCCTGGTCGTCTTATGGATTTCATTGGTCGTGGCAAGATTGGACTTGAAAGAGTTAAGTATCTTGTTCTCGATGAAGCTGATCGTATGTTGGATATGGGTTTCGAATCCATTATTCGTAACTTGGTCACCAAGAACGGTATGCCTGCTGACAGACAAACCCTTCTCTTCTCTGCTACTTTCCCCAGAGCCATTCGTTCTTTGGCCCGTGATTTCTTGCGTCCTGACTATCTTTTCTTGAGAGTTGGTCGTGTCGGTGGTACTTCTGAAGCTATTACTCAAAAGATTATGCATGTCGAGGAAGATGAAAAGAGAGAAGCTCTCCGTACCTTATTGAACTCTCAACCTCCTAGCCGTACCTTGATCTTTGTCGAGACTAAGCGTTCCGCTGATAGTTTGGATCATTATCTCTTCGAACGTTCTTTCCCTTCTACCTCTATTCACGGTGATCGTACTCAAATGGAGAGAGAAGATGCTCTCTTAGCTTTCAAGAGAGGTAAATGTCCTATTCTCGTTGCCACTGCCGTCGCTGCTCGTGGTATTGATATTCGTAACGTCATGCATGTCATCAATTACGATATGCCTCAAGATATGGATGAATACATCCATCGTATCGGTCGTACCGCTCGTGTCGGTAAGCCTGGTTTAGCCACCTCTTTCTATAATGATCGTTCCGAGCAATTAGCTCCTCAACTTACCAAGTTGTTAAAGGAATGTAAGCAAGAGATCCCCGACTTCTTGCAACAATACATCTCTGACGATACTACTTGGGATGATGAACTCGATGATAATGAGGTTGAAGCTCCTAGCTATGCCGGTCAAGAGTATGTCCCTATGGAGAGAACTGCTCCTGGTGCTCCTCAAGGTTATAACAATGCTGAAGGTACTGGTGCTGCCGATGGTGCTTTCGATGGTGGTAACACTCGTCCTGGAGATTGGAACTGTCCTGAATGTAGTCAATCCAACTTTGCTTCTCGTTATGAGTGCTTCAAGTGTAATGCTGCCAGACCCGAAGGTGCTGGAGGTGATGCCGGAGGTGAACGTCGTAATAACTCTCGTCCTGGAGATTGGGATTGTCCCGAATGTAGCCAATCTAACTTTGCTTCTCGTTATGAGTGCTTCAAGTGTAACGCTGCTAGACCCGAAGGTGCTGGAGGTGATGCTGGAGGTGAACGTCGTGAACGTCCTCCTAGACGTGATGGTGATTGGGATTGCTCTGGGTAAGTTATAAAAGAGAGAGAGAGAGAAAAAAAGGGGGAGAATGTAAACTAATAGTAATCATTATTATTAGTTGTTCTGCTGTCAACTATGCTTTCAGAACCGATTGCTTCAGATGTCATGCTCAAAAGAGTGAAGAAGGTGGCGATAGCGGTGCCTATGGTTATGATCAACCCGCTGAAGATACATCTGCTACTGAAACCGCTAACTGGGATTCTTCTGCTACTCCTAGCTGGGGTGGTGCTGCTGAAACCTCTGCTCCCGCTGCTTCTTCCGGTGGATGGGGTGGTGCCGAAACCGCTGCTCCTGCTGCCTCTTCTGGTGGATGGGGTGCTTCTGAGCCCGCTGCTGCCGCTCCCGCTGCCTCTTCTGGTGGATGGGGTGCTCCTGAGCCTGCTGCTGCCGCTCCCGCTGCCTCTTCTGGTGGATGGGGTGCTCCTGCTGCTTCTAGCCCTGCTCCCGCTCAACAACAACAACCCGCTGCTGGTGGATGGGGTGCTCCCGAAGCTGCTGCTCCCGCTCCCGCTGCCGCTGGTGGATGGGGTGCTCCCGCTGCCTCTACACCTTCTCCCGCTCCTGTAGCTGCTACACCTCCCCCTCAACAAGCTTCTGGTGGATGGGGTGCTCCCGCTCCCGCTGCTAGCCCTGCACCTGCCGCTGGTGGATGGGGTGCTCCTGCTGCTTCTAGCCCTGCTCCCGCTCAACAACAACAACCCGCTGCTGGTGGATGGGGTGCACCTGCACCTGCCGCTGCTCCCGCTCCCGCTGCTGGTGGATGGGGTGCTCCTGCACCTGCTGCTGCTGCTCCTCCCGCCCAACACACTCCTCCCCCTCAACAACAACAACAAGCTCCCGCACCTGTTGCTGCACCTGCTGCTGGTGGATGGGGTGAACCTGTTGCTCCTTCCGCTGGAGGTTGGGGTGAACCTCCTTCTGCCACCAATGGTGCCGGTTGGTAAAATCCTTACTATTAAAAAAAAAAATTGGCTGGACGTTATTGAACTTGTAGATTATTTGCGTACTTTTCTTTTTTGTTTGTTGAAATGTATATTTTGACAGAAATGAAACTCTCACACTCACACAATAAAAAAATGGAAAATTTATATATTATTTTTCTTTGTTTTTTTTCTTTTAATAATAATGATATTTTTTTTTTGTACAGGTTTTTTCTTTTCTTTTCTTATTCGGCCTTGAGAGCTTCTTCTAATGTCTCGATGGCGCTCTTTTCAATAATCAACTTATCATAGGTCATCAAGTCCAAAACGTTAGTCTCTTCCACATGGATGACTTCACAGTTGGGAATGTTACGAGAAGCTAATTCAAGGTTGAAACTACAATCGTCAATCACTACCAACATTTTGGATCCGTCGTAAGAAGCTTGAATGATGTCTAAAAGGTCGCGTGTCTTGGGAGTTTCGAGATCTTGAAGCGATTCAACCACGATGAGTTGATCTTGAGCATATTTAGCACTCAATGCCACTCTCAAACCCAATTCTTGAACTTTACGAGGTAATTCGGTACTGTGATCTCTAGGCTTGGGACCGAATGCGATACCTCCACCAGTGATATGAGGTGCCTTGTTATCACCTTGTCTTGCTTTACCACGACCCTTTTGAGGAGCCACTTTTTTACCACTACCACGAATGTCAGAACGGCTTTTAGTGGAAGCTGTGCCTTGACGCATACCATCGCGTTGCCAGACAACCACACGGTGAAGAATATCTCGACGAATGGGTGCTCCAAATACACTCTTGTCAAGTTCAATGAACGAAACTGGTTCATTGGTCTTGAAATCACGGAGGAAAGCTTGAATCTTTGTGGGGAAAACTAATTTTTGACTTTTTTGTTTAAAAAAAAAAAAGATTCTGGATATATATAAAAAAAAAGGTGTATCTTTTTTTTTTACCTCTAGGTGTGGTTTCGACAGCTGAAGCAAACGCTCTCTTAGGAGCTGAGGCCTACAATGAACCAGGGTGCGTTATTAAAACCAGCGTTTTTTTTTAAATGTCATTGATAATTTCTTTTTTGTTGACAGCTTCGTTGTAATTTTAATTCTTTTCTTCCTACCTTTATTAAAGCAGAGGCATTGACAATGGACTTTACAAATGACATGTTGTGTATATAAAAAAAGAGGGGTTGGAAAGACAAAAAAAAAAAAAAAATATCAGAAAATTGTTGCCCCTCTCACCAAGGGTATTTCTCCAGTTTATACAAGTCACAGATTTTGGCAGGCCCCTTTTCTTTTTTTTTTTTTTGACTTTTCTCTCATGCAAATTAAGCTAGATGTCAGTAGTTCTATGTCAAGTCTTACTGTAGATTATCTTGAGTTATTTAAAAAAGCCTAAAAAATGGCAACACCAATCATCAAATATATCATCACTTTCTATTGTTCTCTTAACTCGCACTTCAAAGTAGAATCCATGCCCGAAAATTTAATTTTTTGGTATCTACGTGGAGATCCCAAAAAAAAAAAAAAAAAAAAAAACATTACGAGTGTGTGTTAATGGTTTTAATATTTTATTATAGTATAAACGACGCTTAAATAAAGCAGTATTGTTATAAAGACACTGACGAGGTTACAGCTCTGTAGGATAGATCAATAACGGTGTCTCTTAAAATGGATCATTTACCGAAGCGGAGAATCAGGTACGCCAGTCATCTTTTGTTGATCCGTGCACATTTTCTACGGGCAGAGGTCATTACATTAAGCAGCCAAAGAAAAAGAGGCGCTGTTGTTGATGGTAACCAGCATGTTTCTTTGATTATTGGGGACTGGATATATTTATACTTTATTAAAACATAAAAAAATATTTAAAAAAATACTTATAAAAAAAAAAGGGGGGGGATGAGGATGAGGAGGACAAAGAATGAGGTCAGGTTTCTGCTGTTAAACAGAAAAAAAACACTTATGCCTTTGTAAAATCAAGCTTTCTACAAGCTCTCTTTACCCTGGGATCATTTATGTTTACCCTTGACTTGCCTTTGGTTTCTGAAACACGCACAGGTGAATGGAATGCCATGGTTTTAAGTGGTAAAACAATGTCATCAGCAGGAGGTCGATTGACAATGCGGGCGGCTTGATTGAAGAAGGCCCTCAATGTTTTCGTAGCACAATTGGCTGTTGGCAATGAAAACATGTCGTAACAATGTTTGGGCATCTGATTTTTGTAAGAAGACCATCCCGTAAGAGCTTACCGTTGGATACAGCAAGGGGATCTTGAAAACCCCAACCGTGAGGTAAAGAAAGGGAATCGTTTAATAAGCCGAATAACCAATCGATAAACGTAACCATAAACATGCTCCGTAACATAAACAGAGCATACGGAGCCTTTCAATAAAAAGTCGGCTACGACTACGTTTTTGTAACCTGATGTGTTGATCAGGTAGGTATAACGAGTCCTTTGGTAATTTAGCGAACTTTATAAAATTACCGGACACAGTACGACCACAGCGCTTCGCTTCCAAGGTCAAAAGGAGGTGCTTCTCGCGATTCGAAACTATGCTGTATTAGATAGGCGAACCGATGAAGTACGCGAGACGCCTCTTCATCGGCATCGGGTAAGTTAAAGTAGCTAACAGCTTCAACTTCTTCCAAGACCTCTTCTTCTTTTTCCAGAGGGAAGTAACACTGTTTACAGCAGGATTGCACTGTAAATAGCTGAGATCAGACTGTAAATGGCTCACCGCAAATGCCATCATCAATCAGCAGGGAGCCACTAAGTGCCAACTCCTCACGTTCCTCCAGATTCTTAAACAGTTTGGCCTTATCAATGCATTTCTTTCGGTATTTTAGGAATGATTTCGACACATTAAACCCCGACGGAAGCTTCCAGAATTCTGTAATCGAATTCAGATGGATATCATATACGCCTTCAGTTGTCACTAAAAAATCAAACATGTCTTCATCCTCCACGGGACCAGAATCATCCGATGGAGCGCCTTCGTCAACGTAGGAGTCGGTAGAAACATCTGTCATAAAAGCTGGATCATTCGAATGGTCTTCGCTTGATACGCTGTTTTTTGCTTGTTTGTTTGCTAAACTACTTTATATTTCTGTTAGAAAATATTTATAAAGTGGTCAGGGCTTAAATATAGATTTTACGTGGGAATATCGTCAAAAGAATACGATCTGCGCAGTTCCGAACCAGCTTGTAGAGAACAGTGAGCCGCTGTCTTGTATCCATCTGTTTCTAGCTGTCTCATCTGCTCATCCAAGGCAACTTTGGCCCAGAAGAAAGACTCAAATGTACTTCCTTTCCAAATGTTAAAATCGCGCCTTAACTTTGCTTGCCATTCGCTGTTCTTGAAGGCGTATGACTTCAAAATGTCATTATAACGCGTGTTTGCTTTGTCTTTCTTTTGATACCCGAATTTGGTTGCGAAGACTTCTAATGATAAATTCTTAGCGTTATCTAGAAATATTTAGACCTCTGTATTTTTTTTTCAAACGTATCTTTTTTATATCACTTACAGCAATTCCGGCAAAGACCAACACGCCAGTATGATTACACTAATTTATAGTGTAATCACAACCATTTACAGTCTGTCCTTCCAGTGGGTTAGTACCCAAGGACCCAGCCTAGGAAGGGACCATCCTATAGCAAAGACTAGCCGTAGCCGTAATATCTCAAGAATGGCGATGTATCTTCCATATTATTTTGAAAAAAAAAGAGCCAAACATTTAGTGTTTCTTGAAAAAACCAGAAATTATTATATTCTGATATTTTAATTTTCACTCAAAGAGAGAAGAGAAGTATGTTAAAGGAAAAGAAAAACGGAAAAAAAAAAGTGTGTGAACGCCATGTATTTGTAAGCTGATAAACAAGAGCTTATGTCAGGATGATTTGACTGTTTATTTTAGGAATTTATCCATAATGTTTGAGCCTTTACTTAAAATGGAAACATTTTCAAATACCCCAAGCAAGGCAGGAACTTGGTAGCTTTTCAGTAGTATCATTGATCATTCTATGAAGCTCAGATGACAGGCCATGTCAATCGACGTAAACGTTTTTCTTGAACTTATGAGCAGACCATCACGCAATTCTAAGAAATACGTTTGAAAAAAAATACGGAGGTCTTCCTCTCTGTCATTTTCGTTTCGAAAATGACCTTGGTCGCACTTGAAAATAATCATCCTTGGTCTCACCATAACATCAATTACGCCCATGTAAACACGGGACATATACAAGTCACTCAACAAAAAACATATAGATAGTTGTTTTGCATGGAGAACAAAAATAAAAAATAAACCAAAAGTGATACTGTTAGAACTTGGATACCACTTTTATTTATGGACGAAAAAATATAATTAAAAACGTATTGAAAAAATGTATTCAAAAAAAGGTATTGATGGTCTATGAGAAAAAACTATGGATATTTATATACAGAACTGGGACAGTTCTAGGGAGAATAGTAAGCGCCTTATTGGATCATGATGTAATAATCTGGTGATAGTAAATAATCAACATGTCTTTAATTTTAGCCCTTCCATACTGAGTATATAAATATTAGTCAGAGGGATCAACAGTTATAACATCAAATGACAAGAGTAATATTTGTGCTCAGGTTCTATTAATATTCTATAGTCCAGGCCCATTCGATTGTATTGCTTTTGCAGAATAAATATTTACTCGCCACAGGGATGTGCCCTGTGTACAGACTCCAACGGTAGGATGAGAACAAGTGGGGTAATGCGTGATTCATGATTAACTTTTATATTTATTATCCATCCATAATGTGATGTGACAATTACTTTATTATTATATCTATGATATCCTCAACAATAGTACATAAACAAGAGAAAATTGAGCATTTAATAAAGGATTGTGTTATATTTGATTAGAATTATTGTCGATGATTTCAACCAAGGCTTGATCTACTTTGCGTATTAGTGATACGCATAGGCGAATGAAATGCCATGGTTTTGAGTAGCAGAACAATGTTATCAGAAGGAGGACGATTAACAATGTGGGCGGTTTGATCTACAATTGCGCTTGATTGTTTCATGGCACAAATAGCTGGTAACAATGATGACATTTCATAGCGATTCTTGGGTATGCTGAGTTTGGTGAGAAGAACCATTCTATAAATGTAATCGTAAACATGCTCCGTAACATATACGGAGCATACGGAGCTTTTCAATAAAAAGCCGGCTACGACTACGTTTTTGTAACCTGATGTGTTGATCAGGAGTAGTTCATACAATATATACGAGTAAAAGATGAAAGCATATACTTCAGTTGTCGGGATTTCGCAAGATGCGGCATATCATCTAAAAACTTATAGACATGATCATATTCTACCTTTCGTTGCTGCATGAGATAGGCAAATTGATGGAGTATGCGTAACTCTTCTTCATCGGCATTTGGTATCTGGAAGTAACTGAAAGCTTCAATTTCTTTCAAGACCTTTTCTACTTGCTCCAGAGGGAAGTAACATTTATCGCAAATGCCATCATCAATCAACATTGTTCCACCAAATACCAACTTCTCGCATCCTTTGCCGGATGAGAATCATCTGATACTCCACCGTCATCAATGTATAAAGTCGGTGGAAGTATCAGAGTCTACAACAGCTAGGTTATGACTACTTCCGGTCTGTTTGCTTGATTGTCTATTGTAAAGTTTCATTAAAAAACACTTGTATTAAAGGGTTAAAATGTAGATTTTACGAGGTACTGTCGTAACCAGACAGTATTTAGCTGTGACCAGACTGTAAAAAGACAGCATTCTTCGCAATTCCGAAGCTGCTTTAAGACAACGTCTACACCTACGTCTTTTTCCAGATTTTTCTTTGATACTAATAAAAAATAGAGAGGAAGCAAGTATGTTGGGAAAAAAGAAAAGGGAAGAAATAAAGTATGTGAGTGAGACTCATTTATAGACTGATAAACAAGAGATGGCTTATGTCAGGATGATATAATTGTTTATCAGCCATAATGTTTGAGTCTTTACTTAAAATAGAAACATTTCCAAATAGCCCCAGGGCTTATATCAGCGTTGCAGTAGGAGCATGCGCTGATAGTGAAGCATATTTACGAAAAAAAAAAAAAAAAAAAGATTATCCTATGACATTTAGAAAAAGCTAAAATTGTATTGCACGTCAATGGCGTAAAGTGCTTTCTCAAACTTATGTGTAGATTTTACTATCTAAAAAGGACGTAGGTGTAGACATTCTCCTTTTATTTATATCACGTGGCCTTAAAAAACACACACTCGACCCTATGGTCTTAGGTGTAGATTGATGTTCAAACTTTTCGATCTTGGGCCGAACTTGGCGGCCAGTTTGAACAAAGGTCGCGGCAAGTATCTTTACTCGAGTATGCGCTAGTTTCTCTTTTATTTGAACGAGCATCGAACGTAGCTCGCTTGAGGGTTTCGATCTTCATTCCAAACACTGGTAAACATTGTGTTTATTCAAGAAAAGGTCAAATGTGTAAATCCACTCCAAATCATTCAAACACAAACCTCTTTTTAGCTCTTCCATAAGAACATCTACAGTCACAATGTCTTCGTTTCCAATGTCACCAATACCTTCTTTATAGAACAAAGCAGTTTGTTAAATGATGATGATTTATCAGTTCACATCGACATCATTCTAGTTTTTAACTGGTCAAATACAAAATTAGTGACAATTTATGTATAATCGACATCCGCCGCTATACACTGTTTTGTGCGCCAAACAATTGTGTTTTCAGGAACCATTTTATTTAAAGTGATCAAACCTATTCTGTAATAGCTAATATAGTCATCTATCTATTTCTAATAAATCATGATCATTTTCCCCCTCAAATTAATTTACGCAATGTAATTCTACTAAATATGTGTTTTCGATACAGTGCTGCGTGTTGTATGGTTGTCAGTCACCCAACAAAAAAAAAGGGGGGGGGAGGGGAGGAGGAGGAGGAGAGCAAAAACAGTAATGATGATTTCTAACCTTGGTAAGTCATTATTATTAAAAGTTTCGGTTTTACTTGTGCCGCGAGGGATCCTTAAAGTCATTCCATGAGTTGTTTGGACTTGATCTAGATTGACTACATTAAGCGTGTCTTTTCTTGTTTTGCTGGGGGCCTTGTCTTTGAGTAGTAATGTATAGAAGAAGAGAGGGTGAGAAATGGACAAGTTATTTTTATTATTATTATTATTATTATCATTATTATGCAACGTGTATGTATGTGGCTTTTTCGCATAACAATGAAATTTATACATTTAATATACAATGGAAACATTATCGTCTTTTGTTGAATGTGTTGAACGATAAGAAGGTGGGTAAATCATGTCTTGGTAGGCAGGAGGAGGAGGCACATAGTCTAGACTGGAGGATCGTATCGATGTATGTCCAGTGGGTGCTAAGAAGGAGCTTGGTGGGATGCCTATGGTGGAGGAATTGTAAATGGTGCGACGTTCACTATCAATACCGCCGCCGCCAGGAGGTTGACTTTGAATCGTACTGTGGCTATTATTACTTTGTAACCGTACAATCTCGTCTTGATCTTGTTGACCATGTTCCACATTGTCGTTGGGTATGGCATTCTTTCGAACGAAAAGCAGTGACTACACAATACGGTCAGCATAAAATGTATTTTAGAAATAACAACAACATACCATAAACAATATGTAAAATATTAAAAATATACTGATCACCAGACAAATCACCCAAAACGGCGGTGTTCCTGTCTTGGTGTACAATATTGGTAATGTTATAATTGTTATTAAAAATGCTGTAACCACAATGTAGTGAATGACCGTTTGCCATGTTGAAGTCAATAGTTTTCGTTCTGTTTCTTTCATGCTTTATAAAGTTTAATAACAAAAAAAAAAAAAAAAGAAAAAGAGAAAGGAAGAAAAAAGGGGAAACAAATTATTAGAATCAGGACAATAACAATAATAAATAACATATTTATACGCGCTTAATATTATAATAATCCCTTGGTTCATAGTAATACGATTAACTACACTGACCTTTGATTGATTACAATGACTCCTCTTTTTATATATATATGTATATATATATATAACCACACTCGCCCCTCTCTCTCCATTACTGTGTGTGTGTGTGTGTGTGTATTTCTCCTTCCCTCCTCCCTTTTAATTAGGTAAGGTTTGATGCCTTATTGTCTGCGTAGCCCAATCATGTTGCACAAATGGAACAGGCCTAGCATAAACAGGCACCCAAACAGCCTGTGAAGAACTTGAAGGCTGATAATAATCCGTATTATGGTGGTATCTCGCACCTCGAATTTGAGTTACAATGGCCTCCTCATATTTCGGCGGAGACACTTCTCTTCCTGTATAACCAGGCAAGTCACTGTTATTTGATCGTATTACCATTTCTGAACGAAATGAAGGAGGTCCTGACGATGGTACAGAGGAATCAATCGTTTCATTATTGTTCCTAGGCCAGAAATTACAGCAAAAGTATTTGTTGATGGTGGGCCAATACTTTGTCTTGTAAAATAGGATTCGTACCGAGAGTGCCAAAAGACAGAATGAAATCACTGTACACACTGTTACAACAGCAATGATGGTTGAATTATGCTTGTTTTCTTCGACATGGTCTTGTACATGTTTGTTGCCATCGCTACCTGAGCCTGTCACAGGTTGCGTGGTGTTACCGATAGATGTTGTATTGATATGTCGGGGCGTGGTTACTAAGAAGCAACTGTCCTGGTCACACGTCAGGTTATCCCAGACATGCATTGCGTCTGTCGCATTGGACTGTTCATAGTGGTGACATACAGTGCTTGTACTACAGTCATCTGGATGAGAAAGGGATTAGTATTATAATTGTCGGTTTAAGAGATAAATAGATGTACGATATCTACCTCCATCGTCATCGTCGCCCGATGATAGGCAGTAGTTGTAGAATTCATAACCGTAATTTTGATGTGTCACAGCGCAGGCAGAATTGACGTTGTCCCCTGTTGTTGAATAAGGAGTGGCCAAAATACAGTCATCGGTGATACACATGGCACAGTATTTGCATAAGCCATTAACACAGCCTCCACCGCTGATAAAAGCACAATCGCCCTGGATGCTATAAAAAGGGAAGAGCGATAGCAAAATAACGATGATAACAATCATGATGTAAAGAAGGAGAAAGAAAGAGAAAGAGAAAAAAGAAAAATAAATGTATATCACTCTTTTGTGTTAAAAAAGCAAACAAATAAACAATTATAGTATGACGCTATCAAAAGAAGTATGTTTATTTTAATGTTGCATCATTTTTAGGCTTGTGTTTTCTTCAGCGAGACGTTCTACTTCAGCCAAGAGTTCAGCTTGCATCTTCTTCATGTGTTCTAATTGTTGTACTGTTCTAGTTAATAAGGCAGCTTTACTCAATTTCTTATTGGAGCAGCCAGGTAAATGACTTTTCAAGATATCGAAGCCGTCCTTGATTTGAGCACGTCTCTTTTGTTCGGATTGTATGTGAATCTGTCGACGCATTTCATTCGTACTAAGAATCCTTGAATAAAAGGTTAGGGTTAAATAATAAAAGAGAATGGGCGATGGGTGCTTACTCTTCAGGGTCACCAGCGTCTTCTCCCTGATTTAATTTCTTGCAAGGTTCATCGTTATTAGAGTCCGTTCTCTTTCTTTTACGTCCATCGTATGATTTTTTGGAATACTCGAGAAACTCTGTTTGATAGAATTCAGCAGGAATGGCATTTGCGCGAGCAATTGTTTCTTTGACACGATCTTCTGTTGAAGGTGGTGGAGTTAAAGGAGTGACAAGACGTGGTGGAGAAGAGGAATGTAATCGAGGAGGAGGGGTACGTGGTGAGTTATTTGAAGAAGAGATGGAAGAAGAACTGCTCTTGACCATCATTTCGTTTTGATTATAGTAAATTTGTGTTGGGGGAGGACCATACACCACATTGTGTGGGGGATATTGCATAATATGTTGTTGTTGTTGTTGCTGTTGGTAATACTGAGGAAGGTTGCCATAGACAACAGGTGGTTCATGTAATAATGGCTGAACATATGTATTTTGTTGTCTAATATCGTTAAAGAGTGTGCTAGACATGATTTATTTATTGAAGGAATGTATGGTGGGTTGGGTAAATGTATATAAAAAAAAAGATAAAGAGAAAAGATAATAAAAAAAAAAACTCTTCTTAAGTGGCAAGTTTTTTTTTGCTTTTACCCCTAAAAATTTAGTAGTCCCTGTCCCGATCTTGAAAAATACCCCGTCAGTAGCTGAGCATTAAAAAAATTACAGCCATTTTCAAAAAGAATAAAAAGTATCCCTCATACTCGTTTAAATAAGGAGTAAAGATTTACAATTGCAATTTCTATTGTGTTTGTGTTCAAAAACACATTGACCTTTATTATTCTTTTTGCCTATCTATCCGTCATTCTGATAAAAGACATGTTCATCGGCTGTTCAAAATAAAAAAAAGATATGCTTTTGCAAGTAAGAAAGATGGCAAAAGAACAGGCTTTGTCCTATCTGTCAATATCCTGTATGCATATTCTAGACTTTATGCAAAAAGGTTAAGACACGTGTTTACAAGATTTTCATATATTTGTGTACATAAACATCCAAAAAAATTCGCGTTACTTGATTAAAGAGGGGCTCTCTTTTTTTTTTGACACATTGCGGTAACACTAAAAAAAAAAGTGTACTATAAAAATCCTCCTTTTTATCATAGTTCTCCCTATAGTTACACATTATTATTCTGATTGATTCTTATTATACTTGAAACAATGGTTACCTGAACCATGCTTAGACTCATTTCCCCTCCCCCCTTCCCCATGAAAATCTATTATAAGGCTTTACCAGTAACACAAGTTTTATATGAGCTGTCTTTTTTTGTTTTCCTCATAGAAGTATCATCATGACTCCGTTTTTTATGTCTACAATTATGCATAACACAAAAAGTGCGCCTGATGAAATAAGAAAGCTACAGAAATGCTCAAACGCGCTCACTCACGTATGTGTTACTCCAAGTAAGCGATGACGTCGAAGGTTTTTGCCTCTACAAAGGCAACATGAAACTTGGGATTTTTTTTTGTTTTCAATTTTCTTTTTTCCTTTATATATTCACATACGTTTAGGGCAGTAGTTAGAACATGCACGATGCTTTTCAAGTAACCACAGTTGTGGATAAATTAACTCGCATCGAGTCTATTTTTGCTCACGGTAAGAAACAACTCATGAAACACAAGTCAAGGAGAGAGTTACTAAAGACATTATGTATAGGTGATCGACTTTTAATTGGTACAGGTGTTGGACAATTACTTGTATACGATACCAAAGAACCATTAGGTAATTTTACCACAAATAGCCTATTATACTTTCAACCTACAACTTTATTTTCTCAACAGTGGCCGATAATAATGAGGTACCTGAAGTCACTCTTGTACAAACCATCAAGAATTTCTCCAAAAGACCTATTGAACAACTGGATATTATCAAGGAAATCGATGTACTCGTCTCACTTTCAGGTACACACATACAACAGGGTTTAGAAAAGCATGTGTGATTAACATTCATCATAGATGGGTTGGTAAGTCTTCATGACTTGCGTTCGTTTGAATTGAGAATGGCTCTGGGAAAGACAAAGGGGGCTAATCTCTTTGCCATTCAAACCATGGTTGAAATGAGTCCCGAAGAACAAATTCCAGTTTTAACAACACGACTCGCAGTAGCAGTCCGAAAGAAGTTATTGGTATTTGTATGGAAAGATACCGAGTTTTTTGAAACGAAGGTAACACGCGAAACAAGAACAAAGGGCATTGACAAATGCATAAAGAAATACTTAAACCTTATTGTAGGAGCTGAATATTCCAGATCGTATTAAAGCCATGTCTTGGGTGGGAACAACCAAGATTTGCTTAGGATTTTCAACCGAGTATGCATTGATGGATGTAGAAAAGGGACAATTAACCGAATTATTTGCTCCCTCGGGCGTCGCAGAGGCAGGCCCCATGAGTACCCTAAACAGTCTCTATAACATGTCAATTGGTGCGAGAGGAGGAAAACCCATGATTACAAAAATCCCGAACAATGAGATGCTGCTGGCTCGAGATCATGTCAGTATCTTTTTGGGTTTGGATGGTACACCTACACGGAAAGTTGGTATTGAGTGGTCAGGTACACCCGAACAAATCGGTTACTCTTACCCTTATGTCATTGCAATTCTTCCAAAACATGTCGAGGTGCGAAACATTCAAACATTAACTCTTGTTCAACAAATTGAATTATCAAATGCAAGGTTTTTAAACCAAGGAAAATTGGTCTATGTTGCTAGTACCTCTCAAATATACCGCTTGACACCATATAGTTTCTCATCCCAGGTATAATAGATTTATTGAAGAAGCATCATCACACGACTAATTATACATATAATATAGATTGATCAATTGGTCGAAAAGCAGGAATATAAAGAAGCTGTCAGTCTCTTGGATCAGATTGATGCAGTTCTTGTTGAAAACAAGGAAAAGAAATTAAACGCGATTCGAACAGCTTATGCGCATGATTTATTCCGTTGTGGAGAGTACGATACAGCGTTAGGATTATTCCAAGAACTCGACACACCACCGGCAGAAGTAATCAGCCTGTATCCCGAAATGATCTCGGGTGCTCTGGCGAAATCAGGGTCCATGCATGCAGACGATGAGGAAGACGATAATGTCAGCATCATGTCCACGCATACCAAAAAGCGTAAAGACGTCCTGGAAGAGCATCATGATAGACCTTCCAGTAGAGCTTCAATAAAAAGTCGTGCCAATACTGTGGCAAGTCATCATAGTGGTAGCCATCTTAAAAAGAGTGAGACCGTTCCATTGACCGGACTCAATCTCCGTGATGCTGTCACCTACCTGATCCGTTATCTTACCGATAAGCGACAGAAATTAGCTAGGCGCTTAACTCAGCGACCTGCATCTACCAAAACGTCTTCAGACAAGTCTTCAAATGTGGAAGAGGATGATGACTGGCTTTACCAAGCTACCCTAGTAGATACCTCGCTTTTAAAGTCGTACATGATGACCAACGATGCGCTTGTGGGACCATTACTTCGTGTTCAAAATCATTGTGATGTAGAAGAATGTGAAATTATTCTGATGGATAAGAAGGTAAGTTAAACGAATTCTTAAGAGACATTTCTTTAATTAAAAGAAAAAAATCTTGTTTATAGAAATACAAGGAACTTGTTGATCTTTATAATTGTAAAGGATTACATGCAAGAGCATTAGACCTGTTGGAAAAGTAAGATAAGACCGCAAGGGGGGTTTTAATTTAAAGGGGGTAGAGGGAGAGAAAGATCATTTCCAACTAATGAATCAAACTCAAGGTTAGGAAAGCAAACCGATGGCCCATTAAGAGGAGTACTGCCAACAATCCGTTATTTACAAAGATTGGGCTTGGATTATTTTGAACTTGTATTAAAGTATTCTCGCTGGGTATTGGAGAAAGATCCCAAACACGGCATGGATGTAAGCATGGGGATTATCCGAACCTGAAAAAAAAAAAAACCTGGTTACTAAAAAGATTGAAAGATTTTTATCGATGATTTAGCAGAGGTAGAAACTTTTCCTCGTGAGAAAGTTTTACAACATTTGGAATCCATTTCGAGCGATCTTGCAATTCAGTATCTCGAATACATCATTGAGGAGTTACATGATGAATCGCCCGAGTTTCATAATAGGCTTGTAATTGCTTATCTTGACAAAATTAATGCTGATAAGAAGGACGATGGTAAATTTGTTTCTCCAGTTACCAAAAAAAAGTGGCTGATATGTTTATACTAGTTGATAAAGAAAAGAAAAATCGTGTACGATCTAGACTTATCTCGTTTTTAACCGACTCATCGCATTACAAAGCAGAAAAGATATTATCTCGGTTACCCATAGATGGTATACATACAAAAGATAACAATCAAATATGTACTTACTTGTTATTTTAGACCTTTTTGAGGAACGTGCCATTCTGTTGAGCCGTATTGGGCAACACGATCAAGCTCTAGATATCTATGTGTACAAGCTCAAGAATTACGTCATGGCAGAAGAGTCGGTATAATTGCCACCTAGCATTACCTCCCTTACTAACTCTTTTACAGATACTGTACAAAGGTGTATCAAGAAGATCCCGTCAAGGGAGAAAAAATGTATTTGACACTCTTAAAAGTATATCTGCAGCCAAGTAACAATCAAAAGCCACTTACCGAGCCCGCACTAGATTTGCTTGCGCATCACGGTTCCCATATCAACGCTAGCGAGGTCTTGGCCATCTTGCCTACACCAACCAAATTACATGGGTTATTTCCATTTTTTGAAAAATACATTCGAGAGACCAACAAGAATCGTAACATGGACTTGATTGTCAAGAATTTATTAAAAGCCGAACAAATTCAAGTGGAAGAGCAGCTCATGTTTTATAGGTCGAGAGCTGTCAAAATCACAGATGATCGTATGTGTCCTCAGTGCAACAAGAGAATCGGAAATAGGTATTTTCATGTGTAATTTTATTATAAATCCGAGTCTAACGATTATTCAGTGTGTTTGCCGTGTTTCCAAACGGCGTAGTTGTTCATTACTCTTGTAAAGAGAAGATCGAACAAACTCAATGGAAAATATTATAATACCCTCTACCTACCTTTTTTTTTTTTTTTTTTTTTTTTTTTTTGGATAAAATGTCATTCAGGCTACGTTTGAAATAACAAATAACAATACTATCTTGATTTATGTTGTATCGGATCAACTCGTACGTTCAATGATAGGAAGGGGATGTCTAAAAAGGTATAAAGGTCGATGCAAATGCTGTGAAATGCCTCTGTTTTGTTGTTGTTTTGTTGTGTTTTAGTTTTTGTTATCGATAAGAGTATGGTAACACTCAATATTGTAACGATTATTATATTTCGTGTTTTTTGGATAGATAAACGTTTTTTTTTTTCGATATAAAAAGAACCAATTGATATCTGTCTTTCTTTTCTCCTCCTTATCTTATATCGACATACGCATTTTTTTCTCTACATTTCACAAAATGGAAAGCATTTTTTTTAGAACAACCATCGTGATCAAGTATTCATACCCAATAGTACAAGCACAAACAAGCATGGTCCAGTCCACGTCAAGTTCAACCGCCACAACAAACGCAAGGACTTCTTGTGCCGTCTGTGGATCCGAATTGCATATGACAAGTAAGGAGTTTATAATACAATGCTTCATATAAAAAAAAATTTATACTAAACAAAACAAAATACCCGTATTTAGAACATTGTCCTGTGCACCCATAAAAGCCTTTCTTATCAGCTTCTGTTGTACAGTGCTCACGGCACCAATTCGCACTGTTTTAAATAATCCCCCTGCACTTGTAATATAATCATTTCACGCACCTTTCAATTGGCCAATTTATTCCAATTCGCGCTTCTTTCATACATACTCTTAATTTGCGTAGTTTCCAACCTTACTCATGCTACGAAAATTAGGAAGCAAAAATAAAATATCTTGAAAGTTCAATAAAATTTATATTTGAACAGTAAAAATCATGGCTTACTAAAATGTCTTTGTCATTGACACAAATGCTATAAAAAAAAAGTTAAAAGTTTTGATATTCAATGACCTAATTAGATGAAGTCTACTTTCAAATGGTATCCAGCAACATGAAACCCAGATTTTCATAGATTTAGACAACGATGTAAATATAAAACAGGCGTACACTAAGATGGCAGGTTAATAAACATATTTGTACACTATTCAAACTTCGCCACGTTCCGATAAGAATACATAATACCCGTAGTATACATCAGTGAAAGCAATGATAGACTTGAGCTATTTTGAATCTTCAGTTATTGCAATAATTTTGGAGGCTACTCCTCCCTACAAGATTACTTTATTAAAGTAATTTGCGGTTTCACTTCTATTATTCTCCATCTTTTCTTGTTTTTATTCTAACACTATTTTTCAACTGTGTGTTGTAAGCGCTGTACCATGCTATACGATTATAAATATACAAAATTGTATTCTTCATATCATAAATAACAATAAAAAAATTTATTAAACTAATTCCTTCAAGACCCTTATAAAATCTTGGTTTGAATCCACCTTCCAGTTGGCCAAGGTTTTCCTATTATGAGAACCCACGCACACGGTAAATTGAAGGATTGGATTTCCACCCAATTCGATTCTCTCCAGCGTCCGGAACATGTCTTCATCCGTTTTATCGTCACCGGCACACAAGATAAATTCAACATCGGGATTTTGCGTCAAAGCGCGCTTAATAATGACACCCTTGTTGACAAGACTTGGTCTAATTTCTACATTCATTTTACCCGTGATGCATTCAATTGGTAATTTACCGACCACACTTTGTTCCAAATGGTTTTGCATTTCCATGGCTTGGAACGCCCTAATTATCTATTGTTAATATACATGAATTATTATTGTTTTTCAAATGTTTTCGAGATTACCCGTATTTCGGATCGGCTTTACGATAATGCCAAGTTAAAGAGCATTCTTTCTGTTCAATGAAACTACCTGGCGTACGCTCAGTGTAGTATTCAAATATTTCCATTACGTCATCTTTCCAAGACATGTCGACGTTCTCAAGCATACTGACCCATGTCTCACTTTTAGGGTCTCGAATAAAGCAACCATGCTCACTGGATAATCCAAGATTGGGAATATGTCCTAGCCATTCTTCGAGGTAATGCTTTGAAGAGCAATGATATGGTTAGAGCGAATATTTTTTAATATCTTTAAATTTGTATACCTTAGATCGACCGGAAATGACCCAAACTACATTTTGAGGGTTTCCCGCAAGTTTTGTCAGAACCTCAAGTAACTCGTCTGATGGTTTTGCTAATTCAGGATCGGTACAGATTGGCGATAAAGTTCCCTATTATACATTTTGCGATAAATAAAAAGACGTATACATCAATTTTTGTTCCATCTTACATCATAATCAAAGAAAAATGCAGATTTTCTCCTATGCTCATATTCAGTCTTGACTCTGGTGACGTTCAATGGAGAAGCGCTGGCCCAGATATTTTTGGGCACGTTTATTAATCCATTAATCAACGATCTTGCCCAGAAACCAGCGGTATGGGAATTGACAAATTGTTGGAGTTGCTTTGACATATTATGAGTAACTACACACTTGGACGTATTTGAAAATAAAATAAACTCACCTGGTATCTTGATAGTTTCTCCTCGTCACTCATGGACAAACACTCAGCAATGGCACGTGCAACTTCGGGGAAATTCCATGGGTTAACAATAACAGCATCACCCATACTACGGGCGGTGCCAGCAAATTCTGACAGAATAAGTGGACTGTGATGCTCTTCTTGTGCGACAATATATTCAAAGCTGGCTGTATTCATGCCATCAATGACGGGTGTGACTAAGCCAATATCAGCCACTTGAAGCAAGGCATAATACTCATCACGATCGATATGTTGATTAAAGAAATTAGCGGGAGTGAACTCCAAGGATCCATATTTGGCGTTGATACGACCCACAATTTCGGATGCTTTATTTTCAAGCTCTGAAGAGTTTAAAACGCCAGGCGAAGTGACTTGAATGAGCACTACCTTCTCACGCCATTCGGGGTTGTCTTTCAAAAATAATTCAAACGCCTCTAATTTTTGCAGAACGCCTTTGACGGGATCCAATTTATCTCTTCCGATAATAATTTTCTTTCCGGCGTACCTTTCACGAATGGCTTTTACTTTGGGGGCTACACCGGGACGATGACAGTGATAGCGTGTTCGTTCCACATCGATGCCGATAGGGAAAACGCCTATTTGAATCAGAATGCCATTCCCAATAATGCCAGAAGGTGTGTACTCATAACCTAAAATACGAGTACAATTGGAGGCGAAGTGACGACCGTAATTGTAAGTCTGGAACCCTACCACATTAGCACCCAGAATTCCAGTCAAAATTTCCTTGCGATCTAATAAAGAAAATTCAACAGACTTATACCAAATAAAAAAAGCAGGGACTTACGAGGGAGACATCTAAATATTTCAGAACTGGGGAATGGCGTATGAAGAAATAGGCCGACGGGAGCGCTTGGTAAAGCAGCACGAATGATTTGTGGAACAAGCATTAAATGATAATCGTGCACCCAAACTACATGCACATGGTGAATACACGATAATTATGGTTTAGCACTTGAGCTTACTTATATCTCCTTCTACATAGTTTTTGATGGCTTCTGCAGCATACAATTCGTTGACTTTGACATAATCGTCCCAAAACTTGAGTTCATCCACTTTATCCGACCACATCAAATAATGCATTAATGGCCAAAGAACTAACAAGAAAAAAAAAAGTCCCGGTTGATCTATATTAGGAAATGTCCGCTGTGACACATAGTTGATATTTTACCTTGTTTACTATAACCTTCATAGTGCCCAAAAGATAATTTATCATCTACAAAGATAGGAACCATATCGTATCTGGAGCGTAACAGATGTCTTAGAGACTCTCTTTCTTCATCATCAATTGTGGCGACCTCTACAGGCAATTTCTTGTCGTTGTTTGTGGTGATAGACCCGGTACCACCAATGTAAAGGGTTCGGTAATCCTTTTTAAGAGAATCGAGAGCGGCATACATTGCCGAGTGACCTCTTCGAGTTGACAAATGCCAAATGTTTGTCTGACCAAGGGCGGCGACAGTTGAACGTCTTCTTCTTTCTAGATGAGAAATTGGTGTAGCATCCAGAGATTCCTGATTGTTTAGGTTGGCCAATCTTATTTTCTCGAGCAAATCTTCGTCTTCAATATCATGATTGTTGATCAAGCACTTGTAAGGAATCTGATTTACGATATTAATCACCTTTCCCTTCAACTTTTTGTTGCTTTCTTCATAATTGAAGATGGATTTCAATTGACTTGTATCGATTGACATATTTTTTGTTCTTTTACTAGAAGGGAAAAGGGAAATTAGAAAAAAAAATTATCCAAGACAGTTTTATCCATGAGAATCCCTTGCATTAATTTTTGACAAATTTGAAACCTTGATGGTTACATCACACCCACGCTTTTGACATCACATCTTTTTTTTTTTATTATTTTACCCCTTTTTTTGTTGTTGTTCTCTTTTGAACGCTCTTTTCTCTCCTTTTTATTTTTTTATTTTTTTTTTCTGCAAGAACATACACACACACACTCACACACCAAAACTAGGAGAGATATAGAAATGACGCCGACCGTGACAGATGATTTTATAAGTTTTGGTCAATTTCCTGTTGATCCTTGTGAAACAATTCAAGTGAAAAGATACAAAAGTTCAAAAACGGGTTTAACAGCTGTTCATGCTGATGTAGAAGGTAATAGCCTCATGATGACACATGTCACTCTGTGGCTAATGCATTTTTTTTTTGATAGGTCCTCTTGTCAGTGGATTCCTTGCTTTAGCTACCAAAGGTAAAAAAAGAAAAAGAAAACAACCATGAAACGTGTCGATTTAATCATCCCCCCTCCCCTTGTTTTCTTCTTCTCTAAACAGTAATGAACGACGATGGATGTCCGCACACACTTGAGCAGTACGCACTCCAGAATATAACATATATCACTATCTAATCGCTCTTTTTTTATTTACTAGTCTTGTATTTCTGGGTAGTGAGAAATATCCATACAAAGTATGCCAACAACCGATACAATCATATTACTTTTTTTAAAAAAAAATAACAATGAAATCCATAGGGTGCGCTTGATTCACTTGCTCCAAGAGCATATGCTCCCGGAACTAACGCGTGGACAGATATTGATCACACTTGTTATAGTAAGTAGTACATGTTCAAGATTTACAGCCTGCAAGCTTAACCATATTTATTTTGTAGCCATAACAACGGCTGGAAGTGATGGATTTCTGCAACTTTTACCCGTTTATGTAGATCATATATTATTTCCTACATTAACAGATGAGGGCTTCTATACGGAAGTTCATCATATCGATCAGAACGGAGAGGACGCTGGTACGTGTATAACATTACACAAATTTTTGATTACGGCTAATTTTTGACTATCCTTACCCCTCTTTTGCTTTCCATTTAGGTGTAAGTCTGCAAAAGAAATAAATAATCTAATCTAAATGTTTAACGTTATAATTATTCAGGTTGTTTACTGTGAAATGCAAGCACGCGAGAATTCAATGAACGATCGAATGCAACGAAGATTGCAGCATTTAATCTATCCTAAAGAAAGTGGATATCAGAACGAATCTGGAGGTTTGATGGAGAACCTTCGAACTCTAAAAATTGAATCAAGTAATAATAACAAGAAAATTCATAATAAACAAAAAATAATAATTCTTCTTTCTGATCTAGTCCGACAGTACCACAATCAGTTTTATAAACCCGATAACTTGGTGATTGTCATAACAGGAAAATTAGATCAAGTTCATCTCTTGTCAACTCTGGAACAAATCGATAAAGCAATTTTGGATAGACATAACTACACATTACCATGTCCCATAAAACAGCCTTGGATGCCTGCTCCACACATACCGGATTTACAAAGCGATCACATTGAAACTATTTACTTTCCGGGCGAAGAAAATAGCATGGGTGAAATTACTGTTACCTGGCTAGGTCCCAAATGGAATGCTTTTCTACAGATCCAAGCCATACATATGTTGAATGCTTATCTCAGTGACACCCCAATCGCTCCCCTGAAAAAAGTATTTGTAGAAAGAAACGATCCTTATTGTACAGAATTAGACTTTAGATTTGCCGAAAGAAGTAGAATGGCAATCACTGCCAGTTTTCAGAATGTGCCCTTGAACAAAGCCGACGAGATTGTGCCAACATTGATTTCTACTTTGCATGAAATCGTAAATACTCAAAGTATTGACATGGAAAGAATGATTGCACTGATCAGAAAAGAAAAATTAAAGGTAACTTACACATTGCTCTTATTCCTTGTTGATCTTTAACAATAACATCCTTGTTTGTCTTATAGTTTCTTGATGAATATGAAACTCAGGCTACATATATGGTAGCTCTGCCGGCAATCACAGGTATGATTTGTGTGACATCTTTATACTGTGTTATTTTCAATAACATTATTCTTTTAGCTTGTCTTTATGGAGATATTGGTAGTGACGATTTCGTAAATGCTTTACAACAAGCAAAGTATTTGGACGTCTTGGTAGATTTTACAAAAGAGGATTGGTTGCATCTTTTGAAGCAGTAATTATTATACTACACTATTTGTCTCAAGTGTTCAGGACTAATAGTACTACTCAATTACTTTGTAGAACTTATATCGATGCTGCCTACACTGCCCTTATCGGTAAACCTTCAATATCTATGTCCACAGAATTAATACAAGATGAGCAAAAGCGAACAGAGACGCAACGAGCGATGCTTGGAGAGGAAGGCCTTAAAGTGCTGGGTGCTAAATTAGACCATGCAAACCGCATGAATGAAGCCCAAATTCCATCTAGAATCATGGAAGGATTTCCTATACCCAGCGTCTCCAGTATATCATCCATTGAAGTGTTGACCGCTGTCAACCCATACAATCAACGGGCTGTCTCTCTGCCCAGGAACCGTGTCCAAGCACATGTCAGTAGAGACGGTCATGTGAAGGATATTCCTTACTTTATCCAATACGACCGTATGTAATTTTTATCTGTTTCACCTTTTATTTTTCTCCCAGCAACTCGAGCTAATCTTTTATTAGATATTCCATCGGCCTTTGTAACTATATCTGTGTACATGAACACATCGTTTATGCCTTCTCATTTAAGACCGTATGGAAGAATGTATATGGACACAATATTCGCTTCGCCCATTTGTATCGGCAATACAAACTATATCAATCACGATGATGTTATTCAAAAATTAGACTTGGATATCATTTCGTATGATGCTTCTTTGGGTTACAAAGCTGCGTTTCGTGAGTACATTGTGGTCACTATCAAAGTCGAAGTAAGAAATTTTTAAGTGTTTCTAGTTAGAATGTCATGTCTAAAAATCTGTTTATTTACTTTTTTTAGGCTAAAAAATATGCCGCAGGCGTAAATTGGTTACAACATCTTATGTGGAACATTCAATTCACTCATGATAGGTATATTTTAGAGAGAGAACGTACACTCACACAAGTTATATTAACGGCAACGTTAAATAAATAGACTTGTTGTAGCAGTAAATAAAACACTCAATGATATTCCACAAGCAAAACGGAGTGGAAAATTAGTCACCGACTGGACAATTCGTGCTATTCACACGGATATTACAAAGTCTACAGAAGCCTCCTGTAGTTACTTGTATCAAGATACTTTTCTTCCTCGGGTATTAGAAAATCTGAGAAAGAACCCAAATCAAGTCATACAGGATATGAATGATTTTAGATCTATTTGTAAAGTAGAGCAAATCTTGTTTATTTGTTTTTTTTTTCTTATTTCTAACATTCAATTTATAGTGTGTCGAGGTGAGAATTTGCGAGTACATGTGATGGGAAACATATTAAACCTCAAAAGACCAAAGAGTGTGTTTAAATCTTGGAAACGCTGTCAGGTATAGAAACACACATGCAAATCAATCATCTCGCCCTAACACCTATTACATATCCAGGGCAAATTTAAATCACTACCACCTGTAATTAGATCAAAAGATGCATTTGGAATTTTTGGCCGAAGGCCTGGTCATTGTGTAAGTTGCATTAAATCATTTATTTATTTTTTCAAGAAAAATAAACTAAACCCATTGCACTACTAGACGTCAATTGTAGTGCTACCATCGACGGAAAGTTCATTTTCCATTCATTCCGCCAAAGGACCTTCTGATTTCGACTCCCCAGAAATACCACCATTGTTAGTACTCATGGAAATGCTACATGCAATGGAAGGTGTCTACACACGTCTTGTCCGTGGTCTTGGATTAGCTTACAAATGTTGGCTATCAAATTTGACTGAGGCTGGATTAATATCTCTGTGCATACTTCGATCTACAAATATCCTCAGTGCCTTTGAACATGTCAAAAACGCAACACATCAATTAGCCAACGGAGAGATATTGTTTGATGCATATGCCTTAGAAGGTGCAAAAAGTAGCGTGATCTTTGATATCGCAGATTGTGAAAACACTCGAGAAGTGGCTGCAGCACAATCGTTTATAAACAAGGTGTTACGACAAAGCAAAAGGCAAAAACGTGATTTCTTCAAGGCTGTTCAGGTATAATATATAACCAGTTTTATAAAGCAAGTTACTAAATTATCAATGAAGGATGTCACAATGGACGATATTATCCAAATTCTGCTCAAGTATATTGTGCCTCTTTTCGATTCCAACACTTCAAATCACGTCATTGTTAGCTCTAGTGCAAAGAGTCAAGAAATTGCACAATCATTTTTTCTCATGGGTCACCCCTCACAAGTCATTAAAGTCGAAGACGTGTATGGCAGAAATCTCTTTCAACAAGTAGAATAGAATTACTTTTTTTTCACCCGACGCCAGTATATATTTAATGTACAAATTTAAACCAAAACAAACAAAAGCAAACTTCATTGGCAACGTCTCATTACTTATCCCCTCTTGCCAAATCCTTTCTTTATAATAAATTAAATAATAAAATGTCCTACCATATTCTCACTCACTCACGGCATTTTTTTTTTTTTTTTTTTTTTTTTTTTTCGTGTAAAAGTAAAAGATTATGCACGCCCTGCATTTTTCATTATAAAATAAGGATAATGGCGCAATGCATATAAAAACAATAACCCCATGGTGTTGCAGGTAAATGTCATACAATAACCTTAAAAACAGGCGTTATACATAAATAGGCTTGACTTTTTAAGTAATGCGTTCAACTATTTACACTCTGTGCTGATTACTAATACACGTGCATAACTTGCACCAAAAACCAACAATTCAGAAAGCTTATCAAACACGCCATTGTCACCTGATGCCGGACGACAGCAAACTAACCAAAGGTTAATTTTAACCACTCTAATGGTAGCACTCATAAAAAAATTGACGCGCACCCGCAAAAAATAGATTGGCTCAACAGACAATGTTGATATAGCAATACGGATTTAGTCAATTGAAGTCAACAAGGAACGTTCTGTATTTTTTTTTTTTTTTTTTTTTTTTTGCGTATCAACGGTCCTATTATGAGAAGGCAAGAAATATCAGGGCATAAATCAAAAGTATTCCTATTTTTTATAAACAGTAATTTAAACAGATTATTATGCTTAGTCTCTTCTCTTTTTAGTTCTGCCGGCATTTTGTAATAAAACAAAGTCTATTATTACCCCTTTTATACATTACGGACCAAAATTATATGAAATGTCAAATCTAAGCCGCTATGTGACTTGGTTTACTCGTATGAATGTCAGCCTTTTTTTCCACTTTTATGAGAGTGGGAGGATTGTGATATCTGGGATATAAACTATTTCTCGCCTTACAGACTTTTTTTTTTGTTTTAGAAAAAACGATTTCAGACATGGCTGAAGAATCTTCGAAGTTATTGTTGAAAACTAGGTATGCCCCAATATTCGAAACCTTTAGAGCGATTCTCACACTTTACGTTTTCAATTTAGTTTCAAATCGATCAAGACGATCGAATCGATTTACACTGGTGGTAAAGTCGTTATCACCGAGGACGCAAAGTTCTTAATATCAACACTCGATGAGGATATTGTTGTTACCGAACTCGAAAGCGGTAAACAAGTTCACAAGTTGGAAGGTGTACGTGCATTTTTTCTCTCTCTTTTTTTGGAATTTAAGTTTGTATACTTTTGACGTGATATTAACAAAAGTTTTTTTTTTTTTTTAATAAATAGGATACAGAAATTGTTACAACTATGGCTGTTAAGCCCGATGGAAAGCATTTAGTCAGTGCCAGTCGAAGTTTGTTTCTTCGTGTTTGGGATCTTGAAAAGGGAGAGAGTATCCGTACATTTAAAGCTCACGATGCACCAATTATTGTTATGGATATCGACAAGACGTCAACATTAGTAGCTACAGGTTCTGCAGACGCCAGCATTAAGATTTGGGATATTGATAAGGGATTTTGTACTCACAACCTCAAGGGTCACGGTGGTGTTATTTCAGCTGTCAAGTTCCATAACTATCAAGGTAAATGGTATGTTGCCTCTGGTGCCGATGATTGTCAAGTCCGTATTTGGGATTTGCAAACTCGTAGCTGTATTGCCGTTTTGCAAAGTCATGTCAGTGTCATTCGTGGTCTTGATTTCTCTGCCGATGGTAAATATTTGATTTCCGGTTCTCGTGATAAGGTTGTCAATGTTTGGGATTGGCAAGCAAAGGAATTGAGAGCCACTCACCCTATTTTTGAAACTATCGAAACTGTTGGATTTTTGGAAAAGAATGTGAAACTTGCTGGAAAATTTGGCAAGCAATGGCAGGATGCTGATATTTTTTATACTGCTGGTGATTCCGGAATTATTAAACTTTGGGACCTAAAGTCCGGTAAATTGATCAAGGCTCAAGAACCCGAAAAGAACAGTGCACACACTATTTCAGATGTCATTTATGTCCAAAAGACTCAAATTTTAGCCGCCGTCACCAACGATCAAAATATTTTGATGTATTCATTAGAGCATAAATTGGAGCGTGTCAAGCAAATTGTCGGTTATAACGATGAAGTAGTTGATGTTGCATATTTGGGCGAGAAGGAAACACATTTAGCTGCTGCTACCAACAGTGCTCAATTAAGAGTCTACAACGTCGGAACACAGGATTGTGATCTTTTATATGGTCACAATGATATGATTATTTCGTTGGATAAGTCCAAGGATGGTAATCTTGTTGTTACAGCATCTAAAGATAAAACAGCCCGTATTTGGAAAATCGATTTAGAAAACGAAGATCAAAATGAAAGATTTAAGAGCGCTGGTGTGTGTATTGGTCACACAGAATCTGTCGGTGCTGTTGCTCTTTCCAGAAAATCCAACACATTCATGATTACTGGTAGTCAAGATAGAACCATCAAATACTGGAATTTGAGAGATTTAGATTTAGAAGACCCCGATGAAGAATATAGACCAAAGTCCTTGTATACTCACCAAGCTCATGAAAAGGATATTAACACCATTTGTGTTGCACCCAATGACAAATTTTTTGCCACTGGTTCACAGGATAAGACAGCCAAGCTCTGGAATGTGGATACTGGTGAATTAGTTGGTACAATGAAGGGACACAAGCGTGGTGTTTGGTGTGCACAGTTCTCCCCCGTTGATCAAGTTTTAGCTACCAGTTCCGGTGATAAAACTGTAAAGATTTGGAGTTTGAAGGATTTCACTTGTCTCAAGACTTTTGAAGGTCACACAAATTCTGTCTTGCGTGTCGATTTCTTGACAGCTGGTATGCAATTAGTCTCAGCTGCATCAGATGGCTTGGTCAAGGTGTGGACAATCAAAACAAACGAATGTGCCTCAACACTTGATAATCACACACAAAAGGTCTGGGCTTTGGCTATTCGTAAGGATGAAAAGGTCATCGTCTCTGCCGGTGCTGATTCCGTCATTAATTTTTGGGAAGACGTTACCTTGCAAGAGCAAGAAGAAGAATTAAAGGATAAGGAGGAGTTAATCATCAAGTAAGTAATCCTGCAATCAGTGTGCTTTATGACAAGGTATTCATTTATCTATTTTTTTTTTTTTTTTTTTTTTTTGTTTAGGGAACAAGAATTACAAAACTTCATGCGCAAAAAGGATTATTTAAACGCTATTTTATTAGCATTATCCTTAGAGCAACCTTTCCGTTTGTTAGGTTTATTTAGACAAGTTTTTGAATCAAGACCTGAGAACGATGAAAGTATCACTGGAGCAGAAAGCGTAGACAGAATTCTTGCAGAGATGTCTAAAGATAATCTCGAAAAGCTATTAGGCTATATCAGAGATTGGAATACCAACGCTAAACACTCAGACATTGCTCAAACTGTCCTTCATGCCATTCTTTCATCTCATACATCAGAAGAATTAGTAGAAATTCCTACTGCTAAAGAGGTAATGCCCACATATGAGCCCAAATTTTTATCTCTGAAATTAATGTTTTTTTCTATTCAGATTATTGATGGATTATTACCATACACCGATCGTCATTATCAACGTATTGATGATCTCATTACTCAATCATTTATCATTGATTATACACTTCAAGCACAAAAATAAGCAACTCCCCCTCTTTTTAAACTAAAAAGTTGTTAAATAATTTTGATATTTTGTAACATTTTTAATTATCAATAAAAACCTGTAATTTTTCTTTCCTTCTATCTGCGCCTAAATTATTAACGTTGCGGGCCCTTTCGTTACATATAGCGTTTTTTAAGGTGGTCCAGTGGACTTTTAGGTGGTCCAGTGGTTTTTTAAGGTGGTCCAGTGGTTTTTTAAGGTGGTCCAGTGGGTTTTTAGGTGGTCCAGTGGTTTTTTAAGGTGGTCCAGTGGGTTTTTAGGTGGTCCAGTGGTTTTTTAAGGTGGTCCAGTGGGTTTTTTAAGGTGGTCCAGTGGGTTTTTAGGTGGTCCAGTGGTTTTTTAAGGTGGTCCAGTGGGTTTTTAGGTGGTCCAGTGGGTTTTTTAAGGTGGTCCAGTGGTTTTTTAAGGTGGTCCAGTGGGTTTTTAGGTGGTCCAGTGGGTTTTTAAGGTGGTCCAGTGGGTTTTTAGGTGGTCCAGTGGGTTTTTTAAGGTGGTCCAGTGGTTTTTTAAGGTGGTCCAGTGGGTTTTTAGGTGGTACAGTGGTTTTTTAAGGTGGTCCAGTGGGTTTTTTAAGGTGGTCCAGTGGGTTTTTAGGTGGTCCAGTGGTTTTTTAAGGTGGTCCAGTGGGTTTTTAGGTGGTCCAGTGGGTTTTTTAAGGTGGTCCAGTGGGTTTTTAGGTGGTCCAGTGGGTTTTTTAAGGTGGTCCAGTGGGTTTTTAGGTGGTCCAGTGGGTTTTTTAAGGTGGTCCAGTGGGTTTTTAGGTGGTCCAGTGGGTTTTTAGGTGGTCCAGTGGGTTTTTAGGTGGTCCAGTGGGTTTTTTAAGGTGGTCCAGTGGGTTTTTAGGTGGTCCAGTGGTTTTTTAAGGTGGTCCAGTGGGTTTTTAGGTGGTCCAGTGGGTTTTTTAAGGTGGTCCAGTGGGTTTTTAGGTGGTCCAGTGGTTTTTTAAGGTGGTCCAGTGGTTTTTTAAGGTGGTCCAGTGGACTTTTAGGTGATCCAGTGGGTTTTTAGGTGGTCCAGTGGGTTTTTTAAGGTGGTCCAGTGGTTTTTTAAGGTGGTCCAGTGGGTTTTTAGGTGGTCCAGTGGTTTTTTAAGGTGGTCCAGTGGGTTTTTAGGTGGTCCAGTGGGTTTTTTAAGGTGGTCCAGTGGGTTTTTAGGTGGTCCAGTGGGTTTTTTAAGGTGGTCCAGTGGGTTTTTAAGGTGGTCCAGTGGGTTTTTAGGTGGTCCAGTGGGTTTTTAGGTGGTCCAGTGGTGATTCGAGTGATATGGCCCTATTAAAGATATAACAACCAGTAGTTATGGCATAAAGGATAGAGTCAACTTTTTACTTTTCTTAAATTTTATTATAAACGTTGTCATCGGTCATTTTCTAGTTATTTGGTAGCTGAGTACAATACAGAAAAACTGTAAACCTTGCGCGAATGTGGATTTCTGGAAAAACGCGAACCGGCCAGTAAATCAAAGTTTATAAATACACGAATTTTTTTAAAATTACGCAAATTTGTACCCTGAATATTATTATATTTAAAATTAAGGTGTAATGTAAAAACTCAAATCGCTTGGCGTTGTTCCACGTTTTCGGTTATGTGAATATCCAGTAGCTGGAGCTTTACACATAGATACCATGACTTCATCTAAGCGGATTATGACTAAACCTTTTTGCGCTAAATAAGCTATTTTAGGACGTAGTTAAAACTTTTTTTGTTTTTCCTGAAAAAAAGATGGCCTAATGCTCGGACCTTTTTGAATGGCATTTTATAGTTGAAATCCATGTAGGATACACATGGGTTGTCGGTGTGTTAATAGAGTCAGAATTATTATTTTTTTTAAAAAAAACAGAATTGTAGAACCGATTGTTTAATTTCCTTTAGCACATACTTTTGGAATCTGATGGATGGTGTATATTTGTTGAGTCTCAATAAAAAAAGGAGCCTATTTGTATAGCACACTTTTGCAATAATATTTTCAACAAAAGACAACAAATATTTACATAGTAGATGGATTATTTAATTTATTTACTGGTCTTGTAAGCAGAACCCTTAGTGTTACCAAGACATTCAGCGACACTAACGAACTTGTAGTTCTTCTTTCCCTTGATGTATGTGGTAACCCAAGGTACTAATTCAGAAACAGTCTTCTTGTAAACGTCATGATGAAGAGCGATGTGACCATGAGGCTTGGTCTTGGAGTCCTTTTCAATGACATTCTTGTAATTAGCTTGTTCCTTAGAAATGCCAGAGGTTTCGCTGTATCTCCAGTCATTGGAATCAATATCCCAGAGGATGATCTTATAGCCAAGACCACCAAGAGTGGTAAGGGTGGAAGAAGAGTATGAACCAGCAGGGGGACGCATGTAGGTAGGGTTCTTACCGAGGACAGAACGGAAAACAGTTTCCATCTTGGCCATTTCACTCTTGACAACAGTGGCAGATTGATCACCGAGCTCTACATGGTTATAGGTGTGACTACCGATTTGGTGACCACTATCGTAAACATGCTTGATGACTTGCTTGTAGGTCTTAGTACCAGCAGAAGTCTTAACAGACTGCGTGTTGACATCACTGAAATAAAGAGTTAGTTCATCTATAGTAAAAGTACTTGAGGCTATTCTTTTAAAAAAAAATACTTACACCCAGTTGTTACCGTTCATGAAGAAAGTAGCAGTAATACCAGCCTTCTTGAGGGTATCAGCTAAAGCCCAAGTGTATTCATATGGTCCATCATCGAAGGTTAAGGCGATAGTACCGGGAACAGTACAGGTGCTGATGATTTGTGCCTTGGTGGCTCTCTTATCGAGAGCGGGTGCTGCAGAAACAGCAGTGGCAATGGCAGCCAAAGTGATAAGGAAAGTAGAACGCATTGAGAAAAATGAAGGAAGGAAATGAACGAAAGTACTAGTTTGATAAAGAAAAACTGAATTATAAAAAGTCAATCATTTTATACCCTTTTTTTCGAAAAAAAAAATCCCAAAATAAATGGGATTGTACACCCGCAAAAACAAAAATCTAGTGTACCACAATTTCGTATTCCGGGTACAAAGGAATCGTTTCACGTCTTTGCGAAAATTTTAATGCAAAAAAAAAAAAATGACTTACGATATCTTGTTGAAAAAATAGCAACATGAGATTACCAATATGTCAATTAAAACTATAGCATCAACTGACTGAATAGGACCCATACCACATACCTTCAATTGAAGTTTTCCTAGTTATTCTATTTTTACATTATATTCATAAGCAGTTGCGTTTATGCGTGCTGTATTAAAAAGCCGCAATTGTGCGCCATCAAATGGCATAATAGTGTTGTATAACATGCTAACATCAAAAAAGGGGTTTCCTTTAGCATTAACCATCCCATCGTTCTGCTAAAAATACCTTTTACATTTTGAAAGCCATCTATATATTTTAATAATCCTATTTACGTTTTAAAGAAGTGTTAAGCCTACAATAAAAAGTACACAAGATCAGCTAAGGGGGAAAAATGATATCTTTACTTGGCATGTCTAGATAATCTATCGCATTAGGTACAAACAGTATCTTTTTTGAGGTACGGCAATACTTTCAGATCCTGCTACAATACAAAATATTCACTAATTAGGTAATCATAAACGTTGCTTGTATTTCCCGGGTCGAAAACATAATGTAAATTCCATTTATGGTAAACCCAACCTTATAATGTTGTACATCGTAATTAACCTGGAGGAGCTTTCAACTTTCTTCCGTTACACGAACATCACTCTGCTCTGGCCAATGAAAACAGAACTGGGCAATGTGGTTAATACTGAAAAAAAGCAACCCGCTCTTGTTTATGTCGTTGAACTATGTAATGTTAGGAAATCATCGCTGAAATATATATTTACACCGTTAATAATTACTCAACAGTGCTTCAAAAACTATGGTAGAGTAATTCAGTTTTATTTTCGCTTACCAAGCATGACTTATCTCTCCCTAACAGATATGAATTTTCTTGGTACAACTCTTTGCAAAACTTGTATCCCCAATAATAGTATAAATAATAGGACGATATTTATAGCACAATTTTTCGCCCTCCCTTTTTTTTTTTTTTTTTTTTTTTGTCATGTCAAGAAAATCGTTCATTTAAATCTTTCCGCCACTTGAACGAATTGAGCATTCGTTATCAATCAAATCTCTGTGTCTATTCTCCTTGGTTGATACTATGCCAATTAGATCCCTTTCTCTCGACACGTTAATCTCGAGTTAAATTAACAAAGTCATACTTATTGTCGAACAATGATACGGACTCTATAATTCTATAATTAAAATACCTTAATTTTAATTCTGCCATTCGTCTTTAACAATAGCACGCTATTGTCCGAAAAAACCACATCATTTTAGCGTGATTAACTATGGGTCATAAAGAAGCTGAAAAGGCGCTAAGTAACACGGACATTTTAGAATCGCTGTTCCCCCTCTTTGGCTTGTGCAACAGGCGGGTTAGAGGTATATAACATTTATACAGTGGCTATTTAGGATTTTGGATTTAGTTTTTTTTTAGTAGTTATAAAATTATATAAATGACACAAAACCTCTACTAGTCTATGTTCTGTTAGAATATCCAAATACAAAAATGAGAGACGTAAATTCGTATTATTAATTCTAGTCATTGAACAGTAATGGAATTACACATGAAAACAGGTTGTTGATCTATGTTACACCTTTTAAAAATAACTCAAAATAAAATTAAAACCCGAAAATATCTTGCGCTTTCCTTTCTGAGTAGCACTTTAACATTTATAACACATAACCTGCATGTCCAACTTGCTTACTTACTACAAGAACCATAGCCAGTTACACATAATTATGCATATATTTTGTAAAATTTATGCATGTTTCAATTAAAAAATGTTAGCATGTACAACGCCCTTTCAATTTTTGGTTTGCCCGAAATAGAAGAAAATCGTGGCCTTACCTGGAGCAGTAAGAATAATTTTTATCGGCATCATCCTGTTTTTCTCTAAGGTCGGCGGGCTAAAAGCGGGAGCAGCTGTAAGTAGAACGGAGAGTTGCCCAAAGTGGGAACAGTCTTAAGTACTTAGATAAAGCGGGAACTGTATTTTATTTATATGGTTATAAAGTTGGAAGCCGCTTGTTTTTTCCGTACCTCGACGCGTTTATTAAACCAGCATTAGTAGTACTATGTCTGTGTAGAATAGAAACTTCTGAGATTAAGTATATATATGTATGTCATAAATCAGGCTATCGAAGCCAATATAAATGATATCTATGCTACTGAGTCACGAGAAAACAAGGACGACCAAATCAGAAAAAAATTGTAGTAAAACTCACCATGAACAGCTCTGATACAAAATAGGTTTACACTATTAATTAGCACCATTGCAACATAAAAATATTCTTTCCGTTGAGCCTAATACAAAAAACCAGGTATTTTATAGACAGCTATAGTTTGATGGATTGACAGAACCTGTGATACAAATGCTAATATTTATACATATATAATATCAGACTAGTGAATAGTCAGCTAAAGTTGTAAGATCCCAACATTCACTTACCTCAAATCCTAACTGTCGGGCACTTCATCCATAAATGAGCTGGGTAAACCTACCATGCATTGCCTCCTATTTCTTTCAGAATATAACCATTTAATTGGATCAGAGTAACCCACCAAAGTAGTCCCACCAACTATCTCAAGATTCGATTTCTTCTCCCATCCACAGACACTCATTCGCAAAACTACCACCCCCAAACAATTGAATCTGGTAAACATTTTTCAAGATCTCAATCTTTACTCCCTCCACACACACCCCCCCCCCCCCATTTTTCAAGATCATTATCATTTTGGGCTCTCATCCCTCACCCTCCTAGCAACCATTAAGAAAAGCTGCTACCCCCAAATCTTTGAAGCTAGTAAAATTTTTTTAAGATCTCAATTATTATCCTACCCCCCATTAATTGAAGGTCACAATTGTTTGGCTGATAAAGAGCGTATTGTGACCTCTACCATATATTTGCTCCGCACAGCATCCTCCCCCCTCCCTTCATTTCTGTTTAGCTGGTAAAAACCAGATCACCAAAACTAACACCCCCAAGATCTCAAAATAAGTATACCTACGATCCCAACCTATTTTTTTCACCCCCCCCCCCATAACAAAATGAACAAAGTATCCCCCCAAGTTCTTGATATTTTTTGAGATCTCAGCATCACTTCATCCCCCCAAATATTTTTGGGATCACCACCAAGATTACTTCACCAAAACTAGTATCCCCCCCAATTATTTTAAGATAATATATTTCAAGATCTCTGTAACCCTCCCCCAATCGCCTAGTTACTTGCCCAACCACTCACTTACCCACCTACCCCCTCACTCAATGACTCACTTACCCACCTACCCACTCACTCAATCACTCACTTACTTACCTACCCACCCACTCACTTATACTTTATCACATCAAATTAAAACCCAAGTTTATATTGCCAATATATACCCTCCCTCCCCCCATATAATCAAATTGTGACTAGTACTTAACAAAGAAAGTGTCCCCCCCCCCTTTCTTTTTCAAATGTCGAGTAGTTAGTATTTTTTTATTTAATTCCCCCTATTTATTCAAGCTAATTGTGATTTATTTAGCGCTGGTATAAACTGAACCCCCCAAGTGTTCTTAAGATAATTATTTCGAGATCTCAGTGATGACCTCCCCCCCCCCAATATCATAGTTTTAGGCTGTAACGCTACTATCCCCCCATCAATATTGTAGATATCATACCATAAGGCTTATCTCCCCCAAAATTTTTGAACATAGTTTTCAAGATCTCAAGTTTTATCCCTCCCCCCCCCATATCACAGTTTATTGTTGCGATAAATCTCATCACCCCCCCCCCCCCAAATAGACTATTGCAAGCTAATAGATGATTCCTAAGATCTCAAGTCTCCCCCTCCCCCAAAAATTATAATCTCAAGCTGAACCAAACATACCACCAAAGATATGTAACCCCCCAAATAAACTCTTGCTAGCTAACAAATGGTTTCCAAGATCTCAAGTCTCTCCCCCCCCCCCAATATTATAATCTCAAGCGTAACCAAGGTCACCACCAACACATCTAACCCCCCAAATATAATATTGCAAGCTAATGGACAGTTTACAAGATCTCATGTCCCCCCATATTACAATCCCAAGCTAAAACAAACAGATCACCAAAGACATCACACCCCCCTTTTCTCTGTATCTGCGTAAATCGTCTACATTAGTCCTTCTAAAATTGGAACTCTTTTTTTTTTGGGCATCGGAAATCTGAAGCGGTTTTTTCGATAAGGATACACTCGATGTTAAAGCAATAAACGATGATTCTGATTGAACTGTATTCGCAAGGAGGAGACAATAATGCTTCCATGTGCCTCACTTTATTGTTTGTTTGTTTCGTTCCCAAGATTACACAAAAATTGGCGCTTTTCTTGTCAAAGCCTATTTTTTTTTATTTTATTTTATTTTGAAAGCAGCGTTGTGATGAATGATTGAGATGTGTAGTATTGAAATCTAAATTTAGCAAAGTTATAATAATAGAAATGTATAGCCTACGATATAATACCACCATATTAAGACAATCGGTTTCTATGTTTAATGCAAAATGAGAATCAAAATCATTCATCCCTCGCAAAGAACAATCCTTCATTTTCTAGATCAAAAGAAGGTTTAATACATACTATCCTCCCTCCCATTTAATATTAAAGATCGTGTAATTTTCATCGAGTGTTTTACTGTACCTTGCGATCATTGTAGGGATTTTCAATGTTCCTTGCCTATGACCCCAATCTTATATAAAAGAGCATACTTCTATTTTTTTTTCCTTTTTTTTCACGATTGCATTCATCTCCAACATACGATGTTGTCAATTCTGCTTTAACATCAATCGACTGGGTAACTTTACAACATCTAAATATTAAATAGACATAACATCAATACTTTAAACACTATTTGCGAGATATTCAATAACACAATATTTTTATTTCATTTTTTACGCTGTAATTGCCGCTCAAGTAATGACACTCAGCGGGTAACTAACTACCGTAAAAAAAACCAAAAAAAAAGCTCGACTTGATGATATAGTCCTTGGGAGGAAAATACGTGGATATGGGATTATTTAATACATAATTTAGTGGTAAACTACGTACGCGTCAAAAAGTAAACTGTCAATGTTGATCAGGTGCGTGTACGACAGTTCCCCCAAGTGTGTGTTTTGAAATTTGTGTGATATCGGAACGGTTGCAACAATGCACAGCCGATAATGTATGTGTTTCGACGCATATGAAGAAATAAAGTTCAATTAGATGCAGAAACGAGCAAAAGGTTTCCCCCTTAAATATTGTTTGTATGATGTACCTCCCCTTCCCTCTAAAATCGAAAAGTGAAGCAGTGTTTTACGATTTGCCTCGATTTCAGATATGTACCAGCAAAAAAAAAAACCCCCCAAAAAAATTAGATTCTCCCCCGACATCAAATCTTTACATGTGCATCTCCTTTTGAGCTTGGATATCGGTTTTCACAGCTTTATTTTTCGATTTCCAAAGGTTGGCTGAATCTGTAGAAATTGAGTCCCCCCCAATTTTATATGCCCCCAATAAAATAATATGCTTCCTTATTTACTATCCCTTCCAATGAACATGAGGCATCCAGCTTCATCGATTTTGAACACTGTAAAACTCGATATTCATCTTGAGTCTGATGAAGCCCATTAATCCCCCAAAATACGTCCCCCAACATGTACATTATTCGACTTTCTCTTATTTTTTTAGTCAACTTTTACTATTATTATTGCATCGACTGAATTTATACATGTATATCTACTATATCTTTTAAAAAAAAGTTGGATTCAATATGTATACTATCATCAAATATATGATATTCTATTTGTGCTCCCCCCACCATTTTGCACCCCCAAGAATATCCCCCAATCTCGCCCTTGATGTAAGCTGCAGGAGTGCCATCTATTTTTTCCTTCTAAATCACTATTCTTCTAAAGTTAACACTAAAAAATAAAATGATATACATCGTTTGAATAAAAAAAAATTGGATAGTTGTAATGAGCAAAGACAGGGCTTTTAGTCGATGTAATTTATATCTAAATCGTAAAAGTAATATGCAAGGCAAAACTGGAAAGTAAAAGTGGAAAAATATCAAAAAAAAGTCATAAACATCAAAGGGGGTTTGGTAAAAACTGAATTTATATAAAAGGACAGGTCTTTTTTTAAGAAAAAAAGAAAATAAATCATTATTATACTAAAATATTTCTGCTCACCTATTCATATGAATAGTCAGACCCAAACACAAATAATAACGATTATATTTATTCTCTTCTTCACATTATCTCTTACACCTATCAGTCTCGTATTTTATATCACCAATATCCATATTCTCATGTATACTTCATCTATCAAATCATCATCATCCGAAACAACACTTCCTTGTTCATATTTCTCTACAATGGAAAAATCCAGCACATTATTACAAAAGGTTCCTGCTGTCACTCCCAGCAGAACCATCTCAACAGCATCAAAGCACATTCCTATCACTATTCCTGCAAAGTTGACACAAGCTCAAAAAGAAGCTGCGCTTCCTTTTCTCACACAAGAGCCCCCCAAACCTAAAACTTCCACATCAAAAGCAAAGGTACCAAAAAAAATTATTTAAACTCCTCTACCGTGTAACTAATAATTTCCCTCATTTTTAGGCCTTGAGTCGTTTCTTCAAGAAACTTGCCAAAGCTTCTCCTGCCAAAGATTGTCTTAAATCATCATCCTCTACCGATCTTAAGAAGAAAACCGAATACAAGCTCACTTTTGTTCCCATTGTAAAGAAGAACGAATCCACTGCTCCCGCTAAAGCTGATACTACTGAAATCGTCTGGTACGACAGTAGCATCAGCAGCACTAATGCCACAGTCATGGAAACATCTCCTGTCTCTGATAACACTGCTTCTGAATATGCCCAACGCATTTGGGATGAGGATACCACTGTCTATAGCAACTTGGATCACGTTGTTGAATGGATTGGTAACGGTAAAGAAGCTAGCAACGCCATTCTTGAATCATATATGTCTCACTTTGACTTCAAAGGCTTAAAGCTCGAACAAGCTTTCCGTAACTTATGCTCCAAGCTTCATCTTAAGGGTGAAACTCAACAAATTGATCGTGTCTTGTACCAATTCTCTGCTCGCTTCTTCCAATGTAACACTAATTCCATCTTTGGCTCCATCGATGTTGTCCATGCTATTGTATATTCTCTCTTATTATTAAACACTGATCTCCATGTTGCTCAAGGTGACTACAAGAAAATGTCTCAAGTTGCCTTTGTCAAAAACACTATGAATGCCATCTCTACTGGCGCCTCTTCTATGCTTGAAAATATGCAATCTTATCCTCTCCAACGCACCACTACTATTAACAGTGACGTTTCTACTAAATCTTATGACTCCTATGCCAAAAACTTCCAAACCGAACTTAAACAAATGTATATGAACATCCGCTACAATCAAATTGCCAACCCTTCTTCTTCCCCTATTGCCATCCAAAATAACCGTGTCAGCACTGCCTTCAAGCGTAGTGTTGGTACCATTATCTGGAAGAATACTCGTGATTCGGTTGTTGCCAATAACACTGCTTGTGAAACTACTTCCATCAGCTCTGCTCAATCTGCTGCTCCTTCTTCTGTCATGCAATATCAAGCTGTTGCTTCTCATCTTCAAAACACTGAGCTCCCAACCTCTTATACTAGCAATGCTCCTTACTACAAGGAAGGTATGGTAGTTCGCAAGCACCTTTTGGAAAAAGCCAGCCAAAAAGCTAAGCATCGTGATTGGAAGGAATGCTTCATGGTCATTGAACGCAGTCAACTTCGCATGTACAAGCTTGATAGCACTAGCTATCCCAAGCGTAGCCGTTCTACTCCCATTAATGTTTCTGATTCTGCTTCTCAAGTTTCTGCCACTAGCGAAGTCAGTGTTGTTGGCGGTGGTAACTGGATGTCTCATGCTCAACTCATTGGTGCTATCGACCTCAAGCACACCCTTGCCAATGCTCTTCCTTCCGGTTACAGTCGTCAACGCCAACATGCTTTCACTCTTCAACAATCCAATGGTGCTGTCTCAGTTTTCCAAGTTGGTTCTGCTGAACAAGTCCATGAATGGGTCTCCACCTGTAACTACTGGGCTGCTCGTGAAAGCAAAGAACCCTTAGTTGGTGGCATCAGCTCAATGGAATATGGTTGGGGTCTCTGTTTAGAAGCTCTTGCTGAAGAAAGCAGTGCCATTGTTCATGAATGGTTAGCTCCTGCTTGTCCTACCATCAGCAGCATGTTGGAAGAATCTGCTCAACTTGAAGTTCTTCACAAGCATGTTCAAGAGTTATCTGCTCAATTGGATCAACATCGTGATGTCAAGCCTAAAATGAACATTCACTTCAGTGCTTTCCCTAAATATTGTGCCAGAGCAATGATCAACTACGAAAACAAGTCTCATTATCTCTTGCATGAAATCATCAAATATCAAAACTACTGTAATTCTATTGAAAAGTCTCTCGCTTTGCAAGCCAACCTCATGGCTTCTGCCTAATTTGTATATCTATTTTTGTATTCTACTGTATATCATCCTGTAATAAATTTTTTTAAAAAGCTTACGCTTTTTGTATATCATCATAACTATTTTTGACTCTTATCTTTTTTTGTTGTAATTTATCCTTTTTCACTCTTTTGCATATGTGTCCTTAACAACACTTTCAAATAAGAACTATAAGAATAGGATACTGAGAACAACCTTTAAATCTGAATTGAAATCTGCTCAGATCATGAAAACCATCGATTCTCTCGATATCGAGGTACTTGGCCAATATGCAATTATGCATACAAAAACAAGATTTTGCCGGTGTTTGAAATCAAGTTTTTGACTTGCTTTTTTTTGCGTCTCGCATGTCAAAAAAGGTAGTGCCAATCATGTCTTTTTCACATAAAAAACAGAAAGCTCAATTTTCGAACTCAGCTCATGCTGACAAGAGAACAAACCAACATGCAACTCCATTTGAATGGGCAAAGGTCGTTTCCGGAAGGGCTCGCACTACGCAATCCTTTACACCGACCTTTGGGGAGCAAGTTAAGCCACCAGCTCTCAATTCTGAACAAGACGATTCGGTCATGTCAGAACACCAGGCTCCAGCGATACAACTCGTAAGACCTTTCTTGAAGGGAATAGAGAAAAACAGCGTGTTGATTGATATCACAGACGTTAAGTCTCCCGTACTGTTGCGTCAAGCTCTCCAGGACTTTAACAAGGAAGCCCTAGCTGATAAAGGATACGAAGAATATTGTGGAAGGTTGCCAACAATTCGAAAGTATCTTAATCGATCCTTCATTGAGACAATCTGGTCCCAGGGTAGTAAAGGGCAAGATACTATTCTCAATCAAGGGATATCACTTCCAGATGGAACCTACATTAAAGGTTTTAAAAGTTACCCAGCCGATTCTCGTATTACGAGAATCACTTTGGACAAACTTCCTCTTAAACCATTAATTCTCCTTAAAAAAGATATGGAGGAGCATCTGTCTGCATACGGACAAGTGTTGGATTTAGGGGTCAGCATGTCAAATGGATGCTTCATGGGACAAGGATACGCAACCCTTGATATTTCAGTCAGTTCAGCCGACCAAGAGTCAAACATTCCCTTGCAGAGAATAATGAATTGGGTAGATGATGATGGTGACGACCGTCAAGTCTTACTCCAATGGGAGGACATGCCCGACTTCTGTCGATTATGTCAACTTACAGGACATTGTCGAGCAGACTGCCCTGATTATAAGAAATTTTTGAAATGTCACAATTGCAACTGCTCAGGACACGTAATGCGAAACTGTCCACGAAACAATGACACGTCCGTAGATATTATGCATAACAAAAAGCGATCCAACAAACAAAGAAACGCTTATACAAAAAATATTATCCAAGAACGTTACACGAACCCAAATACTACTCATGCAGAAAGTAGTGAGGATATGGAAGTAGACAACCCGACAGAATCGACCAAAGTTACGACGTTGAATACAGCAACAGGGGAAAACATAGTTGGTTTGAAGGGAAAGGGAAATGCAGAGGAACGAAGTCTAGTCACAGAAGATGCAACTGGAGCCTCCACCCTCACCATTAACACGACCAAATCAAATTTGTTAAGATCACCACTCCCAGATAGACAACAAGAAGAGGCAGCCAAAATCAGTAAGTTTGCGGTTAATGCAGATATCAGCACTAGACGCAAACCTACACCAAGTTCATCAGCCAATTTTCCTAACTCAGATAATCCTAAAGGATTGAACGAACCTGCTACTCTCCATCAAGGGGGAGACAAGCAGTAAAGTTCCCAACCTATTTCCCACCAATAAATTTTATGAATAATAACAATCATAAAATATCAATCGCGACCCTCAACTGTCGTGGCCTCAAAAAAACAAATAATCCAAAAAAAAGACAACAATTTATTCGGTATCTTCGATCATCAGGCTTCGACATTTTGGTACTCCAAGAAACACACGCCAACGACGAAACTACCATTCAACAATTTAATTTACAATTCCAAACCAAATCTAGCACATGGAATCGACAAACTGGTATTATAGCCATTAACAATAAATATAAAATTAACCCAATCGAAGCTGGCATTGATGATGGCAGATTTATTCTAGCAGATATTCTCCATAACAATGATATAAACTCCTCCCCAGTTTGCACCATCCTCAACATATATGGTCGAATCGGTACAGCAACCAACAAATCCAACTTCTTTCGTGAGCTACTAGACACGGACAACATACATCAGATATTACATAACCCTATGAAAAATATTTTTATTATGGGAGATTTTAACTACCAATCAGAAAATCTGAGAGCTGACGGCACCTATACAGGCACAACTTTGGATTGGACAACCCTGCTTACCGATCACTATACAGATTGCTTTGCAGAAAACAAGGCCATAACTTGGAAAAGCGGCACCTCAGCAACAATTATTGACTATATTTACTGTAGCAAGTCTATTAGAAAATCAGTCAACAATATAACTCAACAATTCATATCCGATACTTGGACTGACCACGCCCTATTGGCAATCAATTTCACTTATGAAAGAAATTCGTCTAAGGGCCCCGGAGCTTGGAAAGGAAACCCATTCTTGGCCAGTAATAAGAGATTTCGCTCAACATTAGTACAACATCTGAACGAGTCATCCAAAGATCTGCAGGTAATTGCGTCATTCGCGACTAAACAACAGCAGTGGGATTGGATCAAACTGGAAGTCAAAGCCTTTATAAAGGGATTTCAACTTGCCGAGCTAAATTGGCGTAGAGAACAACTGGTTTTACTACAAAGGAAACGCAACGGATTTTTACGACAGCATAAGAATCGTGGACTGCATCTGCCTATACTAAATGTGGTGGAGCAACAGATAAGCTCTCTACAGGAATCGATTGCAGAAATAGAAATATTGAAAGCGGGTAAAGTTTGGAGAGAAAACGGAGAACGTTCACCTGGTTTACTTAAACGCCTATCAACATCACGCGAAAGCAAAAGGCAGATAAATGAACTAATGGATCCCTTGGACAACTGCCTGTACTCAGAACCATCCCGTCTTCAACAAATTGCACATGCATTTTACTCAAAACTATACACTCCAGACAATATCAACACAGAATCTTTAAACTGCATGCTCGAACAGATCCCCGACAATATCCGACTTACCAGAGAACAACAGGAAGGTCTTTTAACAGATATTGATTTTGATGACATTCTACTAGAAAGCAAACGATCTCCCAAGAAGAGCAGTCCTGGATCAGACGGTCTACCGTACGAAATACTACGATTAATTGTTCAATATCCACCATATCGAGATCTGATCACAAGTATTTACAACGAGGCATTAACCTTAGCCATTTTCCCCGAATCTTGGAATGAATCCATCATGAGCCTACTCCCAAAAAAAGGAAATCTGGCAGACATGAAGAATTACCGTCCGATATCTCTAGCAAATACGGATTATAAAATATTTACTCGTCTCTTGAACAACAAAATCAAATTAATTTCAGATGGTCTTATCAACGAGCACCAACTTGGATTTTTACAAGGACGATATATTGCTGAAAATGGTATGAAATGCCAAATTATCATGGAAGATGCAGCTCTCGATATGGCTAGGGCCTCACAGCTAAATCAATTCCCAGATAACGGTAAAGCGATAGGGCTACTGTTGGACCAGGAAAAGGCATACGATCGAGTAAACCTTATCTACCTGAGAACAGTTTTGCTACGATTTGGGTTTCCAGCTACTATTGTAAATTGTATTTACAAGCTAATGGCAAATAACTACATTCGTATCAACATCAATGGCCATTTTACTGAAGATATTCAGAAACTACGAGGTCTTAAGCAAGGGGACCCTCTATCACCAATCCTCTACAATCTTGCCTTTGAACCTTTTTTGAGGACAATTCTAACGGACGAACTATTCCATGGCTATACTTTGAACGACAGGTCGTCTGGTTTCGTAAATCCTAACTTGGCTATCAACACCAAGATACTATGCTATGCAGACGACGCATTAGTCCTGGTCAAAGACAAGGAAGACCTCGCACGCCTATCCAACCACATGGACACTTTCTGTGAAGCCTCAAATGCCAAGTTCAATTTTGATAAAATTGAGGCATTCTCTCTCTCTGGTGACAATTTGTGGGACTACTGGCAACAACCTCTTGAACTACTGAAAATAGACAAGCTAATTTGTGCAGATGACCCGGATCCGATCATTTACCTTGGTTTCCCCATGATTCAATCTACCCAACAACGACGAAATTATATGGGGTCTGTAATCAGTAAACTTAAGGCAACAGCAAATCTTCACTTGTCAAGGTCATTATCTGTAGTTGGTAAAGCTACGATCTTAAATTCGTTACTCCTTTCAAAATGCTGGTACCTACTCCGGGTCACACCACTGACCAAGCAGGATTTGTCTCAGATTACATCCGTCGCTATACAATTCTGCCGATCGAATATCTTTCCGGTCATACCTTGGTCGGTATGGACAACACCAAAACAACTGGGGGGTCTGGGTGTTTTAGACCCAAAAGCACAATATCATACACTGTTTCTTCGATGGACAACTCCCTTGCTAACGGACGATGATCCCAATCATCAGCTAACACAAATGCTTAAAATACATATCCGGAATAGACACTTAACCCAGCACCATCATATTCCACTTCTTCTGCCTACCATGAGATCCACTGGCCTTACAAAAGCCAGAATTAACACATTGGATATCATATATGCTACCATCGATTGTATTCCCAGGAACTTCGAATCTACACCACTCAACCACGCCACGGCCTTGATATTACCGCTCCAAGCTATCTTTCAACCACCAAAGATTCCCAAAAAAGCAGCCAAATTATTGGTGAGTGACCTTTTCTCATACAGTCCAGTACTACACTGCCTACATTGGAAAAATCCCGCCACGTTCAACAATCAATGGGGTAACTCGCCCAGAATGATAACTAATCGTCTTGCAAATGGTTCGATTCAACTTACTCCCTTCTTTCAGCCATTATGTCAACCATCACAATCAGATCAAACAAATAATTCAGCGGTAGACTTCTATCCTTGGGTACAGGCACTGACTATCGCGGACAAACCAATTTCAAGCACTTACCCTCAACGGAATAAGAAATATAGAGAGGCAATACTACAGCAACATAAGTCACAGCTACAATACAGCCTATCACGTACTTGTATACCGGCAAAGAAATGGTTCCTCTTTTGGAACCTGGCACTAGTGGCAGTACAACGAAATGTTATATACCGACTATTGACTCGTTCCATCCCTTCTCGTCGATATATGCATCAAATTTTCCCAGAGAAATTTAATTCCGCCCAATGCCAGATCTGTTTGTCTTCGATTGAATCATCAAAACACATGCTTTTTTACTGCCCATCGAAGGCTAACATTTGGAAAACTATCATCTCCGAATTTCTTTGGCCTACGACCAACATATCAAATATAATCGCTGCAATTTTCACTTTGAACTTCCAACCCATCGCATACTGTCAAAAACCAGGATTAACAGTACAGAATGTTATCCTCTGCACCTTGGCCAACATTTGGAAATCTCATTTCCGTAGTTGCTTCGACTCTACACCTTTTCTCTGGCCTGTAGTTGTGCAACAGATTCGTGCAGACCTCTCATCCTTTCAAGCTGAAGGCTCCCTCCAAAACCTGTTATAAAAAGAATATGCAACAACACAACATGTGCCAATAATCAACCTTTATTTTTTCTCAGTTTTTACTGTTCACAATGCGCACAAAGTATAGTCCTAATATTTTCTCATAACTTTTAATTTGCGCCCGCCTCTTGAATTAGAATTTTTCTTTTTTTACACGGAGCAATAAATAAACAATTTAAAAAAAAAAAAAAAGGTAGTGCTACCCAGGGGTCTTTTTTTTACATCCAAGTTTGTCAAATTTAAAAAAATGCTTAGACTCTTACCGTTAAGGCAAACAGCCTTAAAGTTACTTCGAACCAACTATAAGCCACTTACTCGATCCATACATTCCAATGTAACATGTTTACGCCAACCCCGCGATGTCAATACCAGCCGCAAATCCAAAAGTCTTGCAAGCCCATTGATGGATTTCCTTCGCAATGCTAACAAAAAAGATATCCCATGGATGGAAAAAAGTAATTGGGAGATCCTAAAAAAAATCAATAGATCTATGCTAATCGTTCCCTTTCTTTTTTTTAAATATATCAGCGTTAAAGAATAAACTTTTGAAATTTGCTCAGAACCCTACTGTTCGTAGAAAGTCAGCCGGTTTAGGTATCCGAGGAAAATTATACTCAGAGATTTCAGACACATTTGTGAAGGCAGCGTTAGCTGGGACAATACCACGAATCAACCCAAAGGATCTCCTAACAATATACAACGAAGAAGAAGGACCAGGTGTGACAACAACAGAAGACATCATCCATATTTACGCCTCAGATATTAATAGTGTTGTTTTTTGTAGAGAGCATCGACAGAGCTTTGTTATCTGCATTTTATAATTATGCAGAAGCATTTTTGCCAGAGGAAGCTGTGGACACATTTAATTCATTGAGAAAAATTAGTGATCTTCGATTTCCCAGCGAATGGTTTCCCGATGCCAGACAAATGCAAAGGTAGTACTACACGAGGGTACTTTGATAGCATTGATCGTTCTAACCTTAGATATAGAAAAATCATTCTTCACGTAGGACCTACCAACAGTGGAAAAACATATAGAGCATTACAACGTTTAGAAACAGCAGAATCGGGAATTTACTGTGGACCTTTGCGTTTATTGGCACACGAAATCTACGACAAGATGAATGAAAAAGGAATCCATTGTAATTTGTTAACGGGTGAAGAGAGAAGAGAGGTTGCTCCTTTTGCTCCTTTGACTAGTTCGACTGTAGAAATGGCATCATTAGGAAAGACATTGGATGTAGCTGTTATCGATGAGATTCAAATGATTGGTGATCCAGATAGAGGATGGGCATGGACACAGGCCCTTTTGGGTTTAAAGGCAAAGGAGATCCATTTATGTGGAGAGGCTTCTGCCGTTCCCTTGGTGAAGAAAATTTGTGAAACATTGGACGAAGAGGTCATTATCAACGAATACACTCGTCTTACTCCCTTTGAGGTAAAGGAGCAATCCTTATCAAATGATTTAAGTAAGATTAAGAAGGGTGACTGTGTTGTTGCATTTTCTCGTAATGACATTTTTGCGCTCAAGAATAAGATTGAGTCATCTACTGGTCTTCGATGTGCTGTTGCTTATGGTGGTCTCCCCCCAGGTAACAAAGAAAAAAAATGTATACAATATAAAAAAACACGACACTAAAAATATATACAAATAGAGACTAGGGCTCTTCAGGCCAAGGCGTTCAATGATCCAGAAAGTGGTTTTGACGTATTAGTTGCTTCAGATGCTGTTGGTATGGGTCTTAATTTGTAAGTCGAACGGGGATGAAACCATTACTAAAAATAACAAAATGTGCTAAAAAGATTTATTCATATTTCCGTAGGAATATCAAGCGTATTGTTTTCACAACAGTCGAGAAATTTAATGGAAAAAAGTTCAGTTTTGTTAGTATTCCACAATTGAAGCAGATTGCGGGGCGTGCAGGTAGATTCGGAACAGCTTATAATGAGGGTGAAGTCACTACGTAAGTGCTACGAAATTTATTGTTCGTAATGTTTACCTTACACTGCATATATTTTTAGATTGAAGCCAGGTGATCTTACCTACGTTAAGGAATGCGTAGCTGCACCCATTATTCCTCTTGAGGTAAAGTAACATTTTCTTGTATCACAGAACAATTTGGTTGACAGAATTATAGATGGCGGGATTGCAACCAACAGTAGATATTTTAGAGTTGTTTGCTTTACAAATGCCCGGCGAAAAATTTTCTGGACTATTGGTAAACCTATAAAACGCTCATTGTCTAGTTTTGGGACTAACCAATTTTGTAGCAAAAATTCGAGGATATGGCATCTTTGAACGGTGATTATTTCTTGTGTAACTATAGAGATCAAAAGGTAACCAAAATTAATACATGTATAATGTAATGAATAAAACTGAACACAATTCTATCTAGGCAATTGCAGAAAAACTTGAGCATATTAAGTTGCCATTGCGTGATCTCTACCAGTTTGTTACTGCACCAGTGAGCACTCGTAATGAAAAGTCCATGGATGTTATTGAAACTTTGGCTAAAAAGTTTAGCAAAAGTGAAATCTGTACCTTGGATGATGTCATTACGTTACCAAACGTTACACCCACTTCACCTGAAGGATTAATGTCATTGGAAAATAACCACAAGAATATTATGCTTTACATGTGGTTAAGGTTAGTCAGATCTAGGTCTTTGAAAAAAAAGTATGAAACCTTTATTTATATTTAAACTACTATAGTCTTCGATACCCAGAAACATTTACATCCACACCAGAACATTCATTTGAAACTAAGACTCGTTGTGAGGTGATGATTGATGATGTCCTTAAAAACTCTGGCTTTGCAAAGAAAAAGAGAGGCATTAAAAACAACAACAAGAAAGTCAAAAAGGACTCCAAATCAGGGTTCAAAAAATCTAAAAAAGAATAAACTGTTCAACTACAATAAAACTTTTCTGTAAATTAAGCCTTTTTTTTTTTTCTTGCTTCTGACTATATGTCCATACGTTGGCAAGCTTTACTTGTTAAATCCTACTTAAAGGCAGAAATATTTGTAGTTATGCTAAAGAATTACGACCTGTATCTTTTGGAGTACATGGATGCATATGTTAAAAGGAAAACTGTTTTGAATGAAAGGGATTACTGGTCATCATAGCATACAGATGAGATTTCCGTGAGATAGTATAGCACAATTTGTTCAACTAATGAAAGCTTGAGACAAGCCATCAGTAAGGTAGATACGAGAGAGTATGACTGGTTGTTGTTCCTTAATGATATCATCCATATTTTTATGAAATCATTATTTTTTCTGCAATGGATGTTATTCGTTCCTCTAATGGAAAACTGAAAATTGATCATCATAAAAAAAGTGAATCCAGTCCAATTATCTTGAAATCAGTATGTCATTTGCCTATTTAAAGATTTAGCTCCCCAATAACGTTAAGCCTAATACTTGTCACACATTCCCTTTTTTGATGTAAAATCTACGTCATGGTGATCTACCTATTTTTTTTAATTGATATATATAGGGCAGTTGTTTGATCCTACTTTTTTTTTCTACATTATTACAATATAATACAAATTCAAACAAATCAAATATGGGTTCAATTTTCTCTTGCTTAAGCGGTATCGTCAGCTCAATCGCTTCATTATTCTCTGGTCTTATCTCTGGTATTGCCGGTTTCTGTCAATCTATTATCCATGCCATTACTGGTTGTATTACTGGTATCTTTAACGCCATCGGTAGATGCTTGTCCTGTGGTCGAGGTGGAGGAGGAAGACGCAGAAGAGGACGAGTCTAATAACTGGCCTTCTCGACATTGTGATGTTAAAAATCTACCTATTATACTATAATTATCTCTTTATGATGTATCTTCCACAATGGATATATTCTATTTTTCCTTTCCTCTATGTAAATATATCTTATCCCAAACACTCTATATATAATTTTAATCCTATTGTTATTTTTAAAAATAAATAAAAAATAATCAAATTAAGCCATTGTCTCTTATACGCATCTAGATATGATGCAGAATGTTAAATGTTTGTTTAAAAAGGGGGTGTATTCGCATGAAAAGAGAGTGACTGTTTGTATCACAATAAGAGATGCAAACACATTGCACACACACACGCAATTCCCTTAATAGTTTTTTTTTTCTTTTTTCTCTTATAATAAAAAAACATATAAATTTTACATTTCTTCTTTTATCCTTTATACGAACTCGTTTAATACTCTTATAACAAACTGATGAGTTCAGTGCATTCAAGAATAAGTGGTAGGCGGGAGTCATTCAATTAAGAACAGCGGAAAGTTAACTTGTTTTTTCTTTCTACCAACGCTCATATTCAGACGAAGATTTTTCTAAAAAAGCATGCAACGATAGTACAATAAAAACAAGACAAAAGTATGTAATTGACTGAATTATAATGAATTTGTTTTGTCTGACTGTTAAATTTCAGATATATAAATGACGATGACATTGATGGTGAACGAGGAGACGACAATGATGCTCTTTTTGATCATGATATCGATATTGCAGATAGTTACTCCACAGACACCTCATCCACTGTCGTACCTAGAAGGGGTCACAGGGTTTTACGCCGAAAAAAGAGCAGTGTCATGACCCGTGGCATGGATTTCGTTAGAAAAATGAGGTGGAAATTGAACGGTAACACTGGACGTCGTTTATCGCAACCAGACATGGATCCAATTGATAGTTTCACACACTGGAGATCAAGCTGGAGTACACAGAACACACCGAGGGGAAGTATAGATAGTGCATCTGTACCAGAAGGGCTGATCATGCCATCATCTTCTACAAGTTCGCATCACGAAAAAATATTAATTCTACCACCGATTCATGAATTGACCAACAGTAGTAACAGAGAAGCATATGCAGATCAATATAATCGAGCGTTACACACACCAACGAGATTTTTACCACAAAATCAATCAGTAATCACCACAAATGCCGAGGGAGCGATACTTTTATTTAACGACATAGCTTCTCTCTGCTTTGATATTAATAAGTCTATTATCGGAAAATCTGTTCTGACTTCACTGCTAGAAGAGCCTTTTCGAAAACAAATCACAAATATTCTCAGTCGCAGACGAAAAATCGTGCATACTCAAGATCAATCCGACAAGGGCCTGGTGCTTGTATGCGGAACTATTGTAAGCAAACTTTTTTTTTTTTTTTATGATTTCGGGAAATTTTAACCTCCTTTTTTTTGAATAGATACCTATCATAAAAGCAAATACAATTAAATCAGTAGCCTCACTCTGGCTTAAAGAGAAAAAGACGGATCATGGTGAGCATATATATATCTGGATCTTTGAAGAGATTTACGATACATCACTATCTGTTTACGTCGATTCAAAGGTAGGATCGAGATAACTTATTTAATATCTGGTTATTAACCTACACAAAACAAATAAAAAATTAGTGTATCATCCGTAGAGTTTTAGGCACTATGATTGAAATATACGGCTATCAAGAGAATGACATAATCGGAAAGCCTGTAAATTGTCTAGTCCCTGCCCTATCGAAAGAAAAACGTGATGATAATTTAGAAAAGATTGATAGACTCAAGTTCTTTGGCAGTCAATCGAGCCAAGGAATATATTACCCCGTCATATTGAATTTAAGTAGACACGTGGCCATTGGAGATGATGATCTTTCCAGCTTTGTCGTCAAAATCACCTCTTTACCGACAATTTCAGGTCTTATGACAATCAACCGCAAAAATGGCCTAGTCAAAAGCTTAAATCCTGTGCCTGCAAAATACCTTTTTGGATATTCGGTATCCACTATTATTGATGAGAAAAAAATACAGTACAAGGATCTCATACCTCATTTACCGATTCTGATAAATACCGCGATTGAAAAAGGCAAACTCTCAAACAAGTCTATTATGGAAAACGATATCTGTAAGAAGATACTGCAGGAGAAATGTGGGAAAGGTGAACCATCCACTATTTACGTTGTGCATAGAGATGGAAGTCAGTTTGAGGTTGAGCTTCAGCTGAAACTCGTAGAAAGCAATTTAGTTAACGTATGGATAACATACGATCGCATAGATGCTGTAGCAAAATACAAAAAGAGATCCAAAAAAGAAGAGGCATTTAGTCAAGTCACACGATTGACTTTGGACGAAAAAATTAAGACAAAACAACGCATTGCAAAACTCATTTATGATAACACAGACCAAGGGCTGCTAGTATCTCCCATCACCGAAAGAAACACAAAAGATGATGACCTTCTTCTAGACATGAGCATCAAAAAACTTCGTAAACCTGCAACCCAACTTTCTCGTATCAGCTCCTTTGGCGCTATGGACGATCGACGAAAATTATTTCCGTCAGATGGCACCAAGACAAATACAATAGCCAAAACTGTAACAAACAATGATATGGTTCCTTTAGAAGCGCCATTGAAAGAGTTAAAAAAACATCCCTTGGATGACTATGTGATATTGGAAGTGTTGGGTCAAGGTACATACGGCACGGCCAAATTGGCTTATAGAAAAGATGATCCATCTCAGGTAAGCTAATTGTACCAAATGACTGGTGTTCTGTCAATTAATTAATCAGGATTAGAAAAAACTGGTCATCAAACACATCATAAAATCAAAGATTATTGTCGATTCATGGATAAGAGATCGCCAACTTGGATCAATACCCATGGAAATACACATTTTAAAAGCGCTACAGAAATATCCCCATCCCAACTGCTGTAGACTAGGTAAGCATTTAATTAAACCTGCTTTTAAATGGCTAATAAGCATTTCGTCTTCCCTTATGCAATGGTACAGTTACTAGTTTAGAAGACGAAGATCATTATTTTATAGTTATGGAACTGTTGGGTGATGGGATGGATCTGTTTGATTACATCGAGATTAACAAAAATATGACCGAAAATGAGATTCAGAGAATTTTTTATCAGGTTGCTTGTGCCGTAAAACATCTTCATCAACACAAAATAGTCCACAGAGATATTAAGGATGAAAACATTATATTGGATCAAGAAGGCAAAATCCATCTCATCGATTTTGGGTGTGCCACATACTATAAAAAAGATAGAAAATTTGATACATTTACTGGGACCTTGGAGTACTGTGCGCCAGAGGTTTTGAAGGGAAAACCTTATGAAGGACCACCTCAAGATATATGGGCCAGCGGGATCTTATTATTCACATTGATCTATCGAGAGAATCCTTTTTATAACATTGACGAAATCATGGAAAGGGAATTGAGAGTTCCTTATGTTGTATCAGAAGGTAATATTTTGCATAGTGGTATTTATAATGCGAGGTTCTTAAAATCATTATTTTAGGCTCGCTTGATCTCATTAAAAAAATGCTTGATCGAGACATTGAAAAAAGGATAAATATTGACCAAATCTTGGAGCATCCATGGTTTCATTCTTTCCATAATAATGAAACAAAGGTATAGATTTTCAAATACAAACTGTAATTTATACAAGAGTACACATTGTAATGTCCATATGCAACGCCAAACAGTCATTAATGATATATAAAGAAAAGAAAAGAAATAATTTTACAGATTTAATGCCAATTTATTCATTAATAAAATAAGTTCTGGATACACGTATTTCTTTATTCTTGGTCAAAACCATTTTATGTATACTTGGCTCTCATGAAGCATTAATAACGTCGATTTGGTATTCGTGACAGGTCTTTTGATTCAGACTAAGGCTGGACCACTTACTCGGAAAACATGGTCAAATTTATGATCACATCAAACTTTCACCTTTTTTTTAGCACGCATACCTTTGTGTATGGCAACATCATACTTAACAATGTATTAAAGTACAAGAAGTCCATGCACATAAAATGGAATATGTACATGTTTTAGCTATGAAAAAACACTCTTCACATAAACAGGTCTTTTCTCTTTTGATGGCGTACTTTAAAAATGATTTGAAACATGTGAGACACATACTTCATGCAAAAATATTACATGCGAAATATATACTCTTTGTAAATGCTATTGAAATCCTGATACCGACGCGAAAAGTAAAGTAAATATCCATTTGCTTAAAAATTCTTGAAACCTTAACATAAACCTAAAATTTACTTTCAATTAATATTATTGTTAATACATTACTTAATGAGAATAGCTATTCTTAATAGATAATCACACATATATTTTTACTTGATTGTTTAAAAATTTGAAAAAAACCAATACATCTTGTTTCTCCTTTTGGAATGGGATGGGATGAGATGCGTCAAATAATCGGAGCTTAAGAATATTAAAAAACGTCATTTGTAAGCCGTCTTTGTTTCGGGCCAACTTTTTTAATTTTTTTCTCTCTCTTTCTTCAATTATGTTTAAAAACGGCAAAAAAGGCTCGAAAATGGATGGTTCCCGAAACTCTTCTGCAAATAACTGGGGCGACGATGAATATGGCCAACTCATTGAGGGTGTCAAGAAAATTTATAGAACAAAAATTAGGCCTTTGGAAGTCACTTATAATTTTGAAGGTAACCAGGAAATCTTTTTTTTTTTCAATTTAATCATTTTGACTTTATAAAAACATCACAGGGTTTCACTCGGCCCCATTAAATGATTCTGATATTGAGGCTAAACCTATGGTGTTGTTGCTAGGCCAATATTCAACTGTAAATATATGCGTTACACAAGAGATAACTATATTTGACAAGTTTAATTTTATAGGGTAAAACAACATTTATCCGTTACTTGCTCGACAAGAAATATCCTGGTGAACATATCGGTGTTGAACCTACCACTGATCGTTTTGCCGCTATTATGAATGGTCCCGAAGACCGCGTAATTCCTGGTAACGCAGCTGCCGTGAATCAAGAATTGCCTTTTCGTGGATTAAACCATTTTGGACAGGCGTTTTTAAACCGATTTCAAGTCTCACAGACTCCATCGCCAGTATTGGAAAACATGACTATCATCGATACCCCTGGTATTTTAGCCGGTGATAAACAGCGTATCGAACGTGGATATGATTTCACACAGATTACAGAATGGTTTGCGCAAAGAGCAGATTTAATTCTTTTGATGTTTGATTCATACAAGCTGGATATTTCAAATGAATTTAAAATGGCGATTCATAGTTTAAAAGGACAAGAGGAGAAGGTTCGTGTAGTACTGAACAAGTCCGATATGGTGAGCCAGCAGCAACTGATGCGTGTATACGGTGCCATGATGTGGTCTCTTGGTAAGGTTGTCCAAACACCCGAAGTGATGCGTGTCTATCTGGCTTCTTTTTGGACCGAAAAACCACCAAATTGCTTTGAAGATTGTCGTGAATTAATTGAAGCCGAATCCAGAGATCTTTTAATAGATCTGAAAGAGCTAAGACGAAATGCAGCTATTCGTAAAGTGAATGAAATTGTAAAGAGAGCTCGTTTAGCTAGAGTCCATGCTATTATTATTGGGCATTTAAAAAAAGAAATGCCTGCCATGTTCGGTAAAAAAAAAAAGCAAGTAGCCTTATTAAAAAATCTCGAGCAAGAATTCATCAAGATACAGAACAAGTATCATTTACCTGCCGGTGATTTCCCCAATCCTGAAAAATTCAGACAAAGCTTAGCTCTCTATGACATGGACAAGTTTAAGACGTTAAAAGAAGATTTAATAGAAAGAGTCGATGAGGCCCTTGCTGTTGACTTACCTTCATTGATGTCAAGATTCCCCATGGGTAACCCAGAACTAGAAAAGAGTCAATTAAATCCGTTTGCGGAAGAGGACCACAATGCCGAAGTGGTTGTTAATGGACAGTTACCACCTGCATTCTGGGACTTCACTAGCTTGGATAAAGACTCGTACATGCCTGTTTTCCAATCATTACACCCAAGAGATGGCATGGTATCTGGTGCAAGCGTCAAACCTATTCTAACAGAAACAGGCTTACCTAATGATGTACTTGCTACCATTTGGCGTTTAGCAGATTGGGATAATGATGGTTATATGGATCCGGATCAATTTGGTGTCGCGATGCATCTGATCAAAGCAGTGCAATTAGGCGCTACATTGCCTGATAAATTACCTCCTAGCATGATGCCTACCCGTAAAATCTAATTTTATTTATATCATACAATCCTAATAAACATCATCTTTTTCAACAATTTAACCGCTTTAGCGCATCTTTAATGTACAAAGCATGAATGGCGGATAAATGAATATAACTTTAAAACTTTACTGTATCTTAAATTATTTTACCTACACACATGAATATTGATGCCAAATGGCCTCAATGCATCCAATGATTTTTGATTTACAAGTGTACATACGCTGTTATCGATGATTCTTCTCAAGGAACGTTTTAAAAAAAAATAAAACTGCATACTTTACATACACAGCTCAACGTTTTACATACTGTGTCTACACTAAAAGTCTCATGTATCATACTTCTACATATCTTTCATCATTGAAAGTATTTTGTGACGTATTTTGGAATTAAAAAAAATTAAAAGGTTTGTGCATTTTCAGATTTTCGTTCTTCTTTCGTTTACTTTATATCATGGCATCTCCATACACCGATGAAAGCATCAATGCCATTTCGCCACGTCTTGTCAGCGAGACATGTATGGATTTGTTCTTAATAGAGATGGTAGACACCATCTGTCGAACAACAACAGCGGAAACCGATGGTGACAGTGACGCTATTTTCTACAAACTTGAGACATTAGGCTATGCTGTAGGTCAACGTTTAGTTGAAAGATTCACAAAGGAACGACCACGTTTTGTAGATACCCTTGATGTTGTAAAGTTCATTTGTAAAGATCTTTGGACCATCATGTTCAAAAAACAAATTGATAATCTCAAGACAAACCACAGGGTAAAAAAGGGAGATAATTGTGGCCGAGAAAAGTATACTGATTAACACGAAATTCAATCTAGGGTGTTTATGTATTACAGGATAATGGATTTCGATGGTTTATGAGAATGTCAACCGATGTTGGAGGAGCTGATTCAGCAAAAAAAGCGATGCCTGTAACGTATTTAATTTAGTAAGTAATAAGGGATATACTAATCATGTATATGTAGTATGTTTGGTTTCCCTGTGGCATAATTCGTGGTGCTCTTGCCAGTTTGGGTGTTCCTACTGTTGTCGTTGCTGAAACTTCTAATCTTCCTCAATGTAATATAAAACTCCGCGTCCATACAATGAGCCAAGCTAATTTTTATTTTTTTATTTCAGGCACTTTCCAAATTAAAATTGTTAAGCAGCAATAATACCTCAATAATAAAAAATAAAATAAGATGTACAAATATAAAGAAATCCAGTTTCTTTGTTTATTGATTATGGTTATTTAAAAAGTTAAAGGTACCCATTCTAGCAGTACCTTCGGATTTGGAAGGTTTGTTTTCCATTGTTGTAGAAACGTTTTTTGGTTGGGTATTATTTCTCCAGAAGGAAGAATGTGATTTATGTGGCACGGGAGCTGGTTTGCTTGTAGACGAGCTAGGTGTCAGCTTTGGTGAAGATGTGTTGGATGAAATCGGTGATTCTGTATCACTATTATTGGTTTGACGCATACGAAAATTAGAAAGTTTCATTGACTTGCCTGGTGTAGGAGGCGGAGACTCTGTCATAATGGATTTTTGCGATGGGGTCCTATGATGCTGTGGTGGTGTGTTAAATGAAAAATTGGGAGTATTAGACCGGGGAACAGATCGGACAGAGGGTGAAAACCCAGGCTGGTTTTGTTCGTATTTTTGTAAAAACCTGGATGGCTGAGGTTCGCTTCTTGTAGGTTTGCTGACCATAATGGGTGGTGCGGGGGTTTTTTCCATCTTTTTCTGGCGTTGTATCAATTTTTTCGCGTTTAGTAATACGCGTAATGCTCGGATTTGTAACGAAATAGCGTTAGAGAGGATAGCGGATTCATAAATCATGGATGCAGTTTGAATATTAAGCATTTGATGTAAGGCATGAACAGCTAACTCTTTTAGTCTTGGAATTTCAAATAAATCGGCGAGAAACAATAACCTGGCTAAAATATGAGGTTGATGCTGCTGGGCTGTCACTAAATGGTCCGTATATATAAATTGTAGAAATGCAACTAGTACGACATATGTGTCAGGAAAAGACATTTCCCTCTTATCTGATTCAAGTATTTCCGAGTCCGTTGATATGATAGTAGGTTGAGGAGAAAGAATAGGCTCTAACAGTTGGCGAATTGCAGGCCATCGCTGAGCAAGTATAGCTGAGTTGACTAAAATGTGCTGACCATCAGTAGTAATCAGTTTCAGATCGGATAGTGCCGGGTCCTTTAATAAAGAGAGCCCAAGGCCCTGTCCAAATGCGCTATAAGATGGTCTTGGGGGCTTATAAATACCAAAAATTTCGATATTTACGCAAGCCAAATGTTCATAACAGTTTACTCGGTCTTTGTAATCATCAGCCATTGATCTATCAGGATGTCCAAACACCACGAACCGATTGGTATTTTCGCACAATAGACCTTTGAGCCATGAGCCTTGTGATAACACATTTCCTGCCTCGATTTTTGTCCAAACAAAACTTGTCATATCCAACGCCCATATTTGATACTGCTGGCTTGTCGTAGATAAATGGGAACCTGCTAAAATAAATTGTTGGCCGCACATAAACGCAGTAGGGAACCTTAGTGGTGGAGGCAGTGAGTTGCCTAGCGAAATACTTTCTGATTGATCTTGCATTTCTACAAATTCGTTTTGGTTATTCACCTTCCACGAGTGTAGTTGCCGTGTCACATCACTTGTGCTGAAGTTAGTATATGTATGGATAGTTATTTCTGTTTCCTGAAAGGATGTTGTATCTTCGAAGGGTTCAGATAGTAAGTCCATGGTAGGGGAAAATGGTGGGGTCAATTGAATCGGTGTAACTGCTACTGCCGCTGACCTGTAGGCACCGTATTGAAATTGTTGGGTTGAAAGTGGTGGGGAGCACCATATCTTCTTTTTAAAATCGTAAACACAAATATCATTCAAGTACTCATTATTTATATCTTGTCCTCCCATAATAATTAATCGATCTTTTACGAATGATGATATGTGTGCATAACGACGTGCGGGTGAATTATTGATTGGTGGATATTCCCACAGTAATGTTTCCGTGTTTAAAAAAAACAAGTCATTCAAAGCTACCAAATCTTCTCCATTAACTGTTTGCTGAACACCCATACCTCCATAGAATAATATATGGTGTTTTCCATCACTATTTGCTGAATGAAAATACCGTGGAACAGGTGCTGTAATTTCAGGATTTGTAGTAGTCCATATTTTTGTCTTTGTATCAAGTATGTACAATCGATTGGATATTTGGCGAGTTGACTGTAATCTGCCACCGAAAAGGTATACTTTATATCCAACCAAGGTGGTAGTTGCTCCAATTAACAATGGGGGCACAGCCCCTTTTGTTTTGTGAAACTCTGTAATAAGGTCAGCAATCGATGTAGCTGGAGGAGCATTGTTAGTTGGCACTGCCATAGTAATAATAATAATAAAAAAAGTTATATAAAAATTGGGTATCTGAAGAAAGAAAGAAAAGAAAAGAAAAGTAAAGAAAAAGGTAAGGCGATTGATTTCGCAACAGGTGTCACCGTTTTGATACAAAATAGGTTGAGGCCATGCGTGTAAATTAGGTTGTGTCACTAAACGTTTTTACCTTAAAAACCAACGTGCCTTTCAATTCGAGTGCCGTCTTATCAATTTATTATAAGCAGCTGTTTTCTAAAATAGAGATTAAGTTTATAAAATGCACAGAAGGATAACTTTTTGAAATGGCTAAGTTTTATATTCCAATTAGTAAAAAGAAGAGAGTTGATATTAAGCTTTTCGGCAAAATAAATTTGCAATAAACTTATGAAGGGTTTTAAAGTACGCCCATTGACCGACGAACGGGTTTAAAGGGACCAGCGATCTAAGAGACAACATAACGTTGTCTTCAAATGTTACACATTTCAAACAATCGAGACTTTAGAACTCAAAGTCGTACGAATGCAGGTTAAAAATAAAGACCTTTCCATTCTGCTTGAAAGGTGGAACAGAACCGATGTGCATTGCCACGTTTGTACGTACTGCAGCAAAAATTCCATGGCCGAGAAATACTAACAAAACTTGACGCAAATTCATTAAAAATAACGCTAGATACTTCATATGGAATTTTGTTGTTGTTAAATGATATCATTATGGGATCAATTCTTCTAGATTTGTCTATTTAAGCGATAGACCCAGTTGTTTAATTTCAATAAACAGACGATAAATTTTTAATGCTGGTCTCAAATTTAGTCAGATTAACCATGTATTGCAATACCGAGCAGCTACTGATCACAAATATGCACGAATTCATTAGTAAGGGTCTCCGCAAGCTCCAGTCTACAGATTACGGATTTATTCTAAACGCGGCAATAAAACAATAGTTTGGGGGTAATGCATCGTTTATATACTGTAAAAAGAAAATGACAGCAAAAAATTTAAATAGCTTCAGACACACTAACGTGTGTTCCACTAGATAATTTAAAAGGGAATAGCACAGACGTTGAGATCGAATAGTTTTATATTCTTTATTGATCAAACAGTTTTCGTTGAGTTTAAAGTTGGAACATTCCTTTCTTTTCTTCAAGAGTCGGCAAGTTGCGCGCACGTACTTAAAAAGAAAGCAGAATCATGCATAAACGTAGCAGCTTACCTAAGCAACAATATACAACGATTTTGATAAAATGCTAAAATGCTCAATATTTACTATAAATCCGATCCGAAATATTGGTAGCTTTTTTGATTGAATGCAACTCTTGTTGATAATTACCTTTCGTATTACTTTTGACATTGTTCTAGATCAAATAAACAGCTAAAAAAAAGCAGACATTATATGGGCACTGAATTTATTGAAATCAGTCTTTTTCATTCTCTCGGTTTCCTAAATTGCTGTGTAGCTTATAAGCGCGGTACAGCAATTTACATATAGCCGAAATTTTTTTCGCTTGACAATATGCTTTATTTATGTAGTAGCATATGTTAAAATTAATTACATGTAGCATATCTTTCTGATCCATTGAAAAATATATATAGTGATACTGAGGCTGTATTTTCCGTGCTTAGCTTACGTTTTAGACGTCTATTTAGGCAATTTCGGGAAACCAAAAAGACGGCCCCTTTTTGCAGTAAAAAAATGAAAAGGTATAACATCCGGATATACCAGTATATAAGTACATCGATAGTAACACTAAATACAATTGAGATATAGCCAAATTTAATGAAGTAATACAGTTGTATTATACCGGATATTCAATAGTACAAGAGCGATAGTTTTTGTGCGGAATAATGTTATATCATAAACTCGAGATTATTTCAATCTTTGCCACGATGTCTCCCATTATAAATTGTGTCACTTAATTTCGGCTTCTTTTAAGCAAAAGCCAGTATTATTCTTCGATATAATTCAATCGTTTTTTTTTTTTTTTTTCTTTTTTTGTTCTTCTTTTGACCATGCCAAAATTTATCATACGATTTTTGAATATACATTTATGGATTGAGACTCACGTGGATTTAATACAAGTCTGCTCCGTCGCTGATAGATTCGGACTTTGTATACACGTATAGCTGTAACAAACATCCAAACAACCCTGAACTCATCATAAGTATTCATTTGACAAACTTTTATTTTTATCAGTAATTATTGTAAGATACCTATCAAACAGACGGTTAAAAAATCCGGTACGAAAGTTTAATTTACCAGTTACTTCAGTAGAATTATAATATTCCTTTTTGTTTCTACTTCAAATAAGTGTATCTGAAGTGCTGGTTGTGTTTGTGTAAAATATTTCACATTTGAGTTATATCAAAGGAATTTCTTGTTTTTCTCAAAATGGGTCGGGGACTGAGAGTAGATTCATTTTTTATAATCACGTATTATTGTATAAACGTAGCTAACAAAACAGCTAAAATACAGTATGTAATTGATCGCTATGTGAGGCCCGATTTGATGTTTGGTCCCAAACACAATGCTAGAGTCTAAGTTAACTCTTGTAAGCTGTGTAACCTCTTAGTAAAATGTCTAAATATCCCATATACAACCTAGCTTTGAGGTTTCCGGAGGGCTGTAAATAAAGCTAATAAGCGTTATCAGTAATGCTTAAAACGTGATCTTTAAGAAATTTTTTGAGGCCATTTTATATAGATGATTCATTCAAGAGACAAGAGAACATATTATAGTATATCCTATTCAAAAAAAAATTTGTCAAACCTTTGATGATGGCAATCTATTTAAAAAAAAATGAATTGTGATCCCTTCTTAAAAAAATTATAGGAGAATGTCTTCCATTATATAGAGTTGCGTGAACCATATTAAAAAAAGTACAATTTTTAACACATTCAAATGGACTTTAATATCCATTTTTTTATGTAAAAATATGATTTCTGTAGGTGCGTGGAAGTAGTGACCCGACTATTACGTATTATTTCATTAGAATCTTAACTTAACAAATCCCCTTACACGTCATATTATAAATTTAGTGTGCAAAACTATCCCCAATCTATGGCTTCAGTATCGTGTTCCCAAAGAGGGGCTCTGATGAGAACCATTCTTCTTCCCTTCTTGTCTCTTTATTGGAGGTCCCAAAAATTTTGGAGGTTGTACATAATGAAGACCGGTCATTTTTATTTAATGGGCCCAAGGAAGTCGTGATGTGGCCGAACAGTAAGATGTGTATTACCTGAGACCAATTTCTATTCTGAATGTACTGTGGAGGCACGGTATCATTTTGCTTGATTTTTTAAAGAAATTCCATGATATTAAATAAATCATAACTATGCATAAAATACCCAAACCTGTTATCTTTAGTTGAAAAATCCTTTTGTGTTGTGCCAAAAAGATATTAATTTAGCCTGTCATGACATAGAAATTTGCTTACATGGCATACAAAATCTTTCTGGTGCACCTACAATGAGAATATTACATAATAGTTTAGCGCACTCTTTCCACGCACGTACAGAGGACATGTTACGTAATGAAAATACTTCAAAGCCCGTTTTAGGTGTGTGAATAGGCGCGTCAAAAGACAGAAATATAGGCTAATTTGGTGTACATAAAAGTGGTTGCGCGGAGGGTTTCTGGGTTACTTTAGCATCTGTTCTAAAAAAATTTAACACATCACACATTACAAATGTATCTATTGAGCGGCTGAGATCTTAAGCCTGGGTGTATTGCTGTTATGAAAGCATAGCTATTAGAACATCGCAGTTAAAGATGACAAGCTCGAACATCAATCGTATTCACAAAGACAAAATCATCTTTCGTGACATCAACTTTTAAACAGACGCGTCTTAAAAACATTCACACGATTGATATAACAAACTACATGTCGCAATAACAAAATTAAGCTTCTTAGGTTTAATGCGTTATTACGTTCTTCATTGTCTGGTATTTCTAAGAGTTTTGATTGATAAAAGCCCATCAGCATTGATAGCAAGAAGTTTTAATTGTTATCGTGTAAGGAAGTGAAAGATAAGAAAAGGTTACAGGGAAAAAAGGTTTGCTGTTCCGGTATCAATGCGACCCACACACAATTAAAACTCCATCCCAGTCTACACACGTTAAGTGCGTATCACAGATCTATTACACATTTTCTTCGAACCAATCAAACATTTTCGATAGACCTTGACAAGGATGTGTACGGGTTGACAGAAACAATATTATTACTTATACGGATTTTATGTGTTTACATGCCTTATACGGCTCATGTATCGACAACTCAATTACAAATACTATAGCAGCCAATGGACATATTCCCACGAAGCCAAAAAGAATAAAAAATATCTGCATGTTATATAAACACGCTTTCTTCTCTCCCTCTACCAACCATTACCTTTTTTCTCTTACCCCCAACTCTTTATGATCGCTTCAATTTTACGTCGATCCACCCAACGCTACATTTCTCGCGTTCCAAGCAGGCCTTTGGCCACAGTTGCCTCTCCTACACTGGAAGCCGTTAAGCAATTTTTTCCTGATGAACCTTCTCATCCAAGCGTTACAACAGCTATTCCGGGTCCTGCCTCTCAAAAGATCATGTCTCGATTAAATCAATATCAAGATACACGTTCTGTTTTTTTTGTTGCCGGTATGTAAACTTCTTGGTCCCCCAAAAATCCATGTTTACGTGTACTAAACAAAAGCTCTCGTTATAGATTTTGCTAAATCAAAAGGTAATTATATTGTGGATGCAGATGGCAATATCTTGTTAGATGTTTTTGCGCAAATCGCTTCTATTCCTGTGGGTTACAATAATCCCGCATTTTTGGCTCTTGGACAGCAACCTGCTTTTCAAACTGCCTTAGCCAACAGGTAATAAACAAGATTGAGTAAAGGGGGTGGGGGAGATTTACTAGTACTAATATTAAAGAAACTAGAGCTGCACTCGGAGTAAACCCAAATGTTGATTGGGTTGATTCTGTTGAGCAAGCCTTTATGGCCGTCGCACCCCAAGGTATGGATAATGTTTTTACCGTCATGTGCGGATCTTGCGCCAACGAAAATGCGTTCAAGACAGCATTCATGTATAAGGCAGCCAAGCGAAGAGGTGACCGTGACTTTAATCTTCAAGAAATTAATTCTTGTATGAAGAACGAAGCTCCAGGATCTCCAGATGATATGACAATTCTCAGTTTCAACCAGGGTTTTCACGGAAGATTGTTTGGATCCTTGACAGCTACTGCTAGTAAAGCAATTCATAAGTTAGATATTCCTGCTTTTGACTGGCCCAAGGCTACGTTCCCTCAATTAAAGTATCCATTAGGCGAGCACGTTGAACATAATAAGCAAGTTGAGGCAGCCGCTTTAAAGGAGGTTGAGGAATTGATTACCAAAGCTAAGAAGCCCGTAGCTGCAGTTGTGATTGAACCTATTCAATCTGAAGGAGGTGATAACCACGGTAAAGTAAAGACTTTTTTTAGAGAAAACAAACCAGACTAAAATAAAATTATATTTGATAGCCTCACCTGACTTTTTCAGAAAACTTCAATCAATCTGTCAAAGTAATGACGTATTGTTCATTGTGGACGAAGTGCAAACAGGAGTTGGTGCGACCGGTACATTCTGGGCCCACGAAGCTTGGAACCTACCTAGTCCACCTGATATGGTTACATTTTCCAAAAAATTCCAAGCCGCTGGATTTTACCTCAGTCCCCGTCTTCGTCCCGCTCAAGCTTATCGTCTTTACAACACATGGATGGGAGACCCAGTAAGAGCTATGCAAGCTGCTGCTATTGTACAAGAGATTAAAGATAAAGATCTTTTGACCAACGTACAAGAGGTTGGTAAGTATCTTCAGGAGAATTTGACAGAGATGACCAAGTATACACCCATCAGTAACATTCGTGGTCAAGGTGCCTTCATTGCTTTTGATTTACCTGATGGCCAAAAGCGTGATACTTTTCTGTCGGACATGCGCCAACGAGGTGTAAATATCGGTGGTTGTGGTGATCGTACAGTTCGTCTTCGTCCTATGTTAACCTTCCAACGCCCTCATGCTGACATCTTATTGGACACCATGAAGGATTCTTTTGCATAAAGATTTTTGTAATTGTAAATAATAATAAAGGAAAAGAGCATTTTGATTACCGAGCACAATTAAAGAGACAAGTCTAAAAATGGTTGTTGTGGTAAATGAATTAACAAGTTCACCATAGCGAAAAGCTTGTCAATACAGTTAGGCATAGAGGATTGCAGAAGTATAGATTCACTCGCTGTGCTTGTTCTAAACAAAGGACAAAACTCCCGTATTCTTCTGCTAGGTTTTCAAAAAAAAAGCTACAAATGTATTTGCTTCATATATTCAGATGTTAATGAAAAATAAAAGATATCATTGTTAATAGCTAAGCGAGGCCTTGGTGTTGAGAAATAAAAAGAGGAGATTCATTTAGAAACATATAGATCTGTATCACAAATAAAACGACATATTCAAACATGTGTTTCCCATTTTAACAGTTTGAAAATAAAGCAAAAATTGGTGTAGAATACGCGAAGTTATTTGGCACAAACCCAGCTAGCATTTCTGTTATAAAGAAAAATATGAATGACTTGGCAGATTATAATTGTGCCAAGGAAACTCATCATTTGGATATATCCTCCCATTTTTGTAATTGTTTATGTTTCCATGCTGTCTAATTGATGAGTGCCGGCCAGTATACGTTAAATTTGGACAAACGAAGCTTCTGAAACTCGTGTTTGGTAAAATGTGCACCATATTCCTTTATACAGGAACTTGGTCTTGGTATTTCCCTTTTTTTTTTTTTTTTTTTTTTTTTTTTGTCAGGGTCCTTATTATAAAATTTCATTATGTACGTGATAAAAAAAATGTTAAAATTTGGGGCAATATTATTATTAAGTGGTAACTTACTTATAATAAGATTATTTTTGAGATCATTAGCATTGATAGAGATAATTATATTAGCATGTAAAGTTTAAAAGAAGAAGGAAGGGAAAATAATGATAATGATACAAAGTAATTTTGTTTTTGTTTTTTTATAATGATAGTCGATAGATTTAAAGGCGATCCTTCTTTTTCTCATCAAAAGTGAAGGCAAATTCCTTAGAGCGGTGAGACTTGGTATGGACTTGATTATAATATAAGACCTTTCCACCGAGGACATGGTCCATCTCTTCTAAAGACTTACCCTTGGTTTCGGGATAGACGAAGAATGAGCTACCTTATAGAATAAGCTATGAGGCTTGCATAAATTTATATATACAAGCTCGAAGACAAGTTCGAAGACAAGCTTGAAGACAAGCTTGAAGACAAGCCCGAAGACAAGTTTGAATAAATTTATAAAGACAAGCTTGAATAAATTTATGAAGACAATATATTGCTGTCTTTCATGAATATAGTGTTATGCATAAAAATATAAAAAATTAAAAGAAGAAGAGATTTGTTCAAGTGATACCAGAGTATCGTCCGCATAAACACATAGTCGTTCTGATTTGGCTGTATATGGAGTATACTCAAGTAGTATATGTGTAATACTTGAACTTAAAGTAGCGAAAACCGGGGGTATTTCTTGTGGGGGATGGATGAGTGACAACCTTTCATATTTTGGATCGTTTATGATCGATTTTAAAAAAGGATCGAATGCTTTGTCGTAGTCTACGGTTCTGTTAAATAGCTGCTGTAAGATGATCTTAGATGTTTACCTGAATGAAGGTGTCAAAAATCAGCCCAACGGTGGTGTTTATAAGAGCAAAAGGGTAAGAAAAGGCGGTCAGTGCGGCATGCAGAAAATATTTAGATATTTAATCGGGATCTTTTTCTTGATACAGAAAAAGGCCGATACAATCGTAACTATCACAGCAATAAAATGTCCAGGCACAAAACCAAGTTGTAGGCAAATTGATTAATCGGGTAAATATTTTATTATCTGTGTTGACCAGAATTTTAAGTGGGTCAGGTCTCCTTCTTGGGTAGGAGAACTATCTATGTTTGCAGGAAAAATCAATTTGTCGACGCGTTTTTAATGGTAATAACATTTAAATTGCTAAAGTAAAAATCAAAAAAGACAAGTTTCAATATTCCATAGGGTATAGAACCAATTAATATATTGTTGCTACCTCGACGCAAAAATAACGTCTTTATTTAGCAGGCGCGGATATTCAAATGATGATTTTATTTTTGGAAGGTGGGTGAGTTTCACAAAAGCGGACAACTTTATTCTTGTATTTTCTTTCTTCTCTTTCGGTTACTGTTATGAAATTCAAGACAGAGATCCGACAGAGAAAATCTGCACCTACAGCGGCTCTTACTGCTGACAAGGAAGACACCAAGAAAACAGTAGTCAACAGCAACAACAATAACCTCATTGCAGCTTTATTGTTTCTAGTGTCATTGCCTGTCCGTTTTAAAAATGTGGCCTTACCTGCTCAAGTAGTGTAAGTCCAACTAGATCATGGGAAAGCTCTATGTGTGCAATTAATTTATAGCTTATATAGTTTTGATGAGGTCCATTTTGGAAAATATGCTGCCTATTATATTAGACGTTCCTTTTTTTTCGATGTGCATCCACCTGTAAGTAAATTAAAAAATCTAAAAGAATTCAAAGAAAATATTTATTCTTTTGTTACACAGTTGGCAAAGCTGTTGATTGCCTTTGTTGCTTGGATTTCCGGGTTCAAGGGAGATTTCGATTTTGCAGAGATTGGAAAGTAATGTATATAATGATTCGGTTTAATTTTCAGTCACTGACTCTTTTAATTTTTTGAAGTGTCATACCCGAGAATGTACCTTATGTCCAGATGCGTGCTTTTGGAGCGCTCTTTGGAGCATTAATTGTCCCTCTTTCTTATTTAACAATTCGTGATGCTGGTCATTCTAAAATTGCTGCTACATTAACTGCCTTGGCAATTTGTTTCGGTAACTGAATAGGTTATACAAAACCACGTTTTTTTAACTTTTTTTTTTAGAAAATGGACTGATTACAAACAACAGATTGGTTCTTTTAGATGCCTACCTTTTGTTTTTCATTGCATTCACTGTATTTTCATGGAATAGGTTTTATAACTTAAAGAGGTAACAAAAAAAGACAGTAAAAACCAAAGTAGTTAAAATTTTAAAACCGTCCTTTCATAGATCATTTGACCGGAGTTGGTATTTTTGGCTACTCTGTTCCGGGATCGGATTGGGATGCACTGTCAGTACTAAATGGGTGGGTTTGTTTACCGTTGCCACTATAGGCGTATCTACCATAAGACAACTCTGGAAAATATTGGGTGATATCACTGTAACCAAGGTAAATGCATGCATTTTAATAGGCCACTTTTCATTTCTGTGACTAAAAAGTCATTACCGTGTATTAGCGTTTATATGCACTTCATTTCTTTAGCAGAGCTATATGTCTTATTATTGTGCCTGTATCCATTTATATTGGGTCATTTTATATTCATTTGTCAATTTTAGATAGGTCTGGACCTGGAGAATCGTACATGGAGATGCAAACACAAAATGAGTTGAAAGGATATTATCCCATTGACACACCTCGTCGTAAGATTTAATACTAAAAAGTGATTGATGCAGATAAATTAATTGATATATAAAAATAGCTATTGTCTATGGCTCTATTATTACTATCCGTCATCTCGAAACAACAGGTGGATTCCTTCATTCTCATAAGGCTAATTATGCTGAAGGATCTCAGCAACAGCAAGTGACATTATACCCTCATCGTGATAACAATAATTGGTGGAGAGTGTTGAAATCAGATAATTCTGAAGAACCCAAAAATGACTTATTGGCTAGTGACAATACGACCTGGTTACAGTACGTACGTGCTGGTGAAACGATTCGCCTTGAGCATGTTGAGACTGCGCCTCTTAAACTCCATAGTCATGATATACCCGCTCCTGTCACGGACACAGATTACAACAAAGAAGTCAGTGCTTATGGATTTCCCAACCATGAGGGTGATGCCAATGATAACTGGCTTTTGAAGATCGATGAGGATAGTCGCATACCTGAAGCAGGTCAATTTCTTCAAGCTCGTCGTAGTAAGTTCCGTTTGATGCATACGTACCAAGATTGTTATTTGTATGCTAGCTACGAGAGACTTCCTGATTGGGGGTATGATCAGCAAGAGATATCTTGTATCAGTGAGGCCTTAAAGCCTAAAACTATGTGGCAAATTGATGAATCTCAAAACCCTATGTGTACGTATTTAAGTTTGTATACATATCTACTATTCAGACGCTCATAGTTATTTTTTATAGTGCCAGAAAATGTTGTAATGGAGCCTGAACACCGTCCCGACTTTCTCCAAAAATTTCTTCGCTTACACAAAGCCATGTGGACTATTAACAGTGAACTCACTGAGACACATCCCTTCGAATCTCGTCCTCATGAATGGCCTCTTCTCTTGAGCGTCATTTCGTTCTGGCAAACAGAAACCAATCAAATTATCTTGCTTGGTAATCCTCTTGTTTACTGGTCATCTACAGTTGCCGTCTTGACATTTTTTATCTTGTACGGGTTCTTTCAATTACGTCAAAAGCGTGGCTTCAAAGACTCTTTTGGTGGCCTTCGTGCGTATTACGAAACCTCTGCCGGATTCTTTGTCATGGCCTGGACTTTTCATTATCTTCCCTTTTTCAAAATGGAGCGACAATTGTTCATCCATCATTATATGCCCTCTCTTTACTTTGCTGTCTTGACTTTGGGCGTCGGTTTCGATATATTATTGAGACGATTCCCTCGTGTCATGAAGTTGGGTGTCTTGGTCTTATCGAGTGTTTGCCTTATTTATACATGGTGGGTCTACTCACCTCTTGCATACAGTGGCGAGTGGTCTCTGGCACAGTGCGAAAATGCATCGCTTCTAAAGTCCTGGGGTTTAAGCTGTGAGACATATACTCCTTTGGGATCCCCTGAAAGATTAATCATGGAAAACGTTGAAGTCACTACTAAAGAATCCGAGATTGTGTATGTAGATGAAGAAGGAGAGCGCATAACAAATGAAGACGTTCATCAACATCATATATATGATGATATTGAGGAGGATGATGATGAAGATGATGAGGATGATGAGGATGGAGAGGAAGAAGATAAGGCTGAGGACAGCATTCCCATGCCTACAGATGCACCTGAACCGCCCGAATACGAGCCTGAATTTATTGATGGAAAAGAAGTAGTATATGAAGACGATGACGAAGATGAGGATGAATGGCCTAGAACCATCTACGGTGTAGATCCTGACGCAGATGAAGATGATGAAGTAACACCCTTGACGGTCCGAAAAATCCCCCTTACTAAACATCTTGATTTATAAAGAACCAATGTACATACATAACCCTCAATAAAATTTAGATTTTTCATGTATATAGGGAAAAATAAAATATAAATTTATATATATGTGTATAAATGATATGTAAGTATGAATGATGTTGTTGGTACAAGTTTTCTTTGAAAGTCTAAAGGATTGTTTTTACCAATTACTCCACTCATCATCCGAGTCAGCCGATTTCTTTTTTGTGGAGGAATTGGCTCTGGCACGTACACTAGCAGAACTTGTTGTACGGTTGTTTTTAGCAGGTGGTGTTGAAGCAGAAGTCGGGGTTAAGCGTTCTTGTGAGTTCAAGTTGGAACCAAAGAAATCATCGTCGTCGTGGGTATCTGTGTTGTGAGATGACTCCATGCCCGAATAACGTAACGAAGGTGTTGATGAACCAGACACTGTATTGTACGATCCTCCGCTATAAGAATTTCCTCCCCCTCCATACGAGGTATTCTACATTTATACTCAGTACAATGCCTAATATCTTACATTTGCATAAATTTTACCTTGGGTTGTGAAAACGAATTCACATAGTTGTTTACATTATCTCGAACTTGGCCTCTAAAATTGGGATCTGCTAATTGAGCAGCTGCAGGCTTTACGTATGTATCATTCGCATAACGCCCGAGTTCTACCGCAGCTTTACCCACATATGAAAGCAAAGACCAGCCCTTCTCAACTGCAACGCGGGGATCATTGATGATTTCGCGAAGATCAACATTTCCGCCCCCTCCTCCTCCTCTTGATGACTGATAATCATCGTCAACTGATAAAATGAAATATTAGACATACAGAAAAGGAGGTGAAGATAAATAAAAAATAAAAACTGTTTGGCTTACATTGAGGATTTCCAAAACCTGTAAACTTACCTCCCTGATTGGGCGGTAAGCGACTAAAAATAAATAAGTACTTTATCATTTATATAAGTGTTAAAAAAACATACTCTGATCTTGATTCATTCGCATTACCAAGTTGAGAAAAGTATTGTTCGTTGCGAGCTTTTGTACTTAGTTCTTCCGCTCTAAAGGAATTAGCACTGTTATTGTTGCTCTGGTAAGAGTCACTACCAAACCCACCCGACAAAGCTAAAGAACTACTGGATCGTTGTTCAGTGGATCCAAACCGACCCAAGGTGCGAGTACTGTTTGTTGTTTTTGTTCTTAATGAAGGGGTGGGAGTCCAAGGACGGCCTTCTGCCTCTGCTGACAGCTAAAATAAAAAAAGTTGAGGAATTTTGTTTTCCAGATTTATTTACATTCTTGTTTACCTTGTCGCGATATAATTCAGCACAGTGGGTATGATACTTTTCACTCATGGGCATATCCTTGGTGTAATCAGGCTGAGAATCGAAAAAGACCTTTGCATTTCGATTACCTCCCAGCTATCGAATTTTTTTGTCGCATTAATAAGTCTGAATACAACATTAAAATATAAATTATACCTCCATCTTTTTCAATTGGTCGTCAAACCACTTATCCATCGTAATGGAGCGCACAAAACTAGCACTAAATTTAATTCTTCTGATTTTTCTAAGACACACATATAAACATATACCTTATGTGGACTCCAAAAGAGCGATGCACACCTGAACAGTCCAAGCAAATAAAAATTCCATATGAAATACTTGCCCATTGTGGGTTGGGTGCTCCACAATCAAAGCATGTCTTGTTATCTCCTGTCCTTTGGATGTCGTTTAGTTTTTTCTTGTATTCTGCTGCCGACATTTTACTTTAAGAATGTATAAAGAAAGAAAAAGAGAATGAGAAAATGGAAAACAAGGGAAGGAATAACACCCTAAAATCATGAATTCGAATTCCGTTCCAAGGATCATCTTTTTTCCCATTCTCGCCTTTTATTTATTTTTTCATCTGAGGAGTAAACAAGTATGTTTGTATCACAGGATTAGACGAAAACAAAAATTTATTTGAAACAATGCGTTGACCTATAAAAGTCGAAATACAAAAGAGCGATACAGAAAATAATAGCATGTCTAAATTGAGCTTCCTTTAAATAAATGGGGGAGTTCATATCCATGGAGTCCATCTTTTAAAATTCGATAGATGTTTTTGGAAGCATTGGTATCTCATTGCCATAGCAATAGCTTTATTAAAGTGAATTTTATTTTACGAATAACACACGAGACTAACATTTTCTCTATTAATAAAGGTTCTGTTTCTATATACCACAATTCCGCCTTGTTAACACTTTCTCATTACATTGTATAATTTAATTGAAGCATTTTCTAATGGTACATATATACATGATAGCTTTCTCTGTTACTCGATCTAAATTATTTGCGCTTAAAAAAAAAAAAAAAAAAAAAAAAAAAAAAAAAAAAAAAAAAAAGGGCGTACATTTGATATAATTCAATAAAAAAAAATGAACGTGTGACACATGTTAAACATATAGTCTCGACAAACCTGTTTAAAGCATGCTTTTTATCTTATGCAATGCTCTTTTTGGCGTTCACTTTGGATTATTTCATTGACGTTTTGGTGCTTTTCATCTACATCGTCCGATTCTACAGAGCTGTATCTATAAAATAAAAACCCTGATTTGAGGTATGAAAGTATGTCTTATGCAAAAAGACTGGTTGCGCTGCTGACTGTAATGAGTCTTTATATGTTAATATTTCAACTTCCTCTAAAGAAAGACAACTCGTTTCGTTTAATTCAATCTAGTATTATCATCTTTAATAATAACATGGTTGACATGGAATGAGCAGCTGTTTGCGTATGACAGATATCTTTACAGCGATCATAGCTAACTCGTAATGACTCGTTATTCCCTAAACAATTTTTGTCCCAATTATCTTAAATATGCAGCCGTGTCACAAGCCAGTAATAACTTTTATGTCAATTACGTATCGAGGATCAAATCTGTCAATCGTGATTGATTTCCGATACTCTTCATTACAGCATAAAGTATAAAAAGTTACCTTCTGAATTTGAAAAAATAACCTCTGAGCCATGTTCCTTACTACATTGATATTGTCGAGAAGGTTATAACCTTGACTACGATGGGTAAATGAATGAGATGAACAGGCAGTATGGACCTGACTGACATCTCTTTAAACTCGTTCGCGACGACATGCAAGTTATAATGATTGAAAGAACCTAAATGCACTGCCAATTCATTGAACCACCTTAAAGATATCATTGTGATAAATAAAAAAAGACATGTTGTCATTCCAATAAACCGCCCAACCAATTATATTCCAGAAACGTGATATTCACGTGATTTGTAATGACGTCATTTTTGGTTTTAATTGTTAGGATATTATTTATGCGTTAGTTAAAAATACATCAAAGCGGGTATAGCTCAGCTGGGAGAGCGTCAGACTGAAGATCTGAAGGTCAGGTGTTCGATCCACTTTAGCCGCATTTATTTTTTGATGATTTTGTGTGGGTAATATATTATCCGGTTCGCAATGCAGCTGTCAAAAGATTTATAAGTAGTTTTAAGTTAATGTGTTAACGAGATGTTTTATAATGGAGTGTGGCATTGCAACTGTTTTTAGTTCTACGTAATACGTATTGTAAATAGAGAGAATAGATATGCTTTATCGTACTTTAGAATTTGTAATTAATCAAACTTCTAAAAGTAGTTTTAAAATATCGCACGACAATAATATGAGTAAGGTTGATATGAAATGAATAACCAACGTACAGTTTAAAAACTGATTAGTGGTTTCTTAGGTCTAAAATTATGCGTAATAAATACTTTTATGGAGGTAAATGCAATTGCAACACTCCCAGACTTATTAACATCTGTCCTTGCATGAGCACATAAAATCAAAGTTCTCTTTCATTCATTACATAGAGGAAGTAAAAGATGGACGGATATGTATTGTTCGATAAATAAAAAAATAATAGCTATTTTACAGTAGATCTGACATAAAAAAGATTATAGGCAGCTCGGCTCTAAATAAAACAGTCAGCAAATATAAATATATACAACAAAAAAAACCAGCAAACAGTCGCTTACCAATACTTTGGATTGATCGCAGACCGAAAAACGGGAATCATCAAAATTGTGCCACTCATTTTTGTAACCATTACGGACACATGCCGTATAATGACCACCTGTCAATGAGCCAAAATGATTCTAAATTGATCGATTAGGTTCACGTAAATTTGAATGTAATAATAAAAATAAAAAATACTTACAGAGACAGCGTACAGGTCATAATTAAATGTCGACTGTTCAACTATTGTATCTGGAGGAAACATGGAGCTTGGAACGTATCTTGATAGATCAAGCCCACTAAAAAATATAATAATAATACTCAATACCGCAAAGTAAACAAAGCTTGTATGAGTTATAACACTTACGTCATGGGAGAATCCACAACTATCTCCAACTTATTCTTGAAAGGGCCGTCATATGAGAATCGTTTCAAGTGAATTAATAAGACATCGGGTAATTTCGATAGTGTAAGTGATTTGCTGGCTTTCCGTAAAGTCTTACACTTTGGACAGTTCCATGCATCATCTTTTTCTAAAACTTCTTCTCGAACAAAATAATCCAAACAATCATACAAAGATACACCGGAAGCTCCATTATTTTTCGGGATAGGTAGTGAAAGAGACATGAACGAGTTGTACGTAGTTGAAGTCTATAAAATAAGGTGAGAATTACAAAAGTATAAGGGCGAGTTAAGGAACTTACGGCATAGCATGTCAAACACGTTAATCTACTTCTGTATTGGCCTTGAAACAAACTCACTACCACACTTGAATTTCTCTCCAAGTACCTTTCCCAAGCAATACCACTTGCTTTCCAATCAGGTAACTTTTCAAACATTGCCTCTTCTTCTGCAGATTCAGGTGGAGGAACAGGGCGTTTTGTGATCAAATTGCAATCTTCATGGATACCGTCCAATAAAAAATTGAGAAATTCTTGTGAATCATGTTGCTCACTTCCCTTAAATTGAGGTGCGAATTTGATTAAAGCTTCGCGAAATAAGATAGGTGAAACAAAATTGTATTGAGCTCCCCACATGGTACGCAACAATGCTGTGAATTCTTCAGCGACTACACCACCTGTTCCAAGCACATTTTCTTTGTTGATATGCTTTCTATACGAGCCAGCTAATAATAATAAAAAAGAATGAGCGATAAATACATATTAGGCACCTTTCAGCTGCTTACAAAGAAAATAACGTGCAAATGGAACTGTGCCACTCAAACATTGAATAATCGAATTCATGAAGCATGTATTTCCTAAATTCTTGAGACCTGTTGTGCCGTTCATGACGGTGCCTATTTGAGAGAAAGAATTACCAGAGACCGGAGCAAAACGATTCTCAGTAGGAGGAGATGAAGTATGCACATCATAAATGTTTGAAGGTTTTGGAGGTAGAGGAGGTGAAGAATCTGTAGGTGATGGCCGAACATGCTTGGGGGGCAAAGGGGGTACATCGAATTGCTTGTTCGTAGTTTTTGTAAAACCATTGAAAGGGTTATCAATATACGTGTTCTTTCTTGTAATACCAGGTTTACTAGAAGTATTGGGTTGGATATCCGGGTATTTGGTAGAGAATGTTTCAATATCTGGTGTGTTTGATCCAGTTGGTTGGGGTATAGGCATTGAAAAAGTGGGTGAGTAAGGGTAAGGCTGATTTAACGAGTTATTAAATATTCCACGAAGTGGTGGTGTATCCTTATATTTATTGGTGTGTCGGCTCATAGACTCTTTGTTTCCGGAAGTTCCAGAACTATTAAACTATATACCAATCTTTTAATAAAGTGTCATTGAATACATAAAAAATAAATACTTACATAATCATAAGTTGTTCGATGTACTTGAACAGGTTCCAAAGTAACGCTTTGGTCAGATCCATGCCTTACCACGTCTTGAAGCCAGTGCGGCTTTGGTTGAGGAAAGCTAGGACTATTATCATCACTGCTTCCCCGATCATATCTGTAGATACCTTTCTCACCTACAGTTGATCTCCATGCATCAAATCCACCAGCCAACATCATTGGGGTTCTGCTCAAGGTTTTTTGGAATTCCATTTCATAAATTGCTGAGTGGAGATTACGAAGCGGTACACTGTTAGCGGCCGAAATAGAGTTCTGATCATAGTAGACAATAAGGTCGAATTGCTGACGGTTTGAAAAGACAAGTTGTTCGGGATTTCGATTCATGACCATGGATTCCTCAATCTTTTGTGAATGAACACTAATAAAAAGGTTAGCTTCGCTACAAATATAGGATGCATCACTTACTCTTGCTTCAATACCAATGGCTCAATTTGTGCGATCCATCGATGTTTGATACATCCTTGTTCAGATATGTATCGAGGTCTTACATCCAAAATTAAAATACTAGGTGGATTTTCCGATCCAGTTTTTTTAATCCAATTAGCCAATTGTGGCGGATCCACTATCAATACAGATGGGAAAATAAAGTTTGTAGGTGAGGGTAATATCAAGGTACTATCTGTACTTGATACTGAATTGTGGGAGGTAGGTGGTATCGGTGGAGGTGATGGATGAGGTTCTGGCATTTTCATATACACAGGTTGAATATCCGGTTGAGGTGCAGACGGCCGTTTCGTTTTAAGAGGCGCATGGGTGGGTACGGAAGGTAAATCGTCGAGTAAATAATCACTCTGAGTTTGATTCTCTCGAGAATCAAACTCGTCAAGCGAAGGATACTTGGTCATTGCTTCTTCCAAAACGTCATCTCTGTGATTAGCGACATCCTGTTGTTGTAATTCCAAAGTTATGTCTTCCAAGTTAACTAAAATATCGGACATACGCTTTTTTTACGTTAAGATTGTTTTAGTCTGGTGGAATGACGTTATAAAAATAAACTAGAATTCACTTACAGACTTCAAGAGCTTATATGAAGGATCGTTTCTTGCTTCTTTGAAATTTGGGTGCGTTGCAATGACCTCAATCATAATACTAGGCGTGCATATTTAGCAAAAGCAAATAGTTGCTGTTCTCTCCTGTATAACGATTTCTTCCTTACCTACAACCTTTCATATAATGAACGTACGCATTCTGAATACTGTGTTTGCGATACTCAAAGTCACCCTAAGAAAAAAAGAGGTAGCTATTAGCATATGCAGGTAGATAAAAATATCTTGGCATATTTTACTTCGTCAAATAATTTGCCAACAGTGGATATCCAACGTTTGACAGAGTATTTGGACAGCCCCGTTTTGTCTACTGTCGCTCTTCTTGATAACTCAGACAGAGGTATATGCAGAGAAGTTGAAATAGTCATTGTTACAAAAGAAGAAGAAATACAAATAAAAAGGCAAAAAGTCAGTTTCGTACAAAAATGAGATGGAATTGAGTTTTAAAAAAAAGCCCGTTTGCCGCATTAAACATTCTGTCAGGGCACACGCTTTTTTTTTTTTTAAAAAAAAAAATCTATAATGAACTAACGTATTTTTATTTTAATATATCAGGTGCTTATGTTACAATAAGTGGGAATCAAACAAGCTAGCGTTAGTTGACAAATCAAACATAAGCATCATACATATTTAATATAGAGATATAAAAGATCCGCTCTTGCAAGCCAACCTATAGGATATGTGAAATTCTTGGGCAAATAGTTTATAATGAACATTAAAACCAGTGAAAACTCTGAAAAAGGCGTGGATATTACCCAATAGTAATAACAATCCAGAAGTACTAACACACAACCATAACAGTGAGATTTAGAATAAAAATGAACACATGTTGTAGTAATGTGAAGTATAATCACGTCAAAACTATATAGAATGAGCAGTTTTTTTCCTCTTTTAAATTAAAATCAGTATCTATTTTTTGATTTACAAATTTTATAAGTGTTGCGACAATACAAATGTTAGCAAGAAATCAAAAAGCACACATGCCATGATTATAAACCAATGATGAGATTGTTTGACAAGCGTCTCTGGAAGTGACTGTGATATGCAGTCACGTGATCAGTGATATTTTAATGTGTTTTGTTTTTTTTTTTCGTTTTCGTTTTCACTTTTTACAATAACAACAACAGCAGTAGCAATTTAAAGATGGATTTTCAAAATCGAGTTGGTAGTAAGCACAGAAGTGGAGGAGTAGCTAGTTTTTCTGAATCCAATGTGGATCGTCGTGAAAGACTTCGTAAGCTTGCGATGGAAACGATTGATATCGCAAAGGATCCTTATTTTATGAAGAATCATCTTGGTTCATATGAATGTAAACTTTGTTTGACACTACACACCAGTGAAGGGTCTTATCTTGCACATACACAAGGAAAGAAGCATCAAACCAATTTAGCACGTCGTGCAGCTAAAGAAGCTAAAGATAATAATATTGTACAAGCAGCTGTCGGGCCAGCTAAACCCCTGATTGCACCTCGTAGAAATATCATCAAGATTGGACGACCAGGTTATAGAGTCACCAAAGTACGTGATCCAGTTACAAAACAGCTTGGTTTTCTTTTCCAAATCCAATACCCTCAAATTGCAGACGATGTTATTCCTCGCCATAGATTCATGGGTGCATATGAACAAAAGATTGAACAACCCAATAACGCCTATCAATATTTAATTGTTGCAGCCGAACCTTATGAATCAATTGCTTTTAAAATCCAAAGTAACAAAGTAGATGAAACACCTGGTAAATTTTGGACACATTGGGATCAGGATTCTAAACAATTTTCACTGCAATTCTTCTTCAAAAATGAAAAGAACGGCATGTTTGAAGGTATGGGAGCACCTACTATGGCGCCACCTATTGCAACTGCTTAGAAAAGAATAATAAAATCCATTTTTTTTATTTTTTTTTAATAAAGAAGAATCTACAAGTATATATAAGTTTTTTAAAGACGTCTGGCCTTCTTGGGTCTACAACCACCAAAAGGTATAGGTGTAGCATCAGTGATACGTTTGACATTCCATTGTGCGCCACCAACTAAAGCTTTGAAAGCAGCGTCACGACCAGGACCAAATCCTTTAAGTACAATATGAATGTTAGGTACTTGTAAATTCTTTGAGTTCATCTTATCCAAAAGTTGAATAGCAGCTTGATGTGCCGCTTCATAACCACTACGAGCTGCCTTTTTAAATCCTGCTGATCCACCAGATGTAGTAACAAGTGGTGCGCCGGTGGGTCTAGTTAAGGTGATGATTGTGTTATTAGGACTGGCGTTGATATGAAGTTGGTGAGGGGCTTGTCCCATAGTGGCTAATGAAGAAGTGAATGAACTAATATCCAAGGTCAATGGTCCATTTTCTCCCTTTTTATTCTTTTGTTTCTTGGCAAACTCATTAAGTACACTTGATGTACTGTCATTCTCTATGTCTGTTTTTGAGAGTCCCAATACATTTAAAATACCATCGAATTGAGCTGTGGCAGACTTTTCTTCTTCCACTGGTGGTGTAGTCGTACTGGTGGTGTTCCATCGTGTTTGATTCAAACCTTGAATACAAGGACGACTAAATTGTGTACAAACCCTAGGAAGTGTATGTTTAAGGGCCAACATTTTAATAAGAAGTAGTGTAAAGACCAAAAAAAAAAAAAAAACCTTCAAGCCCAGGGGGTACCAGGCTCTCTCCACCCCGCTCCCAACTATGATCATTGGCTAGTTTCTTTCACCTTTTTCCAATGTGACTGTAAAATATTACTGCTGGGTTTTGACACTTCAATTGATCAATCTTGGATAAGAACAACCCTACCTAATGTGTGTCCTTAGCTCTGAACCAGCAGGATCTGTCGTATCCTTTGGTATTTAGTTCACTAAATTTAAAAGCACAGATCACAATTGCTTTTGTTGGTGGTAAACCCATCCTTACAAACGAATCGAGGCAAGAGAACGAATCACTTATTAATTCATACTATGTATCACTTCTGATTTCTAGACAGAAGGGCATGGGAACTCGTACTAGCTGCATATACCGTCTCAAGCTAACAAAAAATACTACTTTTCAGCTAAAAATGCTTTAAATGGAGACACTTATGATAGTTAGCACTAGAGAATATACGCATTTTATACGTATATATATTTTAAAAAACAGAGCCATCAAAAGCAGCCTTAAAAAGAATGCTGTAAAAAAAAAAAAAAAAAAAAAAAAAAAACGCCTCGATCTTCGATGCAATTACGACAAAACCTGCAGAATATGTACTGAAAACAGTGAGCATCATAAGTTTATTTATAATAATCTTGCGCATGAACTTACTCTTGTTGCTTCTTGTAATAATTGTTATACCGTTAATTATTCTGCGTAAACATTTATGTACTTTGTAAGGAAGTACACTGTGATTAAATGTAAGGGAAATGTGGCTTCTAATCTGTGGGTAAATCTATACAATGTGTGATGGGTGCGATTACATTAATGTAAATTGCGCTGCCTTATTATAGGCCTAAAAATTACGATTTATGTCTTGGCTATGGTAAAATGAATACTTTATGATGCAGTTGAAATGTGTCCCATACTCATTCCAATTTATTGCACAGATCAACAGAGTATTGGGTATTGTATACCATCTGCATAACATCAAGTATTCTTAATGATAGTATATCCAAACAGATAATAACCTTGAACGGTCTCCAAGTTTAAAAACTATACTGATAAAAATAAGATAAAGTTGGTGTTAAAACAATAAATCATGAATATCATCAATTTTAAAGATATAATATTGAAACATTGATCCTTATTCATATATCATTGAGGATGCCAGCTTTTTACTTAAAATACAAGACACTATTTTACTCATTTCAACATGATTTTGGTATCTATGATAGAGACATTACTGAACTACGTTTTTCAAATTATCAAGGAAACGGATGGATAATCTGTGTGTTGGAGCGGAGAAGAATATGCTTCAAAAATAAAAATAAAAAGGTTCAGCCATGTGAAAATCAACGGGAGAAAGATGGCTCAAGGAGGAAGAAAAAGAAAGAAAGATGCTGCTTGTTGGTAAAAGTATCAAGTATGTCATACAAGCCGACAATGAATGTTCTTCCCAGGCAAGCCACCCGACCTTTTTAAAATTTAAGGATCCGCAGGAAAAGCTCGCTGTTTTTGTAGTTTCTGCTAAAAATAAAACGTGAATATTTTTTAATAAATATATAAAAGTTGCATTTTTTCTTTATATGTCTTCTAAAAAAGTTTCCAAAGTGCGTGCAACTGAAGCTGTTGATACGCTTGATTCTACTGGTCGTCAAAGACAGTTGAAAAGAGATGAGGTAGAAGCTTTAAAGTGTTTTATTTATACTTGGTTCCTGCAAAGCTAAGTTTCTTTTGTTTTTCAATAATAGGCTATTCGTAAAAAATTAGAACAAGAGTTTTCAAAAAAGAGACCCAGTAACTCTTCAAGAACACTCGGAAAGAATAGAAGAATAGCGGGCACAGTGTCTGCCCTGAGACCTGGCCAAGCTTTAACGGTCAAAGAATCCATGTTGGTGATGGAATCGGCTCAATTGATGGCAGCTAAGCGTTGCGATTGTGTTCTTGTCATTGATGACGATGACCATCTCTCTGGTATTTTTACAGTAAGTTGTAATTTTAATAAAGGGGCGAAATAGTAATAAATATAAATTTAATCAAATGATCCGGAATAGGCCAAAGATATTGCATATAGACTTGTTGCGGAAAATTTAGATGCACGAACAACACCTGTGATCGATATTATGACAAAAGGGCCCATGTGTGTTACTTCCGATACGTCTGCGACCGAGGCATTAAATTTGATGGTCTCGAAAGGATTTCGTCATTTGGTATTTAGTAGTACAACGCAAACTGAGTACAGAATATTTATCAACGAAATTTTTCTATTTAGCCTGTATGTAATGAAGAAGGTGATATATTTGGCTTGTTAGACATTACGAAATGTTTATATGGTGCACTTGAAAAAATTGAGCGTGCATTTGGATCTTCCAAGGAGCTCTCTAGTGCCATTGAAGGAGTCGAGAAAGAATGGACTGGAACACCTGCAGAATTAACCGAATATTTGGAGTCTTTACGTCAACATATGTCCTGTCCTAATTTAGAGTCGGTATTAGACGGAACTCCTCCCGCTGAGGTTAAATATAGAACAAACGTACGAGATATTGCCATCATGATGAAGGAATTACACACAACGGCAGTCTTGGTACAAAAGCACCACAATTTAGCTGGTATTTTTACCTCGTAAGTCACTTACTATATACAAACTGTTAAACCATGTACCAACTAGACCATTAGGAAGGATATAGTTCTGCGTGTCATTGCTGCAGGTTTGAACCCAGAAAACTGTACGGTCGTTAGAGTGATGACGCCCAATCCTGATACGGCGTCACCAGATACCACAGTTCTTGACGCTCTTAAGCTGATGAATGAGGGACACTATTTGAACCTTCCTGTTTTGGACAACGGAATTGTCATTGGCATGGTGGATGTACTAAAATTGACATATGTCACACTAGAACAAATGAACGGGATGGACAATAGAGAGGGACCTGAAGGTACATAATTAAAGAGCACGCGCAGCGGATAATAAATACAGAATACTTACATAAATGTAGGTGGACCCATGTGGGGTCGATTTTGGGATAGTTTTAGTGCCGTAGATCCTATGGAAAGTAGCTCACAGTTGTCGGATTCTTCTTCGCACATGAATAGCCGATCGATGATTTCCAATAATATATCACCTCAACCCTCCACGTCACTTTCTCAACTGAAGAGCTATTCAGACATATCTCCCAATGAATCAGCTAGTATGGTGAATTATAACAACGATCAAGCATCATCGGTTGTTATGGATGAGGGACCCGATACTTTTACATTTAAGTTTACATCTGCAGGACAAAAGACACATCGAGTAGTATGTAAGCCTGCCTTTACTGAGTTGTTGGAATGCGTCAGAGTAAAGTTAATACCCGAACACGGAGACGATGTTGGTGATGAGGAGTGGTTGACAATGTCTTATTTAGACGATGAAGAGGATCAGGTCCTCATGTCGTGTGATGCCGATGTGTCAGATTCCGTGCACTTGGCTAGAAAGGTGGGACAGACTCGTGTCAAATTGATTGTACAAGATCAGAAATCATTACAACCCCAATCCATCTCTCCCAGTCAAGTCACTACTGCACAACCACCACCATTACCAGTGCAACAAACAGAAAAACCTGTTCCTAAAAAGAAGAAGGTGTTTTCTCCCCCGCCACCTAAAAAAGAAAACAGCTTGCTTTTACCTGCTGCTATTGGATTCTTGGGTGTCGTTATAGTTGGTGTATTTGCCATTTCAAGAGTACAAAACTCTAGCAAAAACTAACCATTTTTTTTTTTTTTTTTTTTTTTTTTTTTTTTTTTTTTTTATTATTATTATAATATTTACAATTTTTAATGGCCTTAAATAACATTATTAATTTGCACCAATACCCATACTTAATAAGAGTTTATCCACTTCTTCTGTATTTGTTTCAATCTGCATATTGAAACTGTCACTGTATGATATGCTACTCATTGGAACGATATCATCGTCGTCATCACTTAGACGGCTTTGAGTAGCTTCCTCATCATGTTCGGATATGTTTGCCTCTTCTTCTTGTTTTTTACGATCAAATGCACTGAACAAATAGTCTACCATTCCTTCATCAATAATATTATTATCTTCAGGCGATTTTGATCTTTGTTGAGTTGTGTTGGCAGTGTCAGTGACGACAGGCATATAATTAACATCGTCTAAATAAGCTTGTTCGTCTTGTACTCTGGCTGGATCAGGTAACTCCCACATTGTCCTGTCCGGTTTGGCGGTTGGGATTAATGCTTCAACAAATAAGAGAGGGTATAATTTAGCAGCTTTAAAGAATTGATATATACAATATTCTATAAATTCAGTCAGCATGTCGAGTTCTGGTGTTTGGCGCATGCGATGTGCATCAGATAAAATTCTATTGAAAAGATCCAAAACAGGCAGCTATATTTACATGCTTATGAGTTTAATTGTCATTCACTTTGCCACACTCTAATAGTTCTTACCTTCCAAAGCAAGAATTCGGCACGTCTCTTCACCATAATTCTGTGAAACATATTAGTGATATAAGCTATAAACTTGGGTTCTAAATCCTTATATCCTTCTAAAAGAGAGCAATATGCATGAATGACACCTGTGGAAACATATCTCTGTTCAAAAGCACTGAATTTAAAGATCTGGTCCTTGTAGGCAGCCTGGCGATCTCTCTTTTCTTCCTCATCTTCGCTCTCCTCCTCTGCTACAACCAAGCTTTCTTCCTCGCCAATTTTGTTCTTTTTAGCTCTTGATAACTTTGGCTTTCTTCTTGTGAACAATACTTTTTTACCCTGTTGGTACCTGTCTAGAAGTTTTAGCAAGACATGGTTTAATAAGATCACCGTCTTGAGATAACCGGTCGATTGGGATTTGTAACATGTCACGATTTCAACTAAAAGATCCAAATGCTGTTGTTCGTAATACACATTACTTTGAATATGTTCAGCAGTGTTTCTATACTCTTCTTCTGTAGAAGTTACCATCATACCAACGGAAAGCAACATTTGTCTAAAGCAATCAGCGCCCATTTGTATGTCGAACCACTCCTTCTTATCCAATCTAGATCGGAGAAATCGTAGACAAAATAAGACTGTTTTCAAATCCAATGTGCCAGCAACAACAGTTAAATCGAAATCCATGTGATCATAGTCCTTTGGATCGCTTTTGGTATAATCAGGATTCTCTTTACGTTTTAAAGTGGCAGTATATTCATAAGAATGGTATTCCAAAAACCACCTCAGAGTAGAGTAGTAGCGAATATAATCTTTATCCATAATATGATCGTCCTCGCGTTGCATATCTTTCAGGATGCTTGCATAAAAAGCTAAAATAAATATTATAAACAATCAGGCCTTTTTTTTTAGCATACAAATGAAAAAAATTACCATTAAAGCAGGACTTAATAAAGGACTGAGCAGTGAATTTAAGATACTTGAAAGCTAGACCGTCTTGATAAACCTTTCGTAAAGCACCTTTATCTTCTAATTTACGTTTAACACCTGATCTTGTTTCCTTTTTCTCTCCTTCTAGCAACACAGCTGGATCAGCAAAACCACCCACTTGTTTGTGTGTCACTCTCATTTTTCCATCCTAAACAATATAAAAGGGTCAGTCAGAAAACAGAAGGGAACAGAGCTTATTTTTACCCAATCTAATATGTATGTTCCACCGAAGCGGTTGTGTCTTGAAGGTGCATACGCATTCTTTTGTCTTTTTTTCTCATTCTCTCGTGAAAGTAAATCGTTCAACACGGCTGCCTTTTCAGTAAGACCTCTGTTTAACTACAAGGCAAAGGATTAATTACTATGTCTATGATTAGGTCTATTTTTCTTACTTACCTTTCCATAAGTAATAAGATAAGAGTAAACACTTTTAGGATCGATGTAATTGACGAAATTATAGAGACATTCCAATACGAGTAAATTTAATTCGGCCACACTTGATTGTACTTTACTGTTAGAAGCAATTGTCATTAAAAACTCAATCACATCAGACTCATAAAAACGGATCATCAATTTTTCTTGCATATGTGCCATACGAATTTGCTCCATGGTGGCAGATTGAACTGTATTCAGGTCTGGGATAGCTGTCAAATTACGAAACAGATAGAGTGATAGACGAATGGTTGTATGATCCAGAACTGACCTATCCCGGTGAGGAATACGCAATGATCTCATTGCCATAGCCAGGATAGTTTCAAACACACCCTCAGTTAATAAATCCAGCTTGTACTTTCGATAACAGTGCATAACGTTGGGATCCTCCTCCTCTTGTTCGTCGTCTACATTAAGACTCTTTTCAACTGGCCAAGTCATGGGAACAAGTAACTCCACTAGAATATCTTTTATTAATCCTTTGAAGAATGTGAATTCCAAGGAATTAACTTACCACAAGCAAGAATGAAACGAAACGACACTTCATTACGATTTTTTTGAAACGACAGTATCAAAGGGATGATATCTGTTACAATGACATTATATTCCACAAGCACTTTCAATACTGTCTTTTCACTGTTTTGATTGTCGACACGAATCGCTTTTTTCAAATCTCGAAGGCACGCTAAATGAGAGGTGTACGTGAGTAGGTTTGTTATGTTGTGTGATAATATAGGTCTTCTTTACCTAATGCTTCGTCACCAGGACAGTACACTTGTCCAACAGACCCATCGGCCTCGACTAATTCTTCCATGCCGCCAATGGCTGAACATAAACCAAGGACATAGGATCTCACGCCATCGGTTTCTTCACTGTCCATATTTTTTGTTTGTAAATGTAGAAAAAAAAAAAAAAATAAAAAAAAAAATTAAACGCGCTGCGTTTGGTAAAATATAATTCACCTTACGCGAAGGCGGTGATCAAATTACGCGCTCCAACATCCCAAAAAAGTCAACTGCAATCACAATTGCAATCATGATCTTCTTTCACCGTTCCGCTGTCGAACCCCCTTGTTACTCACGCTGGACCTTAATAACTTTATATTTTATGTTTGAAATGAATTAAAAAAGTTACCAACTGCGACCAAGCAATCTGTGCATTTTATTATATTGTTTGAGACTACCTTGTGTAGATACAATGATTTGAAGAGTGTTAAAACGAATCTGCTTTCCTATGAAGTTTAGCATTTCTTGTGCAAAGAAGCTTTTTGGTTTTTGTGTAATTGGTTTCCATAAATGGGGCAAGCGAAAAACTTTATTTGGAAGCTGGTCCACATCGTGTTTACGTGAAAACGCTTGAATCAGCTGATAGAGGATTTTAGTATTTAAATGGAAATAAGGAGGAGAATAGGTGGACAATGTATGAGAGAGGTTGATAATAATGCCTTTGATGAGGAAATTAAAGTGGCATAAATGGATAGTAAAGATGGAAATAAGCTAGGATATCAATCCTGTTATGGGAGGGAAAGAAAAAGGAGGGTATGGCGCTATGAAAGACCATCACTCCTTTTGTACTTGTTACGGAGCAATGGGGTTACACATACCGACCATGCAGCTTGACAAGTTGCCCCCCTTTCTTTTTTGTATTGCCATAAACATACCCCCTATAAAGATGTTGTTTATTTCTTTCCCGTTTGCTTTCCTCTTCTTTTTCTTATATATTCTTTTCTTTTTTTGCTTGTATAAATGTATTCACCTGATCAATGGGAGATTATTGCAGAAGTCAATAGCGTTGCGTGCATAACTATCGTTTCTTTGATTTTTGGTCGAAAGGTGGCGAGTATTGATGGACCTATACATTACGTGCGAGGACTACTCTTGGTCCTGTATGGACTGTCATGGGCATTTAATTTGATTGCATGTATGCTGACCAGCACAAACAATGGAAACTACATTTCATGTGTCTTGACACATTATAACTGTGCTATCATATACACCGCAAGTAAAATCGTATTATATCTTTATTTCATTGAAAAGGTGACAACTCATCATTATTATCATCATCATACTTACTGACATACATATCTTTAGATCCATATTATTTCGGTGCCAAAAATGAGCAGGTTCAAATCAGGCATGTACTTGATGAATTTGGGTTTATTACTGCCTAATATCGCGATAATTATACTGCAAATCGTGTTTCGAATCGACATCGTTGCTGAATCCTTTCCGTTCCATTGCACCGTCGGAATGAAATTACCAGCTTCAGTGGTTTCCTTATCTTATGATGTTGTTCTGTCCGTACTATATATCGGTGTCTTTGTAAAGTATTACTGTTTCCCAAATACAGCCCAACAGACTGCACATCAGTCCTCTTCACTGCACATGATGGCCAAGCGAAATATTATTGCAGCCAGTGTTTCTTTGGTAACTTCATGTGCCAATTATATCGTTCTGATAAGTTTAAACGGTTTCGAAAGAGGGTTAGTCGCATCCAGTTCAGCCGCATTGGTACGTTATCTTGTATTTATGTGTAACCAACGCTGATTTATTTATTATTTAGTCCGTTACAATCATTTGCATTGTCCTTCACTGGGTGACAACCCATCCTGCTGAAATCCAGCTAAATGAAAGAGCTTTACAGAGAGTGAATGGAGATAAGCCCGTCAAGCTTGAGATTAAACAGCACCAAGAAGTCGTAATCTTAACTGAATTGAATCGCGTTTAAATACCATTTAGATTTTATTTTACCTTAATTCCTAATATTTCTCCTTATATTTGCTCCCTCCCTATTATTTTTTATATATATTTATACTTTTTTTTTTTTAAATAATTTGATATTTTATTTTTAATAGTTACAATGTGTGTGAGTGAGAGTTGTGAAATGTTGGAGTTATATGACAGAAAAAGATACGGGGATATGTTTACTTCTTGAAGGGAGCCTTTCCTTTACCCTTATAAATGGGCTTACCCTTCATCTTATTGTATCCACCTAAACCGGATGTGGATTCTAATGTATTTGACTTGGCGAAACGCTTCTTACCACCGAAACCGTATTTGGCATCCTTGGCAATTCTCTTTCCACCCTTGCTGGGACCAGAACCAGTCTTCTTTTCTGTCTTTGCACGCTTATTGGTATCAGCCTTATCTAATGCAACATCAAAGTCATCGTTAAGGGTTAAATCACCGCCATCCTTTCTCTCTAAACAAATTTAAAACAATGTTAGTGTCCTTCCCTTCATTCTTTTACATACAAATAGGTTGCTTACTTCTCTTGAGCAACTTGATCTTGTCAAGCATCTCGGTCTTTTGCTTTTGTCTTTCTAATTGCTTCTCGACTTGGACCTTCTTACCAAACTTCTTGAGTTGACGTTGACGTTTAGCATCCTCAGAAGCCTTGACGGAAGCACCTTCATCCAATAATCTTTGACGAATCTTGGCCATATGTTCATCACTCTTTAACATCTCAGCAAAGTAATCTTCAGGTCTGGAGAAATCAACACCAGCCTTCTTGACGAGTTCTCTACCAAGCTTGGCGGCTTCAAGTGCTTGTTGATAAAAAGCTAATTCACGAACCATGTCATCTTTGGGATCCTCAACAACAACGGGTTCAGAAGAAGTGATGGTCATGGTCTCAATCCAGGGCAAATCCTTCAACTTGAAGGTCTCTGTAATACGAATCATGGCAGCCTAAAAAGAAAATATTAAGATCTAGATCCACATGTCAAAAGTGGAATATTTTTAGGTACCTCGTCGTTAATTCTAGGTCTCAATGCACGAGACTTCTTTTCACCAGCTACTTCCTCATCGTCGTCTTCACTATTCTCTTCATCTTCAATATCTTGCTCGTCGAGTTCCTCATCCTCTTCTAAATCCTCTTCCTCAATGTCTTCTTCGATATCTTCTTCAAGGACAGGAATCTCTTCCTCGCTGGATTCTTCAGCGGCTTCAACCTTTTCGACAGTAGGTGTGTTGACCTTCTTTGTTGCCTTTGATGCCTTCTTGGCAAGTCTATCAGTTTTACGAGACATTATATAAAAAAGGTAATAAAGAAGAAAAAAAAAAAAAAAAAAAGCTTGACGTTTTGGGTTACAAGAAAGCTTTCATAAAAAGTAAATACAGTCACCATAAGCCACTTGCACCTGCATATTTACATAGAACTGAACTTTTGCCTTTTTTTATTAGCGTTATTCTGGTAAATGATGAATGAATTAGCAAACACTTTAACAAAGACGTTTAATGAGTGTCTCGAGTCGATATTATTAGACCCGCAACAACAGAAAGAGGAGGGAAACGAAGGTACGGACGAAAAACCACTTGGGACCTTTCTTCATCTTATGAACGTGTTTAGGTCTTGATAGCCTAATGACAACTATGAAGGCTACTTTCCTCCAACTTGAAAATGAGTTAAAGGAAGTTCGTTTAAATGCATTGAGTGATAGACACTTGTCTGTGCAAAAGGTACAATTGCTCTTCCACGTCTCTTTTAAAGGAGAGAGAAAAAACTGATTCAGTCCTCTGTAGGCCAATGAACTTTTAAAGCAAGACATTGAAATAAAAAAGAAGACGATTGCAACATTTGTCACCAAACTAGATGAATGGGACGCCAAGATACCCGGGCTGATTGAAAACGGTAAAAAAGCCGTTGCGCTTCGTACAGATGGCACTGATTTTGACTCTGATTATGTTGCTCCACCACAAGACGACGATGAAATGATCGAAGTGCCAGTAACTACCAGTAAAGGTGTGGATGATGATGATGACGACGAGGATGAGTTTGAAGTAGTAGCTTGATATTCTATAGTTTATTTTATTGTCTTTAAATACAAATTATACAGCAGTAACCGCATCTTTTTCTGTAACAGTCTCTTCTTCGGTAATGTCTGCCTTTAAAGCTTCATCATCCTCTTCCTCTTCCTCCTCTTCCTCTTCTTCTTCTTCCACCTCAACCTCTACACCATTCTTGACAACTGTACTTTTCTTTAATTTACGTTCAGGGATCACTTCTAAAAATGCCTTTTCCCAATCACGGCAGTCGAGCCATTTAATCATGATCTCAAAGACTATTCAATGTTTTTTTAGCATGATATTAAAATAGAAGCTTTCTTCTTGATTTTACCTTGGTTCACTGTCAAAACCTTTCTTGAGGCCAAACGGATATAATCACCAATAGGCAATTGTGCAGTCTTGATACCCAATTCTTGTGCCTTGTTGTTACATAAATTCTGAATTGAGACAAAAATGTCAGAAACGGAACATGGAGTACACTTTTATTTTGCTTTACCTTGTGTCTATTTTTATCGACAATACCACCAATGATATAAGTCTTTCCTTCTTCCAATTCGTGAGCTACATTGTCAGAGTCTGCAGAGAGATAGATCAGATCTTCTTTGTTTGGGAACTTTGTACTGAGAGGCTCTGTGGTTGCTTCGAAATTTCTCCAGTTGGTCCAAGAAGGAGCTTTATCATCCATAATGTTTTTTAAAGTATCGTCAAAAGAAGTCAGAGTAATGGGCATGGATTCCTTTTCGGCACGAACATTAGCACTATAACAACGACAGATTTGTTGACGCATAGAGCTGATCTCTTTCTCGTTCATGAGGTCTGAAAAAGCACAGTCCAAAACAACATTGACTTTGCCAACTGTCATGTATTTGGACTTGGGTCGTTTAGGTAAAGGTTCCAGCACGCCGTCCTTAATCAACTGCTGACGCTCTGCTCTCTTTCGCTTGTGTTTGGCTCGTTTTTCTTTGGTGCGCTCTGGCTTGGTCTCTTGCCATATCTCTTCTCGAAGTATCTTTTTGATGGCGTTCTTACTAAGTCCCGCATATTTTGGGTCGGTCAAGTCGTATTCTTTACCTAAAAATGTTCTGATATTTCCCTTGGGTTCGACATTATCACCCTTGGGCTCAGCGATACTGTTGACAGGTGTTGTTGGCTCTGACATGGTTTAAAGGAAAAAGCAAAAAAAAAAAAAAAAAAAAAAAAATATATGAAAAAAGTGACTATGTTTTTGTGTTTTCAAACTGCAGCATTGCTATGGAAACCATCATTTATGATTCGACTTAAATTTTAGACAAATTACTGGAGTGTTATCGGCAGGATCATTGTCAGCTTTTGAATCCTTCTTACCCGTCTCATTTTACGGTTCTTTCTCATTTGCAATAGCAGTCCGCAAGAAAGTCTTTTCTTCTGATGGAGCTATTGTCATAAAATCAAAAAGGACAAAGGACAAGTGCGGTAATTAGGCGAGTGATTTTGATCAAGTGACATCATTTTTTTTTGAAGAACACCAAAAGTCTTGAAACGGCGATTTGTACTTTTTAAGCTTTTGAGAACTGAGCTGCTTAGCAAATTCAATTTTTTTCCCCCTGATTCTTTTTTATAAATTCACTCCTTTTCTTTTTATTTTCTTTCACACTTTTTTTTTCGTAAAGCATATCCTCCAATGACAACAGAACAATTAAAAATACTATGGCTGCTATTTGTGATATTAGTATTGGTAGCCTTTTTTCTAGCGGTAAGAAGAAGACAGCTGGCTAAAAAGAGAGCAGGTAGTTACGGCTTTTTGATACAAGGAAAAAGACGGCTCATTATTTTATTTTTATTAGGTCAAGCTGAGCAAAATCTCATCAACACACAGACAACGTTTGTCCGGCCTAACGGGCAGGAAGTGCGTATTCATATGACCAGGACACTAAATCCACCTATACAACCACCCGCAGCAAGCTACAATAGAGACGATCCACCACCACCAGCGTTTGATAGAGAAGAGCCGGCACCACCTTCATATCAAGACTTTAACAAAGATGTGCTAATTCAACCTTCCCGTAGTGTGTAGTAATGGATGTTTATTTTTTTTTATTTTTTTTTTCTTTTAAAAAAATTCATTTGTATCTTGTAAATATATATACAAATGTGAAATATATATATATATATATATTTATGCAATCTCATGTTCGTTTGGTGGTATAATTTCATATTCGTCTTGTTGTGTTTCTGAAGCCATAACAGCATCCAATAAAACTCTTCGCTCGGTTCTCATTCTTTTTAGCTTCTTTTGAGCAATGTCAAATTCATCTTGAAGCATTTCGTTTTCTCGTAAAATATAGGATAGTTGTGCTTTAGCGAGTCTGTACTGCGTATAATCGGGAGAGCCTGATAAAAGTGTTTGTGTGGGCGGTTTTATCTCGACTGCTAAAGAGTCCTCATCCGACTCTTCAGCGGAAGAACCCGTTAAATCTCTATGCATTCGTTTGTTTTTAGATAGCATATCCAACGATGTCTTTTTGAGTTTTCTAGGTTTATTGGTTATAAGTGGTGGCGGTGGTGGTGGGGTATTGGTTGTGGTGGGTTCTCCATGTTCTGCTTTCTTATGTCGAACAAGAGCATCCATTCGTCCGAACCTAGCAATAAGAATAAGTAACAATTGCTTATGTAGAAAACGAGTCATCTTACGTCTGTCCGCAGTTATTCAAGGTACATTCATAAGGTTTTTCACCCGTGTGAATTCGTAGATGCATCATGAGAGCAAATCTGTTGTGGCATTTAGCTCCCTGTCTTGAACAATTGGTCCAATCACAGAAATAGCCACCCTTTTTCCAGCCCACATGGTCTTCAGAAAGATGGGCAGCCAGTGAAGCATGCGTAGGAAACACTTTCATACAAGAGTTCCAATGACACTCAAGATTAGTGTCGCCTTGGTTGTTGTACTCATCTACACTCGTATTATTCTCCAACGCTTCTGTCATCCCTTTGCTGATAAAAATAACTTTAATAAAGTCCTGCTTATCTCTCTTTTTTTTGCTTACTGCTTCACCTTTTCCCCCCTTTGTGCCTACCAGTCACAAACAGTCCACGAACCAGAAAATTTTCTTTATTTTTTAAATATTTTTTTTTATCTCTTTTACTTTTTACCTTTGCCCTTAAACAATCATGGAGTCTAAACTCGAAAGAATAAGAAAGCAAGCCAACTCCAAGTTGGCAAACCAGAAATTGGTAAATACTCACTTTAGACAAGGATAGATCCCCGACATGGACACTTTATTAACTCTCTTTTTTTGATCCGCTCTATAAGTATGGTCAAACCTTGATTGCCATTGAAGAGGTAATATACTCACTCACCAACAATAAAACGACACCAGAAAAACTAACGTATACGTTTTTACATAGACTATCAGCGAGCAAAACGAAGCATTATCTCCTACCGCATACTTTGGTGCTTTGGTAACTTTTATTTTATTTTTTTGACAGCTCGTCTATATATTAACTAGATGAATAGATGACTACTTTGCAATCCTCTCAAGGATCTAGCGAATTAGTAGGTGCTTTGCTTTATATTTTGGATGAAGTTTTCCCTTTGTAAGCAATTTGATACATGTATATATAAAGCATATTACTGGTAACTGATGATTCTCCTATAGTCTTCCTCATTCTGTGCTTAGATCCAAGTTTGCTGATGTAATTGCAGTTCTTGAAACCATTTTTGAAGCACACAAGGATGAACAACCTATTGTCCGTTCTTTCCTTGGCTGTCTTCAAGAACTCTTGGCTGTTCAAGATGGACCCAACTGGAACATGCCAACCACCAAGAAGGCATATCAACAATTACTTATTTTGAGTGCTAACGCTTCTCCCAAGGTAAAGAGAATTAGAGGAAAATTTAGAGTAGTGAACTGATTTTACTCTTATTATATTAGGCACGTAAGAGAGCCCAAGATGCTGTTCGCAACATTTTGTCTAGACCTCCTCCACCTACTCTTATTCATCCTGCTGCCGAAATGACTGCTGATTTCATTCTTAGAGTTTTACACGAAACATCAAAGTCCGATCAACACGCTGCTCAACAAATGCTTGCATTACTTCAAACCATTGTTCCTTACTGGCCTCCTCACGTATGTTTTTTTTTTTTTTTTAGTTTTTATAAGTAAGCAATGCCTAATATTCTCTACAAAATAGAAATTCTCTGTCTTATGTCAGACCTTACTTCAACTCCCCAAATTCAACAACATTTTCCTCACCAAGGCTGCTTTCGATGTATTTGAAGCCCTTTTCGATGCTCAAGAGACTGATATGGATGCCGAGAAATTCGCTGGTTTATTACGCGTAAGAGATATTTTTAAATGGGAGGAAAGGTGTGGAGTGATTGACAATTATATTTTTTTAGGCTATTTGTGAACTGAAACCTGCAGCTGTCGATGAACGTCTTTTACCCACTTGGCTTTTAATTATTGGAAAGGCTTTCCCTTCTTATGCCAAGTAAGTGTACATTTTTTTTAAAATTGGGCTCAGAATTTTAACTTTTAAATAGGTCTAACCCCGCTCAATGCGCCAATGATCTTTCTACTGTCTTCAATTTGATCTTTAACGATTTCCAACAAGATTCTAGATGTCATCGCCAAATTGCCAACTGTTTGAGCACATTGATTGAATATTGTATTACCGACGATCTTATTGCTCAAGCCAGTGCTGGCCAATCAAATGGACTTGTAGAGATTATCAAGTCTCTTGAGGCTGGCTTGGGTGTTCATTTCCAACCTGCTTGGGTTCATGTCATGACTGTTCAACAAGCCATGTTCAACAAATTAAACCATTTCGCCGCTCCCTTGATGAATGGTTGTTTAGCTTTGCTCGGTGAGCTTCGTCTCGCTCCCAACGAATCTTATAAAGAACAACTCGATAAGACACTTGGTGTTGCTATTTCCACTATGGGCCCCGAGTTTTTCTTAAACATTCTTCCTCTTAATCTCGAATCACCTACCTCTTCTTCTCACGTCGGCCGTGCTTTCTTGCTCCCTCTTTTAAAGACATATACTACCAACACCACACTTTCCTACTTTGTCAATGTTCTCATCCCTCTTGGTGATAGACTCGCCGCTAAGGGAGAGGCTGCTGCTGCCCGTGATTTAGAAATGCAAGCCAAGGTTTATGAAACTTTGGTAAACCAAATCTGGAGTTTGGCTCCTGGTTTCTGTGATCTCCCCATTGATCTCACTACCGCTTTCAACGATTCCGTCGCAGAAAGATTCAGTTCTTTGCTTTATACTCAACCCGAATTACGTCCTACCATTGCCCAAGCTCTTCAACTCTTGATCGAAAAGAACCAAGCTTTGGTCAAGTCCTCCGCTGACGATGCTCATTTATTAAGAGCATATGGTTTAACTAAGGCTCAAGCTGCGGCCAACTTGGGTTTCATGAGCAAGTTTGCTGTAAATTACTTGGCTGTTTTCTTCAATGTCTACAGTCAAATTGCTCCCCAAGTCCGTGGTTTCATGGCCGAAGTAATTAAGGCTTATCTTACTGTTACCACACCTGAAGATATCAACACTACATTCAAAAAGGTTCTTGCAATGCTCTCTCAAGCTTTGGAATCCAAGGAGACAGCACCTAGCAACGATCCTTCTATCCCCCCTCCCATGTCTCACACCATGTTGGATCTTGCTACTATCATGATCCCCTTCTTGGACTTGGAATCTGCCGAACTTTTATACAACGGTACACTTCAACAACTTTTATCCAAGGAAAGTGATCCCACTTTACAAAAGAAGGGTTACAAGGTTCTTAACCATTTGATGAGCTGTCCCAATGGTCGTCAAATCATGGCCAACCATATTGAAGAGTTGCAAAACCATTTGTTAAATGCTACTGTCTCTTGTACCAATGCCGCCAAAAAGGATCGTATCAAGACCTTGAAGGAAGTTGTCTCTCTTTTACCCAACACTGATCTTCATTTCATCCCTGCTATTCTCTCCGAAGTTGTATTGGCCTCCAAGGATAACAATGAAAAGACTCGTAACTTTGCCTTTGATCTTTTGGTTAGCATGGGTAACAAGATGAAGGAAGGTGGTGTTATCAAGAACAGTCGTTTAGAAGGTTTTGATGAATCTTTCCCTGATGCTGAAGCCAATATTGCCGAATTCTTCACCATGGTTACTGCTGGTTTAGCTGGTACCACTGCTCACATGATTGGTGCCACTGTCGGTGCTCTTTCTCGTATCTTTTTTGAGTTCAAGGATGAGTTACCCGCTGAATTAGCCTCTGAATTACTTCAAACAATCAATGTCTTGGCTGCTTCCAACAACCGTGAAATTGTTAAAGCTGCTGTAGGATATGTCAAGGTGTGTATTGTTGTATTGGATGTCAGAATCCTCGAACCTCAATTGGAAAACATTGTGCGTTCTTTGCTCAAGTGTCAACAACAACACAAGAGTCATTTCAAGGTTAAAATCAGACACATGTTTGAACGTTTGATCCGTAGATTCGGTTATGATACCATTGCTAATTTGATGCCTGAAGAAGATCGCAAGATGATTGTCAATATTCAGAAGCGTCGTTTGAGAGCCAAGAGAAGAAAGGGAGCCAACAATGCCGAGAGTGACGATGAAGAGGAAGATGTTTCTGCTCGTGCTAGTGCCAAGAAGGGTGCTTTCCAAGATGCTTACGAAGAAGTCCTTTACGGTTCCGAGAGTGAAATTGATGATGATGATTCTGAAGACGAAACCCTCAAGACAGTGAAAGCTGCTGTTACTGCACAAAAGCAAAAACAAAAGAAGAAGAACAACAATGTGTCGAATGCATTTATTCGTGAAGATGGTGAGGATGGACCTCTTGATTTCTTGGATCGTTCTGCTTTAGGTCGTATTTCATCCAACAAACCCACTCAACGTAAGATGAAGAGTAGTAAGGGTGCTTTCGCTGAGGGCGATGATGGTCGTCTCATGATTAGTGAACCCAAGGACCACCAAGAAGAAGAAAAGATTGAACAAGGTGAAGATTACTACATGCAACACATCACAAATCCCGATGGTTTTACCCGTGATAAGAGAAACAGAATCAAGTTCAAGAAGGGTAAGGATGCTGTTGATGATGCCATGGAAGTGGATGATGGTGAGGAGGGTAAAAAGCCCAAGAGAGCTCCTCAAAAATACGAAAAGATTGGTAAAGAGTTTAGATCAAAGAGAGCTGGTGGTGATGTTAAGCGTAAGGGTCAAATGGATCCTTTCAGTTATGTTCCTTTGAACAAGGTCATCAAGAAGAAGGGTAGACGTGATGAAAAGGTGACTTACACTGGTCGTTTAAAGAAGTAAAACATTTTTGATACATAATCCCCCCCTCCTACCACACCCTCATTCCTCAAATATAGTTAGCTAGATGTAAATACATAATAAAATATTTTCCCTTTTTTTAAATTTATCAATTAATTTAAACTTCAGACTGGATCTGTCTGATTTCTTGCATGGTAGTAATGGCAACAGATAGCATGTCCAATTTATGCAGGAGAGTGATTTTGAAAAACAGTGCTCGCAGTAAGAGATCTTTACATTTTAAAGTCCGGAATCCTATTACAGAAAATGAGGGGTCAGTTCAAATTTTCTTCATAGCAGTTATCTTGCTTACCTTTTTCAGCCAAGTTTACATACTCCAAAATGTGTTTATCTTTTAAAAGTTTAGTTATAACATGTACCGTGTCGAGATTTCTGATATTATAATTAGACATACCAGTTGAAGACGATGAGTCAAGTGCCTCTGCGTATGTTAATTGCAGTTCTGAAGTTAGTTTTAACGATTGCGCAAGCAGTACTTTAGGGAAAATATTTTCCAAGATAAATAACGCCTTTTGAATCAGATCTTTATCGTTAGTTCGAACATATGCTTCTGACAGAAGAATTGCTGCCTTGTAGTAATATTTTGCATCATTGGTTCTTTTACTTAATGTCATGGCATCAATAGCAAGACGAATTGCTGTTTGAATTTCATTGATTTTCTATACATGTATCGAAACATGATTAATAAATTATGAATCGTTTCTATTTATCATTTATACTCACTAAATTAACAATGGCTTTCAAAATAAGATTGGCGCATATTCGTGGTGTTTGATCTGTTTTTACAATAAAGTCGTGTACTTCTTCAAGTATATAGAGAGCCTTTGCATACTCCATATTGGACATGAGCATTTTAGCATTTTCATATATAGCATCGAAGTATTCCTCGGAATATGGCGGAATAAGTAAACGAAGTTTATCGACTTGATCGTTAATTGTGTCAAACTTTCTACAGACGGATCATCAGTGCATTGGCATATATAATATATTAGGGTACTGTACGTACCTTTTTTTGCAAGATAGCTTCTTTATACGTGATTGAGCCTGTTTCCAATGTAATAAAAAGTCGGCTTCTGTAGGAAACTCTTCTGAAAATTGTTGTAAAACTTGGAGTGCTTTATTTGAATTGCCCATCAATTGGAGCTTTATATCACATTAATTACCTTCGTCGAATGTGTTTATTATAGATAAGTTTGTTACAAATTACACTTACCATATTTGCGTGTGAGACTACGGATGTTTCTATATCCTGTACAGCCCGATCACTAGAGTTTTCAGCAAATTTTAAATAGGATGCAGCTAGAGCACTATTGCCTAAATATGGTATCAGCAGAAGAAGATACATAGAAGTATAATAACTTACCATATCTCTGCCATGCCAAACTGGCAATCAAATTTTTTACACGACTTGTATTCTTTACATCCTTCAAGATAACGTCAACAGAAGCTGTTTGTAAAGTTTCAAATATGAGTCTACATGGCTCACCCTATGAATTCCGTTAGGAGCCATTGAAATACACTAGAAACAGAGAGTCTTTACCTGACGTAGTAAGTCTCGTGCTTTAGTTAATGTCCTCATATTAGCAAGGTAAGGATCATCAAAGGATTTGGTGTCCCTAAAAGGCTCCTTTTTTCTACAAGTGCCTATCCAGCTATTTAAGTTTTAAAAAAATGTGCAAATGGAAAAAGAGGATGTGGTGCATACTTACTATTCGACTTCTTGCAGACAATAGTCATCTTTGTCAGACCTTGCTGCAGACAAAGCATCATTCAAAGCTGACAGCGCATTAAATATATGACCAAACTTGAATTCAAGGATACCAATATTCAACAATGCATACTGTACTGGACTATTAAATTGGAGGAAGGGAAAAGTTTACGAGTCAGTAAAAGAGAAACGCGAATCATTTATAGCTGTATACATTACACCCCTTCACTTATAGTAAGATCAAAAAATGTATGTAGATCAGAAAGTGATTGGACATATTCTTTTGTTCGAACATAGTTTAAATAGCGTACTTGACGAATATTTGAAATATGGGGAGCTTTCGGCTCAATGTTTTCAAGATATTTGTAAAGAACTGACGGGTGAATGTTGCTGGTGCCTGTCACTAAAAGGTGGGGCATTTCAGTATGAAGGAAGATGGATTGCTGGGTCACTTACATTCAATCTTGTCAGCCTCAGCCTTCAAAAATTCTTTGATATTATAAACAGATATCCAGCCTTTGACATCAGATGGTTGTCCTCCGGGTAATAAATACGAATCGCCGTATCTGTCGTGAATATATGCGTCAAACGCTTCCACAATATCTGACATTCGATCCATTGGTAAAATTGCATACTCGATTTTGCATCTACGTACAAATAATCCCATGACACTGCATTTTTCCTATACTTATGTTAGTTTAATCTTTAACGCTGTTAAATGTTAAACAGCATCTCACCAGAACTATATACTCGGGTGAGACGGGCCTTTCGGTCTGTGTGTCAATGTTAGCTAAATTGTCTGCTTCGACGCTACTTTATCTTTACCTCCTCGTCTTCGACAACAAGTTCTTTCAGGGCTACAAATTTAGGGTTAGCTATGTGAAGTTTATTGTGTGATATTAACATACAAGTCATGAAATCATCAAAAGCTCTAGGATTGTTGATCGTTTCAATCTAGTAAACATTAGATCATGATTTTGAAGCAGAATCAAATAGTTACCTCATTCTTAATGGAGGTGACTATAGGCTGCATATCGGTCTCGCCGTTCTTTAGCTTTGTAATTTCATTCAAGAGGTGATTTAATCGTGGTTCTGAACAAGTCTCACGAATTGAACTTTCATTCTTTAAAAATATTGTTAATGACTGTCTGACTGTGCATAATACGGGTTATATTAGTACCAAAATGTTTTTTGTTATAAAAACGACAAAGGTAGACATCAGATCCTCAGGAAAATCGTAAGTACAAAGTCTTTTAATTAACAGCAAGAGTACGATTCGATATGGTGTAGTGTAGCCAACATGCAACATTCTAAATTAATTACAGAGAAAAGACAAAGAACGCGTCTTGTTTTATAATCTGACCAAGTCTTTGCGCGAACAATTATTAAAGCAACCTTATGATTGGCTGATTTTTCCGAATACGATTTATCGACAAAGGCTAAATCGAGAGGAAGAATGAACATTGGTTATAGAGCCACAGCTTTACAACCAGAAACAAAAAAAATTCAGAAGCTGCTTACTTTTCTAATGAAGAGATTGATGATGAGTCTCAAATCTGTGACATCCCTTATACCGGAGAAGTTCAGGTCAGTACGAAGCTTTACCCATTTCCTGCGTAAACTTGTTCCTGCTAGAGAGATTCTTAGCAGAAAGAGATTTACTGCAGCTAAAGTAGCTATTGACTCTCGTTTTATCAGTAATATCCCGCTGTTTAACAGGTCACTACGGCATCTCAAAAAGAAAAAGTTGAAAGACCAAGACGACCTGACAAAGCTACTTTGGAGAAGATTTAGGAGGTGTTACCGTTGTTAGAATCAAAATTAGAGTCTCGAGAAATAGCACCTCTGATCAGCACAATCAAGGTATCCACCAGTTTTTTTGAAGTATACAGTTGTAAAGAAAACCACACTGTACCTTTTAGACGGTAGAAACTTTGTAAAAGCAACACCGCGTGCTATTGCATTATACTGGACTCACCCATCCAAGTTTTATCACCGTAGTATTACCAGAAGATAGTTTAAAACTTCTCTGGACACAGGGGATACCCCTCTAGACCAACATAAAAAGCGCGTCAAGAGACGCTCCATTCAGAACGATTCTGATGTTAATGAAAATGCCTTGTTTGGCTTCGCAGTATCTATTCAGTCGTCATGTTAATGTCTCAGCTATGTAATACGGAATATTTATTATTAACATTACCAAATGATATAAATTCCAGAGTAATTTATGTAGAAAATAAAGGATTATCTTAAAAATTATTTACAATAATGTAATTTCAAGTCCCTTTGCATTACAAGTCACAGCCAGTACAATAAGTGCCATAGAATAGAGAAGGGCCAGACCTCAAGCAAGGATGGAATAATAATAATAAAAAAAAAACGGCTATTTACGGTAGGAACCCAGTCAAAAGAGACGGGAAAAGACAGAATGTATGTGTAAACAGGTGATTAAAAATAGTCGTTATAAATATCATAATCATAATCATCCAGAAAACCTTCTTCCTTTTTTTTTACTGTGATCACCTTTTGTCGTGTGAGCGAAAGCGATGGATGATTGCTAGGGGCAACCATGGTTTTTTTGGAAGCAGCAATACTTTTCGAACGACGGCTGATAGAAAAACGAAAACATCGCGAAAACATTAGAGAAAAGGGAAAAAAGATTAGTAAATACATTTTAGTTGATGAAAAAGTTATTTTCAGCCAGAAATCAATCTTACACAAATACACGTGCGTTAGACCTATGCACTACTCTATAAACTTGTAACAGGGTTTGACATTTGAACAAAGAAAGAGAGATAACGCGGAAAGCTAGTTCCGATAATCCCGGTCTATTATTTTACCTGATTGAATCGGGAACCTAACTAGAAAGATGAAATTATGCGTCATTGGCGACTTTAGTGTAAAAGGAAAGGTATTATTACAAATGATGACGAACGTACACAAAATGAAATGAATTAATATAACGCAAAAGGTTCATTCAGCCACACTTATGGAATAATAACATTCATATTACTAACAAAAAACACAACAATCAAGGTCTCAAGTATCACGGAATCTGACAAGCTAGTCATCGGCTCGGGAAGCCTATTTAGCGGCAAATATGCTTATTAGGAAAGCTGATATTGACTTGTAAAAATAAAAAGTATACAGCTGTTGTACATAAAAAAAAATAAAAATAAAAATGGCGTTGGTATGATAGTAGTAATATTTACTAGATTTTGGTGGGATGACAGCTGTAATATGAGAATTGTGATACTTGTGTGACCCATGCATGTATTGTGCTTCCCAAACTTTAAAGACATGTTGTATGGACTTAAAGAAAACCATGCTCACGACACGCGGAGAAAAATGACCGTTTATTGCAATTACTTGGATTATTGTACCACACACGATAAAAGCAAAAATATGTATATAAAGAGGGGTATTAGGAGCAAGACCTTTCTTTTTTTCACTTACTTTTCTCATTAAGAATAATGACTGACTCAATCCATTTTCCACCTGCTTCGAAGCATTCTAAATTATCTGCGTGTCCTACGACCAAAGTACCCCAAGGCACAGATTGGATTTATCAAGACTTTTTCAACCAGATGCTTCATGATAATTCCATTCAACATGTATATCCAACAGGCACTACGTTTTCGGAAGGATTAAATACGGTTGCTAGGAAAAGCAGTTTCGAGTGGGATGGCCATATTGATTATTCTTTTTGTGCTACTCATGATGAGGAAAGCTCTTTACCCGATCTAGACAACAGCGATGAAGAAGATCCTATTGGTACAAGCTCAGAGTTTTCAGAAATGTTTGACGTAGCTCCAGTATTAATTGAATCATCATGTACAACATCAACGGAATACCCTTTATCATTCCGGGAAAACAGTGACACCATTATCACGCAAGCCTTAAAAAAGAGAAAGTCTACCTCTTCATTCCGTTCTTTAAAATCCTTTATCAGTGTCTTTAGTACAAGCAAAAAGTTAAAATTAGATGCTTCGCCCACTAGATTGTTTCAATTCTTTAAACGCCGTTAAAACCTCCCTACTTTTCATCTGTGTAAATAGTATATAATAATGCGTTTCTGTTGATCAGAGACTTATTCTCCCCCCAGCCCCCTTTTAATAACTATAATAAAACCGATATAAATAAATATAAATACAAATCCAATGTTTCACTATGTGTGGGTGAAAAGAAGCGATCATCTTGCTTGAAAATCATTCAAAGAGCGCTGACTGTCCCCTTTTGGTATAAAAGCCGTAAAAGTCATTCACACGCGCGAATCTAAACTCCCTCTAATAGCTCTGCACAAAGGTCAGTGACAGCCGGTCGCCATGTGAGGCTTAATGTTGTCTTGAGTACCATCCCTTGTTATAAATGTAGGGAGAATTATTGGATTGTCTCGGGATTGTGGAAATAACTCCCTACGACTTACTTATCATGTGTTTTTTTTATTCATCGATCATACACACACAAAGGAAAGGAAGAGGGAATTTTTTTTTATGGATGGATGGGGGGTAGCTAATACAAGGTAATATGTATAAAAAGGTCAAGTTATATGATGTAGTGGGAATATATATTGTAAAGAAGGGAATTATGAAAAGCCTACAAATAAATCCTTATATGGATCTTCGCCATCCATATGATGATGATCTGTATCAAATGCTTCAGGGTATTTTTCAAAGTTACTCGTATCTCCTGGATGTGGATAATGAGGAACAATCGGTGCCCGCACATTTTTGTCCAATAGCCCAACCCAATCCACACCTCTAAACCATTTATGTCTTTTTACATCCTCTGAGCCACCCTATATAGAATGTGAATACAATAATAATAATAATAAAAAAACGTGCTCTCTCGTTATTTACCTTCAGATTTCCTAATCTTTTTGTTCTGTCACTCACAAGTAGTCTCTTTAACAAATCTTTTGCAAGCGGATCAAAGTGGGCAGAGAATTGAACCTTTCCCATTAAAATCTTTTCATATATACCAAACGAATTATCGTCAAAGAAGGGAGGATAACCAGCCAACATTTCAAATATAAGAATACCCAAAGCCCACCAATCAACTGCTTTACCATGTCCTTTGCTTTGAATAATTTCAGGAGCCAAATACTCTGGTGTACCACATAACGTCCACGTTCTTTAAAAAAGATATTGAGATTAATTAAAAAAATTACACATGTATATATATATATATATATATTTTACCTGTCAACAACTTTTTTTGCAAACCCGAAATCTGTAATCTTTATGTGTCCTTGATGATCAATTAATAAGTTTTCTGGTTTTAAATCACGATATATAATATCTTTGGAATGAAGATATTCTATTGCTAGTACAATTTCTGAAGCATAAAATCTCGTCATATCATTTGTGAATCTACCAGCTCTACGTAAATGGGTGAATAATTCTCCGCCAACCACATACTCAAGTAACATGTATAGGTTGGATTCGTCTTGAAAAGTGCAGAATCTATAATAGCAACGATTAATGCTTTCTCTTTTACCAATGTGTGCTGCACTTACAGATCAACTATAAATGGAAATCGAACAGAAGATAATATTTGCTTTTCAGATAAAAGATGCTCCACTTGTTTTAATCTCACAACTTCGGATTTCTTTAACACTTTCATAGCATAATATTTGCTTGATGGTACGAATTTGGACAAGTAAACCCTACCAAAAGTACCAGTGCCTAGATAAATACATGTATTAGGGAGAGAAACTCTCAATTTTATTTTCTCCTTACCCAAAGTATCTTGGAGTTCGAAATCATTCAAGCCAAAACTGGGACTTTCCACATAAGCAGGTGAACGAGTATGGTAATATTGTAAACGAGCAGCTTGTTGTTGCTGGTATGGTGTTGGTGAAGGTAAAGGTAAACCCGCTAGCGGATGGTTAGGTGGAAAAGGTGTTGCATCTAATGTTCTTTTAAGATGAGGTCGAGGATTACTGAGATAAACAGGTGGTTTATTCACTAGTCTTGAAGAGTCTTCTTTGTTGTTAGTCATTGCTTTTTCCATGAAGAAAAATAAAATATAAGCAAAAGAAAAAGAATATATATATATATAAAAATGAAAGCTCCTCTATTCAACTCCTTTAACAGTCGAAAAGAAAACAGAAAAGGGGAAGAGAATAAATAATAAAAAAATGTTGTTATTAAAAAATAAAAAAATCTGAGCACGCGCAATGCTGACAATTGAGGGAATATCATTGTCGCACACACACTACGCACACACACACACACTACGCGCACACACACACACTACGCACCCACCCACCCACCCACACAGACAGATAATCATCCTTTTCTCTCCCTATACTTTTCATCGACACAGGTACCGATGTCCTCATTGTTACATAAATTCAGCCTCAGAGTCTATCTTTTCATAAATTACTATTTACAGCTTAGCCAATATGCTCACGATACGACATGTAATTATCTTACGTCCCCTGAACCCATTACTATAATATGAACCTCATGAACAGTCACCGTGCCACATACACTTATTGGGATTGAATTCGAAATATTTCATAATTTCCATGTTGGAGTGCATAATCTATTATCCCACTTACATTGCATTCTTCCATTGTAAAATTGATACAAGAGTTCACCAAAGTATTAAATTATGTTTACAAAGATGGTGAATATGGTATCTCGTTTATGGAATGTTGCCAATAATGCTCATTTTTTTCAATTCAAAGGGTCTTCAAATAATAAAACTCAAATTAAAAAATGTCAGACAAATAGATTTTATTTTCAGAAAAACGTGAAAAAGTTTTTATACAGTTGCAAAATTAAGTATTCAGACCCTCAAAATGTTAAACTAGGCACAGGGTCTCTGAGCCAGAATAACTTGGTCTTTTGTCCTTAAACTTAGGTAATAGATAGATAGAACATCAAGATTATATAAAGATTGTACTTGTACCCTTTAATCTGTCTTAAGTTTCAACCTATCAGATTCTGATCTCATAATTCTGATTAATTCCTAGAATTGTGGTTAATCACCTTTTCACCTTTCTGTTAAACGTTTTGAAATACTGTCCATAGAAGTGGTTTCTTTGAAATCAATAATAGTCAAAACTCTGTTTCTGGCTTTTAATTAAAACCAAATTACATACCAAGGCCTAGAAACATCGTGTTAAACACCAATACAGTTGCCATTCATACATTTGCGTTGCCAAAGCTCATTTGTATCAGTGAGCTGAAAAAAGATGAACCCTTTGACCTTAGCAAGCATGTCTGAAAGGATTTGCATGCACTCTTAGATGGCCCGGAAAAATAACACAGATGTCTGAATTTAAAGCGTGAAAACTGTATCGGTGGTTAATAATAACACTGCTGCTTACGACAAGAAGTTATTAACTGTATAGTATCTGTTTTTAACAGGAATTCTAACTTTTTTTTTATTGGTAGCAGGTCGCTTAAGTGCAGAGATAGGATGTGCTGGACCCATCTTCACAGACATTTGCTTTATTATCTATTATTAACAAAGGGTGTGCATCTCAAGCATCAAGAAATTATAAATCAAAAATAACATGCTAGTCTTTATCGCACTACCGCATCAGATATGTAATTAATAATAAGTTCTTCATTAGATTAAACCAAATTTCTAAAGTAGTAAGACCACATGGTGCGGTAAGGACTATCCGACACATCATTTAGTAGATCAATGAAAGTTCCCACAATAAATCAGGCGTCATGCACTATCTAAAACACATGCTATAATAGTTAGACAAAGCATCGTGGAGAGAAAAATAAAAAGCATGCGAGGGATCTAACGGCTTCAATTGTGTTTTAAGCATCTATGTCTAATCACGTCTCCTTTTACTTTGATTACTGTCGTAAGTCATAACGAGATATGCGTTTTTGATAAAGCCCATTTAATTTTTTTGACTTAAGATGCCATCCCACAGTCCAACCATTTGATTTAATACAAAAAGGTGAGTAAGTACTCTTCAGTATCAAAAAGCATATGCCTGTAGACATAAAAGCAAGATATCACGCGAATAAACGTACACCTTGGGACGTTTGTGTAGACTTAACTCCTTTAAATTTCGGTAGCAGCTTATTCGTGGGTCAGATTAGACCCGACTGCTAGTTTTTTTCTTACTTTCTTAAGGACTCGAAGCTTGGTATAGCTGGGCGACTTCCTTCTACAATAAATTTAACTTTACATGAATTATGAACAATTAAAATTAAGGCCGCAACTGTCGTATTCTGCTAGCCGTTACACAAAGTGTATACGTAAACATTCTGTTTCTTTTTTTTTAAAAAAAATTGGCAGTAATAAGGGGTTGGATAGATATTAAAGTGGTACTGTTAATCTCGATATAGAAAGGTTTGAAGTAACCTTGCGACTTGCAACGAGAAACTTAAAAACAAGGTTTCTACCCCTTTTAAATATCGCGCCGCAGTTGAATTTCGCTTTGTACAACTTGCAACAGATTCGAATGACTTGTGTCTTTGCTAATAATACTTAATGTATGGCATAAAAACACTGCCTCATAATGTCAGTTGAAAAGAAATGATTTGATTGCATGAAAAATTAAGGTTATAAAAGTTCAGACAAATATTTGATATTCGAGTTTTGCATGGAAAACAAGCGAAATAATGCATGATTCGTTAATAACTTTTTAAATTATTATCCATCCTCAATGTGATGTGATAAATAAATTTATTATTATATCTACAATATCATCAACAAGTTGTTCCCTTAGTCAATTGTTTCCAGTCAATTTGCTCATTTTCAAGGATTTGGGTGATTTAGTTCTGTTCTTCAAGCATATTTTTCAAATTAATTGTCAGTAATTCATTTCTTTTATACTATGAGCACAAATCCTACCTTAGTGTACAGTATGAGGTCCATCACCTTAAACTTTTTACTGCGAGTATTCCAGGTTCTTGGAACATTTGCCTCTCGAACAAGTAAATAACCCCTTCCCTTTTTGGCTTATAGCGGAAGTACTAAGCATGGTCAATTCATCGCCAGCGTATATGTACGTAAAAAACTTTTTTCTTAAGTTTTTGAATAACACATCTTTGACGGTTTCCATCTCCTTCTAATGGCCTGATGCTGTATTCGAGTAGCTTCACCGTGACATCTTGGGTGTGATCGACATTGTTTTTTCTGTATTTACATATGAATAAGTGCAATGTATATAGTATTTTTACCCCGATGACTCAAACAAAAGATTTCGGTTTGATCCGCAACAAAGTAGCCAATACCATCTGCTAAACGCTTTCTGGCTTTACCATCTGTGTTATAATATACAATGCACTTGCTTTTTTCCATGCCACCCTAAAATAAATCAGCGATCAAAATGTTTTTTTTGATCGATATTGGCGATATCGCTCAAAAAATCGAAAATATCGATATCTCCGATATTTTTGATTTTTTGATCGCTGATCGCAAAGCCAAATTTTCAAATCTCTATAAAAACAACCTATACATAAATAAATAGATGTAGCAATACCATGTTCATAGATAAACGTGATTTTTTAAAGAAAAAAAATGTTTATGGGGATGATAGCCAGGGTAAGAAAAAGACAACTTCAGATTACGTAAGTAAAATGAGAAAAGGGGACATGTGACTGTGGGTTTTAATGATTTTCAACACTGCTGGTAATACTACTCTTATCGACTTTGAAAGCCTTACCAGTTTTTATTACATATTTGTTGTTAGACCTGTCGACCTCATTCACCAACCCAATAGTAGACACAAGGTCCTTTGCATCAAAGACGACAATTTTTTTTTGCTCTGCCTCATCATGCGCGGGATGGCCTTTGAATAAGGGGAAACGTCATGATTCACCAAAAACGAAGTTCGAGCCTGGAGTACTTTCTTGATATGTAAAGTCAAAAAAGAACAAGCGTTTACACACGTACCAGTTTTCAACAGGCCGAGACATCCAAACTACTTTAAGTGAGCACACATGAATTTAGATTTGCAAAAAAAAAAAAAAAAAAAATGGAATCTGTCATTTACTAGTCTGATGAATCAGTTGCTGTAGAAAATAATCAACCCGTACGGCGTTGCCAAAAACAAGGAATTGAGTCTGAATTTTTTATTTTTTCTTATTTAAACAAACTTTGTTTTTTAAACCTTTTTATTCTTATTCTTTTTCCCCTTTTTTTTTTCTTCCAGGTTAATGTATGTATATGCGAATAGTTAATGGTATTTGATTCATCATAATTATTTTTAAATTAATTTAGATTTAGTTATGTGACTAATAATAAACGTCTTACAACTTTATAATTTAGGATCAGACCAATGCTCTTTGCTCGGTAAGGAACTCTAACTACTTTCTTATATCTATTAGCGCATTTTTATAGCTAGAGGAATCAATACATTGATTACTTGTGGAAAGTTAAATAACTTGATACTGGTATACTTGTTTATTATTAAGTTAACCCAATTTTTTAAAGCTGATTGATATTACTATTTATTTGGGGCTCGTACATCCGACTGTTTTGTAAAGGTACACATTGCTAAACTTGATAATTTATTCTCTTATTAACGTAAACCATCTTTATGCAGGTAAGTGAATACTGCTACTCTTCTGAGGTCTTCGTATGGTCACTACCGTAGTTCCTCTCATTATGTCTGTCTCTGGTCATATTTTACTGGTCATTTTCTATATTTGAAGAGGTCTATGATGATCAGATTCGACGTTATTTAGTTTTTTTTTATAAATAAATTTTTTTTTCCAATATATACAAACGTATCAATTTTAAGCCTGTATCCTGATTCAGCAGGGGTGTAAAAGTAATATTATATCGATTATCGATTACCCCATTTTTTTTACCCCATCCAACGATATTTTTTTGTTTTTTTGATTTATGGATCGATATCGCCAATCGCGATATTTTGGAAAATTTGATCGATATTGCCAATAACGATATTTTAGAAAATTTTATCGATATCGCCAATCGCGATATTTTTAAAAAAAAGATCGTTATTTCCGCTCTAATTTGTTTGCGATATTTTTCAATTTTTGATCGCTGATTTATTTTAGGGTGTGCCCTTTCCACACCTACATATAAATTAAACAGTTAAAGTCAAGTTGTATATTATATACATAATAAAGCTTGTCTTACCACTATAGAGTTAATTTGTCATAAATAGCAAAAATTACACTG